TGAAAATACTCCCCAACATTATATAGAATATTAAGATTATAATAATGCTATAATACGTTTCTCATGCTTAACTTTATTGGCAACATTAAATGTTTGTATAGTATTGACATACTTGACAGCATAATAAAGATATTACATTCTTTTATTAATGCCTTACCTTTATCAATTTGTCTCAGCGAATATGATATTTTTTAAATGTGAATACCAATCCTACATACATCAAAATACTTTATTTATAAATCAGGGGGGCGTCGACAACCTGACATGTACATTTTATTTCACATTTATATAACCACAAACCTACACAAATTGTGTCTACCCTACATGCTGTTTTATAATGCCAGTCTTGAGCACAGCAACAATAAAAACGTTGTGAATAAATGTTGAGTTAAGCAGACTTGAACCTACAGTCCATTGACTGTTGTTTTACGGATTTTTATCATTCTTTGATAATCAAACAATAGTAAATAAACAGAGGTATATCAAGAGTCATGATCTCATAGCATGTTTGATCAAAATGTCAGTTAAGTGCATGTTTGTTTTACTGTTTTTTGCAATGTAATGCCACAATGAACCAGCCACATTATACCAACATTTACTATTATCTCCCATAGGAGCAGCAAGTCTCCTTTAGATTCCCTTTACTTAATCCTGGACGGAACAAATAAATGCACACATGGATTCAGTTGGCCTGCTGACAATAAAGATTGCTAAATTACAGAAACAGTGTTTTATCAGCCCCCCAATCTTCCCTCCCTCCCCAGTATAAAAGTTAAATAGTGATGGGGGTTTGATGCAATTAACAGGAATAATTGAAGCATGTTGTATCAAATGGCAACATAAATCATTGGCCAACAGGGTTAGTATTAGGTCTCCACCAACCCTCTCCTCCACTTTATCAAAAAAACTTAAAACAGAATTTTTATCTTGGAGTAGACAACAGATATTTCACATACAAATATAATATCTGGACATAATGCAGGTCTGATTGGACAATCATGAAACGGACTAATCTGATTCAAAATAAATAATACCCAGACATAACAATGGGTTTTGACGTTAAGCAGATTACCAGAAAACACAGACTGGGGACATGACAGTAGTTTAAAGGTATAATCCTGTTTATGAAACTCTTTCTGTTCATGTTATTTCATGTGATTTCTCTCTAAAATGTAAATGATGTGAATGATTTTTGTGTTTCTCTATACAACTTAAAGTACATGCAGTTATACTTATGCCTAAAAATGATATTTTTTGCTAATTCAACTCAGTCTTCAATCTATTATTGCGTTCTAAAACTCGACTGTTAGTATGACGTTTTTTTCTTATTCTCTAGTAATCCTAATTTATAAGCTTGTTATAGATAAGTGTTCTACAAATCAAATATTCTTATAATCTGAATCCAAAATACAATGCCCTGGATATATGCCAAAGAAATGGTGCTATTCAATATTTCAAACATCGCAATGAACTTGTAATAAATTTTCCATGGAAGATAAGCATATTTGAGAGAGAATTCATTCCCAATCCTCAAGGTCAATACATGAATAATTTACTTCAACCATTTGCAAATATTTATGCCAGAAAATCCCAACATCAAGCATCTGTATAATACATTACTACCAGTAAGAAAAAAAAATTATTTGACAGTTCACATTTACAACTGCTAAATTCCTCCATTAGGTCAGTTCTAAAATCTAATAACTTCTTCTATTCATTATAGCATGAATAGTAATCAAACACGAATAAAAAACTGTTCCAGGCATATCTTTCCATCAAAATTTTTACTGACCTTTAAAATGAGGTAAGGTCTCCCATGATCCCATCTTAGCTTTATACTATGATTTTTATAAAGCTTGAATCCAAGATTGGCAACCACCAGAAGAACTGATCAGGTGGCTTGTAATATTTCACATGTCCCTTACCCCTATCCCCCCCCCCAGGCTCTCAAACATCCTCTAACCAAGGATTAACATCGTGGAGGGAACAATTATGACAATTATGAACAATTATGACAACTATTTACTAACTATCCAAAGCAGTTAACATGAAATGGTTGCAACTCAGGTACATAAATGAATTAAGGGACTAAGTCGATTGATAAATCAGTTATTGATTTTTGATTCAGATGCAGTCATCAAAACCCCAGCATCTATCAGCATCAGGACAGTAATCCTTGAAATCCCCGTTCGACAATCTTCATAATCTTTAGAAATTACTGCCAACTAAGACAGCCTACATAATGATTTTAATTGCAACTTACATTAAATCTTTGCTCCAGGCCGTGTTACTCTGAAATCCAGAGTCTTGTAAGAACTTGAAAAGGGTAAGGGAAATCCAAATTGCTGCTATTGATTTCTGATTAATGGATCTAACCCCAACATTGAGACAGTAATCCCTGAATTTTTTGTTACTTCTATGGGCCGGGATTGCAACTTATTTTAAAAGAATCCTCTGGTTCAGAAGCCCAACAGATTGATTTTTGATTGATGTAAAGATTATACAAGCTATATCATTGAATCATGTTGTAAGTTATGGATCACAATTTTATGAAGAAAGATCTGTTAGACCTTTTTGGTACTGACCTCCCAATGTATACAGAGCAGTGATCTAAAATACAAGAATGACCTGTCTATGGTATTTTCTACAGAAAAGCAATAAAAGCTCTCAATGGAAAACAGAAAAGACCAAACAATATTCCAATTTAGATTTTTCTCGTTTTCTAACCTAATTCACCAGAGCAACATGATTATTTTCTATGTTTCTATTGGATATTGACCCTTTGAATAAATATAACTGCGATTTTTTGTGTTATACAATAAAAATGAAAAGAAGTAGAACAGAAGAATAAATGTTTAGAGAAACATGAATTCAACACTAATTATATAGAATTGAGAGAAACTGAGTGATTTCTTCTTAATCACAGAGAAGCATTGTAGATTAAGAATGTCTGTAGAATATCTTGAGCACTGGGAATTAATGGTTTTAAGGCCATTATTGTTAGAATTGCATCTCTTAAACATGATCTACTACTTAAGCAATATGTTCGTTTTATTATATGAATGAGTAATTACTGTCATGGGATAAATAATTTTATTATATTTTATTCACTTACAGCCTACATATTCCATTAAGAAAACTTTAAAACATCCTGAAAATAAATGGAATTTGTGACAGGTGGTGAATAATGCAAACATTTCAATGCATAAAAACAACAACCAGTTAGCTTGAATGGTCCTGTATGACAGGAACCCATATAAAAAAACGGTCTAAATTAGTGTTCTGGCGAGTCTAGTATGTCATTGAATGATACAGATACCATCACGTGTGAGGTATAACTTATATTCAACCATTAGAAACATATTTTCTTTGCGTGTTTCGAAGAGATTAGCTACTGATTTTGCTTTAGTTTAGGGGCAATCTGCGAGAGGTTCAATTTTTGGTTCAGTTTCTTGCGCATGCGCAATCTTAAATAATGATCTTGTGATCGCACTTGACCAATAGAAAATGGTTTAAATCGGGTCTTCAGCTAGCGGCCAATCGTAAGACTCGTACTGATTACTGCTCGGGTATCGAGTATTGGATAACTATTTGTTCTATCACATGCCTCGTACTATTTCGATCAGAAATCAACTTCCGGGAAGGAAACTTCGAAAGAAAATTTTATTTCTTTTAGAAATAGAATTTCCTTCAATTATTTAGTTGATTCACGAAGTGATTTACGAAATTCAAATTGCGTCCCAAAAACGTAATTATTTTTTTAATTTACATCCACCCAATCTTGATTTACATCCTTTCCATTGAAGGACGCCGTTAATGAAATCACTGTTAGTTCTAATCTCAAATATCCAGGGGTTGTCTATTATACATATGAAACTTTGAATAGTGTAATTATGAAATTAAGCTGAATATCTAGCTGATAATTAACTATTATCCTTTAGATTATGTATACAATTGTCTACCTCAGACGTGACGATACGGGGCATAATAAAGGTGTGATGAATCTAGTTGCAAATCGGAACAATCACCTTTCTCCGGGAATGATATTGATTATTTATTCCAGTGCAATAACACTCTTAAGTGAGACTCACCATAAGCCTCAGTCTTACATGAAACATTCAATATTGGCTCAGTATTTTTCTTACAGAGTGAAACATTTTTGTGCCAAATAAACCTAGTCCTATCTCTTATTTTAACATCTGCACAAATATTTTCTTTGATCAGTGTAATATTGCATTCATATATTGATGAGTGTGTCAAATTACCATAAAAATTGAACTAATGCTGAAGGAATTATATTTATGTCTGAATTTAGCTGTCGTTATCCTTAAGCTTCACTGTATTGATGTAAATGAATTGCAGCTTTCTATTTCCATTACGGCTGTTTTTACACCTGTTTGTTTTTAACTGCTATTTATTTGTAACATTCCAAGATCTGGTCTGACATTCTCTTCCACAGAACTCATCTCCCATATGCCTATTCAGAATATTTACTTATACTTATGTTATCCTTATACATATTAAGGTTACGGTCTATAAGAGTCATCGTGATAAATCATGACATCTCATTTCTTCTCAGCCCTGAGATGTGAAACAGAAAGATGCTATGAGTATCAGAATGTATACTATAGTTATATTAGATGGCTTTGACCAAGCGTTGCATGATGTCAGCATATTCATTCTATTCAACTACCTTAATGATAACATTGTAATTGTAAAATGTACTTAAAATATCATTAAGGTTGAGTTTCTCTTCATTCCTTTCTCAAAGTTGAATGAAGAATCTTAAGGTAGTCCCACACTTAGTGATTTTGATGTGTGTTAATGAGCAAATACTTATAACCCTTTTCATTAAATATTGTAATCATGAAAATCTCATGGAGATATTCATCTTGCGGAACTACCTTAGTTCTTAATGTTTATAACATTGATTCTCACCAATTCCACTCATAAAACATGAACACTGCAACATTTAAATTTCAGATACAACAAATCCTTACCTGGATAGAAAGCTAGTAAATCCACTAGTGTTTTTCCTTTTTGGTTTTGTACCTCCTCTCTCAGCATCAATACCACTGTCTTGTGAACTGTTTCTGGACTTTTCATAAGAGTTCCGTCCATTTAGGTTTATTTCTACAAAGCCCGATTCATCCGGTTCAGGGTTTATGAGTTTGTTCTCAATGAAGTCGCTGTTGATAGATGCTGATGCACTGAAATCAGTGCCTGTGCTAAAACTTGACACACTACCATAAGATGACGTTTCTTCAGCTCGTGTTAGTGAGCAAGTATTATTATTCCTAGCTAAGGTACTCCCTGGGGAGTCACTTTCACATGTCAGGCTAGATAATTCATCAGCGATCTCATCATAATTTTCTAAGTCTGTGACACTTCCCTGCGTAAGAGTGGACTGGCTTTCGGCAAGAACAGAAGATTGCAGATTCGGCATATCATTAGCACATTTTGATGAATCGAGAGACTGATTAACTGGGATTATTGCAGGGATACTTGGACCAGGGTTTGAAGTATGAGTATGATCAGGTTTGGCAGGTATTAACTTTTTACTATGAGGAATATATACAAGAGGAATGTTAGCTAAAACTGCAGATAAACCATTGTTTTCTTTATTCACACGTATATGTAAATCCTGAGATGATTTGCTTTGGGCAATGTCTCCATCTGTCTCCTTATCTGATACCTTGTCCTTTAAACTAGAAGCGCTACTGTGAACTAAAGTAGTCCTAGTGCCACTATCAGCTGAAGTGGACAGAGCATTGTCTTTGAGTGTTTTTATGGTATGACATTCATTTGATATTGATAAAAGTTTATGTGGTCTCGTGGGAGAGTTATGAATGTCTGTGTAACTACTGTGTGATATCTGATCATATTGACCATTTACGCTACATTGATCAGAGGTCAATGTATCATTAAAGCCGTCACATAAATTAGGCAAACTTGTAGACAGTTCAAAACTATTTGCACTTGATAAAGATGTGTTTAAAAGGAGCAGCTTCTCCTCAGATTCCGACACTGATACATCATTTTGCAGCCGTTCCAAACCAGGATGTAAGCTTTTGTTGTATTTTTTCAGACTATCGACATCTTCAAAACTGCCAAATATCCTAACAGTTTGAATGTCTCCATGTTCACCACCTAAGCTAATTTCCGTTCCAGTAGAACGATATATCTCGCCACTCATTTCCTTTACAAGTTGCTTTTCTTCAGGATAGATTTTTCCCATTGTTTTGAAACGGGATTGAATTTGATGAAATTTTTCCGGATACAAATTTTTGAGCTGCGAAATGTTACTCGATATTTTCCCATTTTTAGCACCAGTGGCTGATATCTCTTTCATTCCGTTATATTCTTACACTACTTATGTATCCATATTTGCCATATTAATGTCCTTATATTAACGATTCAATACATTATTCGTCTAAAAATTAGCTTTGAATATTTGAGGGGCGGTCAACATATCCCACAATTCTTGAAATGACAACTTCCGGTATTTAAACATTTGGGAGCATAAGTTATTTTGTTTTTAATCATATTTCGAATAAAAGATGGCAGTTCACACGATACGTCAATTTTGTGCTGTCCTCTATACTTCAATAAACATTGTAAAATCATGAATTGAGCTAGTCAGATTAATGCAAAATGCAATACTTGAAACATGATGATGCATGATAGACTATGGTCGAATGATGTATTGTAAGAGTTTTTTATGAACTTAGTGTTTAGGCCTAAATTTGTTCTTCTTGGAGTTTGTAAGTAGTCAGGATTATGTTATCTAAAGTATTACTATCAGTAAAAAAGGAATGTGACACATTCACATACAAAAGTAATCCATGTATACTTAGGAGTAACCATAAGAAAAAATGGCATTAAAACCTCTGCAAATGATCTCGCACTGAAAGCACAAAAGGCTTAGTTTGCATTGAAAAACATATTATATTCTAATGATATAAAAAACATCAAACTGATTTTTCATTTATTTGATATGTGCATAAAACCTATTATGACTTATGGTAGGGAAGTATGGTGTCCCTCACTTAGCACAAGTGATTACTATTACATGGGAAACAAAACAGAAAATGGGCAGAAAATATACATATTATTCAATGTTGTAAATGGGTGCTCAATGTTAATTCCAAATGCTCTAACCTGGGCGCTCTTGGAGAAACAGGAAGATAGCCAATTCTCTTTACAGCTCAAATGAGCATGATTAAATATTGGATATACCTAGATTTACCAAAAGAAAGACTTTACAAGGTTTATAGTTTATCTAAACAAGGACGTCTATCTTGCAACCATTAATATCGATATTCGACTTAAATATCAAATCCAACTACTAAACAAATAAAATGATTAAAACGAAATTAACCGAACATTACCCCAAGATATAATAGCAAATTCGAACGTATAAAAAGTCAAAATATGGGGAAAGAAACTGCTTTACTAAGTTAAGGCTATCAAATCACAAACTGGAAATTGAAACAGGTAAATATTACGGTACAAAACCTGAAGATAGTTTATATAAACAATTTGAAAATCAAACCAATCAAATTGAGGATGAGTTTCATTTTCTCATAATTTGTAATTTCCATAAAATACAAAGGAAAGCTCTATTTTATAAAATATCTATCTCAAATAAAAACTTTAATACGCTACTTCCAAAAGAAAAATTCTTATACTTGATGTCATACAAATCACATACATCTGAAATTTTGACAGAATTATATTAATAATGGTACAATCTATAAATCTAGGAAAAATGTTATTAGTTAAGATTGAAAGATGTATTAATAATGTAAACTCTTCAAATAAATAATACATGTACTTCTTTTTTATATATTCACTGTATTCATATTCTTATTGTTTTAAAAGCCAAGCCCATGCCCTGATAATCAGTGCAAATAAATAAAGAAAGAAATAAAATAAATAAATAAATGTTAGTCTCAGGGATAACAGACTCCTCGTAATAAGAGGCCAATTTGTGTTTTTTATGTCTCTGGATGATTACATTGTGTCCAATTCTTATTTTCATTCACGCCCCAGATAAGTAAAAGAATACCGACTTGGGCAAGGTTACATTTTGTGCAATACCTCTGAATTTATAATATGCGACCTCCTAAAATATGAACGCAAGTGATCTTAAGCCCGGTATACACCAATGGGGCAAGTTGGGACCTCCATAGACTTAACATTGCGTGGGTCCTCGTGGGACTTCTTGGGATTTTGCCCCATGGAGTCCGTCGGATTTTGCCACTTCGAGTCCCATGAGGTCCCACGTGGAACTCGGTGGGATTCGATGGGGCAAAATCCCACAGAGTCCCATCTTGCCCCATCGAGAATGAACATGTTCATTCTTTCCACGGGGCACGCGTTGTAGGCAAAATCCCAACGACGTTTTTTCTCACAAACCTGTTTCAGCATCATATGTTTTAGAAAATGTTCATGTTTGCGAAAAAAAGCTCAGAAGACAACAGAATCGTCGATTTAATTCCTCACTTAAGTTACATAAACGGTTTGGGTTAAAAGTGCAGATCTTAACTGTTTTTCGAAAAACCGTTGTAACTTAAGTGAGGAATTAAATGGACGATTCTGTTGTCTTCTGATCTATTTGTTCGCAAATATGTACATTTTCTTAAACATATGATACTGATACACGTTTGTGTTAAAAATGTCGTGGGAATTCTGCCTACAACGTGTGAAATAAGGAAAAAAGAAAAATCGTACCTTTAATGTTCCGACATTTTGTTACAAAAACGAATCGTTTCGGTAACCAGCGTAATCGAGTGGATCACCAGTGTATAAAACATGCAATTTGCTTTTCTTTACAGAATAGATCAAGTAAGTTTCATTTGCTGGAATTACACCAGAAAACGCTAAAAGCGCTTTAGTGAAAAGCGCTTTACAAAATCGCCATCCTGATTACACCAACATTTCTAAAGCACCCTGGGAATTTTATTTTGAAATTACAAATGTCATTTCTAAAACGCTTTTCGTGCTTTTAACGATGCAGATATGGAGAATATCCAGCAGATATGTACATTAATGTATTTTTTAGCATCTAAGAGAAGTCCGGCGTATCCGAGACTTTTGCCAGTGATGTGAACTTACTTTCAATTTTTGCGATATGATTTGATGACCTATTGCATTTTTGGGTCCCAACCATCATTTCCTGTATTTTTGCAGTGGCCCAAATGTGTATCATTTGAAATACGTCTTATTTTGGGCAAATGACAAAAATCCGGGTAAGGCGTTTTGCAAAAACCGATCGGTATTACACTACACTCCAAAAGCGCCTAACGATTTAAAACGACTATGGTTCTAGGAGTTTTGGAAAAGCGCTTTTGTAAAACGGCAATCGGGTTTAACGGGTTAAAGGCGCCTTTCTAAAACAATTGGTGTAATTCCAGCATCTATTTCAGGTATCTCAGGTAAAGGATCGGATTGGTATCGATATGGTGAATTTCTTTCAAACCAATTATTGAAAACATTTTGTAAAAACACGGTTCTGTATGTAATGGTCACTGATTGACAACACTTTTTTTAACAGTTTACAATTATTTATATATTTATATAACTGTTTTGGTTAAAATGTTTTGTTTTTTAGTGCAATTGTTTTTTTGTTCTTTCTACCAATTCTTGAAAATGAAATAAAATATCTTTCCGAACTGCGTTGGAACAAAATAGCATATTCAACATTTTAAGACCTCTTAATATTAAGCTTATAGTCACGCCCGGTGATCGTGAATATGGGACGGAGGGGGGGGGGGAGCAGGCAATTTCTGCTAGGAAATTCAACAAATCTGGAAGATTTATTTTTTCAAGAAAAAAGTTTACTATTGAATTGCTAAATGGATAGGCGCACGGTATGGTAGAATATGTTAGGTTTTCTGGGATTTTTTCTGAAACGATACGCATCTAAGGTATGAGATCTATTAAAAAAGGCGCAAGGCCATCAACAGGCACAAATCAACGTTTTTGCTATAAATTAAGCAACGATGGCCTGGACGACCTGTAATAAATACTTGTAAGTGATGTTATCATAACTAAATTAATGCCATTGCTGAATTTATAAAATAAGTTTCCATATGTGAAATAAAAAATAATCGAAAATAATGAATTTGGGACGGAGGGGGGGGGGGAGGGGACGGAGGGGGGGGGGGGAGCAATATGTATATAAGACATGATTAGAGATGTTTCGCGACTTTAAGTCCTTTCACTCCAAATGTCCCCATTTTTCAGTCTCCAGGGGTATATCATCCAGTTTCTTACTAAGTTAATGAGTTCATTTTTCAAATACAAGAATTCGTGTGAAGTTGCTTCACTTTATAGAATTATTACTCCCCCCTCCGTCCCCTCCCCCCCTCCGTCCCATTTTAATTATTTTCGATTATTTTTTATTTTACGTATGGAAACTTATTTTATAAATTCAGCAATGACATTAATTTAGTTATGATAACATCACTTACAAGTATTTATTACAGGTCGTGTAGTCCATTGTTGCTTGATTTATAGCAAAAACTTTGACTTTTGCACGTTGGTTGCGTTGCGCCTTTTTTAATAGATCTTATATCTTAAAAGAGTATCGGTTGAAAAATAATCCTAGAATACCTAACATATTTTATCATACCGTGCGCTTATTCAATTTGCAATTAAATCGTAAACTCTGTCTTGAAAAAATAATTTTACCAGATTTGTTGAATTTTCTAGCGGAAATTGCCTGCTCCCCCCTCCGTCCCATTTTCACGATCACCGGGTGATAGTTATACAAAGGAAAGTTTGGTTCATTTAACAAAAAGTATTAAAATTATAACACAATGCTACGATGTTACAATGCAAATATGACATATATAAAAAATAGATATAATATATTTTGATAAGAAATAATCACAAAAACTCGAAGACAGTGCAAAGATAAATGTATATATTCAATAATATTGGACTATTTCTTGACTTCCTTGGCAATAGAGTATAAAAAATCAGCAGTAAGTTCAATAGCCTTCTTATTTGTAATGGAGTCAAGAGAGGAATCAGGACAATGTAAAACGTCTACCCTGTCTTCCTGTCTTCTATGATTAAAGGAGTTTAAATTAAAGGATGGCAGTTCCCCTAGTTCTCTTTGGAAGTTGAGTCTTAAATAATTAAATAGAGGGCATTGGAGCAATAGGTGTTTGGTTGACTCAGAAGAATGACCTCATTTGCATTTGGGACATTTTTGGAGTTGTGCGTAAATATATGCTGCCTAAAATGAGATCGCATCTAGTTTTAATAATAAGATAATTTCTTTTTCTCTGGATAGGTTTGATCTTGGTGTTGTAAACTCTTTCTTTTTTCCATTCAAAAATGTTCTTATTTTGTACTTGAATGACTACGTATAAATTTGTCTGGAAGTGTTTCGATCTTACTGAAAATTTGAGTGCCTTCAATAACGCAGATGCGAGTAGGTGGTTTCCAGATTCACCACCAGGTGTCTCGTTCGGGTCAGATAGCATGGCGTGTATAGTAGAAAGTTCCCTTTAACTTAAATTACATCTATTTGCGTGGTTCAATAACCCTTATATATCTAATAGTTATGCAAATTAAAATATGTCCAGTAAAAGAAAATGTTATCTGTCCAATACAAGAAAAGATATTTCACTTTTTGTGATTTTGTAACATGGGGTCTATGGGGAATTAACCCGAACAAGAAGTCACATTTTCAAAAAAAAAGTTGATAGACAATTTTCGAAACCATACTACTAGATGTACTTTTACATGCAGATTTCAAATATGACATCGCTTTGACTGAATTTTGAATATTTAATGACGTAAATCAAGATTATTTCTACTCGCATCTAGACTATTGATTTAGCATTTTTATTACATCTAGTAATTACAGAATTAATACGTTCATCAAAGCTAAGGTGCCGTTTGTCTAAAATTATGCCTAAATGTTTATGGCTATTTACTAAAGGTATCTCCTCATTATTCATTGTTACTGGAATTTGTTTCTTGACTTTCAGCCTTTGGATTGGAAGATAACCTCTTTACTCATCAGTTAGCTCAGATTTCACCACCCTCGTGTTGTACCTTACCCTGCGCGTTAACTGCCACGCTTAATTTGGTACACTCCCTGTGTTTCACTTCAAGATAAAGAAAGGTGTACAGAATATGCCTACATCAATATACCAGATGCAGATGATGCACGAGTAGAAATAAAACTTGATTTACGTCATCAAATATTGGCGGTATTCGACTCGATTTTTTATACATGTTCCCGGGCCTATGGTAAAATGCTTACAATGAATAGTCCGATATTTTCCGTTTCATTGCCATATTCTGCATATTGACCAAACAAAAGACGGTGAAAACGGTAGGATCATTTTACAATAATTATTCCCCTTAAACGATTGAGTTTTAAATTTCACAGTCCTACATGGATATCTGTATTCTATGAGTTTCTGTGAAATAAAAGATATGTTGAATAAGATAGTCTCACAGATGCAAAATCACAAGTGTCCTTTGTCCGGGCTGTGTACTGAATCACAGTGTGGACACGGGAGAGCGTATGTTTTGTACACTCTGTTCATGGAACATTGAGGAATATAAGATATTAATTAGCCAAGTGGTAATTTTTGGAAGTTAAATATTTGAAGAATCTGCAAAAAATCGGTATCATACATGTAGTTAGGGCCGGGGCATTCATTTCGTCGGTAAAACTCCAGAATCATTAATATTGAATCGATAACTGATCAGATCTAACTGCATCCCCTTATTAATGGTCTACGGAACCTGAAATAACTATCACATTATATATATGATACAGTATAAATATGAATTATAATGCATTTGGGAATGTGATTTAAATTTTTTCTCCAGTGTGTATCATTCGTACACTGTACGCCAACGTTTCCGATCCGTGTGTTGTAAAAATACCCGGATGTTCCGTTTGAGAAATTCCGCCATTTTATTCGCTCGATCGTCTTTTGTGAATATTTCAAAAGTAATGTTTCTCACAATCTTCATTGATAATCGGTGATGAAGAATGTGTACTAGATAAAGATAAATTATCATTCTATGGGACAGTGACGAAGGTGAGTACCAGAACTAAGTATTTGATAGTAAATTTAGTTCAAAAAGTCTGAACTGTCAAAACAAAAAAAACACGAACAAATATTCCGTACTGGAGAGAATAAATTTTTCTATTTCTTTGTTATATTTTGTTGACTCTGGTTGTGATGGGGTATTATTCATTATGAAATATGGTTGTGTAAATTACTTTCTCATGATTTATCTGTACTAGATTTACAAATACCAGAAATATATATTCTGACAATGTCAAAGGAAGGGGCTCAATTCTTTGTCAGATTAGCCTTCAAAAATTGATTTGATGATAAGATTTGAATTTTTTGTAGCACTTAATATACTTTTTTCCATTGAGTGTCTTCCAACATAGACGTATGGGTTACTTCGTCTTGGGGCTACTGAGACGGTGAACACCACCTCTAATGCGTTGGATTGTCGTTAGTATGTATCCAACAGACTGACTAGAAGTCAGTCTGTTATGATGTACTACTTTCCTGTGGAAATTGCAGTGAAATTTTTTGCACAAAATTATCAATTAGAGGAATAATTTCTTCAATAAAATAAGCATTACAAAATTTCAATTAAGTAGTAAGGTACAATTAAATGTCATAAAAAGTAACACAGCATATTGTCAAGTGGAAATAAGGCTAGTTGAAGTAAAAATATGCAAATTAATTTTACCCAATCGGCCATTTTGAATAGCACTTCCTATGTAAACAAATATTAAAAATTACCAAACTTTAACATAGGTGCCTTATAGTCTGAATATAATTCAGACTAAATAGGATATAGTCTAGGATTGTCGTATGGAGTTGCATTAGAGGCGGTGTTCATCCTTGTAAATTCATGCCAATTAAGTTTTTCTTGATTAGTTTTGACGGTTCACTTTATTTAAATTTTCTGCTTAGAATCTCTGCGCCATTTATAGAGAAATATAAACAAAATGGATACATTGATGATTTAAACAAAAACTTACCATACCTTTGTGGTTGTAGAAGGTTAAATAAATTATGCTAATTTTGTAGCAAAATCGCATTTTGTCGCTACTGTTCACAAAATCTTTATGGCGGCTTCTATTCTCACGAGATTTGACGAGAGTAGCCATTGAATATTGCTGCCATCTATTTAACTATACAGAGTTTATATCATTCATTCGACCATCATGTATTATATTGAATCAAGAATCCACTATAGCAGTTTTACCAACTGGTTTTGGGAAAACATTACGCCATGTGATCATCAAATAACGTCACATGATCATCTCATTGATTTATGCAATGCATGCGCACTTGAAATTAGGTCAGCGAAAATGTCAAGAAGACCGGTCGGAAATGTAATTTCGTCTTATCTGCAACGATTACACATAATTACTGTAATAAAGCGAGGCATTTATGGGTTCATTTTGAAGATTTTTGGTCTCGCTATCCAGTGGTGAAAGAATTTTCAAGATTGAGGTGAGATCTTTGGAGAAAAGTCAAAAACATCAGATCCGGACTTTTCAGCATTTCTTAAATTTGATAAATTTACATTGCACGTTATGCACCCCTGGGGCCAACACGATCCTCAGAGACCCAGATGGGTGCATGAATGGACCTAGGGGCTACTTCGACCATGGAGTTCTGTTATATAGTCGGAGACGTTATAAACCGCAACCATCAAAAGTTGTCACAATGAGCTAAATTCTAAGTTTCATGTCTCAAACTCTCCCAAGCGGTAGAAAAATACTGTAAAACGGGTATTGTTAGCGAGGGGTAATTGTTAGCGATTGTTAGCGATCGCTATAGTTTCGCTAAAAATTCAATTCGCTAAAATAAACCGGGGTTAAAATAAACCGGGCGCTAAAATTAGGGGCATACTCATAGGACAGAAATGCAAAACTAGGACGACAACCTGAAATTACGGGTGCATGTTTCACGGCGTTGGACGTATATCTTAACTGTGAAGACGAAAAATCAAAGATTTAAATGCTACATTTTGTGATGAGTCAGATGAGATTAGTTTGGACCGAAAAATCAACGATTTTAAATGCTACCGTGATTTTGTGATTAGTCAGATGAGATTACAGTAGTTTGGACCAATACCATGTGCGTTAGAAGTCTTACATTTTGATAATTCCTCTGTCATGTCCGTTATTCGTTCTTCTGCCATAAATGATAAAATTTCTAATGCATTTCGCTAAATTGATTTTTTAAAGATTAATCTTCATTTCGCTAAAATTCCCCGTGCTAAAATCCCCTAAAATTGAAAAATTGCTAAAATTTCCCGGTGTCAAAATTACCCGTTTTACAGTAATTCCTGTTCACTCTAAGTAGCACAATTAATGAATCCAAAGCTTCATACCTGCAAATGATAGATAAATTCCTACCAAATCGAACGAATGTTTTCATGAATCGCCATATATGTCATCTAAGGAGGATTACTACTTTATTTCACATTTCTCGAGGTTGGCCATTGTGAATTAAGGCCAGGGTGCATGTTCGAAATTTTTCTGCATTCCTCAATTGAGTCATGTTTTTTTTTCAAACAGGAATCACTCCTTCCCTACATTGTCTACATCTTCCAGTTTTGCACAAAGAGTGCACTTATGTGCCTAGAAAAGACTGGTGAGATTTGTTTTGTAAAACGTTTAAAAAAACTTGAAAATTCAGTGAAAAAAAATTACTACATTTTCTTCAAAACATGCTTCTTTACATTCTTTTCTACATTAGTGCACTCGTTGTGCAAAAAGTGAGAGATGTCAACATTGTAGGGAAGGAGTGATCCAAATTTTTTAAAATAACATGTGACTCAATTGAGGGTTGCAGCAAAATTCCGAACATCATGCACCCTGACCTTAAGTTGCTGTGGTCGTACTTAAAAGGAAATGACAAAACAGGAAGTGACAAAACCATGCTGGATTTCAAACATTTTTTGAACCAAGATAACAGAGTTCTGTTTTGACATCCAGTCTGTTAAATTTAAGTTCCACATGTCATTTACATTACCATGACTTCACTGACCGGAAGCTATTTTTCAGTCACATTTTCAGAGGGCTGAAAAAGTTATTTCATCATGTTTATTCATTCTGACCATGTACATTGTGAATGATGAACAAGTTAAACTGACTGGAGGTCAAAACAGAAATGTGTTATCTTGGTTCAAAAATGTTTGAAATCCAGCTTGGTTTTGTCATTTCCTGTTAAGTACCACGGCACCTTAAGATTTCACATGTTGGAGATTTTGCTTTACTTTTAAACTTTTCAAAAAGTAGAATACATGAATTAAAAATATAAGCCAAGTTGGAAATAACCCCTTGGTCAAAATAACCCCAGGTTCCTATTTAGTCTGAAATCTTTTTGAAATTTTGAATGAAAATATTCAGACTATAGTTCACATATGTTAAAATCTGGGATTCAAAATGGCTGATTGGGTAAATTAATTTGCATTTTTTTTACTTCCCCTAGCTTTATTTCCACTTGACAATTGCTATATGTTGCTTTTTATAGCATTTAATTGTACCTTACTACTTAATTGAATTGATATAATGTTTATCCATTAGAAGTCAAGCTTCCTAAAATTGGTAATTTTATGCATAAAATTTCTAGTTTTTCCCACATGAGGGACATGATGATCAATAGACTGAATTCTCAAGATTCAGTCTATTGGATACAGACTACCCATATGTCAAAGTTTGACTCTCACTCACTTTTACATCATCTTTTGTAGACAGTTTTCGGCGGTCGGTATTAATAGATGCTCGTTTTATGTAGCACATTCTGGTAAGACTACAGTATTTAAGAAGCCTAAGTGGTTTAAATTTTTCATGGAGTCTTCAATCTTAGGAATTCATTTGTTTGTTTCATCTTATGAAACAACATAATTGAGTTGTGAATTTCTTATAGCTAACAGAAATGGTTACATTGTTTATAGAAATGATCCTTTGGTCAGATACTTTTCCTGCCTTCTGTGAAGCTATAAAGGAACTTTCTAGGAACCCTGTAGGTTGTATAAAAACTGATGCAAGCTTTCTGTGTTCCTTCAATTGTCAAATGAGACTACAATTTCATGTCCAGATGTCCTTATTCACAATTTGTTATTTGTTTTTACAGGGGATTCACAATGGCAGCTGCCAACTATGGACTAGAGCCAGTTGACTTGAACAACATGTCACTGGTAAGAGCTCAAAACACCCATGTCTTCAAAATCTTTCAGATTAGATCCACACCTTTTCACACCTATTTTACAATTTTTGCTGTAACTGGAAAAGTAGTGGAGCGATTTTGTTCATATGATATGTGAATACTCATAACAATTGCACAATTGCTATTGAAAAATGGCCGCCATTTTTATGTGTGTTATTTTAGGTTATTTACTATAACTCGAAAATAAGTATTTGATATGTGAATACTCATAAGCATGGCACACTGTCTTATGAGACTTTGGCTTATTTTACGTTTTTTACTATAACTCAAAAAGTAGTGGAACGATTTTGTTGAAATTTTATATGTGCCTACTTAGAAGCATGTTACACTTTCTCATGACAATTTAGTTAGTGGGCGGCCATTTTGAAAAATGGCAGTCATTTTTATGTGTATGATTTTTGCTATATTATATGTTTTGTACTACTCTGTTTAAATACAGGTTAATAAATGAATAATAATAATAATAACTGAAAAGTAGTGGAGGGAATTTGTAAAAAGGGCATTCATAGCTGTTTAATGGGATTTGCTATGCTTTGGCATTTCTGTTTTCTAGTTTCAATAGCAGAAAATGGAGCAAGCAACTTGAAATACAGTTTACATCATCAAGTATTCACCTAATTGCAAGAACAGTGATAAGCCTTTATTTAATCATGCTCATAAAGCAAATTTTACAATTAACCATAAAATGTTTATTAACATCAATACTCCATAAAATGATATTGTACAGCTTGCAAAGTAAAAATAACATATACTTGATATAAAGAGAATTATGTTTCATTTAATAAACATGCTTCAATTTTTCAAACAGACATGCTTCAACTTTTATTTAACAAGCATACTTATATAAAATAAAATTTTGACTAATTTTAGGATACTCTACATAGTCTGATTCCAAGTATTGTTAAACATACAACTGGCCGTAGGTCCATAGGGTGGGGCTATGACAGCTATAAGCCTGTGTGGTGGCCAGGTGAAATACCTTGGCAGAACATGAAGAATAAAAACATGAAACAGGTACAAGATTTATTTAAATCTATTCCATATATTCAATTTTTGGTAACCCAGTAACATAGGAATCAAAACATGACATATTAGGTCATTTTGGAGAAAACCAATGAATCAGCTACGACTGATTCTCTTGTGAAGTTTAGGTGACTAGGATTTAGTTGTGTAGTACTCTCTATTTTTTTGGTTTGTTCGAAATAGAATAAATGATAATGGCAAAGGGGGGTTTCCATCATTTTAAACTCAGTCTCACATTTTCTGGTATTTCACTTTAATCTTGATTTCATCACTGAAAATGTATAGTTTCATTGTCGTTCATTTATTTTATTGATTTCCAAGTTGTAACCATAGGAACTAAGGTGTAAGTGAGGTACACAAAACTACAGTGTGTTCATAAATACTCTTTACACTTTACACAGATTGTATTTAAATTGTAGAGACTTTATGGACGCCCTGTATATTTAGTGTACATCAGCAAATATTACTAGAGCTATATAAAAGGGTCATAAAGGTTTGAAAGTCTAATACATGTAATTGCCTTTGATTTTTGACTTTGTGGTAGATGTTTTGTATTTTTATCTTATTTATTTATTGTGCCTTTTGTTGTATGTAACCAATAAATTCATACTTTGTGACTCCTAGACATAAGGTAGGTCATCTGTACAAAGGATGTGAATAGATTAGCAAATTTTAAGTAAAAAGTACAGTTATGTTTTCGAAATGTAAATATTTAGCTGAAGGGAGATTCCTGGTAGAATGTTCCTGTCTCATAACATTTAAAGCACAAGGACATAATGCTATGGTGTAAAATTAATTAGCTTAACCCATATCATTATTTCCAGCATCGCATGACCTCACTTCTGAAAAAGATAATTAGAAGCTGTTATACTTTCTATGGACAAGAGGATCTGTTGGAACCACAGGGTAAAACTGATAAAAATCAGAATGTTTGCAATCCATTGACTCTGCCTGATGACTCTAGAAACAAAGATGCTAGTGATGTGATGTGGATGCCAGCCACTAGCTTGGAGAAGCCTTTGGTGGTCTTAACTGACAAAGTTAATATGTTGGGCCAAGGATCGGACCAGGCTTCTCCTAAGGTATGGTATTTTAAGTTATGGTATTTTAGGTTATCCTAATATATGGCATTTAGGTCATCCTAAGGTATGGTATTTTAGATTATTCTGAGGTATCTTATTTTGGGTTACTCTAAGGTGTCATCCTAATGTATGGGACTTCAGGTTACCCCAAGATATGGTATTTTAGGTTTTTCTAAGCTATGGTATTTTAGGTTATCTAGTATATGTAAACTTGATGATTTGGTCAGTGAATCTGATTTTTACTACAGAAATGCTATTACCTAGCACATCTAGGAAAGTGATATTAAAACTGGACGAGTAGATTTTAAATCCTTGCAAAGCACTCAGGAATATAATATTACAGTTTTTATTGAAATTACTCGCATGAAAGGCAATTAAAAGTTCACCTCAGAAAGTAAAAGATGATCATTTACCAACCATAAATACAATAATTAAAAAGATTGATTTGACAGATCCAATGTGTGTAAGTACATGTATCTTCACTTGTCCTTTAATATATCAACATGTTTTCATTTTCAGATGGTAAATAAGTACCCTAATCTTGGGTCTTTACTCTCAAGTGGGATGAAGTCCGATATTTACAACCCAAAGTCAGATATTTACAACACTAATGGTGAGTTATAGATAAAAAGAAAAAAACTCTGGGTTAAAATTAAAAAAAGACAAAATCAGCAAAAAACCATGAAGCAATACCTAATACATTTACTTTTTTACTGATCATCTACGAAAGTAAGTATAAAAATACACACATACATGTACATGTATACATGTACTGGTACATGGCCCAAAAAGATGACCTTAGGCTTTAAGATAATTATTTTTACTAGTATCCCAGTTCTTGCAATTCCATTAGTCTTTTTCAAGAGTTTGATTTTTACCTTAAAAGAGAGCTTCATCTATGGTTAGTAAAAACTACTAGCCTATAGGCTTTAGCATTAGGGAAGTAATGTTAACGTTAATTAGTTATTAGTTATTGATAAAGTGCATTGTTGACACTTCATGCTGTATTTGTTTCACCTCATTAGATCCAATTATAAACTATAAACTTAGTTGTTAATTATGAAAATGTGTGATAGTACAATTGAGGACATTGCTGAATAAATAGAGTTATCCCAACAAAAGTTAATATTTCCAATGATCATAGTTTGTTGGGGATATAGTGTAGCCCCCTGTCCATCTGTCTGTCCGGAAAATAACTCAAATACTAGTGGTCAGATTTTCATTATATATAGTGGAAAGGTACAAATTTGTTTTATATGATGGCTATATTATACTGAAGTGTTATATAATGACATTTTTCAATTATGAATAATTTGTTTGCTAAGATTTGCTACTTCATGGAGTTGCCATTTTCTAGTTGTCCAATGTGTCAACTTACAGTTGGGTTTGGGAATCGGGCTTGGGAATCGGGCTTGATTTAAAAAAAGTATTTATTTTGATTTTCCTTATTAGGAGATTCAAAATTTGAGGTCATATATTTGCCATAAATCATAAAATCGAGGTCTTTGTTAAGATTCTAATATGATAAATAGACAGGATTAGATGAACAACTTGCAATTATGAATTTTAGCAGTCATACATACTCCAATATAGACCAGTAAATCAATTGTTCTAGCAATTGTGACGTCACATGTCTATGTCAATAATCTGCAAAAGGTTAATAAGGCCATATTAAAGCAGATATATGATTTAACAGTGATAGAATTTAAATACTAGTAGAATATAATTTAAAACAATAACATTTAAAAATAGATCTATGGTTTACAACTCATTTAAAATTGTAATTAAACTTCCTGGTTGGCCCATGTACCCCCCTAGGATTATGTTGGGATACCCTGGGACGACTGTCAGGCTACTGCATTGACATCGCTCCTCTTTACCAGTAGTGCAGGCTTGTTGCTGTGCACATATCATATTAGAATTACAAATATGTTTCCCTTGATAGTTTTCATTATTATTTGTTCCAGTGCTCTCTGCAACAGTGCCCTCCACAAGTAGGCAGATAGTTGAGGTGTTTGTCTGCTTCTTCTGCGAGACAGAGTTCCACTCCAGATGTGATCTCACTGAGCACCAGAGTCTGTGTGAGTTCAGACCCCCTGAGCTACAATCTTGTATGAATCTGACCACCCCACCCCGCCCTTCACTCTACCGAGGCCTCCCCACCCCTCCACAACTGAGTCCCAAGAGACCCACAATGATAAAGCAAGCAACCAAGCTGGATTATATCCAACAGTTAGCCCTGGTGCCCGTTGATAAAGCTCAAAGGATACGAATGGATACACCAAAGAGAAAAATTCTTTGTGAGAATCTTGATTTCACAGACATGAAAATGTCCACACCTTTGCAGAATGATTCACCAACATCGCCATTGTCGCCAAAAACTCCACGATCATTGATGTCGCAGTTAAGTCGTGACATGACTTATACGCCAATCACCCAGAGGGGAAGTGACGCAGGGAGTGATTATAGTTACTCAGACAATGGTGAAGAAGGTACAGAAACTGGGGGTATCTTAAAGCCCCATAATTTGCTTTCCATAGATATAACTTCGCAATTGGGGCAGCGTATCAAGAAACATGTTCGTGTCCAGGAGGTACATAGTTATACAAAAAACAACCCAGAAGTTTGCTGTCATACACCCAAAAGGAATGTAGTATATCAGAAGCTAAGACATAGAGATAGCAATTTTCCTATCACTTACAAAAAAACTCGGAAAAATGACTGCAGATATAACCGAGAGTATAAGTTTACAAGGGCCCAGAAAAGAGAATTCATGAAAAGAGTAGAAAGTGGAGGACTTAATAAAGCAAGCAGACAATTAAAACGGAAAATGAAGAAATGTTCAGTGCGTGTCAGTAAAATGACTAAGAAGCAAGTAGAAAGGATTGTTCTTGCTCTTAAGCAAATGCGTGGTAGAATACCCATTACATCATCTCGCAATATTCGATGGTTAGCAGAACATTCGCTGGTCGATTTTCCACGAGGCCCTGCCCTCATGCAACAAGACATCACAAAGCTGTTGGGACTCAGTACAATAAACAGTCCATACAAATTGGAATCTACAAAGCAGCGGGCAGTTCTTTATAGAAGTTTACTCAATGATTTCAATAGAAATGCATCTCCTTCATCAAGCGATGAAAGCCTCGTTGGTAAAAAGCCTGCTGATGTAATCGTCATAGGTGATGAACCCCATACCAATAAGTTTGGTAACCCTGGATTAAAACCTGAGTTGATGAGACGCATGAATAGTTACACTATGTCAACTTTATCAAGCAGGAGGGCACATTCTAAATGCCCGGTGCATAGAATACCCCCCAACCCTAACCATGATAACAGCATTGATGTAATCTCTTTATCATCTGATGAGAGTGATACTGAAACACCCGTACCATGTAAAACTACAGATAATACTGAAACTTCAGGTAAAGTTGTGTCCCATTCGAGTAGGACAAGCTCCACTTCGAATCAGAAGTTTGAAGAAACACCCAAGTTAACCCCAAGTGACATCGCTAACTCCACGGCTATTTCTGGCAAAATGCTTCACCATCGTGTGCTTTCTGATAAAGACTTTGATACAAATAAAAACATATTTGATATAATGAGCCCTGGCATGGCTAGATCTCCTATGAAATCAAGTGAGAAAGTACAGCACTATTTGAAAGAGCAGACATCAAGCTCTACTCCTCCTCCACCAGGCATTAGCAAACGACCACAGCGACAGAGCTCTATGTTCAGAATGGTTGATGATGAAGTGTCAATCAAGTCTGAGCCGTCATCTCAGGTGAAATCATCTCAAGATGCAGTTGACAAAACATCCCCTGACTCCAACGATAACGAGAAATCAGAAACTGAGTCTCTTGTGAGAAAAACGCGAACATCAGCTAGGATATCGAAAAAACGCGCCAGGAAGGAAATAAGTGATGAAAAAGCAAGCGATGGGAGGTCTAGTTTATCAAAGAAGAGCAAGCAGGAACATTCTGAGTCTCCTTCGTGTGCTAAGAAGCAATCTGAGCTTGAATCTGCACAATCTTCACCCATTGAATCTACTGATGACAAAGATCTCAAAAAGCCATATTTTTTCCACTGCACTATGTGTAATGATCAGATCATTTATGCTAAGAATGGTAGGGCCCATATACGGGATCACTTAAATGCCCACCATGCAACAGAACAAATTGCCATGGTAGAACCCCATACAGGAATTAAACAAAGCTTTCAGTATGTTAAAGCTGTGGCTATTTGTTCGCCAATTGATAATAAAAAGCTGAAGATTAACATGGTGAAAGTTAAACAAACAGCCAGAAAAAGCTGTTCATCTCCAACCCCAACCAGCATTAGTTCCCCAACTAAATCTTCAACATGTACCTTGGGGACGAGGCAACAAAACTCCCCTATGAATAAATCCCTTCGCCTCCTGGCCCCGAATTCTTCGCCCAAAACCCCACCACACTCAACTAAGCAGGTGGACAAGTCACCAATTCTGAAGTCAAGCCATGTAAATGTTAAGCCATTGAACCGGAACTTATTTCCACCATCCAAACCAGGGTCTCCCGATATGAAATGCCCGGTGCATGATCATGTGACTACAGGCGTAGGACAGATGCATTACAATGGGAATAATTACTCAAAAATGCCAATGAATCTACAGGTGCTACAAAATGGAGGTCGGATGCGGAAAAGTTCATTGGGTAGCTGTGGTACCTCAAGCAACAACAGTGTCAGTGTAAGAACTAAAGATAGTGATGTCATCATTCTGGATTAAATGATGCTATTTAGGTGTCATCTATCTTATGTTTTCATCTTTTTTGTTAATGAGTGGGTAAATGGATTGTTCAAAATTTAATTCAAAATATTTAAAATGACTTAACTAAACAGGGGGTGCTAAAAAATGAGGACAAATTTACCATAAAGTCCAAAGAAACTGTGATCATTGTCTCTTAGGCCTTTCACTGAAGATGCGTTACTTGACCATGATTTTAGTAGATAAACTGAAGCATCTTGGACTGGTACATGGAATGGAGGTAGGGGGTAAATCAGTGCACCAGGATGGTGGCTTATATAAGGTGTAGAGGGTAGGGAGTAACTCAGTAAAAAGCATTGTGGTAAATAGACGTGAACAGAGGGTAGTGCTGCCGTGCAGTGTAATTGCAATCAAGTTACTAGAATTGATGTATCTTGTGTACTGAACATAATTCTGGAGACATCATGTCAAGTAATATTAATCACCAAGATTTTAGTTACAAGGCAGTGATTAAACAAAGAATATTCATAGTAGTTGTTTATTAAGCTAACTTCTTTAATGACAGCAAATGTTTCAGAAAATTTTTCTTTCAACTTTCTGTATAACATTTTCTTGTAATATATGGCTTTCTCAACTCTTTTTCCATTTAAAAGTCATTTTATTATAAGGTATTTATTTGAAAGGCATGACATTTTCATTACTATGAGCTGTTGAGCTGCAGTATGGTGTAGGCTATACAGTGCAGAAATGGGAACTACGCAAACTTAAGATATTTAAACGGTACAGTTTTATGTATACATATATGAAAGAACCGCACGATAGAGCCTTTAAAAATCTCTTTCTGTGGCTTTAGTGTCAATTTATCTTCACTTCAGATTCTTGTGTGTAAAAATAATTTGCATTTTGAAGATCTGAATTATTTTTGATCAAAATGATCTGTTGCTTTTGAAAATTATACTGGTTGGCCCAAAAGTAGGTTAACAGTTATTCTTTCTGTAAACTGTAAACCAACTTTTTGGCCACCCTGTATAATCGGGTAAAGAATGTTTGTTACATGTACATGGCACATTTACTTATTAGATCTCATAAATATAGAGAGAAATCTCCCTGTTTTTAGGGACTTACATTGTATTATACATGCACATAAAGGGTGCTCAATAAGTACTGATAAAAATTCTGTAACTTAAGATATTTCTATATTTCTGGCTCATATTTCTACTCCACATTATTGAGTGTAGCACTATGAGAATTATCCTTCTAGTATGCACCAACAAGAAAGTGGGTTAAGGGGATTAAGTAAAAATTAAGATAAATCAGAAATATAAAGAAACAAAAATCATTCATGCCAGTTCTTATTGAACACCCTGTACAAAGGTTTTAGAAAAACTGCTATTGTGGACATTTTGGGAGCTAGACAGACACGTTAGTCCCAGTCTCACAAATGTAATTGATTACATATCTGCATCTGGTGAGTAGGATCTGCTGAGAAGCCTCTGGTGCATCTACATTCTGTAAATCAAATGCATTGTAGTTCTACACAATCAAATGATGACCAATCCCATGACTTACATTGAAATGTAACACTTAGATAAATCACTGTACACACTGTACTTTATATCTAGTTAATTCTCTCAAAATCATGTAGCAATTTTCAAACATGCCAAAATGTTATTAGTCATATATGCAATGCACTGTACATATATTGTATTCTATGGTACACAGGAGTTTGTGCAATATCATTTTCTGGTTTCAGGTCACATTTTATCACACTGTAAATTACATACCATGATGTGATCTTTTAGTATGTGTAATTTTATCATACTGTCGGTCTTCTCAAAATATTGTAGCCAATATGACATTTTATAGCATCCTTCGGCGGCTATATTGTTATCAGTTATTGTATTATGATACAAAATACTATGGAACTACACTGTATAACTATCTTGGAAGACAATTGAATTTTTGGATCATAATTCATGATATATTTAGGCCCCAGAACAATTTTTTAGTGGACTGGCTTTCAAAAAATGTATAACAGCCTTAGAGACATTTTAGTTTATCAAATGCACTTTACTCAGGCCCGGTTTAATTTGAATATCAAGCGTTTCAGTGACAATTTTTCCTAGTCATAAAGCACAACAATAATATTAATACATCTATTGAAAAGCCAAAGCTACTATGTATGTAGGTTCAAATTTCCGAACACTTTCCAATTTTCCTTTTCTGAAAGATAACACTAAATACTGAAATACAGAAAATCAATTCTGAATACCTTGATTATGCCAAAATAATGTTCTTCCATTAAAATACATGTACTTAGTTTTAACACGAATGGTATAAGAACATGAATCATGATTCATTGTTGTTCTACTACATGGTTGCAATATCTGTTTTGTTTTGTTCTTTTGTTCAATAGGAAATATTTAACCTTTATTTTAAAAAGTGTTTTACGATATTTTGAGCACATGTTTAAGTGTTCTTTCACAAATCATTGTATTTGTAGTTAATTCATGTAACTTGTAAATATGTAAGTTAAATGTAAATATGTATATACATCAAGTATTTAAAACCAAAAATAAACATAATAAAATTTATTTAAGCATAAACATGTTTTCAGTTTTATTATGTCACCACTAGTAGTGTTGCCATATTGTTCACTGGCATGTAGCGATTATAGCGATACTGGATACTTTACTGAATTGTGTCGAAGTTAGACGTGTGGTGCGGAAGTTAATATGCAGATGACCATCATTTCAATGTTATATTGTTTGTAGGCAAATTGAGATTAGGCCATTGGAGTATTTGTTTCACGCATACATAAAGCATAACGCATTCAAGGGTCACATTTATCATTAAACCAATAACTCAAACATATGACCTTGTACACCGACCACCTCTTAAAATCAATGCAGGCCGATTTCAACGAATGCAAACGGTGATATATAAAAGAAACATAATCAAGCATGACCACGTCCCAACTTCTTTTGTCTTCTTTACAACTAAGCTATGACTGCAGTCTATTCAGTGTTGCGTATCGAACCTTGTTTATTATAAAAATAGTGCAACAACAATCAGAATTCACACATTTACCTTATACTTATTCTCAACTGAAGACATTGAATTTATCTCTTAGGTTTTACATTATAAATATCTTAACATGCAGAATACGAAAATAGAGGCTTAGGCTTAACTTTGTATGGATTTTATGAAAATAATCTGATTTTAGAGAAATGAAAAGAAAAATGTCCACACCCTACACAGAAGATTTATGGTTCCCCGGGAATACGTATGTGTTGCTTGTATATTAGAATCGTATTCCAGTTACAGAAAGAAGTACATATCATGCTAAACTATATATATATATATTTATCGTCTATTATCCTTTGACAAGTAGAGTAGAGAATAAAAATTAAAAATTTGAAAAATTCAAAAAAGGAAATAAGATTATTTTTTTAGAAAACTACTTGGTATATGATAAAGCAGATATGTGAGGTCGGTTTGGATATGGGGTTTATCCCTCGTGAGATATGCACGTCTACCTTCGGTCCCTCTGGTCCATCAGGTAGATATAGAGATTATCCTATATGAGGTTCAGGATATTAGGATTACCCCGAGGCAAATATACTATATCTGTCCGAGGGCCGCAGGTCCCGAGGGAAAATATATTTTATTCCATAATGCTACTGTTTTCCCAGGGAAATATGAAGGAATTAAAATCGTATTGAATCGTATTACATGAAAAAATCGTATTGTCCCCGGGAAAAATCGTATTGGAGCGTATTACATGAAAAAATCGTATTGTCCCCGTGAAAAATTGTATTGGAGCGTATTGACCTATTTTTTAGTTTCCCGGTTATTTTATTTATTTATTTTATTTTTCAAACAATGTGCATTTATTAATATAACGTTTGCATTATCCAAATGTAACATTCTAGAGGGATGTATTAATGAATAAATAGGTTATTTCTGGTCAGGATTGAATATGGGTTTTATTCCTCTGAAAATATGATATTGACCTTGGGCAATATGATATTGACACTCGGTCGCTGCGCTCTCGGTCAATATTACATTACCCTTCAGTCAATATCATATTGTCCCTCGGAATAAAACCCATATTCAATCCCTCCCAGTAAATAACCTATATGTATTCCATACCTGATGAGGTTTCAGGGGCATATCAACTGCATCTTGATTCACAAGGTTTCGATTGTTCCTACCTCACCCAGTGGAAAGCGACGATGTATCAACTGGGAATATATTCCATATCCGGCAAATATTTTTCGTATGTCCCGCTCCGACGGATCTCCGGGACATATAAATCGTATGTCCCGCTCAAAAAAAATTATGCCAAAAAAAGGTGAAAAAAATTTTGGAAAAAATGTGGGGAAAAAATTTGAAAAAAAAATTGGGAAAAAAAATTTGAAAAAAAATTTTGGAAATTTTCTTTTTCATTTTTGAAAAAAATTGAAAACAAATTAGGAAAAATTTTGAATTTTTTTTGAAAATGATAACATATTTTGTGAGTAACACACCAGAGCATATGGGATACATACTTATTATTTCAAACCTCATCAAGTATGGAATACAACAGTTATGCACGGCCGGTTTGAAAACAGGAAATATCCCTTGGGATATACGATACATCTTCCCTTGGTCCCTTCGGTCCCTCGGAAAGATATATTGTATATCCCTCGGATATTCCCTGTATCCAAAAACATCCCAGTGCATAACCCTTATATATAGGCTCGTTCATGCAGATGTCATATTCATTCTTGGATAAAAATCATATCTCTCATAAATCATAGGATATCCTCTATATCCCATAGTTGCAATGATATAGATCGAATATCACATGATGATATATTTGATATGTGGACCAAGATATCATATTTTAGCAAACAATTTACAAACCATCGAATATCACTTTTAAACTATCGAATATCACGTCTTAAAAAGTGATATTCGATGGTTTGAAAAGTGATATTCGATGGTTTCGAATTTTTTCAAAAAATGAATTTTGAATATTTGATGACGTAAATCATTGATCAAGATAATTTCTACTCGCATCTTGTCTATTCCACAGGTTTGGGAAAAGTGTACAGGAAAATCTCCATCGAATGTATTCTCGTGTGCATTACAATATCCACATTGAAACATTTTTGGCCTGCAATGGACGTATAATGGATTAGAATATGAGGCCTTATCATTCAAATGTAAAGTCATGGTATTGGGTTGCAAGTTAATATCAGATTCAATGCAAATTAATCATCTAATATCAGATGCGCGATCAGTCCAATAATGTAATTTCAGGTCATCAGTTCGATATCTAGCAGTTGTTCTAACGACACGGTATTACTAGGCTATCATGTTATAAATACACACACATATAAATAAATCAAACTGGTACACGATATAAGCACGACTGCTCTTTCAATTGAGTATAAATGTTGATAAACTTACCCGGAAGCCAACACATACACGTTTAGACGATGCTATTTTCAGTTCATTGTAAGAGTAAATGCCCGGATATCGAAGCTTTTTCGTGTAAAGTTTTAACCAAGCATGTAGAATCGGGTTATATTGCGTGTAGAATTTATCGATATCAGGGCCGCTACATGCCAGTGATTGTTATAGCTTCAACTTTTTTCTGATCATTCTGATCAGTTCGGTGGTTGGTGTTCGGCATCTGTAACAAATGACAAGTTGTGACAGCGTAGGAAATCCCATCAACTCCCTCCAACACTTTTTCAGTTTTAGCAAAAATAATAAATAACAAAATGACGCCATCTTTCATAATAAGCCAAAATGTCATAAGACGAAAAAAATGGTCCACCACTTTTACAGTAAAAATTGTAAAATAGTTGTTTTCCAAGTTTTAAATGTAATGTAAAAAAGTTATATAGGGCATTAATAAAGCTAGAAATGTAGATATATGAAGATGATGAAGCAGTGAAACATTTGGGGAGATATTCTTTGAGAATATGTGTTAGTATGCACTGAGACATAATTCTGGGACATACAATTTGTCACAAAAATGTAAGATCAGGACAGACTTTTCAGTCATTAAATATGACGTCTATCTCCAGCTTTTATAAATTAAAGAAATCTTGTTAATGTTAGAACAATATGGCAGCCACATAGTTCAATAAACTTGATATATAGTAATATCAAACATTCAATTTATTTTCCAATTAATTTTTGACTCAATATTGCTGAATAAAAAGCAAGTTTGATTTGAATACATAATTCATGGCCTCAGTTTTGTTTAATTTTTTTCTTATCAATCCATTCAAAAGTATCGCACCTGGCCTCAGGATTAGATTTATGACCTTCTGGCCGAGCGCAACAATAGAATTGACGGCCTTTATTCAGCGAGTCTTTTTTTACTGTTCTTAAAACACATTTCTCTTTGTGACCTTTACACAAAGGAGCAGGTGGTGGCCCTCTGAATAAAGCCTTCCATGAGGCTTGGGCTGCAACAGGGATCTCACTGGGCATGCTTTGAGCATTATTTTGTGCAACAGTCTTTTCATGGCACTGTAAGGAAGTAACAGTTTTTTCCTGACACTGTATATCACATGAGCTAATCTTAGTTTCACTAGTTTTAGCATCTACAGAGATAGCTTTTGATTTGGTTAACACTTGAGTATCTTGACATTTTCCCTGAGATGTCTTTGATGTACTATTTTTACCAAAAAATGCCATCAAGGAGCTTTGTTTCTGGACCGGTTTACTTGGATTTGGTTTAAATTTCTTTGAACTGGGCTGTGAGCTATCAGTTTTGCCTGAGGCATGTCTTTTAATAGAAGCAGTTTGATTGTTTTTAGCAGGTTTTTCTTCACTGGACCATGTATCATTGGAATATTGGCATCCAGTGTCTGAGCATTGGCTTCCAGAGCTATATGACTGACTTCCATAGGCACTATCAACATGCACACTCTCTTCTGTCTCAATTTCCTCTGGCACTGATTCTCCAGGCATATTTCTAGATTTGATTCTAAAAAATGATGACAATTTGCTTTGGCGCCCAGCAAACTCAGGGTACCAGGCTGTGCAAAATGGTGGACATTTTTCTTGGGATATAATATCACAATTAAAGGTGGCGCTCACTGGACAATGATCAGAGCCCTCTACATGTGGCATGATAACACAATCCGATAAACAATCCACAAAGTTCACATCTGAGAAAATATAATCAATCCTTGTTCCATAGTTTGTTTTTCGTGCTCCAGTGGATGTATTCCAACATGTGAATGCCTCCTTTGTATCAGGATGGCATTTTCTATATGTGTCAACAAATTTCCCTCCAGGTGCATGCATAGCATCAGTTCCAATGTGATTCTCATTGTCGGATGTATCTCTGGTTGGAAATTGTAAAGAATCTTTTTCTTGAGATTCTTTGGAATTTTGTAGAAAATTGTCCATCCAAATTCTGCCAGGTTGTTTCGTGAAATCCTGAAGAATGTAAAATACAATTTATTATTACAGTACTTGCACTTTTATTATCAATCAAGGGGTTCTCTCACAAGTCACATTCTTTTCACTTAAAAGTATGATTCATTTGGTTAACTGCGAGAACTGAAGTTAACAAAACAGAAAGCAAGACCAAATTATTTTTGAGGTACTTTTTAAATAACCAGTGTCCAGATTCTAAATGCAAAACAAGCTAAGTAATACTACCTCCACATTGTTTATAGACCTCGCATCAAAATGTTCAATGTTCAAAATATTCAACAACATGACAAGGTGGGAGGATAAATTAGTTATTAGTACTAACAAAAAGTTCTAAAAAGCAGGCCCAATGTCCTCATTTTCTTAGAACTCAAATTGATTGAATGTCAACAAGTACATTCATGTGGGATAGCAGAGAATCCATTTTCAATAGTAAGAATAGGGGTTCTTAAACAGGACATTAAAGCTCAATGAAGGCCTTCTTGATATTTTTGGTTAGTACTATAAAGAAGAGTAAACTTACAGGGTCCTTGGGATCACAATGGTCAATTGGTTTGTGAGAGGTGTTTACATCCCCCAGTACTATCACATGGCTGTAAGACATAAAAATAACAAATTAATGCAATAGCCCAAAATGTTACAATCCAAACAAAATGTTCTTGTTTTGGTTGCCTGCAATAACTAAAAAACATGAAAGATGATAAATAACTCTAGAGTTAAAATAAATAACGTTTCACTCACCATCCTGACTGGATCAGTGCTTCAGCCCTGGCCTGAAGAAGGTCATAGAACCGTAGCTTGTACACCAGTCTCTCTGGCTTCTCAGGGTCTGCCCTGGGACAGTACACATTTATCACCACTAGGTGGCTCTCATTGTTGCCCCTGCCACTACAATATATTAAATATGAATAAAAATGGGAATTGTGATTATAATCTAAAATTTTAACAATTCGATGAGAAAGGAATGTTTTTGTAAAAATCGAAAATTATGTTAACTTATGGGTTGGGTTTATGATATGTGTATTGATTAAACTAAATGCTCACAGATGAGAACAAATATTCCATATTTCTTTTAAATACAAAGTGATCGTAGAGAATGTCTAGCAATGATCTAATAAAACAAATATTTCATTCTAATTTGGACAATACCTGTTGCACTTTCAATCATTTTTGCAGCATGTATTTCCGTCGGCCTACAAGCTACGGGCAATACATACTGCAAAAATCATTCAAAGATGAACAGGTATTGTCCGAATATAGAATGGAATATTTGCTTTGTACTTCTCTCTTAGTGAAGAGGAGAGACATATTAAGGGTTTCCGAAAAAACTCACCTTATTTTGAATTTAGTTATTACAGTCCTTCCTTCATTGTCTAATGACTGAAGCTCTTCATCTGTAAACATAGAGTGGTCACCATAGCAACCAACATTTTGTTGAGAATCATGGGAATCGAGTACCCCACTCAGACCCTCCTCTGCCGCTACTGGGGTACACTGGTCACGACAGAATGTTGCAACTCCTAAAACATTTATTGTTCTTTAAAAATCTTCAATATTATACTGTATATATATTATATAAGATTTAATACATATATTTGATTAAAAACATCATTCTTGTTTCGTATGACAATCAGAAGAAGAATGTAGACAGGTGAAGCTAGTACAATTAGTTAAACAATCTACTTTAACTTCTGTGGTTCGATTGTGGTTCGATACCATAAATCACTGTGAACATTAATCATGTTAAACTATGCTATACCTGAGTAGCCACTCCTTGCTTTCGAGAAGCTGAAATACGAGTTGTACCCCTCTACAATGGCACTAGGCTCATCCAACTGGTCCCCTATAAAAAATAAAAAATGGTACATAAATATATGAACGGGTAAATATTTGATTTTCATAACATTATCTTGTTTGACCAAGTTTTACAATATAACTTAGGTCATTAATGGATCTAATGCATGTAGACACTTGATAATTATATTTTTTATTTATCTGGGCTAAAATTGTCAAGGAAATTGGAAAAATACTGTAGTCTGATCATTTATTGGTGATATACTGAGTGTGAGTCTATGCAAAAGATTTTCTTTTAGTCTGTGGTTTGTAATAATATTGGGATTACTGAATGAACTGATGGCCCTTGATTGGATAAGCAGAGATGATAGGTTGCAGAGAATGAGATGACGGTGACTAAATACTGAGATGATGATATTATTTTTCCGTAGGGGTGCCAGTTAGGTCTTGTCAGGGTCATGTGTACTGAGATGACAGGTGGGTGACACTCACGTTTTGGTATTTTCAGGAAAAGTATTCAGTTGATGGCAGAATAGTTCATCTTGTACTTGAAGTTGAAGCTGTCAAGGACACACCATAGATGGGAATCCCAATGGTCCGAATTCTAATGATCCGAATCTCAAACGTCCGTATCCTTATGGTCCGAATTTCAATCATCCAAATCCTGATCATATGAATCCCATTGGTCCGAATCCCAATCTTCCAAACTTAATGATCCGAAAATTAACAAATGTCGATTTCTGAGGGACCACAGGAAAATATTATGATAGAACATGTAGAAAGACTTTGCATAACGTTTTAACTCAAGGTATCCAAAATATGCTTAAAGTTTTAGCAAATGAGTTAAATTTCTGTTGAACCCAACTCAGAAATAAAGCTTGATGTTGACTTAATGTGCCAGTGACATATACAAAGTGTAAAGCAATAAACGTAATATCATCAATAAACACTGGTGCCGAAATTGATTTTATTCAATATAATCACAGATCAATGTGATATTTCATTCCATCATTATCATGATACAATAATTTACAGATTACTACATCCACATTCACATATTTCTCCATCTTTATTTTGATATTAGAATAAATGTAACCAGGCGAGATTCAGACAATTTGGATTCGGACAAATGGGATTCGGACAATTGGGATTCGGACAAATGGGATTTGGAAAATTGGGATTTGGACGAATGGAATTTACACTACTGGGATTCCGACGAATGGGATTTGGACTATCCGGATTCGGACAAATGGGATTTGGATGATTGGAATTTGGCTGTTTGGGATTCGGACAAATTGGATTCGGACTAATGAATCAGATTCATACAACTGGAAACCGGACAATGCCAAATGGGATTCGGACAATAGGGATTCAGACGATCAGGATTCGGACGACCAGGATTCGTACGAATAGGATTCGGACGAATAGAATTCGGAGCATAGTGATTCGAACCATTGGGATTCCGACCAATGGAGCGACCCCAACCCCCGTCTCCAACCTGTCAAGGGTGGGCGATAATAGGGTGAATTTCAAGAATTCTAATTTTACTAACTTGTTACTTTTGTTTCCTGTAGACAAATAATGTCTGCCTCAAGAGAATCGAAAAGAGACTTCAGTGGTACCTTGGAAGCTCTTATTCCATTGATGTTCCATGTCAAAATCCTCATTTTCCATTACAATTTTGAAAAGGTAATATTTTTGTAATTTTTCCAAACTTTTCTATTACCTAAAATTTGATTGGTCAAATTGTGAATTTTTACTAAAATTAACCAATCAAATTGCGTTTAACAAATTCAAAAGACTTTCCCGGCATGTGCAGCCATTTTTGAAAAAAGTTGTGTTTGTATATTTGTGCAGCTAAAATAGTCGAATTCACAATGACTTCGTTTGTGTCAGATCCATCTAGCTTAACAAAGGATAAGTTGAGGAAAGAGTTGATTAAGAGCAACATAGATTTACCCCCAAGCGACGCTAAAAAGGATGTCTACGTGGAGTTATATCGTCAACACATGATTTCCAATCCAAAACGAACAGATCTTGGATTTTCCAGCGACGAAGAGGATGACAGTCCAGTGAAATCTCAGGTTTGTTTGGAGATTACTGCATATCTTTTACCAGAAAATCATTTGCTAGATTATCAATCTTGCAGCGTATATTGTTGTTGTTCTTCTTCTTGTGTCCATTTCACGGTTATTACAGCGCATGCTGTATCGCGGACTCGCAGTGCAAATATTTTTGAAACAAATGCGTGATATATACACATATTTTGGACCAAATTTGGACATCATGGGCATTGGTGACATTAACGGCAATTGCGTGGAAAGACCACGGTCGCTTTTTTCGCCGTTCAGTATTTTACCTTATAGGCATTTTATAAAAAAAGATTTTTAAAATATCAACAAAATGAGTGATTTGCGTGATATTTGATCATACACGCTAAATTGATGCGTGATTTCTATTTTTTCCAGCAAATGCGTGACAATCACGCCTAATGCTAGTCCAACAACATTAGACCTAGCCTGGGCCTCGTTTCTTATCTGACATGTCTTATGGCCCGGCTAGGTCTAACCTCCATGATCATTTTGCCCTTGATGCGTTAATTTTATCGTTCCGCAGGTTTCGACAAGCGGAACTAATTAAACCCTGAAACCATGGTAATATTACACAAAGATTGTGATTCAAGCATGCATACATACCTTATGAATATATACACACCATCCCGTATCCTCCTTAGACCTTATTGATGCATAATTACGGAAATATTGGAGACAGGTTTGGAAAATGACGAAAATGTCGGTCAGTTTGGTAACATCGAAATTGCAAATCGTATCAGAAATTAACCGTCATCGCGGCACTGCATTTACAAACAGTAGGTTTGCAATTAATAACTATTTTGCGTGTATACACACGCTATATAAATCAATCAAAGATACCTGTTATCCTCAAAATTTATCTTTTTATGCCGAGTAATCGTGATAATAATTTCCAATCTATTTGACAACAATTTCGTTTCGCTAGTAGTTTAATTTTACGATCCGGGACACTCGGACGAACAGACACAATGACGGACATGCGGAAATGTCATTTTAGAGATTGGTAAGTGTAGCCTCATTTTACTAGTATAAATGAACATTTAACACATTAATATTGTGTTAAAACGCTTGATGTTATGTGTTTTTATATCACTGTCAAGTATCAATTGCATGTTATCGCAGCAAAATGGTTTCGATAGATCCAGAACTTGCATCAAAGGATAGAATAGTAAAGAGGTTAAACTCAATAACGGCCCCAAGAAAATTCCTAATAGTAAAGAACGCCGTTATTGAGTTTAACGACGTTGAACTAGCCTAATGCGTGACAATCACGCCTAATGCGTGAGGGTTGACAGGGATGCATTGACCTCTTCTTCAGCCTGTTGTTCCAGCTCTGATTTTTCAAGTGTAACACCTGCCTAAAGTGTAGTCTTATGCCCTCCTTGGGTGACAAAATGAATTTTCATATAATCAGTCTCATCTTGCAGAGGCGTACACTTTAGAGTCGATGTGACCTCAAAAGTCCACCATTTCTTTTCCAAATGGATTTGCAAAAGCTGCCAAAGCAGGCATCTGCATGACTAGATTAAAGATGTCATAGGCCTTGGAACATCTATAATAAAAAAGATTGAATCGAATACATCAAGTAAAGAGATCTCATGTTCCCAGGCCTATGGTTGAAGACTGCCCCCCCCCCTTATCTACTTGTTATCACTTGATGGAATTGTGTAAAGGGGAATGGCTCACAAGGACTTGTAGCTAGACTAAATAATACAAAAATCTGAAAACTTGACAAGTTCTACTTAATAGAATTATTTATTGTATTTTATTCATCAAGTAAGCAAGAGCAATATGCAATGTAAAAGTACTCACTTTTTTTTCTTTTTTCATACTAGATTACTTAAAGTAGAAAAGTTTTATAACAAATATGGTAAAAGTTATTTCATTCTTGCTATTGCAATTTAATGTCGGACCTTATCATGAACAAATATAACATTTTGACACTCTATTGGTTCCAATCAGATAGTTCTAATTGTAATTTGTACACAGCCAATTTTCACTTCACATATTCTGTAAAGAATGGCTATTCGTAAAGAATCATTGTAGAAATTCATAAAGAATATTTTGCGATTTACATGAATCAAAAGTGTGCACTTTTTACAAACAAAATGAATGTATCAAGATATCTTAGGCTTAATCTTCAAAATTTCAAATACTTTTTCAGTAGGAAATGAAATGAATTGTTACATATTGAATGTTAAATCTGTACAAGAACTGTAAAAGTACTTATTCTTTTCAATACATATATTTATATGTATTTATAAATTTTCAAACATTTATATGTTTCTTATTTATGTTTCAAGAAATATTTTTATCAAACTAACTTACCTTACTATAAAGTAAAAGTACCTCGTCAAAGATTTACTGTTTTTATATTGCAGTAATTTTGCAGTTTCAGCTTAAATCAGACCATGTGCTTTCTCTTTCATCAAAACATCCCAGCCTCAAAATTAACATAACATGATTTATTCCTTTGGGCAAAGGTCACAGTGGCTTTTTATCGGCATTCTGAAGTGTATTTTTAGATATGACTTGAACGACATAGCTGTTCTAGCCTACTAGGTTAATTTATGCTAGATCAAATACGCATTTTGATACAACACTGAATATTCTTCATAGTTGGTTTCTATGTTATTTACTTGTTGATTTTTAAGGATATTTAAATAAAATAAAAGGCAATGTAAGTAGACTTTAATGTAAAGTTTTATATGAGTATGAAATAGGAATATTTGCATTGTGTTTTTGCCTATATAGCTTATGTTAAGGTTATTTCTAAAGGTATATCAGACATTTCCTTTCTGAGTCATATGAAAAGATTCAAAAAAGAAAACAAATTGAGAGAATTAATAGCAGGAATGATACTGTAGTAGCTTCTGGCATATAATAAAAAAAACATAGACTGTATTATTGAATTATAATGTGAACTGCTACAGTAGTCTTTCACATCTCGGAACATTATACATAGTGCTAACAGGAATATATAGTGTGTTTGGAAAGAGGAAGGCAGATCTTGTGGTGTTTACTCCTTGCATTTGTTCGACTTTGCTGAAAAGAGAGCTTCGTATGCAGTAGTTTGTAACTAGACTCTGCGCGCAGGGTGTGTGGTGTTTGAACTGTGGTCTGTGGTGTTTGAACTGACATGTGAGAAGTTCTGAAACAAACATTCTACTACGTACATATATATTTTTGTATCATCCCAGGTTTTTACTTGTATATTTCAGAGGAAAGCTAAGTCAACCACCATGAATACCACGGAGAGGATTACTCAGGAAGTGGAGAATCTCACTGACAGTGAACTGGCTGCTCAACTACGAGAACTTGGGGCTGATGTTGGACCCATTGTTGGTAAGTAGTTGATATCTGGTCATGGTGAGGGGTAGATTCAGAAGATTGCTTGGTCAATTTTGTTCTTATACGAATCTGATCAGGATTGTAAGTGTTAAAGCCTAGAATGTTTGAATTGCAGTGGTAAAATCTGAATCACATGAAAATATTTGAATTATGTACAATTTTGAAAGAATAAAATTTTTGCAAAATCAATATTGGCTCTTAATTTTAGAGATTTATGTGTTTGGTTATTTGTATAGAATTTTACAATATTTAATCTTTCTTCGAATGTTTTGCTAGAGATGTTCTAATTCTTCTCTACATTTAGGTCAAACTGTATTGAAGAAATATTAAATCAGATTGATCAACATGAAACAGTTTGGTATTTTTCTGCTTTGAAAAGGATAATTCATTTTCAATCTCTGATTCAAGCAAGAAAGATAATGCACAAATCCCCAATTGAAAAGGTTTATAACTGCATTATTATAATTTCATAGAGCTTTTCATTGAACTTATTTCAACCATGAACTTCCTCAATTTAATCATGATCATGACTCTGCTGCAAATATTTATTGACCGAATATGGTAGTATTGCTTCAAGACTATGGACCCCCCTCCAAAAATTTCAAAATGGCCAACACTTTAAAGATGGTGGGTTTTTTCGTAAAATTTTGATTTTTCACTTGAAACCAAAATGATAAATATTTTTGTTTGAAATTTTGCTAGTATATTCAGAACGTCTATCTATTCCACATATATTCTGTGTTTCTCACCCTAACCCCCAGTGGCCATGTATGAGGGGGGGGGGGGGGGTTAGGGAAAACAGGAATTTTTGTATAGAATGTGTAAAATAGTATATGAGTTTTTTCTGAAGGATTTAAATCAAATGAACGGCAATTTAGAGTAGATTGCAAATATTGTATCATTTTTCTGATTCGGGCAGTTGGCAACTCTCTATTGTCAATATCTGGTAATTATCCCATCGAACGAAGTTCGGAGGGATATAGGGAATGCCTCCGTCCGTCCGTCCGTACGTACGTACGTACGTACGTCCGTCCGTCCGTCCGTCCGGGCAATAACTCAAATACCGTTGGACCGATTTTGTTCATATTTTGTACACATATACCCTATGGGGGTAGAAGTTCTGCTCAAAAGCCGATTTTCAAAATGGCCGCTCATTTCAAAATGGCGGCCATTTTAGTGACGATTTTACAGTAATTTAGGTGCAATATGTAAATCTGTAATAGCAATATGTTTTAAATGTAAAAAAATTATAAAGGACATTAATAATGCTACAAATGTAGATATTAAAGAAGCACATGGCAGCCATCTTGAAAAATGGCGGCCTTTACTCGTCATTTTACGATTTTGGCTGTAACTCAAAAAATAGTGGAGCGATTTTGTTCATATTTGGTATGTGAATACTATAAGCATTGCACACTGTCTAAAGACACTTTTGGTAGAAGGCGGCCATTTTGAAAAATGGCCGCCATTTTAACGCCTTTTACTATAACTCGAAAAGTAGTGGAGCGATTTTGTTCATATTTGGTATGTGAATACTATAAGCATGGCACACTGTCCTATGACACTTTTGGTAGAAGGCGGCCATTTTGAAAAAAATTTTGGAAAATGGCCACTATTTTAACATATTTTACTATAACTCGAAAAGTAGTGGAGCGATTGTGTTCATATTTGGTATGTGAATACTATAAGCATGGCACACTGTCTATTTCTGATGACGCTTTTGGTAGAAGGTGGCCATTTTGAAAAATGGCCGCCATTTTAACATATTTTACTATAACTCGAAAAGTAGTGGAGCGATTTTGTTCATATTTGATATGTGAATACTTTAAGCATGGCACATTGTCTAATAAAACTTTGGGGAGTAGTCAGCCATTTTGAAAAATGGCCACCATTTTTATGTGTGTTATTTTACAAGTATGTGTGTGATTTCTTAAAAGCTTCTTAAAAGCATATTATTTCTTCTGATGACAACTTGGCTAGTGAGCAACCATTTTGAAAATGGTGGCCTCTCTGGTGTGTTGTTTTATGATATTTGCACTTCGTTTGTAAAAATGCCAGCCATTTCTGTTCGATGGGATTCGCTACGCTTTAGCGTTGCCGTTGTTCTGGTTGGAACTATGTATATATTATTCTGCGTATGGATAAAATTCAACCTATCTACCTACTTTTTAACCAAACATAGGACTTCATACTATAGTTTCAGTTTATTCATTGCCAACTTTTCTTTGTAAATTGTTCAGGTTTATGACCCTTTTCAAAAGTGTGCCAGTAATAATACATATATTTGTTCTACACTGATTTTATGTGACAATGTTACATAACAGATTTCTGACCAGACAATGAAATTTTATTTTTCTTGGCAAGATATTTTGTTAATCTGGACAAGTGAATATGGTGAATTATGGCCTGCATTTACTCTATTATTAGTGTATCATACAGTACTGAGTACAGACAATTCTGTATCACTTTGACATTTAGATGAAACAAAAGCAAACCAAGGATCTTGCCAGAGTTCCCAAAATTGAAAATATTAAATTTTGTTTTGTAAGTCATGGATTGTAATTTGTTTGATATATACACATCTCGGACATTTCTTGCTCTTGCAGTATGTTTAAAGTTATTTTGTTTAGTTTGCTCTTATCTGAGTCCCTGAGATAGAACTATTTTGTGCCATAAATTATCTTCCAATGTGGCCTCCCTCTAAATCTACAGTATAAATATCACCATGGTGACACAGTATACTACCCAGGATCTTTTCTCAAGTACATCTAGGTGCAAAATTCTCATTTTCACAATTAAGTCAAAATATGCCCATGATATGTGTATTTTTCTCATTTTGAAGTGGGTGCAAATGAAATCTCTGCTGAGGTGGGTGCAAGCCTGTTTTAAAATCTCAGGTGGGTGCTGCCGCTGCTGCGCCTACTTACTGCTTTAATGCTGGGGAGATCACTATGACATATTGTTATAGTCTCCAACTCTTTGTGGACAGTCTTTGGTAATCAATGTTTAGGGATGTTCGGAGTTGTACCAAATAGCAGGTGTTGACATTTTGCATGTTAATACCTTGTAAGTGTTGTTTGCCTCAATTGCAAAGAAAAACCACAATAACTTGCACCTCTCAGTTAGACTCCAATTGAATTTTATGTTTGTGTATTTGTAGAGACCACTAGGAGACTGTACCAGAAAAAGCTGTCAAATCTGTTGCTACGAGGCGCTGGGGAGGCGGTAACCAATGGTCATACTCAAGAGGAAGAAGAGGAAGAATACAGCGACAGTGATACAGGTCAGTGTTTTATATTATTTGATATGTGGTGATTCAGCATTGAAGCAAGTAAGCCCTCTACCCATCTGAGCTTTTGAAAATAGGATTGCACCCATTTGAAATCCCATTGTACCCAACCAATGAGAAAATCATGAAAAAGACGAGACCTCTCATGAACTGCATTCTCTAATCCGAGACTTGTTTCATCTTACTTAAAAAATCCTGTTGAGGACACTGATATTACTTATTGAGGTATTTGCATATTTGTCTTCAGATGTTGCCCTTTATACCCCATGACCTCACATATGGGAGAAATGTAGAAAATCTTCAATGTTTACTCTTTTAGATTAGAGTATTGCACTAATTGTATTAAAATAAAAATTGTCACAACATAAATGTATCATATTAATGTGTATATTATTAAATATATGGGTTATTATATTCATTATATTTATATACAGTAGATATGTAACTATGTGTTCTTCTATGTTTTTGCAGATGATGTAGTTCCAATTCCTGTTGTTGAGGAAAAGTAAGTTATTTTTTCTCATTAATACATTCTATGGTGTTAATTAGTAATTTACACACAGTGCATAGTAGAATGTATTGGCTCACCTGGATATGACAATGTCTAATAAACATTAGAGTTGGAGTTTTGCATTATAGTAAAACCTGTATAAGTGGAACACTTTTTAGAGATATCAAGGTTGTTCCACTTCCACAATTTCTCGGTTTTTGGGCGTAAAACCTTTTCACATACCTATAGTAAAATCTGTCTCATAATAACGGCCACTGAGACCAAAAGTGTTTGGATGGATTGGCAGGTGATCACATTTTGAAACTTTAACACGGAAATCTCTGGCAGAATAAAAAAATGAAATAAGAAATGGGGCTGAGAAAAAGTGTTCATATTGAGAGGTGTTCAGATTAGAAAGGTGTTCAGATTAGAGTGGTGTTCAGATTAGAAAGGTGTTTGGATAATGCTGTTTCGCTGTATATGATAATGTTACTTTAATGTTTCAATGTGCAGAAGCTATGATAATAAAGAGGGAGATAGAGGTCTAGAGGTTCATTAAATCAGATAGGACAAAACATTGACCTACCAGACTCATATCCACTTATACATTATACAGTGCATCCCAAAAAAACGCAACAAGCAAAAACATTGTAAAACACAAAACCAGTGATGATTAATTTAATTTAATTTACCATGAAGCTATGTGTCTCCTCTTTCCAATGGTATGTCATTTGTTCATATCTGATAATGGACCACTGAATAATCAATGTTTTTTCACGTATGGGTGCAAAGGCCTTTGTGCCAAGTTTTGAAATATCCTCGTTCAACTGACCTATTGTGCAATCAGGTAAATCATTATGTAATTTGGACTGGGGATTAAATTCTGGTCACAAGAGTCACATAACACAAGTTTCAGATTTAGATTCACTAAGAAAAAAGATTTAACTTTAGCGTTCATCAGTATCCTTGATGGTTCAGCTAATGTTACAAACATGGAAAAAGAAGTGGAAGAAGAGTACATTCCACCCCTTCATATTACCACCATTTCTCTACACACACAGATTGGCTCGTCTCTCTATGTCACGAATACCTCTTTGAATCATCTGTGTATATATATATATATATTACTGGTTTTACAGTTTGTTTCCCAGTCATGATTTGCCAACTCATGCTTATGAATTCACCTGGTGAAAATTATGGTTGAAACTTGAGATGACTCTATTTGAACTGAATTTGACCTCATACATAAACTAAGGATATTTTGGCATAACATTGCTGCGTAAAGATTACAATTTATGGACTTATGTCAATTTTTTTGTGTGGCATTGTGTTTATGTAGAAACTTATACCATGAATAATAAATATAAATAATTTTTCTGAATCTTATTCCTTATTAATTTTTATTTCTCTTTTTATGTTAATTTCAAAGCATTACTACAGTAACCATAAACACGTAAAGGATTTTATTCAGATTTTTTAATAATTTTTGAAGAAATCTAATCTCTTGTTTTGACAATGTGTTTTTCAGACAAGAAGTACGAAAACGTCCTGTTGCCCCTGTTCAACAAGCAACGAGAGAGTCTCCACGGAGACCGAGACCCCCAGTGTCATATAGGGAGTCACCTAGGAAGCTACGATCAGAATTCAAGACGTGAGTTATATAACCATTTCACTGGCATTACATATTTTTGTGGATGGGGTTCAGTGCTTGATGTTTAGCATTCAGCATCTGTAACAAATGGGAGGTGGTGACATTTTGCATATTAATGCCTTGTTAAACATTGAAGTCTGTGGCAAATTAAAATAATTAAATTAAAATTAAAATAACCATTCACATTGAGAGTTGTTTTGATATACAGGTTTTACTGTACATGTACTGGTATATGTGAAAATATACCAGATGGATTTTTGTTTCACATATTGTAAAATTATTCACCCATACTTTAAATGAAAGGCTTAAAGATACATTGTGATAGTGATCTTCCTAGAACCAAAGCAGCTAAACTATTTTCTGGTAATGCACTCAGGCTACACCTTTGTGCATTATGTGTATGGGTTAGTACATACACACATGCTTTTATATTTCCAATATCCAGTAAAACCTGAGTTAGTGAACACATCTCTCTAGTGAACACCTATTGACAGTGAACGTTTTTATTCGGCAAAATCTTTTTCTCCCATTGACTCCCATGTTAAAGTGCAATCCTATAGTGGACACCTACCAACTATGAACAGTGAACACTAAACCCTGGCAAAATCAATTGAATTATCCTGTCTCTAGTGAACATTGAATCAGATATAAGATTTCTTGCGGATTTTCTGCAACTGCCTTATCAGAGTTAAGCAGTTTATGTTTGTATTACCTGCCAAAAATAATTAAAAGGTCAATTTGAGATCTTGATCTCTTCTATTGAAACAGGTGTGACTAATTATAATTCTTAATAAGCTTTGTTTTTGTTACAAAGGATATGCGTCTGGGATTGAATGCTTGGAGATAATCTGGCTAACTATTATTACCTCTATCTGCTAAGTCCCAACTTAATCTTTTTTCTCATCCCGTCAGTTTAAAAAAACGATTGGATCAAAATTATAATTCATGATCATTTCACCATTAACTGCATCTATCATGTCCTTAAACTAATTCAGTAAAGTCCTTTAACTGACTCAAATGTCTCAAAAATTCCACTATTTAAAGGACCATCTTGATGAGATAAAAAAAATTATATAGAGATAAAAATTTGACAATAAAAGGATGAACCATTCAGATGACAGTCAGTCTAAAATAATTTAGTTTGTATATAGCATTTCAACAAATTAAATACTTAACGCTTGAGTGTCATGGGTTAATATGGGTAGAAAATACAATTTAAATTTATTATTCAAATATGAATATGTTTTAATTCTTTTTAAGACTCATTTTAGTTTGATAAAATGTGCTGTTTTAACCAACATGGAATTGTGGATATTTTTCGATTACATGCACTTTAATGTAAGAGTGCCACTGTTAAAAAAGTGTATATCTAAATGAATAAATAATTAATAAATAAATATTCCCTCCTCTCTTTTAATAGCTGGTCTCTTTATATAATATGGCAAAATGCCGCGAAATCAAATCATTGCTGTAGTGAACACTTACCAACAGTGAACATTTTTTCTTGGCAAAAAATTGTTCACTATACGCAGGTTTTACTGTAGAATGATACATGATTTTTAGTTCTTAATTAAAGTTCCGCAGATCTTTCTCATTTATCTTATTTTCAATGACATCTTAGCATTTACATTGATAACAATTATTCGACACTTGACTAGGCCTATATTTCCTAAACTAGACTTCTTGCCAGATTTTAAAGTTGTGTGCCAATATTTGAACATATATATTGATAATGCTCATCTTTAATTTAAATGTTTCTGGCACTAGTTTAGATGCAGAACATAAAGACCTTCCTGTACTAGGTCTGACTACAATTTATGGTTCATACTTACTTGAGCCATCCAATGGTATTTATTTCCATTTTCAAGGCCATACAGAGACAAGAGGAACTTGTGTGGCTATTTAAAAATTTTAGCAACTTTTTGGGTCATTTTGCCACATTTCTGTTATAATTTATAATTTAACAAATTACAAAAGTTATTGTCTCTAAAATGAAATCTGCTGATTTAATCATGAAAATTTGTGTCCAAAGTGAATGATCGGGCCACTGATTGCTAATGACTTATTAGTAAAATACAGAAAATCTCATGGTGCCAGGGAAAGTATGTTTTACTTAGCAATGGGTTTGTAAAATCCAGGTTTTCCTTAGCATAATATCACATGGAAATACATTTGACTTGAATCATTGAAAAGCTTATATTTTTAACAATGAAGTCAAATATTGAATTTGTGAATGCAAAGTGTTTATTTTTTCTCTTAATAATGAAGATTTGCAACAATTTATTACCTCAACAGGGCAGCTTACCAGGTCCAGTTGAAGTATTAAGGTTATATTTCATAATATTTATTTGTTCCCATTTCATCAAATTCATAATATTTATTTGTTCACATTTCATCAAATGGAAATATTATGTTAAGAATTTAGCATGTTAGCATATTTCTGATTATGTAAGCACACAGCATACTTCTGTATGTTTAATGTGTATTATGTTTTCTCAAATACTATTACTACTATATGTGCATTAGTCTACATGCCCTACATATGTATATGAAAATCCTGGATAGAAACATGTAAGTGTATAGACCAGTTATACTACTATAGATAACCCAGTCTCCCTTGAATTAGATCAACCAGGTGCTCTACCCTATTGTAATGCACCCTATCAAACCTCACCCTATTGAAATTCTGTTTGCACCCTATCAAATCTCACCAACATTGACATTTTGTTTTCACCCTATCAAATCTCACCACATTGACATTTTGTTTGCACTCTGTCAAACCTCACACTATTGAGATATTTCAACATAGATATGGAAAAATTAACGAACGTCCAGGGGGTCAGAAAATTTTGAAGTTTGGTTGTATTTGGAGTGTATTTGCAACCATCTGGTACGCCAGTATGTACTGGATGCTATGCCTATGATAATGTTAAAAGAAAACAATTTTTTAAATACAATTTTTTGTTGTTTCAGTGAGTCTGTAGAAATGAAGCAGACGACAGTGACGAGCAATAATGTCACACGGACCAACAATACAACAGTTGGCGCTGACACCATCACGACACAAGTGAAAGAACAAGCTCCAAAAGAACAGAAACGTATACTGCCCATCTGGGTGCAAATTATGATCTTTTTAGGCCTTGCCTTCCTGGTATTCTTGGTCTTCCAGAATATGGAATCTGCCTGGACCAGCAACATACCTAAAACTTTATCACACAACCCAAAAGAAAACGTATGAGAGTCACATTGTTGCCTGCGACCCCTACAGGCTTTCCTTTCATAATCAAAAAGTATTGGAGTTTTCATTGAAGAATAGATCAGAAGACTTATGGATTGAACATATATTTTTGTGTGTAAGTGTAAAAACAAGGAAAAATGGAATAACACTCATAAATTATTTCCTATTTGTCATTGGATTGGATATTGCAAAGAAAACAGTCTTACCAAAGAAATGTTTGTCAAATTGTCACATAAATTGAAAAAGAAAGGTTGCTAAATATTGTTTATTTATCACAAGCTACATTTAATTTCCTAGGAGCCGAATCTTCAGTTGTTTTCATATGTAAAATGATTGACACAAAGGAGACAAAGTTTGACAAGGGAATGATGAGTGGATGGAGTGGATTCCAATTGAATTTGACATGTTTTACAAAAAATCATCATCTAAGAATGTTTCATCTGTAATATAATAAAAGAGAACATGTACAGTTCATATTATGTAGTTCTTGTACATACGATGTTCAATACATTTGCAAGTCATTGATGTACAGTATATATTAATATTACACATATAATGTACTTTAACATAACAACAATCACAAAAAATGAAGTCCTTATAGTTCAATGCTATTTAACCCCTTGGCTACCATTTTTGCAATTTTTATCACTCTGACTAAATATTGCTAATTGTTTACTGTAAATTGCTTAAATTTGGCGCTATTCAATTTGGTGGATAGGCCAAATTTTAATTTTGACTAAAAGATGAATATCGGAGGGCTAGCTAGGAAGTTATGTGGCCAGGTTACTCTTGGGTGATGTGGGGAGGCTTTAACTTAATATATGACACTATGAGCTTCAATGTAAAGAGTGGGGTTACAAATCAATATTGAACAAATTCTTAATGAGACTAACGGGCTATAAGATCTCGGGGATTTTTTCTAAAAATTGGTGGAGACTTTAAGTTTGGCATTTTTGATAATCCACCTAATTAGCCACCTATTTAAAATAGCCATCAAATTAGAGCAATCTACAGTATATTATCTTTAAGAATTTGATGTCACACTTTAACAATGATGTCATGTCATACTTTAACAATGATGTCACGTTTTAACAATGATGTCATGTCACATTTTAACAATGATGTCACACCTCAATGTGATAAAGGCCTAAATGTTTTTTGGATTGGTTTGAGGTTGCGTTGGATCTTCATTTAAGTAGTCTAGCTATAGGTAGATGGTATTGTAACTGGATATTTTGGTGGTTGTTTGAATGTGGTGAATTGAATTGAATATTGCCAAATTAACCATGTGTACAGTACAATAGATTAGGAATACATCTAGTATAATAATTCTGTTACTAGTCTTAAGTTGATATGTGTTCAGCATTCTGGAAGAATTTTGTACGTCACATCCCGGCGTCACATACATGAATATATCAAAATTTTGCATATCACATGGATGAATATATCAACATTTTCTACGTCACATGCATGATTATATCAAAATTTTGTATATCACATGGTTCTTCACTCTTCAGTTCATTAAGCTCAGTGCACAAGAATAGTATGAATAAACATAATATTGCACATTGTATATAAAAATTTATTCTAACAATAAAGTTATATTTGTAACAAAAAATAAATTTATTAGTTTATATTACTCAAACTCTGAGGGTGCATTTCCTGTTATCGTCATGAATATAGAATTCTTGAATCAGTAACCATGGCAACATAGAAGACAAACTATATCGGCTTAACTTTATGAAATGTTATACAACCCTAGTAATGCATATGATATATGTTTTGTCTAGAGAATCCCAAGAAATCAGGATGTCCTACAGGGGTTACCTGTTAAAACTATATAATCTTGGAATAATATGCTCTACACTACAATGGCAAGTCATCTACTCTATTGCATTCTATCACCAATTAAAATAAACAATTGCCCTTACTGTACATATTCATATATACAATACTGTATTACTAAATATCTATTATCCATATCATGTTTTAAGTGTGGAAAGTGTAAATGATAATAATATATATTTTTTGGGAATACATGTAATAGACAAAAATCATAACATATCAATTACAACTTGCACTATTATAAAATATCAAAATAAAAATGCAATAATATTTTAATAAACTCAAAAATCACATAGAAACATCATAAAACACATGTGTATGGCACAGTATATTTTTCATAAAAATATTTTAATAAAAATTTATATCTCATTAACAAGTGTATAAATTGGCTACATCTATTGAGTAATATGTACACATAATTGGGGATTATAATACACTGCAGATTGCACATAAAAAATATAACATGGTCTTGGTGAAACATTTCTTTTTATATATACATTATTTCTCATGATGTTTCTTGGTCTTAATTTAAATTCAAATAGCGATTGCAAAGGTTCACCAAATTCTGGAGATTAATTTGAATGATTTTGTTACGAAATGTATTAACAAAATGTATCTTGTAGTTAATTGGATATAGAATAAGCTGAAGATACAATTTTATCATCAAAAGCCTTTGACATATGACCTCAAATGATCCTATGACCTTGAAAATACTTTCAAAATAATCCCCATGGGTTTTTATTTGGAGGACAAATACACTGTTTTGATTTTCCAGCCAATAAGTATGAACATGTATGGAGACTACACTTTTCAGACATCTGGTCACATTTTAATGTTATTTCAAGTCTTCTATTCAATTATAATTTTATGAATATCTCACATTGTGTATTTGAACTGTAACCTAGCAACTGACATAATTCAATTCAATTATGATATACTAAAAATATTTGATCAAAATCATAAAATGAGATGTGCAATAGATGGATGTTGACAGAAAGTTAGAAACCACATGTTGACACACATAGACACTTATATATTTAATCTGTTTTATAATATAAAACATCTCTAATGAAATGATGTGATATTTAAGTTGCCATGGTGAATGAGATGCAGTGATAAGCAATGTCCATGTTTTCATCATATTCCCTTCATCTATACTCTTATTCATCTATCATTTTTTGTGTTAAGTACACCCCCTCCCTTTACTGCATTAATTATAGATGTGTATGTTGAGGTGGTGGAGGGTTATAATTGTTATATGAAACACTACTGTTTGTTTTTCTACTTATTACTGTTGGTTTGCTCCTTGAGAATCTCTTTCAACATCTGCTCACACATCAGTAGACTTCGAGGAATATGAAAGCAGCCTGAAAAATAGATTACATGGTTGCAGTTGGATGGTGTAATAGATGTACATGGTTGCAGTTGGATGGTGTAATAGATGTACATGGTTGCAGTTGGATGGTGTAATAGATGTACATGGTTGCAGTTGGATGGTGTAATAGATGTACATGGTTGCAGTTGGATGGTGTAATAGATGTACATGGTTGCAGTTGGATGGTGTAATAGATGTACATGGTTGCAGTTGGATGGTGTAATAGATGTACATGGTTGCAGTTGGATGGTGTAATAGATGTACATGGTTGCAGTTGGATGGTGTAATAGATGTACATGGTTGCAGTTGGATGGTGTAATAGATGTACATGGTTGCAGTTGGATGGTGTAATAGATGTACATGGTTGCAGTTGGATGGTGTAATAGATGTACATGGTTGCAGTTGGATGGTGTAATAGATGTACATGGTTGCAGTTGGATGGTGTAATAGATGTACATGGTTGCAGTTGGATGGTGTAATAGATGTACATAATTAGGGGGTTGGTTGATTGGATAGATGGGTTAATTACATCACACTTGAAAGCAAGAGGTCATGGCTTCAATTCCGAGTGCTTCTTGTCGATTCCGAGTGCTTCTTAAGAATGAGTAAGTACTAATGAAATGTGTAGACAGTTACTACGTGAACAGTGATGTTTAACTTGACAAAACACTAGCATTGGTTGGATATTGTTCTATGGTCCTCACTAGGTTAAAAATATCAATGCTACCCTAGTCATGGTTATATACAAGTGATACACGAGTTGACCATAAAACATGGGATAAATAGAGATTATCCTATATGAGGTTCAGGATATTGGGATTATCCCGAGGCCAATATAATATATTTGCCCGAGGGCCGCAGGTCCCGAGGGAAAATATATTATATTGGCCAAGGGATAATCCCAATATCCTGAACCGACTATAGGATAATATGTTTATCCCATACCAATCTTGGTCATCTGGTTCACATTGTTCAATCGTGGAAATATTTTAGAATATTCATGTCCAGTTTTGTTTTCTTGGCCGTGGGCGGGTTTTCCTGTTCCCTCAAATATTCCCACATTTATTTTCTCGAATTTTTGATTGATTAAGTGGATGCTCCTTCCCTTTTTTAAACCATCAAACAGATCCCGATTGTCTGTGTTTTCTCCATTGTCGTGTACAGTCATTACGCGAACGTTACAAATTATGAACAAATATGCGAACGGCGATTATGACGTAGCGGGCAGATATACTATATCTGCCCGCTTGGAGCGGGACGTATAGCTATATCTGCCCGCTGATGAAAATATAAGTTTTTACAAACCGGCTTTATGTACCTGTAACACGTCCAAGTATGGGATAAACATGTGTATCTCATACTTGAGTGGGTTTGGGGTAGATATCACCCGGGAATATATATCGTATCTGAGGAGTGGGCAGGATATATTGTATATGTCCCGCTCCAGGCCAAATGCGGGCAGATATAATATATCCCTCCCGCTCCCGGGAATTTTTCAAAAGTTTAAAAAAGTTTAAAAAACAAAAGTTTTAATTTTTTAATTTTAAAATTTAATTTTTTTAAGTTTAAATGTTACAATTTCATTGTATTGAACAAAAAGAATATTACGAAAATGTTAAATATAAATATCTTGTCATTTGAAAAAGGTGGAAAAGGTTATATCTACCCTAAACCCACTCAAGTATGAGATACACCAGTTATGCATGGTCGGTTTGGATACATGGAATATCCCTTGGGATATACAATACATCTTCCCTCGATCCCTTCGGTCCCTCGGGAAGATATATTGTATATCCCTCGGGATATTCCCAGTATCCAAAACCTCCCAGTACATAACCCCTATATACTAGCTTATATAGGTGGTAAACATAATACAATCAGGATATTATATATTATTATTCACATGAAATGAGTGGTCTACCAATCAACATGCGCCCTAGAATTTGTCACAGAAATATGTACTGTAACGACCCTTGGGCACGTCTGTCAGGGAGCTGTAGTGTACCGAGCCAGATACTAGACACGAAAGAGAGTGAGCTAAATTCAATGCCCCGTACGGAAATCGAACCAAGGACCTTCCGCTCTCAGAGTCAGACGCTCTACCCCTGAGCCAAAAAGGCTAGCCACTACAGCTGAGACTGTAGTAGTGACTTGCTATCGAAGGTCATTACAGTACCAACATCTTTGTTATGTTGACACATTATTCTGTAATAAGCAGATCACTTTGCGACATTTGTTATTATTTTGATAAAGCAAAGGTTGCAAACTATAGCCAGTGACCTATTCAACTGTATACTTTATATAGAAAAGTAATAATACAGAGTATAGCATATCAATGGTGGCAATAAGATTTGCTATTGCTTAACAAAGGACAGCTTCAAAGTCTGCTCATTAATAAAAAATAGATGACGCAATTTGTCTTCAGGTTTCAATATACTATAAAAAGTAGGTAACAGCAACGCCAAGAGTAGCAAATCCCACTGAACAGCAATGCGTGCAATATTTACAAAATCCCTCCACTATACTTTTTCAGTTATTGCAAAAATTGTAAAATAACGCACATAAAATAGCAATATTTTTTTAAAAGGCCACTCACAAGCCAAATCGTTCAAATAATAATATAATATTATGCTTCTAATCAAATTAGGCACAAATAAAATTTCAACAAAATTGAAACAGTCGATACTCATATTCCATATTTTTCCCCCCTCATATACCACATTTTCTGAGCATTGTATTCCATGTTTCAATTCTTATCCCTCATATTCTTTTCTATTATAGTGTTCCCCACCCTGCATTTTACATGTTTACCTTTCCATTGAGTTCCCTTGTGAGGCATACTGACATCACCATTGCGAGTACAGTAGCCATACCATTCCCCATATTTAGGATCCACGAACTGAAAGTACATAAAAATACATTGGAAATGTATATGGAGATTATCTTATGTGAGGTTCAGAATATTGGGATTATCTTGAGGCAGATATAATGCATTTGCCCAAAGGCTAAAAAGATATTTTAAAATTTTCCAATGGTGGGCAGATATGCAGGGCGTATCAAAAAACACAACAAACAGTTATCTCGTAAAACCACAAAACCAGCAATGACGATATCAATTTCATTCAATGTACCATAAAGCCACAATCCTCATATTTGCAATGGTATGTCATTCACACAAATGTGGTGGTCATGATTGGGTGAAAAATCATTCCTTTGCACAGTGGGTCAAAGTCGGCTCTGGACCAAGTTTCAAATATTGCAAAAGTCAATTCAAGGGCTAAGTGCTAATAGAAGTTCTCCTGACCAGAATTGTTGTGGCTTTTTCTTTTGAAGCTGTCTCAAGAGCAGAGTTTTAACCATTCCTCCACCAGATATGCAATACTTCGATAAAGAATTGCCAATGGGCTGCTTTTCTCCGCCTTAACCTACAGATGGCTCAGAGCTGAGCCATGAATGACATGGAGAGATGATCGTGTGTGTTAAGAAGTGGTTGCAATTTGGAGGGGTATAGGATGTATTCTTGTAAGAGTATGAACACTTTACTGTCTATGTCACACCTGCCACACCTTCAAATAGTCCCTATGCCCCATGCACTGAAATTTGCAATGTTTTAAACATGGTCCCGAGCTGATTTTGCCCCACTTTGCGAGAGCATTGATTATTTGGCCAACCGAGAATTCACTTAAATGAATGACATACTAATGCAAAGAAGAGAAATGTGGCTTTGTGGTACATTGAATGAAAAGGATGCAGATATCAATGGTTTCATGTTTTCTTCCAATAGCCAATGGCCCCATGCATTGACTTATGCGATGTTTATAACTTGGTCCAAGACTAATTTTGGCCCACTTTTCACAAGGAATGATTACTCGCCTAACCAAGACCCAATGTCAATAAATGACATACCATTGGAAAGAGGAGACACATGGCTTTATGGTACATTGAATGAAATTAATGCTGTTATCACTGGTTTTATGCTTTTCCAAGTTAACTATTTGTTGCGTTTTTTATACACACTGTATTTCATATCAAGCCAAACCTGCGAGTATAAATAACAATTTCAATAGAATGTAGTAAAATACAGTACAATTGTTATAAAGTACAATATAAATTATTTTAAATTATATGATTTACATTACCCATCAAGATATATATACTTGAACATAATCATAGTGACATAGTATACTGACGTAATTATAGTGACATTATTGTAACATAAATATACAGACTTAATTATAGTGACATAATATACTGATATTATCACAATGACAGTATGGTGGTATAAATAATGGTGTACTTAGGCACCAGTGTGACTAGATGTATTAATTATTTGGTCTAACAGATCTTTTTCATTTTTATGTATGGTGTAGCATTCTTTTCATATTTTAAATTTTTGTTTTATAAAATTATATTCCAATATATTTCTTTACAAATTCCAATTTAAAGCTTTGTACAAAATTTTAATGCCATTCTTACTCTTGGTTTACATCATCAACTTCAATTTGGTTTTTCTTTAATTTTCATTTTAAAAAGTTGACAAAATCATGTAAAATTACATTATAAAAACAATTATTTTGGTCTGAGAGCTTTAACACAAGATGCTTCTCTTCAATCTAAAACTCCTTTAAAAATGTTGTAAGCCACAGTGCAATTAAAAAGAGCTTTAAAGTTCAAATCATTCAAAGCTATAATTGATTGTCTTCATCATCAAAAATATTTGCTAAAGTGTCATTTACATATAATTTTGATTGTTGGATGGATACAAGTCCTTACAGTCTTTGAGAAATAAAATACCGAAGTAGTTCATTGAAGGGAGAAACCCACAGGCCACAGGTGGGTGCAAAATTCCCTTTTTCACAATTTAGACCATCAAAATATGCTACTTTTTCATAATTTTTCTCTTTTTCAAGTGGGTGCAAATGGATTTTCAGGTGGGTGCAAGCCTGTTTTTAAAATCTCAGGTGCATGCTGCGCCCACTTGCTTTAATGCTGGGGAGATCACTGAAAATGATGATGATGATATTATTAAAATAAGGATAATATAAGCTAAGTTCAAATTACATAGACCTCTCTTAACAAGTCAGGAACTCTTGGGTTTCAACCTCTAAATGAATACAAAGTAATTTACCATCAAGCAAAGGATTGGTATCGATATGGTGAATTATTTGAACACACGTTTCTCTTAAACCTGACCCTTAGGAAAAATGTTATGGGTAACCCATAGGTTTCACATAACTACCCATATTGTTACCCATAGCCCCAAAGTACCCATAACGTAAGGGCAATTGATGCCATATCCAACCTAAGTTTTTTGGTTATGACTTATAATGGGTAATAATAGGTAAATAATGGTTTTACGTTATGCCATTATGTATTGGTAAAGTGGAAGTTATGTGTAGGTTATTTGGAATTTATGTGTATGTTATGGGGACACATAATTTACCCATAACCTACACATGACTTGCACATTGCCAATACATAATGGCAATTATGAGTATAACATTGTTATAACATGTAAGTTTTAACCATAACTATTGGTTATATGTAACACTTTGGGTAACACTATGGGTTATGTACATATTAACCATAAATGACCTAATGAATTACCATTATTATGGATAACACTATGGGTAATACCCATAACATTTTTCCTGAGTCATCAAAAAATTCTAAAAATTTTACACATTTTAATGGTCATCTTTTGAATGGTAACAATATAATTTGAAAAAATATCTACTTTTCTCTATATCGTTTTAGAAAACACATCAGACACTTCCTTTGTTCTTGGCATCATATGTTTGGAATGAAATGAAACATCTTTCCAAACCTCATTAGAACAAAATGACATAAGCACAACGTGTTTAGGTCTCTCAATATTGTAATTGTACAAAGGAAATTTTGGTTGATTTTAAAAAAGTATCTTGTTAATGAAATAAAAGGTTTTTCTTAATATCTATCTATTTTTTTGGGGGGGGGGGGTTGTTTTAATTTTTTGAATACTTTTTGTTAAATCAACCAAAATTTCCTTTGTATTACTATATAATATTGAGAGGTCTAAGAAAATGCTGTATATGCTATTTTGTTCCAATAAGGTTCGGAAAGACATTTTATTTCATTCTCAAGAATTGGTAGAAAGGAACAAAAAACAATTGCACTAAAAACAAAAATGTTTACAAAAACAGTTATATAGTATAAATATGGTAGTACTATATAAATAATTTTTCGCATTAAATTGTTGTCAATCAGTCAACATTATATAAAGGACCGTGTTTTTACAGAATGTTTTCAATAAATGGTTTAAGAGAAAAACATTGTTGAATTCAGTTCACCATATTGATACCTATCCTTTATAATTCTTTCAAATGAACAACATAGTAACACACTTAATTGTTGTGCATTAGTCCCTGACAGTTTAAATAATAAACATCTCCCAATGTTAAAAATAACAATGACAAAGTCCAATCAGCCCTGTAAAACTCCACCCAAAGTCAACAACCTCGTCTCAAGGACTACTAAAATCATCCCAGCTAAAAGATAATATCTATTTAAGAATGCTTCCATGAACCTGTTATATGTTAATTAATTCATCCGCCATTAGTAATTACTACCTAATAGGCTAGGCTTGCATAACTCAAATGACACATATAATCAGCATCTTGCAGGTAGATTCTTTCCTTATCAGCACTCTACAGTGGATGGACAAGATCACCCCAGGAGTGAAAGAAATACATTTTGAAAAGTAAGTGAGTTTAACTTACCATACATAATTAATGTTTCATTCAATTTTATTACATCTTTTATAAAATTCAATCACAATGTGTATGCTTTTGTAGAAATGATGAATATAATAACTTTTATTAGAGGTTTTTCCAAAATCTGGTAGTTTTTGTGGGTGTTTTTTTTTAAAAAGGCAGGAGTTTCAACGGGAGATTTTTGAAAAAACTCTAGTTTTTATGGTCGATTTTGAAAAAACAGGGAATTTTTGTGGTCGATTATGAAAAAATGTTTTTTTACGGTAGATTTTGAAAAAACTGTAGATCTTAAAAAAAGGTAGTTTTCACATTAGATTGCAAAAAAGTGAGTGATTACTGTAGATTTTTGAAAAAAACAGTAATTTTTATGGTAGATTTTTGAAAATATGTGAGTTTTTGAGGTAGATTTAAAAGAACAAGTGTTTCTGTGGTAGATTTTTGAAAAATTCTGCATCCTGTTTATTTAAAGAGCACATTGTGCAAGTAATGGAAAATACAGGACAATTGAATTACTTTTGTAACTTTTGTAACTTGTAATTTTTGTAAGTTTGTGGCCTATTATCTCCTTGAGTTATTCATTTTGGATTTATTTTTCTGACCTATCCGGCAACTTGGTCAAAACGTAAAATTAAAAGGGATTTAAACAGGCCTTTGCTGAAAAAAGTTCTAGATTTTTGGACTAATATAAAAGTTCCAAATGAATGAAATTAAAATTGTCAAAAATTGGGATATTTCACCTTTGCTTTTGCTTTTGCAATTCTTTGGCAAAGGTAAAACTTTTAAATTCTAGCAAACAGGCCAAAATTAAAAAAATGGACAAAAATTAAGCAAATTTGGCAAAACTGAAGCAAATTTGGCAGGGATTAAGCAAATATGGAATTTTTTTCCCAAATTCACTGTTAGGTGGATCCAAAAAAATTTTGCCAAAAAAATTCGAACCCCCTCCTGTCAAATCCTGGCTACGCCACTGTATAGACCATATTAGGGTTTAGCAGCCCCGCCCCAAAGATTAGTCTAGTCTTTTGTGCAAGCTATATATCATTACAAATTGAAAATGTTTGATGCTAATTCAGGATGAGAATAAAAGCTATTGTCCCTTTAAACAGACTTCCAAAGAACTTAAAATGTTACACTAAAAACAAGGCATTAACATGACAAAATGTCACCACCTAGTTGCTAACAAATTTCTGAAAACTTGTACATGATTTTGAAAAAATAATGGTCAATTTGAAGCAAGTTGAAAAAAGACCTTTTTTGACCTTGAGAAGGTCATTGAAGGAGAAATCCCAAATCTAAAGTCAGATTTGAACTTGAAGATGATTTTGAAAAAAAAATTTGGTCAATTTGGACTATGTTGTAAAATGACCTTTTTGACCTTTTTTGACCTTGAGAAGGTCATTGAAGGTTTTTTTTTTTTTTTTTTTTAGTTTATTTATTTCAATTTCCTTGATATTGATACAAATACAAAAGTATGCCTTTGTTAACTTAATAACATTATCGGCATAGTGAATATTAAAAATATAACACAGGAAATACAAAATACAAAAACCACGTAGTATGTTCAGTCTATATGTATGCTTGCTCCCCATCCCACCAATAAGGTTCCCAAAGGAATTTAGAATGTTTCACTGGCTGTTTAAAACTGTGATTGCTGTTGAGACATAGTGAGCCACGATTTCAATAATTTTGCTATTCATCACATCACTAAGGTTGGTATCCCCATACAAAAGTGTATCTGATTTCTTAGAGATTGTTAAATTTCTGAAATCTGGCAGACATTCCAGTTCGTCGAGTCCTGCAAGAAGCAATTCCCTTTCATTTATGAGCAGTGGACATTTGATTAGAAAATGAGAAGTGGTTTGATGAGCTGCACCACATGGACATTTGGGATCATTAATTGTGGTAAAATTGTGGGCATGTAAATGGCTATTAAGCAAAAGTCCAGCTCTAAGTCTGTTGAAACTAATTTCTGTTTGTCTTGGCATAGTGAACTCCATTTTGGATGTGGGTAAGGATGCATGGCTCCTTTGCTTCCTGACTGATCTTTTGAATCTTGAGCTTGGCTGCCCAACTCGGATAGTTGGTGGAAGCCCATTCCAAGCTGAGATGGCACTAAAAATTGTAGATTTTTTGGTTGAGACACTAGTATGTAATGGAATCTGATAATCTGGCTGATCTCTCAGCCTTCTAGTGTGAACAATTTCATAAGTTCTCACCACATCACAGATGAAGGGAGGTAAAGCATTAAAGCGTGCCTTAAAAATAAAAATTTTTAAGTGCTCATCTCTTCTCGATGCCAGCTTTTTCCAATTTAGAGAAGAAAGTACCTTGTCAGTATTTGACCCATGAATAGCACCAGAGTGCAGACTTTCGAGAGCTTGGAGCTTAAGAGCTGATGCTTTATTGTAAATTATGTCACAGTAATCTAATTGGGGTATGAAGTAAGCATTGTAAATTGTTTCAAGATGTTTGCTTGATAACTTTTTACTAAGAGCCTTCAGTGGCCTCATTAAAATTGTCAATTTGTTAATCAGTTGGTCAATGTGGGCATTAAAGTTTAAGTGTTTATCTAACACTATTCCTAAGTGCTTATGGGTATCTGTCATTGGTATTTGCTCATTTCCTAAGGTTAATGATGGTTGAGCTGCTAATTGGGTTCTTAGACCATAAAAGGTTAGATCAGCACTTTTTTGGGCTTTAAATTGCATGCGCCAAGTGGTTGCCCAATGATTAAGATTGTTCAGATCTTGTTGCAGGGGTTGATTTAAATTCAATAGCATGTCAGAGTTTCTGTCATAGGCATCATAAAGTGACGTATCATCAGCAAAAATAAAAGCTTTGGAGTTTAAGTTATCAGGTAAATCGTTAATATATATTAAAAAAAAAGGTCAACTCTTTTTTGACCTTGAGCTGGTCGTTGAAGGTCAAATCTCAAATCTACAGTCAAATTTGAACTTTTGAGAACCTTTGAGAAAAAAAATTGGTCAATTTGAACCAAGTTTAAAAACCTTTTTGACCTTTTCTAACCTTTGAGACCTTGAGAAGGTCATTGAAGGTCAAATCTTAAATCTAAAGTCAGATCATCAGCCGATTGCCAACTGCCAACCGCTACCCGCCGATCGCCGTCACAAAAAATGGAGGCCAAAACAATGTCAACACTTTTTGGTGGTGACATAATATCACCAAGTAGATTAAAATGGTATTCTGAAAAAATCATAGGATGTTCTTATTATCCAACACTTAATCTACTTAATGAATAAAAAATGTACAGAAGCGGTGTATGTCGCCACAACATCCTCCGTATATTGGTTTTCCCAGGCAATATCCTCCACATATTGCTTTTCCCAGGCAATATCCTCCACATACTGCTTTTCTGGAGTATATCTTGCAATTTCCTCCGGTTATTCATTTTTGCCAATATGTATCACATTTCTTTCGTTTAATGTTATTATACATTTAATACACTAAGATAAAAGTAGTTATTCACCAAGAGGGATGTGAATGAAGGTGTGTAGAAGAATATATACATAAATAAATTATGATGTAATATTAATAATAATTATATCTTTAAAAAGGAGGCTTCAATAATAAAAACTGGTGAAATATGATGCCATACTAGGCTTACGGACAACTCATCCCCCAGACAACTCATCCTAGGATAACTCATCCCCTTGAGAACTCATCCCTGGATAACTCATCCCATAGACAACTCATCCCCTGGACAACTCATCCCCTAGACAACTCATCCCCTGGACAACTCATCCCCTAGACAACTCATCTCCTAGACAACTCATCCCCTGGACAACTCATCCCCTGGACATCTCATCCCCTAGACAACTCATCCCCTGGACATCTCATCCCCTAGACAACTCATCCCCTGGACATCTCATTCCCTAGACACCTCATCCCCTGGACATATCATCCCCTAGACAACTCATCCCCTGGACATCTCATCCCCTAGACAACTCATCCCCTGGACATCTCATCCCCTAGACAACTCATCCCCTGGACATCTCATTCCCTAGACAACTCATCCCCTGGACATATCATCCCCTAGACAACTCATCCCCTGGACATCTCATCCCCTAGACAACTCATCCCCTGGACATCTCATCCCCTGGACAACTCATCCCCTGGACATCTCATCCCCTAGACATCTCATCCCCTGGACAACTCATCCTTTATCACATGAAGTGTTTTTGGGAAAATAAATATTTATCAAATACATTTTGAATCATTCTAAATATCATTTTTCACTTTATTGACACAAATAAAATGGTCAAAAAGTCAAACGGTGCAAGTAAAACTTTCATCTCTTGTCCTTATATTACATGACTCAATATTTCATGACTAAAAATAAAGTTTTCTCTCTGCATAATTTTGAAACATGAACTTCAGTAACTTCATCTGTGACTGCTGTGAAAAAATAATCTTTAGATTAAAGAATATTTGAACTATGAACAACGAACGTATAATGACATCAAAGGAGCTTCTTCAATCAATGTTAACATAATATTGAAATTGTACATTAAAAGTAAAATTAAAGGTAAATATTTACAATACAAATTACAGATTAATTGGTTGACTATCTCCTTGACAATACCATAGTAGTACCATGGTATATCATCATGTTTTTTAAACAACTTTCCAGATTTCCCCTCAAGAAAGTCTTTGTTCACTTGCACTCAGAGGACAACAGAATCGTCGCTTTAATACCCTACTATTTGTTTGCACACATGTACATTTTCTTAGACACATGATATTCTGCCTACAACTGGAGGAATAAGGAAAAAACAAAAATCGTACCTTTGAGGCTCTGACATTTTATTACCGAAACGGTCTGTTTACAACATTATCGAGTGGAGTACCAGTGTTCATGTGATATATGATTTTGAAACTTACTTGATAACCAAGACATTTAAAAATCATTTGAATAATATATGAATTAACAATGTTACATTAAATTACTCAAACATGCCAAAGGATGAGTTGTCCAGGGGATGAGTTGTTCAGGGGATGAGTTGCTTAGGGGATGAGTTGTCCAGGGAATGAGTTGTCTAAGGGAAGAGTTGTCCAGTTACCAGAACAACCCATGATTGCTTTCTCAAGAAAGGCCTCAGTTTAAACATAAAAATAAGTATATAAGATATCACTATTTATGTTTTCTAACAATTTCTACTTCCAGTTCTTCACAAGCTTCTTATATGATCCAAGATGACTTTTTGGAAAAGAAATGTTTTCCTTTCCTTCCTATTATTACTCTCTTTGATGAAGACACCACTGATATTCATAAACTGCAAAATTAACAATTCAAAGGTGAACATAAAGGTGAGGATAATACAGAATGAAACTGATTTCACAACACCAATCCCAGAAAAGAATCTTAAATTTGAGCAGAATGAAATAGTTGTAAATAAGAGCAGAAACAGAGAACCAAACGATTCAAATGAGAAGAATGCTACAACAACAAAGAAAACAATCGCTGAATTCACTGAAAGAGCAACAAATGAAAGCCTTAATGAAGGATATGGAAACGAAAGCAATTCTGACGAGAAAATTGAAATCAATCCAACGAGTGCACCAAATTCAGACATTAAGACCAATGAAGACACCAATAGCTGTGGACTAGTGAACATATCAATGTATCATGATTGTGTCGAAAACACATGTGAAGGGAAATGCGGAGAGACAAACAACTACACGACCCCTGACTGGTTCTGTTCTTGCGACCATGACTGTATCATATATAAAGACTGTTGTAGGGACTTTTTCGACATTTGCATAAATATCTCATCCCTGTCAACTGAAACTCCAACAGGAATTTCATCAGATGACACATTAACTTGTAAATACATATCAAATAGACAAAACATTTATATGAAGCAATCTTGTCAGCCTGGGTACACTAACTTGGATATAATGAATAAATGTTACAATTCAGATGGGATTCAAGGTATGATTCCAATGACTGATACAACATCCATGATAGTTTACGCAAATCATTTTTGTGCACTTTGTAACAATGCTACACATGTTGAGCCATGGAGAATGAATGTAGCTGTTCAAAGTCCCATGAGTCTCACATCAAGTCATGACGTCTACATGCCTGACATCATTTCCTATCTTCTTGATGTCAGCACAGCTATCAAAAGAAAGGTTGGTGTCTATGAATTACAATCAAGTCATAACATCTCTTTCAGACAATGCCTCCAGGTATCAAAAACAATATGTCATATTCAATGTATGGACACTACCGCAAAAACACTGTGTGAAACAGGAGAGTTTGATCCTCAGTATACCCGGGCAGGCATGGATTTGTTTGTTAGAAACAAACACTGTTTAAGATGTGAAGGTAGAAATAAATGCCTTGGAAACATCAAAAAAGATTCTCTTGAGATCAATCTTTCATTATTCTCCTACAATATTCTTGTAGACAGTGTTAGTAGTTCTGGTTTTGATATCAAATTAGAGGGAAATTTTGGAATTGGTGATCTGAACTCTGAAGTTAAATATTCCACCTCAGAGGCAACATTCCTGACATGTGGAAGACATTTTACATTCTTAAATGGTAAATGTACAATTCAGAAGCAACTAGTTTTTGTAGCATGTTTATTACCAATGAAATGCAACATCACCCAACATGATGTAATAGAAACAAGTGATTCTATAAAAGAAGAATTTGACATCATTGGTGTTATTTCAATCAGCAAAAAAAAATATGAGAATCTACCAATGCATCTTGCTGTCGGGTTTTGGGTTCCTGTGAATCATGATACAGAAACGTTAACAGAGTGGGCAAGTTTGTTTGATGTTAGGACGAATCTCATGGTGAAAAATCTATCTTTTGTTCAATTTAGTCAAAATCAGTATTGTTCATATGAGATCATGTATAGTTCTGATAGTCAGGCAACTGCAGAATTGACAACACATCAACCAAGTCATAATAACTCTGTTAGCTCAATGACTTTAAGAGGACTTGTATTTTATTTGTTATTCTTAACTCAGTTTTAAGAAGACTTGTATTTTACATTTTATTCTTCAGTTTGACTTTTACCTACAGATTTTATCCAATTTTAACTCAAGTTAAAAGTCTCGGAGAGTCCCTTGCTTTCAAAATAGGCCTTTCTCAAGTCCAAGGCATTGGTTTCAGGACCAGAAGGTATATTGATTATTTGTTATATCACTTGATGTATAGAGTTATGTTAGTTTTAATATTACAAAATAGTATTAATAAGTACATATTACTTACATGTTCCCAACAATAATCATACGTCTGTTGAAACTTATCCAGATATACAGTTTCTTTTGTTTCTTTGTATGCCATAAGGAGAGCGACCATGGCTTCACTGTGTGGCCACCACAGTTTCATATTCCATTCAAGGTGTGTAGAAGTCAATTCGGGATCCAGTAACTAACGAAATATAGGACCAAATGAATTATATACATTTATACATATGCCAAAAATGGAACATTCACAAGAGTATATAATGTCACGAAATTTAAAGAGTCATTCTTGTGATTATGGGATCAGAATACGATTTAGACAAATTCTAATTGATCAAACTACGAATTACAAGTCAATCCATGTACAATTTATGTAAATATTTCTATTAATGTGAAAGATGTTCTTTTTTCGAATCCTGGGAAGCCAATGTCAAAAAGGTGATATGTGACATCACAATCAGAATGGGTTAAAACTACTTATATAAATCAATATCATTTAAAATCCATAATCAAAAAGGCATCGAACCATATGGGTTTTACATAAGTAGCGAAGTGTTACTCTGGCCAATCAGAACAAAGTATAACACAAACACACTGAGTGTACACTCAAGTTACATAATGCATTACCATTTTAAATCCATAACTGGTTTTCTTCATGAAATCATGTTTTTTCCCTGGAAATTTTATTTTGTCAATAATGAACAATCGTAATAAGTTTTGAGTCTATTGGAATACGATTTCTACTTTCCAATATCCACTGATTCTATTTTAGTGAGAAAAAGTGAGAAAAATACCAAAATTGCACGTTAAAGTATATTTCAAATATTTATGCATGTTCATGTATCATGGGATGCTTTAAAGAATAATACAAGGTCCAACTTTTGTGACCCACTCTGTATGTGATAGTCTGGTACATAAGGTTCATGATATTTTGAGTTATCTTGGACTTTAAATGGAATGCTTGTATCTGAAGTTTGTTTCAATGATTGGATAAAACATGGACTTTTAATAATATATAATAATAGTATATAAAATATTATTCTGTGACATATCATTTATATGAAAATATATATTTATGGATTATAATACTAAAATAAAAGTTGTGTTAAATATAAAAAGCCATTGTGATATTCATGAAAAATAATAAGGCAAAATTGATGTTTACACTCTTTATCCATGCAAATGCTGGGCGGCCCAAAAATGTCCACATTTTTTATTTTTCTGTAACTTCTTTCAATAAATTTAGGAAACAATTATAGAATTATATGCTGCATCAATTATTGTAGTCCATGACTTTAAAGGCAAAATAAAAATATGAACAAATTTGCACTTCATCTTCAAATTCTGGTACATACTTGATCTGCATCCATAAAGTAGAACAGTCCCCCATATTTTTCATCCCAGCCATAGTTGAAAGGGTTTAGGATGAACTTTTCAATAGCTAAATTTCGCAGATCTTCTCTTTTCAACTTAGAGGCCTGTTGTAGCATGAACCAGCCTGCCTCTATAGCATGACCTGTAGTCAGTGTAGTGCAATATGGTAATGAATAGTACAATGTGGCAATGAATAGTAGAATGTGGCAATGAATAGTACAATGTGGTAATGAATAGTACAATATGGTAACGAATAGTACAATGTGGTAATGAATAGTAGAATGTGGCAATGAATAGTACAATATGGTAATGAATAGTACAATATGGTAACGAATAGTACAATGTGGCAATGAATAGTACAATATGGTAATGAATAGTACAATGTGGCAATCAATAGTACAATATTGCAATCAATGTATACTACAATGTGGCAATGTACAGTACAATGTGGCAATGCTTTGTACAATGTGGTAATGTATAGTACAATGTAGCATTGACTAGAACAATGTGGCAATGTATAGTACAATGTGGGAATGTATAGTACAATGTGGCAATGGATAGTACAATGTGGCAATGGATAGTACAATGTGGCAATGAATAGTACAATGTGGCAATGCATAGTACAATGTGGCAATGTATAGTATAATATGGTGCAGTGAAGTAAAGTAAACTGTGGCAATGTAAAGTACAAGGTGGCAATGTATATTACAATGTGGCAGTGGATAGTACGGTGTGGCAATGTATAGTACATTGTGGCAATGTATAGTACACTGTGGCAATGAATAGTACAATGTGGCAATGGATAGTACAATGTGGCAATGAATAGTACAATGTAGCAATGGATAGTACAATGTGGCAATGGATAGTACATTGTGGCAATGTACAATACACTGTGGCAATGAATAGTACAATGTGGCAATGTATAGTACAATGTGGCAATGTAAAGAACAATGTGGCAATGTATATTACTATGTGGCAACGTATAGTACAATGTGGCAATCTAAATTACAATGTAGAAATATCATGTGACATACTGTTAATATTATACAATGTGGCAAAGTCTTACAATGAGGAAAAGCAAGGTCAAGGAGGATTTGCTCCCAGGGTTCCAACTCAATATTTTTAATCTCCAAGCAATTTGTTCAATGGTGATCCTGCTTCCATATTTCTATGATTCCAAGGGGAATGGCCAATGAATGAATGGCCAATGTTCTAGCAATAGTGACGACCTTGAGGGACAATGACGATAAAATGTCAGTAATGTCTAATATTACAACTGGCTGTAAATTCATAATGTGGAATTAATAATTTTGGGATCACAACATGACTCAGATATGGCAAAATGTCAAGTTGGAACCTTGGGAGCCAATCCTCCTTGGGGCAAGGTAGAGAGTCAATGATGTGTAAAATCTAAAAAGATGGCAGATTCCTGGAAATAAGCAATACTATTTTACATGATCTATACTGACAATATCAAAACATATTTCTTTGTTTCGCTAAATATGGAAAATATATAGAAATATGAGTACACATATCATGATGTGATGAAATAGCACTAATTTCATTGATTTTTCATTACTCAATGAGTGCTCATTACTATGAGTACTAATTTATTGCACATGTATCATGAGTGATAAAATAGTACTAAAAAATTAAAATGTTGATAGACTTTTTTAATTGATGAAGTAAAATACAGAATATGTAACAGATTATTTTTTAATTATATGAAAACATGGATAAATATATCATTAAACTTTTCGAAAAATTATTGAACTATGCATGGTCCCCAATAACCCTTGTTAGAAGACACTTCTATTATTAAACATTTGTTGTATAAGATCATTCTTAGAATTTCATAATTATGGCAATTTACAAAATTGCTACACATCTGACGCAAGCTGTATATTTTATTAGCCTTGTTATTGCACCGGATTCATTATTATTTCAGACATACCTGTATTTACTATCATTACAATGTGTTATACAATGTGTTACAATGAGACATAGTGTTATACAATAATTAAATATTTATATATCAGGAATTTAATATTGCATAATACTTCCAATGTAGAACAAGATCCTCATTGTCCAAAAGTATAATTTTGTTCAAAACTATGAAGAAATCGTGAATCTTTGTATGGTGAAACAACTCTATGTTTTTTATCCGCCCAAGCAAGTTGAAGGGTGGGTATTACAAGAGAAAAAAATTAGGGTAGACCCCCTCCCCCAACAAACCTACCCTTCTTCAACAGTGGTGAGGGGGTTATGAAAAACATATTTTGTGAGTACATTATCTGTTCAAATTCTTTTTTTATCCTGTATTTATGGGATGAGCATTGTCCAGGGGCTATACAGGCTATACTGATTAGTTCAATAAGTATATAAACAATTTATTCAAAATAAGCAATGTATACCTGATGGCTTACAGAATAAAATTAACATTAATTACTTTTTTGACGATAAACTTCCCTTCATAAGTCTGGCAACCACAAGTCTCAGTTCGGATCACATCAAAGCTTGTTTATGTTTTGCAATTTTAAGAAATTTATCAAACTTGTCATAAAATCCTGTACTTTTGTAATTAAGGAACAAAATTAAAATTGAAACATTGACAAGTTCTGATGTACTTCCACTTGTCAAACTTATGAAGGGGAGTGTAATTATGTTAATTTATACTTTATTATAAGAAAGGGGGAGTGTAGTGTAGCTATGTAAGTTTATACTATATTATGAGAAATGTCATGTACCTGGATTCATGTGTCTTCCTATTACACCCTCTAGTTCTTCCCCACTTGGAGAAACATTCTCTAATATCACAGATCCATCTCTCTAGCATGCAGCAAATCAGCACAATCACGGGTTAGCACAATCACAGATTAGCACAATCATAATTATATCAATTAGCACAATGAATGTCAATTTGTAAGCCATAATGAGCACAATCAATGAGCTTTATCAAGATTTCACACATAGCTAGGCATGATAAAAACATTCCAGCCAATCAGAATACACTTTAAGTGAAATTAAACAAAATATTTTGCTATGTGTGAAAATAATTTAAGCACACGACTCTATGAACTGTGGGTAATTTAATACACCCCTTTCTTGTATGCTGGCCTTTGAACTCTGACCCTTTCCCTCATTTAAATCCTCATTAAAGACCACAGTTCATGGAGCCTTGGACTTAAATTGGATTTAGATTTTCATAATTATGTATTTTGAGCACAATCAAAGATTTATTTCCATGGTCATAATCAACTCAGGTAATCAGGCATTGCAGTATATTACAACTGTTTTGAGAAATTGGCAATACAAGTACCAGTAATTGTATATCTGTAACTTATCAGGCTTGTTGGACAACTTTCCCAAATAACCCCAGTCTAGCAGATTGGTTTATGTAAAAGGTAGATTGGATCAGGAATTTACTAAATATGAAATTTCTCTCTTGAATCATTGTTATCTCTTACATGAGGAGGAGAAAGCCAATGCTCTTCATGTCTCTGTAGACATTATAAAAGAATAAAAGTCAGATGCAAGTAGGTAGTTACCAGTTTCATCACCAGGTGACTCATTCGGGTCAGATAGCATGGCGGTATGGTAGAAAGTTCCCTTTAACTGAAATTACATCTGTTTTAGTGGTTCAATTTTCATATCACCCTTATGTATCTAATAGTTATGCAAATTAAAATATGTCCAGTAAAAGAAAATGTTATCTGTAAAATACAAGAAAAGATATTTCACTTTTTGTGATTTTATGGCCTATGGGGAATCTCCCTGAACTAGATGTAACATTTTCAAAAAAAATTAAATTTTCAAAGTTGATAAACAATTTTCGAAACCATATTTCAAGATGTACTTTTACATGTAGTTTAAAATATGACATGACTTTGGCTGAATTTTGAATATCTAATGACGTAAATCAAGATTATTTCTACTTGCATCTAGTCAATTGAACAGAGCCCTTTTAATTTATTTTTTAAATTTGAAATCTAACTACATGTACTCAAAAATAAAACTAGATAATAGCAACACCAAAGCATAGCAAATCCCATCGAACTGCCATGGCTGCCATCTTTGAAAATTCCTTTCACTACTTTTTCAATTGTAGCAAAAAACCAAAATAACACACATAAAAATGGCCACCATTTTCAAAGTGGTAGCTCACTAGCCAAATAATCAAAAGAAAGGTTTCCTCAAAGTTGTTGTGTCAACCACATGTAAGTATGTATGTATGTATGTAAGTAAATCACTGTTTAAAACAGTGCTTACTCTGTGATATCTACATTAGAAAAGTCATGAAGATTCCATCATAATTGAAAAAATGAAACCAAAACAAGTTTGTAAAACCCAATCATAAGCTTATGGTCTTAGGGTCAACTGAAAACAAATGATCATACTTTAATATTCCAGTTATCAACATTGTTTAGTAAGAGATCAAGGGTAAAAAGATTCTCAAAGAAATTCCATATTTCTCAAATTCCTGATCTATTTCACCATTTTACATGACAGTTATCCACTTGATCCAATCCTTATTTTAATGGTTACCTTCAAAATAGATAGTGAGTCTCTAGAAAGCTCTTAATTAAACAGAATTCTATTTTTTTTTTAATTTTCATAAATGGTTTCCATGGTGATTTACTAATTTTCCCATTTTCCATGCAACTCTTTCCTTGGTCAAGTTTGATCCATCCTCCAATCTCAGAATTTTCAGAAACATAGAACAAATTCTATCTCCCTCTTTAAAGAGTGAAGTATTTCTGGTCTTTGAGCAGGGAGAATGGATCAAAAATAGCAAAAGAAAATCTAAATAACAAGACAAAAGAATAGCACCGAGTAAATGGCAGTATAGAGTTTAAGGAGCATGACAGTATTAATCTACGTACATATAGTTTATAGGTACAGAACTACAGTATATACAAGTAAATCCCAATACCTGGACGTGTTTGGATATCTGTTCAATACACCAGTCTAAAAGTTCTGAATGTTGACTTTTCAACTGGTTCTCTGCGACGGACTCCATTTGATTAAAGAGACACAGAAGCATCATGGGAATGGCAAGCGTATTCATGACGATACTTGAATGGTATTTGGGTCGTCCTAGCTCATTATCATCCGTTTGAACCCAGTAGATTATCTTTTTGAAGGTCATTTCTGCTTCAACCTACCACAAAAAAATTACACACAAGATCTTTAAATTGCTCATTTGAAAATAAATGTACAGTGTATAACATTTTCATTTACAGAAAATATTTCATCATATACAAAAATATTTGAATTCCACAAAATGTTTTTATATCATGCATCATATTTTTCAAGAGAGTGCACTCCATTCCATTTGGTGAATGGAAAGGAATCAAATTGATAATATTCCTAAAAAAGTCATTTTTAACATTTTTAAGCCCTTGATAGTTAGATGTATGTAGATCGTTTAACAATATGTTTCATTGGCAAAACATATTTTCAAATCATACAAGGCATATATTAAAGCTGAACATCTCCCTAAAAAGCAACCATGGGTTGTATATACAACTTGTATAGATCTTCTTTGTTTTTTCTTAAATATATGGCTGTGCTTTGATTACACAGAAAAAAAAAACAGTTATGTGTCAACTTTAAAGGATTAAAGCATTAATTTTGTCAGTTGTATGAAAATGTAAAAATAATATATATCCACATATTTAGGTGGAGTTTTAGGTGGAGGTCAGGTTAGAATTTTTTAAAACAATTAGAAAAGACACAATAATAAACACAGTTTTCGTACTAATTCATACAGGTACATACTTCAAACAACAGTACTTGCTATTTTCAATTCATTAGACTACTATGGTTAGCTACATAGGCCATCAAAGCATCATATCTTAGCAATGTCTAGTGTAGACAAAATGTTAATGTTGAACAAATATTAAAATAGAATATCTGAATAGTGGTTGGAAGACTGACTCGTGTACTCGCATTTGTCCTAAAAATCAATTGATCGAGTTGAAAACTTGACCTCAAGATTTGAAATTTTTCACTCGTTTTCACCTTACCTTGACTCGCGATTCGTCTCTCCTATTCGCAATTTCCATGCTTATACATGTAGTTGTAATGTTCTGCTTAATCTGTATAGAATACAACTTATTTTCTATTTAATGCCATGTGCGGAAGACAAACATACTTGGATTTTATTCTGCGTTCGTTATTTTTATGCAAAAGTTTCATTTCCGGTTTGATGCATTCTGGGAATATCCAACAGCCGGGAATTTTGATCAAATTGATGAATTCTGCTGCTACTTGGGAAACTGAAACCGGAAGTAACTCAACTAAGTCAAATCGCGAATATAATCGTGGTTTTTCATGGCCCACTCGAGTGGAGATTTTCAGACGAGTCCGACCACTATATCTGAATAATGCAAATGGGTATATTAGATATATTTATTATGGTGCAAGCATCTATTTAGCAGTTTTCACAGTGCAAATTTCTGGTTAATAGGTTAAATGACTTGATGCTATTAAAAGATGACATGTCTAATAATGATTTTCCTTGTGATGTATAATGATGATTTGTTTAATAATAATAAGTCTAATGATGATAGGTCTAATAATAATTTGGCTAGGATAATTGATGACATGCCTAATGATGATTTGCCTAATGATATCATGTCTACCGATGATAAGTTTCATGACAATATTGTGTAATAATGATTTGTCTAATGATGATAATTCTAATGATAATATGTCTAATAAATTGAGTCAAATGATCAAATGATGACATGTCTAATGATGATTTGCCTAATTGTGCTATGTCTACCAATGATAATATGTCAGTCTAAGAATGAACTGCCTAGCGATGATAAATCTTGTGATAGCAAGTCTAATGGTGGTAGGTATAATGATGCTTTGCATTTTGATGATCAGCCTTATAGCCTGTGTAGCGAACCTTCGGATGTGATTTGTCATCATCTTTTTCAGGTAAATTTATAATCCTGTCAAACATCTGTACCGCTTCATTCTTAAAACATGAAAATTCAATCTATATTGCATTAGCAAAACTACTTTTAAACATTACATTAACCCATTAATTAACAACATGCATTTAGTCAGGAATATGTTTGGGTGGAAACTTCATTTAAGTGAAATTAGCACAGGATTTCATTCTGTGTCTTTATTAACTAATAAAATATTTTGAGACATTATACTGAACAAGTCAATTTGAATACAACATATTTACATTGATTTAATTCATGTTGAAAGAACAAGGTATGGTATAACAAATTACTTTAGACAGCCATATTTACATCTAGAGACATAATGTAGTTATTACGTAGTATTACTTATACCACTCTAAGTACAATTACAGTTGTATAACATGGGTCTGTAACAACGATATACAGTGGAGAGTGGTATATCGTCATCGTATACAACTCCTCCGTATACACTCCAGCGTATACCATTGTAGAAGTGCATTCTTGGAACTAAAGTGAATAAAATAATCATGAAAATTTTCATGATTTCCTAGAATCAAGTGACGTCATAAATGGTTCCGGCATGATTTGCTAGAATCAAGCCACGTCATAAATGGTTCAAGATCAACATCAGCTTTATTCAGTTGACTATGGTATATTTTTATGTTTTTTAATTGTTATGATTGTGTTCGAATCAACTGTAATTGAACTTAGAGTGGCATAATAAGATTATATAATGGTTCATTCTGTATATCGTGCATTTTATACTCTCATGAGAATATAATATATTCACTCGTTCGCTACGCTCACTTGTGAATATATCATATACTCACTTGAGTATAAACATGATATACAGAAAGAACCATTATATAACCTCATAATATACGACTATATCATCTAATTAAGATATAGTTGTCATGCTCAAATAATTTTCATTAAAACAATATATTTTGTCCAAACACTTAGAAAAACAGGTAATTTGGTAGCCTAATCAGATGTTGGAACTATAATCTGATTTTGGTCTGTTAAAACAAGTTGATTAGAAAGATGAAAATGTGGTTTTCCTGGAAGTCCGATGACAAGATTAATGTTTGATCCACCTGACCCTGTTACCATGAGGACAAGATGACAACAATTTCACTTCAAAAGCATTGTGAATTTGAACATAATAACAATCACATACCAAGTAATCTTGATTTCCTGTTGCCTTCGCCAACTCAGATAAGGCCATTGTGTAGAAACATTCCGAGAATATTGTTCGTTGTATTTTGAGAGGTTTCCCCTCTCTGGTTAGAATCATGTAGCACTTTCCCGTTCCAGCAACCTTCATGTGCTTCATGATAAACTCAGCCCCTATAGCAATTAGAGAATTATTATGAAATCATGTTATGTTTTATTGTCACCATGTTTTAAATCGAATTTATCATTTATATCAATGAACAGAACTCTGTAAGAGTGAAATATTGCAAACACTTTGCTGTATTATGAAGTTACCCCTTATAAAAAATTGTTTAATGTAAAACAGAAGGGAAAGAGAAAAGATAGTGAAGTTTCGAAAAATTATTACAATACTCTAGAGTCCACTTGTTTGGATAATCATTTGATCTTTAAGATATATCTCAAAAATTGAAACAGGGGATGCCCTCTCTTCAAGTCCAATGAATTTGGATATCTCACTCTTTTTTCAGCAAATAAAATTAGGAGACTCCATGTCTTAAAAATTACGCACCAATTTGTGGAATATCATGAGCTAATCCATCAATTATTGAACCATTAAAGTAAATTGGACATAATTCTCAAATACTAGTAATAAATTCATCATGATGCTATAAGAGTATTATATCTTATTCCTATAGAAAGCCCACATATTGAAGCATGGTCATTAATTACTGTATATCTCAATATAAAAAAATAAAAAAATAGAACAGCACATGGTGAGCCATTTTCAACGACTAAAGTAAAATAAAAATGTGATGAAGAAAGATTTATGGTAAAATATTCTGACACTCTCATTTGTAGTCTATAGGGATAGCATGATTGAAAATGTTTGAAAATGTTTAGTTTATTGAGGAAGGTTTATTATGTAAGACTACATCGTACATGATAGCTTGATTGTTGACATGGGATAACTGACACATTATAAACAATATGTATCAAACTATTTGCTTACATAATGTAATTGACATCACATGAAATATTGAGATTAGATAGAATTTGAATCATGTGACTATGACTTGCATCATTGTAATAGGAAATTATTATTAGGTACTAAAATAGTAATATAAAGAGATTATCATATACACTGTATGAGGTTCAGGGCCATAGGTCCCGGGGTATATACGAGGGTTGATCCAAAAGTTCCGAACCGTTTGCTCTAAAAATCTTACTATTCTATGAATATTGTTCATATTTGGCCATAACCACCCATATACAGTAGTTTCATTATGTGTAAAAATAAACAAAGCTGACCAGCAACATAGGTGTCAGGTTACCATAGCAGATTTATCAGATTTTTGATACAGGGTATATCCCTCGGTAAATACAATATATCTGTCCCTATTGTCCCTCAGGTATATATATTGTATTTCCCTCAGATATACCCTGTATCAAAAACTTCCCATTAAATAACCTCTATATATTGAATATAGATATCTGAGATAGATTATATGATAGATGGAAACACGGTTTAAGTTTAGTGGTTGCAACAGTAGTTGGATAATATCAAAATTCTCACAAATATCATATATCTCAGACTTTAAATGTATAATACTCATGGTATATTGTTCTGTGTTCTAAGTTCTGTGATTGTGCTAATGACCTGGCCACATAGTGAAGTCAGTTATTGTTAAAGTGCAATCTTGACATACAACATATCAAAGGTAAGGATAATTCAATTGCTGACACCCTTTCAAGAGTCTAATTGCTCTATTTTCAAATGACTACTGAAATGAAGATTGTACTAGAAACGTGTTTATGACAATATGTTATTTAAGAACATTATATGTTGTAAGTCAGTAACAATTGAATGTATTATTGTATAATTTGTAAAAATGCTACAGTAAAACCTGTCTAATCCGAACGCCATTGGGACCGACTTAAAGTGTTCAGATAAAGAGGTGTTCACATTTCGAGGTTTTTGCATTTGAGATTCCGGATTGTGAAAAAATGTGGACACATTTTCGGCACATATACATTTCATACGGTTCATTTAACTACATAGCTTTATGACATTTCAGAAATTTGAAAATTCGATTCAAATGAATCTAGTCATGCTAGAAAGCCCTATTAAAATCAAGACCATTCTAGTTTTGATATCATAACAATATTTATCAATTTTTTATAAAACATGTGACATTTTATGAAAAATGTTCAAATAACGCAGGTTAATTTTTCAAATATGACTGTTCACTGTTCAAATTGAGAGTTGTTTTTTTAACATGGGAGTCAATGGGAAGAAAAAATGTGACCGAAAAAAAGTATTCAGAATGGGAAGTGTTTGGATTAGCCAGGTGTTCAGATATACAGGTTCTACTGTACATATGATAACTGATTGTTGTTAAAGGGATATTCCTTGCCAGACTCTTTCTCTCTTGATATGGTAGCTATAATCATATATATAGTTTCCATATTTAGCAAAACATGGGAAAATGTTTTAATATGGTCAATATTGATCATTTAAAAATCTAGTGCTTATTTCCAGTGAGCTGCCATCTTTTAAGATTTCTTGCAGGAAGTGATGTCATCAACTCTCAACTTCTATAACCTTGCCCATAACAGTATAGGGAAGTAGCACAAAATCACTTCTAGACAAGTGATCATTACTTTCTGGGCAAAAATATTTTCAAGGCTTGTTAACTTAGAATAAAAGAAGAGATTTTCAGAAGGATTAAATAAGATTCAAAGTTGAAAAAGAATATTTAGCTGGTTTTGTAATTCTTAATAGCTCCTCACCTAATGCTATATGCAAAGTTGAGAGTCGTTGACATCACTTCCTGTGTGAAATTTTAAAAGATGGCAGCTTACTGGAATTGAGCATCACATTTCTAAGTGATCAAATTTGACCATATCAAAACATTTTTGGGTGTTTTTCTAAACATGGCAAGCATATATATGGTTATAGCTACCATATGAGGAGAGAGATGGTTTGGCAAGGAATATTCCTTTAAAGATATTATGTCTCAACCTCATCATTATTATAATGGTTGTAACTCCAGATATTATTGGAAAAGCTATTCATTTTATTCAAAACTTTTCTTCTAAGGAGGGGGGGGGGGTGTTACGGTACTGAGGATAATTATATTTTACTTTATATTTATCTTTAGTTTTGATAAATTTCTACAGATATTTAGATATTGTAAGTGTTGTTTATTATAGGCTTTTATACCATAATACTACTGTTTTCCAAGGGAAATATGAAGGAATAAAAATCGTATTGAATCGTATTACATGAAAAAATCGTATTGTCCCCAGGAAAAAAATCGTATTGGAGCGTATTACATGAAAAAATCGTATTGTCCCCGGGAAAAAATCGTATTGGAGCGTATTACATGAAAAAATCGTATTGTCCCCGGGAAAAAATCGTATTGGAGCGTATTAACCTATTTTGGGTTTCCTGGTTATTTTTAACCTTGACTAATTGATAAAATGAATATGGGTTTTATTCCTAAGAAAATATAATATTGACATAGGGCAATATGATTTTGACCGAGGGAGTGCAAACAATGTGCATTTTTAATATAATGTTTGCATTACCAAAATGTAACATTTTAGAGGGATGTTTTATGGAATAAATAGGTTATTTCTGGTCGGGATTGCATATGGGTTTTATTCCTCGGAAATTGACACTCAGACTAAAACCCATATTCAATCCCTCCCAGTAAATAACCTATATATATTATCACTGATTGGACATTCACTTAAGTATTTAATTACCTTTAGATCATTGTAATTTCTTTATATATAGTTTGTTAAAGGGGCAACAATGTATGGATAAACTATCAATTTCAGCATTAAGAAGTGTAAATTCAGTTCAAAGCTTCAAAAAGGGGAAATCCACTTTTATGTTTTTAAGATCCACCATGTTTCAAGAGGAATATCAGCTGAAATAATGTTTATATAGGGGATTTCTTTGTAGATAATAAAAATAGATGTAAGTCTTGATGAAATATCCAAACTTGAATATATTTTGACACTAGTCAATGATCGTTGAATGGCCCCTCTGCACTAATTGTTGCACCTTTAATTTAGTTTGTAAATTTTAACTAACTTTGTTTTTGTAGTCTTCACATCTTCCCAATTTTATTCAATTATTGTACATCAGCCTGATGTTTTATTCAAAGCTCACATATTTCTTGCATCTAAATCTTGATATTACAATTGAGCGTTACAAGACAGGATTCGGACCAATGGATTTTGGACGATTGGGATTTAGATAAATGGGATTCACATGACTTGGAGTCGGACCATTGGGATTTGGTTGATTGGGGTTCAGATGAATGAGATTCGGATGATTGGGATTTGAACCAATCAGATACATCCATGGGGCGACCCTGGCACGTTTAGGGGCCTTAACATGGAATTGGATTGTTACAAAGAGAAGCCTTTACATTGAGAGGTGTGTTCAGAGGAACAATCATTTTACCTTGTATAGCTGCTTGGAGAATCTCTGGTTTGCGAAAGCGTTCTACTTCATTGTAGAGCTTACTATACGTCCAAACCTACAAACATATGTATTATACAAACCACTAGAATAGGCCTCATTTATATTTCTACATGAAAGGATCCCTGACTTTATAGGTCAAAAAATGATAAATATGTCAGTGCAGTGATCTCCTTAGGTACAGTTCTCAACATGGCACATAATCCTAGTTTACCTAATTTGCTCAAAATATATCCACATTTCTTCATTTTTTACAAAATGCAAGCAAATTTTCAACACTGTGGCATGTAATTTTCAAATGTTGCACATGGTGCAACACTTTAATGTACCATCCAAAGGTTTATGTGAGACCCCCCAAAGTGGGAATGGAAGCGCTATGGATTTTGACATCATAAAAATTGGTCTATCAATTTCTCAATCCTGGGAGCAAAAAATATCTGGTCAAATCTAGCTAAATTTGATGAACTGAAATATACATTTCAAAAATCGTCCCTGCATTGGGGTCTCACTCAAACCTTTGAATGGCACATAATGCTGGACAAATGATTTCATCATGAAACTTTAATATTTCAGAAGAAAGATCAGACAAAATATAAATATAACAAGTGTAACCATGGTTAAGATTTTAGACTTCATAATTTGATACCGATATCTTGGTCTGAGAGGTTTTATTAAAAAGGCAAATAAAAATGTTTCTATGATTTTGAAGTAAAGGTGTTACATCTAGAATTACAGGTTTACCTGTCGACCCTGTATCCAACAATACTTTAAGCTGTCAAATGGTTTACCATCTCTTCCAAGGCAGTTGATAAATCCACTGAAAAACATCAACATAAATGTAATTAGTTATTGAAATGACTACAGTATACTACATGTTGTGTTAGATATAGTGTGACTTTCTAAACAATGCATATCAACATTTCTCAAACACAGTTATGAGGGAGAGGGAGGGGGGGTCACAGATCAACTGTGCAAATACAGTTAGTAATCCTACATTGGACTTTTGAGATGCTCTCTTATGAACATTCAGAAGCTGATCCAAATACTAATAAAGTGTATTGATATCTGATGTCTATTTGTATCATCATAAATCACTAAATAATGTCATTAAATACTGCTGACATCATTATTGCTATAAACAGCAATGTCCCTATTGGCAGTATCATTGATGTCATTTTTGTCCCATGAATAAATATCTGTCTTAAATATATGTCTTACCCATATTTGTCATCATGGGAGTGCTCCATCCAAAACTGCATGCATCTGTCTAATTCAGTTGATACCCCCTCCAAAAACTCACCAAGTCTTCCTACAGAACCCATCATAAGCCTACAACAGTTCAGATTGATATACAAATCAAACTACAATTAGAGGTCACCCTCTGGGAGCCAAAGTAAACAAGAGTAAAGAAAGCAGGTAGTTCTTAATTGTGGTATTGCCCAATCTTTCATCTACATCCACATCAATAATCTGGTTGGCCCATGTACAAGCATCCCCCTACAAAGTCCCTTTATGTTTAGATACACTGAGATGACTGTCAGGCTAACCCCATCGACAGTGCCCCTGTTTACCAGAAGTGCAGGCTTGTTTCTATGCATTGGGGACATTCTATGGAGGCTGTCATCTGCAAATAGTATGAGGGTTTTACCCCCAGTTTTTTTACATTGTAAATGGTGCATTCTAAGTATTTCAAACTGTATGTCAGTTTTTAATGTTTATTCAACATATTTTACAAATTGCTTTTTCTTTTTTTTGTGGTAGGGGTGCGATTGCACCCATCAAACACCCCCCCCCACCCCCACTCTGGCTACGCCCATGAGTCTGTTTGTTTGGATTCACATGAGCGTTAAGCTCCAAAAATTCTCGGCAGAGTCGGTCTCTCTGAAAGAAGAGGAGATACCCAATAAATCAAATAAGAGATTAATCTCAGAATTCAAGATTACATTATCTTGGGGGGAGGGGGGGGGGGGGTGTTAGTCGTGTTTTTGAACAAACCAAGAAGTAACATTTATCAAAATACTCACTTTTCACCAAAATGGCAGCTTATGTATAATTCCTGGTATATAAGATTTGCTTATTTCGTAATATAGCAATTTATCTCCAAAGCGAACTATAAATCAGTAAAATACTTGTTATAATTTTTGTTTATCTATTTTCTGAATGGGCCGCTATTGAATCTCACATGACTAGTTATAGTTATCAATCATAGTTATCAATGCTCAGGTCAACTTAACCTGTTGCCGTTCTTAAGATAAAAAGGATAGGTATCGATGTGGTGAACTGAATTCAACAATGTTTTTCTCCCAATTATTGAAAACATTCTGTAAAAAACATGGTCCTTTATGTAATGTTGACCGATTGACAACAATTTAATGCGAAAATTATATATATATATATTTTATATAAGTGTAGTGCAATTGTTTTTTGTTCCTTTCTTCCAATTCTTGAGAATGAAATGAAATGTCTGTCAAAACCTTGTTGGAACAAAATAGCAGAATACAACATTTTCTACGACCTCTGAATTAATTACAGTTATACAAAGGAATTGGTTGATTTAACAGAAAATATTCAAAAATTAAAACAACCCCCTCACAAAATAGATAAAAATTAAGATAAACTTTTTATTTCATTAACAAGGCACTTTTTCAAAACCAACCAAACTTTCCTTTGTACAATAACAATATTGAGAGACCATAACACGTTGTGTTTATGTTGTTTTGTTCCAATGAGGTCATCCTTTGATTGTAGTTTCTACTCATAGAAAATGAAGCTGATAACATATATATTAAAGAAGTTATTTCATTTTTGAAGGGTTCTGTTTTTTGGATCACCCTGTACATAGCAGTCTAGATTTACATATTTAAGGTAGTAAAATGATGAAAATTTTCATTACACTACAGTAATCTCATGCCACTTAAAATCATTTAATATAAAGGGTGTCAAATGACATTGTGCCCCCCTTACACAGTTTATACCAGGAGAAGTATGTGTACCTACAAATTCTGTGTGTCATCGGAAAGAGCATTCAATTCGGGATAAATAAATCAGAGATGACCAAGGCCAATTATGGCTACATAGTTTTACATGCATTTGAAATGTACTAGTTTAGTGATATCTTTTATTGATTTGGCGTCAGTTTTCAGTCAGGGATGTGGGATCGTGCCATAAGCCATGTTTTCTAAGAGGTCCAGGTACTCAGACCTTCACAATTAATTGATCAGTTCAAAATGTCCGGATTTTTTCTACTTTTGCCGTTCGGTAAATTACAAACGCGTTAAAAGTAAGCATCCCCATTTATCAATACAATTCATTACAACACTGCAAACATCTCCTTCACACGAGCCTTCATTTTTTAAAAATGATCTCTTGTTTAGAATCCAAACACAAATTCTCGGTATAAGTTCATATGGTGAAAATAATGAAATGTTACCATGTGTCTACTTAGCAGTTTGTTCTATGTCATCCCTCCTGCAAGGTTACATTGTGGAACTCAGCCAAACACGACACTGAAGGCACTATTCTGAGGGTTATAAAATCTAAATCGTAAAAATTTCCTATTTCTTCTTATCGAACAAAGTAGCGAACGTTGCAATCTTTCAACTTTAGTTCGTTGTTTTTCACCACTTTATGTGTAGTGTTTTCATTTAGGAGGCGGTCTTATTTGAATGCATCATTTCAGGTCTTTATGAATCAATAGATCAATAAGCAGACTAAAAATACAATTTAGCAGTTTCTTTCATTGCGTACTGGGCCTGTTAGGCACGAAATACAATTTAGCAGTTTCGTTCGTTGCGTAATTGGGCCTTCTATAATCAGTAGCAAATGCTCGGAAAACATTTTCCAAATTTTACTTCCGTTTTCCTTGAAGACATGGTTGGGTGACACGTCATTAAGTCACATGATCGATACAGTAACTAGTCACGTGGGCTTGCAAAATCTAAATTTCTAAAAATTCTGCTAAGATCAACATCGACATGTTGTTGCCTTCATTGTCGTGTTTGGCTGCGTTCCACAATGTAACCTAGCAGGAGGGATGACATATCCATTATTTGCAGGTACAGTATGAAGCTTTGGATTCATTTATTGTGCTACTTTAGTGAACGGGAATTATTTTTCTACCGCTTGGGAGAGTTTGTGACACGAAACTTGGAAATAAGCTCATTGTGACAACTTGTGAACGTTGAGTTTTATTTTTGTCCCACACTGTAGATTCAAAGTGTTCTTGAACAAACCAGGAAGTAAGATTTATAATACTCACTTTTGTGCAGTTATTACCACAGTGACAGCTATATGTATATAATTTCTGGTAAATAAGTTTTGCTTATGTCGTAAATAAATATAACAATATCTCCAAAACGAACTATAAATCACTAAAATACTTCAAATAATTTTTGTTTATTAATTCATTTTTTGAATGGACCGCCATTTTGAATCTCGTTGAAGAAAATCACATGACTAAAATTGACCAAATCAATTTTACCGTTTTAAAGACTTTTTTGTCAACAAAAATGGTATCATCATATTACAAACGATGTATAATTGTCAAAAATACCCATATATATGTGTCAAACATGTTGGGACACACATAAAAAGATCCCCATATGTGTCATCTCGTCAAGTACGAGATTTCAAAAGGTCCGCCCCTTCAGAAAAAAAATAATGGCAGTCTTCGAAAATAAACTATCTTCTAAGGTCCTTTTAGACGATACAGTGGCGCTGACATGCGTAATAGAAACAGCACAGAATGTCAAAGATCATACGGTATGTAGATATTATAATGAAATATGTTTCCCTACCTTTATTTATGTTGTTTCATAATTTACTATATGTAGCCTTCAAAAATAACTGTATTCAAATTCAATTCAATATCTTTACCAATGGCTATCTATAGCTTTACCTTACCCCACTGACAAGGCCTACAGGTACAGTAGTTCAACAGATGTTGGCCAGATCACAGTATTGTCAACCCCCAAAGATTTTCTCGCGGGACAGATTTTTTAGACCCAGAGCCCAAAATTCACCGGATTTTGCGGGACATCCACCTAAATTCGCGGGACACTAAAGGATTTGCATGATTGCGCAAAATTTTTGATCAAATTCGCAGGATTTTGCAGGACCAAATTTGCGGGATGTAGTGGGACATTCAAAGGATTTGCGACGCGTGATTGGGAATTAATGTAAAGGTCCACAAATCAAACTTTCATATACTGATTTATCAAATATAATGATTGCAGCAATTTTGGCAATTCGCCGAGGTCAAAGATGACATTTGCGGGACTTCGCGGGACATTTTGGGATGCAAATTAGCCAAATTTTGATCAAATGGCGGGATAATTCCACCATTTGCGGGACACTTGACAGCTCTTAGATCGTTTTGTAGTACGATCTCATAGGCTCAAAGAATAATTCAGAAGATGGAATCGGAAAATTTAAAAAAAATGTGACCACCTTTCAAAACGTTCCTTATACAAAATGGTACCTGCTTCCCCGTGACCGATTTTGCACTTAATTTAAAGCTGAGATCTTCATCTTTCTATTTCTACTTGTTTGGTTTGAGTCACAGTGAATAACTATGGACGCAGTAGTCTGCAATAGACTTTTAATACGGCAAATATTTTTCACTTGATCCGGGCTCTTGTGTGTCCAAATATCATTGTAATTCTTACAAGATCATATTGGCTAGCAAATGGGGACATTTCTTTCAGTCCCTCGGGAACATGTCATTATGATCTTTCAGCAAACCAATGTTGATGTATTGAGTCTCTATCAAAATTTATATACCGTTTTATCAAAGTGCATCATCAATATGAGAAAAATGCTCAACTAAAAGGTTATACAAAAAACATTGTTTTAATAGTTGAGAATTTGTATAAAATTGACAAAATGTGACATAAATTGTTGTATTTTCCCGACAACTCCGGGGTTTGTGGCGTTGTAGAATTCAGATGTCAATAAATTCAGAAATACAAAAGATATGTGCCTGAAATTCATGTCAGTTATTCCCCAAAGTGTGTATTAACAAATGTACCAAATTTGCAGAAAAATCACCCATGCCTTATATCTCCCTCAAAAAATTCTCATGAGTTCTGGGACACCCTGTAGCTGCATTAAACAAATCAACTGAAAGATTAATATGTGACTGATTTAACATTGGAAGTTGCCATTTCAATGTTACCGGCTATCTGAAGAAAATTTCGAAAGTCAACTCAAAAAAACATTCTTATTCTATGATTGAGGACACGGAGGAAAATATTGGTAATAAAAGTGGAAAATGTTATATGATATGTTTTATTGTTTCATTTATATGTCATTATCATTGGGGGATGACACAAAACTTTAAAATAAAATATTTCAGGAAAAACATTATATGGAATAAAATAGGTTATTGATAGTCTTTAGGGCTTTCACTAGGAAATATTTAAGGTATGGTGCAAGTTTAGACTGTGGAAATAATCATGATTTGCCAGTAGGGTGTGGTGGGAGCTAAATATCTTGTGTGGTGCTGTGCCAATGTCTAAAAGCCTGGCGAGAGCCCTGGTCATGATAGAATATGAATTTTTCCTTGAGAAAACATGATATCGGATAATATCATATTGAAACTCCAAGGCTATCCCCTTGGTTTAATATGATGTTTTCCTTGGTCAGTATCATATTTTCCCTTGCAATAAAATTCATATTTCATCCCTCCCATTGAATAACATAGATATCTATCACATGCTATATGTATCATCCTTCAAGGGGATATCCCATGGCCCATAGATAATCATTCTCTATCAAAGGCTTAATGTTAAAGTACAGCTGGTGTATCTCATACTTGAAGAATGTTAGGATGTGATTTCTGAATATGGAGCATTAGCATTAGATGAGGGGAGGGGTACATGTAAATCTAGGTTTTTAGCTAAAATGTAATTTATATGCAATTATTTGCATTGTTTTTTACATTATAGGAGTATATAGTACGATGTACACGAGGGCCAAACCCAGAAAACAGCTGGACAGTCACAAAACGCTACACAGACTTCGTGAATCTGGACACTGCTCTGCAAATAACAAACATCAAGTTCCCTCTACCCCCCAAAAAAACATTTGGAAACATGGACAGAGAGTTCATAGCGGAGAGACAGCATGGCTTGCAGGTTCGTAAAAAATCTAATGGTCCATATTTGTTATCTTTGTCATTCCTCATGTTCTTTGATATCTGTGAAGCAGGGTGGGTGGTTAATAAGGTTTTGGATGGGTTGAAAGTCTTGCATAGCAATTAAATCAAATCTTTCCCTGTTAACTTGGGGGTCATTGAAAGTCTTGCATAGCAATTAAATCAAATCTTTCCCTGTTAACCTGGGGGTCATTGAAAGTCTTGCATAGCAATTAAATCAAATCTTTCCCTGTTAACTTGGGGGTCATTGAAAGTCTTGCTTAGCAATTAAATCAAATCTTTCCCTGTTAACCTGGGGGTCATTGAAAGTATTGCGTAGCAATTAAGTCTTGCTTAGCAAATAAATCAAAGCTTTCCCTGTAAACCTGGTGTCATTGAAAGTCTTGCATAGCAATTAAATCAAATCTTTCCCTGTTAACTTGGGGGTCATTGAAAGTCTTGCATAACAATTAAATCAAATCTTTCCCTGTTAACCTGGTGTCATTGAAAGTCTTGCATAGCAATTAAATCAAATCTTTCCCTGTTAACTTGGGGGTCATTGAAAGTCTTGCATAGCAATTAAATCAAATCTTTCCCTGTTAACCTGGTGTCATTGAAAGTCTTGCATAGCAATTAAATCAAATCTTTCCCTGTTAACTTGGGGGTCGTTGAAAGTCTTGCATAGCAATTAAATCAAATCTTTCCCTGTTAACCTGGGGGTCATTGAAAGTCTTGCATAGCAAATAAATCAAATCTTTCCCTGTTAACCTGGGGGTCATTGAAAGTCTTGCATAGCAATTAAATCAAATCTTTCCCTGTTAACCTGGTGTCATTGAAAGTCTTGCATAGCAATTAAATCAAATCTTTCCCTGTTAACTTGGGGGTCATTGAAAGTCTTGCATAGCAATTAAATCAAATCTTTCCCTGTTAACTTAGGGGTCATTGAAAGTCTTGCATAGCAATTGAAGCAATTCTTTCCCTGTTAACTTGGGGGTCATTGAAAGTCTTGCTTAACAATTAAATCAAATCTTTCCCTGTTAATCTGGGGGTCATTGAAAGTCTTGCATAGCAATTAAATCAAATCTTTCCCTGTTAACCTGGGGGTCATTGAAAGTATTGCGTAGCAATTAAATGAAATCTTTCCCTGTTAACCTGGGGGTCATTGAAAGTCTTGCATAGCAATTAAATCAAATCTTTCCCTGTTAACCTGGTGTCATTGAAAGTCTTGCATAGCAATTAAATCAAATCTTTCCCTGTTAACTTGGGGGTCATTGAAAGTCTTGCATAGCAATTAAATCAAATCTTTCCCTGTTAACTTAGGGGTCATTGAAAGTCTTGCATAGCAATTGAAGCAAATCTTTCCCTGTTAACTTGGGGGTCATTGAAAGTCTTGCTTAACAATTAAATCAAATCTTTCCCTGTTAATCTGGGGGTCATTGAAAGTCTTGCATAGCAATTAAATCAAATCTTTCCCTGTTAACCTGGGGGTCATTGAAAGTATTGCGTAGCAATTAAATGAAATCTTTCCCTGTTAACCTGGGGGTCATTGAAAGTCTTGCATAGCAATTAAATCAAATCTTTCCCTGTTAACCTGGTGTCATTGAAAGTCTTGCATAGCAATTAAATCAAATCTTTCCCTGTTAACTTGGGGGTCATTGAAAGTCTTGCATAGCAATTAAATCAAATCTTTCCCTGTTAACTTAGGGGTCATTGAAAGTCTTGCATAGCAATTGAAGCAAATCTTTCCCTGTTAACTTGGGGGTCATTGAAAGTCTTGCTTAACAATTAAATCAAATCTTTCCCTGTTAATCTGGGGGTCATTGAAAGTCTTGCATAGCAATTAAATCAAATCTTTCCCTGTTAACCTGGGGGTCATTGAAAGTATTGCGTAGCAATTAAATGAAATCTTTCCCTGTTAACCTGGGGGTCATTGAAAGTCTTGCATAGCAATTAAATCAAATCTTTCCCTGTTAACTTGGGGGTCATTGAAAGTCTTGCTTAGCAATTAAATCAAATCTTTCCCTGTTAACCTGGGGGTCATTGAAAGTATTGCGTAGCAATTAAGTCTTGCTTAGCAAATAAATCAAAGCTTTCCCTGTTAATCTGGGGGTCATTGAAAGTCTTGCATAGCAATTAAGTCAAATCTTTCCCTGTTAACTTGGGGGTCATTGAAAGTCTTGCTTAGCAATTAAATCAAATCTTTCCCTGTTAACCTGGGGGTCATTGAAAGTCTTGCATAACAATTAAATCAAATCTTTCCCTGTTAACCTGGGGTCATTGAAAGTCTTGCATAGCAATTAAGTCAAATCTTTCCCTGTTAACTTGGGAGTTATTGAGAGTCTTGCTTAGCAATTAAATCAAATCTTTCCCTGTTAATCTGGGGGTCATTGAAAGTCTTGCATAACAATTAAATCAAATCTTTCCCTGTTAACCTGGTGTCATTGAAAGTCTTGCATAGCAATTAAGTCAAATCTTTCCCTGTTAACTTGGGGGTCATTGAAAGTCTTGCATAGCAATTAAATCAAATCTTTCCCTGTTAACCTGGGGGTCATTGAAAGTCTTGCTTAACAATTAAATCAAATATTTCCCTGTTAACTTGGGGGTCATTGAAAGTCTTGCATAGCAATTAAATCAAATCTTTCCCTGTTAACCTGGGGCTCATTAAAAGTCTTGCATAGCAATTAAATCAAATCTTTCCCTGTCAACTTGGTGGGGGTCACTGACAGAAGCTTTATAAAGTGAAAAATTCCTTAATCCATTGTTTTTACTATGGATACAATAATGTCAAACTGAGAGAACAATGAACAATCAAATCTTTCCCTGTTAACTTGGGGGTCATTGAAAGTCTTGCATAACAATTAAATCAAATCTTTCCCTGTTAACCTGGGGGTCATTGAAAGTCTTGCATAGCAATTAAATCAAATCTTTCCCTATTAACTTGGGGGTCATTGAAAGTCTTGCATAGCAATTAAATCAAATCTTTCCCTGTTAACCTGGGGTCATTGAAAGTCTTGCATAGCAATTAAGTCAAATATTTCCCTGTTAACTTGGGAGTTATTGAGAGTCTTGCTTAGCAATTAAATCAAATCTTTCCCTGTTAATCTGGGGGTCATTGAAAGTCTTGCATAACAATTAAATCAAATCTTTCCCTGTTAACCTGGGGTCATTGAAAGTCTTGCATAGCAATTAAGTCAAATCTTTCCCTGTTAACTTGGGGGTCATTGAAAGTCTTGCATAGCAATTAAATCAAATCTTTCCCTGTTAACCTGGGGGTCATTGAAAGTCTTGCTTAACAATTAAATCAAATATTTCCCTGTTAACTTGGGGGTCATTGAAAGTCTTGCATAGCAATTAAATCAAATATTTCCCTGTTAACTTGGGGGTCATTGAAAGTCTTGCATAGCAATTAAATCAAATCTTTCCCTGTTAACCTGGGGGTCATTGAAAGTATTGCATAACAATTAAATCAAATCTTTCCCTGTTAACCTGGGGCTCATTAAAAGTCTTGCATAGCAATTAAATCAAATCTTTCCCTGTCAACTTGGTGGGGGTCACTGACAGAAGCTTTATAAAGTGAAAAATTCCTTAATCCATTGTTTTTACTATGGATACAATAATGTCAAACTGAGAGAACAATGAACAATCCTAACTTTGCATTTAGTGCCTATATATGGCAACCTGGTCACATTATAAGAAGAATTCTTTGGTAAATTGTTATGGTAATTTACCCCTATATCTTGAAATCAGATGTTTCATCTACTACGACTACATGGAAATTAATTCCAAAGCTAGTAAAAACTACCTTTCACCCATGGGCTTTCAAGCCCATGCTTTGACTACTGATTGTAGTCTATAGAGGTAACCAAAAGCTCTGAAAACCAAAGTGAAACCCATGTTTAAGAGCCTCTATTCTAACCAATTGGCATTGATTTTAATTTAGATATGCTACATGTAAGTAACATATTTCTCCAAGTTGAGACTTAATCAACCAATGAGGATTTTGGCAATGCTCTATTGACTTAACATGGGGATATGGATCATATTGACTTAACATAGGGATATCATCACTCCCATCATCGGGATATCATTAAATCCTAATTATCTCAGAACATTGGTAGAATCTTTAGGTTTACGTATTTTCAACGTGAATTGGATGAAATAGAGATTTTAGCTAATTAAGGCCTTTTGTAAAATTTTGGTTACCTCTGCTTAATTTGTCTCACATATAGTTTTAAATCCTGACTACATTTCTGACACATATTTATTTATTTTTTGTTATTCCTACCTTCAGGTCTATCTGAGTACACTCCTTGCCAACCGGATGATCAGTTCTAGCTTACTGCTGAAGAAGTTTTTAGATCCCAAAAATTACTCAATGAATTCTCAAGGTAAGTAATTCTAACTAAGGGTGTTTAGGGATGATGTCCAATATTATCAATTGTTGCAGAATAAATAAGTTAGTTTGGGATGGGGTAGATGAAGTGAGATAAATTATTATTAGATGAGGGGAGGGGGAGGTCACACTATAATGACACCATCCCTTAGAAACAGATAATTTTCACTATGATTTGAAACAGTTATGTTACTTACACATTGATGTGACCATTTCTAAACCTTTTAGCATTTCAATTTTCTTGATGTTTTAAAATTATTTTAAACATAAATATAACAGTAGCCTTGCCCAAGTCGGTATTTTTTACTTATCTTATCTTGAATTATTACCGCCTTGTACAATCCAATACATCTCCGCTGATATTATGCTAAGATATTCAACGGTTTCGAGATTTCCATAATACCTACGCTATCAGGGGTATTGCGAAACCTTATTTATTGACAGATATACGCGTGGACACGAAGTGTGACTTCAGACTGATTGACCAATCAAAACGTTATCAGGTTGACCTGCATAAGCAAAGCAATCTTCCCGTCTACGACTTGAAATTCAATGATCTGATCGATCGTTTCTTTAGAGTTACATGTAATTAAATGTACAAGGGAATGTAAGAGTCATTAATATAAATTAAATCATGCAATGGATTTAAAACTGATTTCGCGATGAAAATGCAAGACCTAGTCCAATGTAGCGGGTCATGTATAGTGCTGGTATATATTACTTGATCAGTCGTTTAATTGGCATATTTTCTTGAATTTTAACATTTAATGTCCCAAACTCCCACAAACTTCAGAAAAGTATACACCATAAATCATATTTACCAAAATGAGTGTCTCCAAGGCTTCACACCAGCGTATGCATAATGCATTTGTCACGAGTTTGAGCTGAAATTTCGCCAAAATGAAGTAGGCTAAGGGTAGTCTCTGCCAGATTTGTTTATTGTGGTAAGCTTGTAAGTGCTCAGAAGCAAATAATTCATGTGCGCAAAATAATCAAATAATCTGATTGGTTTAAACTAGTGGTGTCAATTAACCGCTTGAGCATTAACCGGTTAACCGGGGGTTTTTACCGGTTAAAGTCGGTTAACCGGTGGGAAATTTGAACTTATAATTTCAAATGAAATCTTCATCTTCGATCTTGAAAGTTGAAAAAATTGGAAAAATGATATATCGGCGTTTATTTTTTACGTTCGTCAAGCTTTACGCTATTCTATGTAAGTAAGCGCGGGAAAGCAATGTGGCAGGGATTAAAGTTGCTGATTGGATGTTTGTAAGGAATTATCGGACCTATCACATGTATGAGTAGCTCACATGAAACTGACGCTTGAAAAACAAACAGATTAAGATGCAAAGTAAGCGCGGGAAAGCAATGTGGCAGGGATTAAAGTTGCTGATTGGATGTTTGTAAGGAGTTATGGGACTTATGACATGTATGAGTAGCTTACATGAAACTGACACCATAAAACCAAACGGATTAGCATGCAAAATAAGCGCGGGAAATAACAGAATTATACACGGTCAACTAACCGCCCATAAAAACTCAGACCGGTCAAGGCATTATCGGCGGTTAACCGGTTAACCGGTTAATACTTCACACCTCTAGTTTAAACTTTGCTGCACATGTGCACAATGTGTGCCATTTTTTTCTAGTGATTTCGTTTCGTTTCATGGACTTTGCGTTTCAGTGTAACTTCCGCAAAAATGGCGGACCATGGACAGAATTAACAGGTAAAATCATTTCGAAATTTGAAGAGAACGAAAAATTTCGAAAGGAAAGCGTGACATATACGTAATTCACGTGAAAAATCCGAACGAAATGCGTACATTTTTTTCGGCGCTCGTATTTTTGCTGTGTAGACGAACTTTTTTAGAAATTTTTCTACAGAATATTTTTGCTGGACAATTACAAGGTAAAATGCAAAAATAACTGGCGTGACTTCAAATTCTTCAGCAAATGCGTGACAAATTCGCAAATTGCGGGAAAGTTGACAGGCCTGTAGCTACGCACATATTTCATACCTCTATCGATTCTTAACACCACAAGAAACATTCTTCTAAAGGCAGAAAAGTTGCGGCTGTCTCAAATCGCAGTAATATACACTTCAAACTTCAAATCGACCGGTTTTCCAAAATGTCATCCATGAATTTGATGACGTCACTTTCGGACTATTTTGACTTACACGACGCGTAGTAATATATAAATGAAAAAAACATTCAGTGTTGGCTGACACCGATCAACCGCAGGAATTTCCTTGCATTTTACTTAACTACACATCAAATACAACAGCAATTTCCAGTGAAATCATTCAAACACATCGTTACTCACATTTATCAATGTTGCTTGACTTGATTCCGTATTAATTGAGCGAACTAATTTCTCAAGTTTGAAGGATAATGCTCCCGGGAAAAAAGAGATTGAAATGTAGGCACTGGATGAAATGTTCATTTTGAAATAAGCTGTGAATACTGGTTGACTCGAAGATTAAAGTGTATATAACTGCAATTTGAGACAGCCGCGTCTTTTCTGGCTTGGGGAGAACATTTCTTTTGTTGTTAAGAGTCGATAGAGGTAAGAAATATATGCGTACCTAACGCCGTTAAATTTCGACTTTTGAAAGATAATGTGTGTTTCAATGGATCCCTTCCAAGACCAGAAACGAAGAGGATGGTGTTGGAACAAGATAACACTGTAGTCGTCGATCAGTGATCTTCTCACCTCCGGTTACCGATCGATGCTCCGGCATCCACTAAACTCTGATTGATATTTATCTGATAAAATATTTGTATTTTCATGATGAATTCATGCAAGATTTCTTCGTGAAAAGTCCTGGCGAAATGTGTACTTGTTTTTCACCGTGCATAATAATGAGCTAACGCTGCAGGACCGTCGTTGATTGGTCAAATTTTACCGACATAAACATTGAGTCGGTAAAGCACGTGGCTTTCTCTTTGGTACAAGGCGGTCATAATAGAAATCAAGATAGTAAAAGAGACCGACTTGGGCAAGGCTAATATAACAGCAGCATATAATATCGTTATCTCGATATCAGCAACAAAAGGGGGACTGGCATCCTATACTCCAAGCTTCATGGCATCCTGGGAGAAGGAGGTACTCCCATATATACCTTTTCACTGAGAAATCCATAGATGTGTCTAGCTAGTTTTGACATAAATTCTCTGGGTCTACCTTTTGCATCATTTAACATTTGACTTTGTAAAAGTGTTTTCACATGTCAATCTGCAAAAGAAAAACCCAAGATGTGGATCCAGTTTTGAAGAGAAAAAAAACGAAATGTGGGTGGATATTTTGAATCTCTGCTGCACAACATTTTTCATCAGATCGCAAAATAACAGAAACAAAATAGAGGATTCAAAATTTCAAAACACTCTGAATAACAAAATGTTAGTTTCTGGCATAATTAAGCAGTGGTACATGTACTTGTTCGCGAAATTCAGAAAGATGTAAAGATCCACTTGCAGTATTTACATAATAAGTAATAATTTAATGATGAGGTCAACTTTGCAGTAGTTACATGAAGGTTCATTAATTTTATTGCAGTTTTGGTGTTTTAACAGCTTCAATGTAGTCAAAAATATTTACATGTATGTATAAAATAACGGATTTAGCTAAGCTATAAAAATATATATTTGATTTCCATGTATACATTTCAGAGGCGGCACTCCAGCATGTGTCTATGTTTTTTCGCTCAGAGCCACGTTGGGAGGTTGTCGAGCCTCTCCCTGATATAGGTTGGCGCCTCCGCAAACAGTATTTTCTTATAAGGCCAGTCGATCAACCAAAACAGAGACTCCTCCTTTCATGGGTATGTTTTCACTTTATAACTGGAATAATTAGTCTATGTATATATAAGTATACTTTTTCAATAAATGTTTCACTTCTTTGCCAGAGAATATTAAAAATTAAAGGGTTATGCTGAAATAAAGTGAGAAGCGTTGGACATTTTAGGAAAAAACATGATATGGAATAATAAAAAAGCAAAAAATATTGTACAATTGTGACATTTGTTTCCAAAGCTTACTATCAACTTGCCTCTGTCCCATCTACTATCTAATATATATGTAATTGTAAAATCCACTCATTGGAAATATTATGTTTTATTCAAAGTCAAATGTGAGACTTCTGTCTTTCATTTTCTCCCGGTACAATTTCATAAATGCAGCATCTTCTTCAGTTGTGAAGTAGTTCTTCCAGTCCCCAATCTCCCCCTTCCTCATAAATGGTGAAATATCATGATTCATTATTGGGAACCCCTCATAGTTCACCATCGGGTTGGCCTTCATATTTGCAAAAGACACATGGTCGCATATTGCCTTAAGGACGTCATCACCAAGATCTTTCTCGAGGAAGCCTGCAATTTGCTTGATCTGCTCCAAGGGGGATTTTTTGAGGTCTTCATACTTGATCAACAATATATGATCATCCTTGGTGGATGCCTCGTACCAGCCTAAGACATTTTTGAAGTAGTCTCCAATGCAGACGTAACCTTCCATAAACATGCTCAAGAATTCACTGAATGGGCCAGTAAAACTGCCTAAACTCGTGTTCATTTTGTAAAAGTTGTAGTATGATACAGCAACATCTTTTGGGTTTCTTACGACATAGATAATCTTTGGGCGATCAGTTTGATTAGAATCATACATTGCTGAGAATGCTGGGTAATTTAGATGTGTCTTGATAAGTCGAGGGCTTGACATGGTCTTGATTGCGTTAAATTCTTGTTTGAAATCCATGAATGGGAATCTCATGAATAAAGGTGTTTTCTTTGCGGCCTCAATGTCTCCATTATTGTGTATGAGCCAAACTATCTCCTGGGTCCATGTTGTGCCTGGAAATACAATTTGCAAGTTCTTGGGTTAAATCTTTAAATAATTTCCATTAAAAGGGCATTTCCAAATGGCCACTAATTTTAAAATAGTAATAAACATTGTCTAGTTCATAGGTCCAATTATATATTGATCCAATTATGTCTCATATTGACTCACACAAAACCTGCAAGTTTGAACACTTTTGGAGAAAGAGTCGAAGGCATGTGTGGCGAACCTTGGAAACCTGGATTCAGGAAAGCAGTGTTCACTGTTTTTTCCATGACACCTGTGCGAAACTACATTCATGACTTATACGACAGTGAACAGGAAATTTACAGTCGCACCTGGGTGCGCCGATTCCTTTTTATAAATGTTTGTTTCGCAAAGCTAGAAGACCCAGCCCTTATACTCGTTCGTTATCTATTTTGGCTAAGATAGTATATCAATATTACTGCTAAAGAAAGATTGACATTTTTATTATTTTTATTTATAAATATGGATAATATTTGATTTAAATACGCGCTTACCATCCTCCAGTGTTGACAATTTCTGTTGTGTCAGTCAGGGTCAAAATTTATAATATAGTATTAATAATGAGGAACCCTTCTAATAATAGCAATTAAATCCAGGTTTGAAAACTATCGAAAATATCACGAACAACTCTTTGAGAACAATTTGAGACTCTATCTTTTATGAATACTAGTATCTACAATTGGCTATCAATTTTTTCAATTTTTCTTCAACATGTAATTTAATGACTTCAGTATGAATGAAATGTCCCTTGGTGTTCTGGTCCTGGATTGTGATATTGGTTCTCGATTGGAGGGGAGAGGGGGGTGTTAGACATTGTTTCTTTTCACGTTAGATCATGGTTTTGGGATATATAGGGTCTACTTTTATACTTACAGTTTGCTTTTCTTGTTGGGTTTCTTTAAAGTTTTTAATCACCCTTCCCTTTGGCATTTGCGCTCATATATTCTAATTTATGAACCCTTCACATTTTTGCAACCCGAAAAGCGGATTTGGATAACGGCAAACCCTGGTTTTGAAGGCGCAGCTTACATGTATGTCACGAGTGCTTCTGCACTTTTGGCTGATCTTATTGGCATTTGAATTATTAGACATGTTTTACTGTATTCAATTAAGTCTTTTTACTCACCTGATCTTACATATGAGGAAACAATAATGTCCTCTTTTGTAAGCTTCATATTGTTGAAATCCTCTTCCTCTTCACTGCTAAGGAAATCTTTAACTAATAAATTTCCTTTGAACAGATGCTCATCCTTCATTCTATGTGCAAATTTCTTAGTGAATTGGTCTAAGTTTACTTTATCCATGATTTTACTCTATTTGATTGTATGGTGTTATACTTCTTGATTACTTTAAATTTGACTTTGAAAATATGTAAACGTATGTTATATTAAACAGCAAGCCAGAAGTACAGTATGATCTTTGTCAGGTTGAGTTGACTTTAACTAATAAATTTCCTTTGAACAGATGCTTTTTTAAGGTTAAGTTTTATTTCTTTGCATAATTTTATATAACAATATTTAACATACTAGGAAGGCCGAGGTAAAATTACATTGTTGGCCTCCCTATTAAATAAAAGTAGCAAAATAAAGTTGATATAAATGGTTTCAGACATGTATTGTAAATGTATTGTTTATAAGAGTCTCAGTGGCCACAGTTGAGATGATGATAACAATAGTGATGATGATGGTGATGAAATGTTGAGGCTAATGCTAAATGATAGAATCAACAAAATTTGCCGTAAGGTTCATAATATCAGCATTACATTTATCTGAGAACTTATGATCTCCAAAAAGTATGGTGTGGACTTTATCTACACTATTTAGACTGGCAAATTCTCTAAAGTTAAAATTTTGCAGCTCTTGTAGTTTTTGGGTAAAGATTGACCTTGTTCCAGTTGATAGAGGGCAGTAAAGTAATAAATGGGACTTGGTTTGCTGGGCATGTCCACAAGGGCAACTTGGGTCTGGATAGTTGTTGAAATTATGCCTAAAAAAGTCTGATTTAAGTGCTAGGTCTGCTCTTAAACGGTTTAGTTTAATTTCAATAGATCGATTTAAGTTCAATTTTGTTGTCAACACAGACCTAGGGTTTGGGTTATATTTGGTTTTCTTATACCTTGACTTGAAGGCTGATATTGAGGGGCTGCGTTTAACTTCAGGTGAAATCATTTTCCATATTCTTATTGGTGCTATGGCAGGAGAGTTTGTAAATTTCATTGAAGATTTTGCTGGAATATTATATTCGTGCCGGGCACGAAGTACACGCTCTGTACCTGGATTTTTAAGTTCATTGTATATAGATCGTATGTAACTAGGAGTCTTGTTTTTGGATACCTTATACATTAGAGTTGCCATTTTTTCTTCTCTTCTCTGACTTAGTGTCTTCCAGTTAAGTGAATTTAAGACTTTGATTTCAGAGGAGCCCTTAATGGCCCCAGAGACTAACAAGGCAGCTCTGTAGTGTAACCTATCCAAGGTATTTAGGGCATAATGTGGTGAACAATTATAAAAGATTGATCCGAATTCTAATTTTGGCAAAATGAACAATAAGTACATTCTTTCAAGGTGTTTGGATGAAATTTTATTTTTCAATGCTGTAAGTGGATTTAGCATTTTATCAATTTTGACTTTTAGCTGGGCTATATGTTCTTTGAAGTCAAGGTGGTTATCTAAGATAACTCCAAGATGTTTATGATAATTTACTCTTTCAATTATTCTGTTGCTCAAGGTCAAAATAGGAAAGTTTCTTACATTTTGAATAGATTTGGAAAAAATTATCTCTTTGGTTTTCGTGGGCTTAAAGTTAAGCCCCCAAACCCTTGACCAGTCATAGACATTGTCTAGATCATGTTGTAATAATGTATTTGATGGTAAAACATTTTCAAACTTGTGAACGGGGACATATATAGAAGTATCGTCAGCATAAATATAACATTTTGATTGGATGACCTCTGGGAGATCATTTATAAATAGCAGAAATAGGATGGGGCCTAGAATAGAGCCTTGAGGCACACCAGAGTTTATAAAATTTTCTTCAGAAAATTCGGATAAAGATCCATTAAGGCGTGTGCATACTCTTCTATTGTCTAGGTAGGATTTCATAAGTTTCAACAGGTTATCATTGAAGCCATAAGATTTTAGCTTGTGGATAAGTAAATCATGTCTGACTTTGTCAAACGCAGACTCCAGGTCCAAAAAGACTCCCCGTACATCCGCTTTGTCTTCAAATGCATTCATTATAAAATTAGTAATACTTAGTAGCTGACTGTCAGTGCTGTGACCAGGCAGGAAACCTGATTGATTTTCATATAATAACTTATTATCTAAAAGGAACTTCATCATCTGTTGATGCACTACTTTTTCGAATAATTTGGATATATTACTAAGTAATGTGACAGGTCTGTAATTTGTAATATCAGATTTATCACCTTTATTCTTATAGATTGGAATTATTATTCCATCTTTCCATGATCTTGGAAAAATGTTTTCAGTTAGAATTCTATTAAACAATAAGGCTAATGGTTTGTCAATAGATAAAATGCTCATGGTGAGCATTTTATTTGTAATACCATCCAAACCCTCACTTTTTGATGTGTCAAGGTCAGCTATGAGGGTTCTTATTTCCGATGGTGTGATTAAATTACAAGTCAAAAGATTGTTTGTTCTATTTGGAAAAAATGGTAATGCATTTGTGTCGCGGGTATTATCAAAGTGAAATTTACCTACGAACAATTTCAAAAATTTGTTTCGTTTTTCTTCATCTGTACTACATATGTTTGTCAAAGATGAATTTTTTAAAGTTGGAATTCCAGAGGAAAATTTATTTCCAAGTAATTTTTTAATAGCGCTCCAATAAAAATGTTCCCCACTTGAATAAGTGTGAAGATTTTCACAAATTTCCTGTTCATGGTTAAGTTTAGCCTTGTTAATAAGATTATTCAACATTTCAACTTTATTTTTATATTTCAACTTTGAATCCAAAGTGTTGTTTCTTTTGAATTTCTTATAATATTTGTCACGGTTATTCACAGCCTTTTTGATTTCGTCATTAAACCAAGGAAAATCTTTTGGTTTCCTCACCTTGATTTTGTGAGGTATGTTATGGTCAAAAATAGACAGTAACTTGGAGGAAAAATTTAAAGTTGACTCATCAATTGTGCCATTATTTATAATGTTGTTCCAATTCACAGAATTTATATCATTATTCAGGGCTTGCTGGTTGCAGTCTTTGTATTGCCAAGTTTTAGTAGTAATTTTAGGTTGATTTTTACTTGTAGCTAGCTGTAAATTACACACTATAGTACTATGGTCACTGCCCCCTATTGGGGCTAGGACTTCAGTACCAATCATGAGGCCTGGAGAATTTGAAAAAATTAGGTCAATGCATGATATACTATTTTCAGTTATTCTAGTTGGTTCATGAATAAATTGTTCAAACCCAAGATTAGTCATTGTCTCATATAATTTGGTTCCTGCTGTATTATCAATATCATGATCATAAAAGAATTTACTCCTGGCATTAAAATCCCCATTAATTAGTATCATGTCATATTTCCTTTCCCTCATAGCAGTTTCTACACTTTGCTCTAGTAATGTATTAAATTGTTCAATGTACCCAATCAATGTCTTTGATGGAGACCTATAGCATGTGCCTAGGAGGATTTTTTTGTGTTCAATGACTATCTCTAACCAACCAATCTCATTGAGTGTGCTAAGGTCATCCCTAGGCTTGAAAGCTAAATTTTCGTCCACATACATTAGAATTCCTCTCCCTTGAAAATTTTGAGGTTGGTATGGTTTATGAAAGCCATCAATCATTAATTTGTCTAAGTCAAGATTTTTCCCTGCTTCACAGACCGAGATTATTTGGCAATTTTGTAATTTGGCTGTTAATCCCAATTCTACAAACCTAGGACTATTTTCACCATCAGCAATTTTACCATTTATGTTACAGGACAATATATTAGTTTCTTGGTATCTTGGCCCTGGATTTACTTCAATGTCGTTAGCCAAAATTATAATTAATCTTATTATTACATTTGAACATAACAGAAGATATGATGCTAACCCTGGTACCATGAACAAGGTTCCTATACAGAGAAATAGTTTACTTTTTGGCTTAACAGTATGTCGACTCACTTGGTAGAGAGCCTGCATAATGGACCATATATATAAAATTGGAATGCTAAGCAAAATCCACCCAGCACAGACAAAAAGTATAAATGACAATGCATGAAAAGGCACATAACACATTTCTTGAATTATCAGTATGAATGTTAATTCCTTAATATATGTTAAAAAACAAAGTAAAATTTGTAGTGGGAAAATAACATCAGGTTTTAATTTGGTCATCTTACCAAAAGAATTAGGACAGCTTCTGTAGGTACAAGTAACTCTAAAGGTCCCTATACATGCCCTCCATTGCATTATATCAATGGAGCCTTTTGAGATAATCCCCAAACCACAAGGAATGCTGCATAATTTGTACTGAAGAATGAGATTGATGACTTAAATGCATGAATGATAAGTGATTGATAGATATTGGCACTGAAACTATTTACAAACAACATCACAAGATGTTTATGGAAGAAAAACCAAAACAAATACGGCAATGTGTGAGATCACAAAGATGTTACATATGTCCAACACAGTAGATCCATTTAGTAATTTGAATCAAAGAATATCATAAATGAGCCCTAAACAGTATAGGTGCGAAATGTACACTAGAGGCACTATTGTAATATTATAACAAAATACCAAAAGCCAATATGTCCCTTAGTCATCCATTAGCAAGAAAAAGAATCTTCTTGTCAAAAAAGAACCAAACAATAAAACATATATCATTAAAATAGTTTCCTACGCCTATAATGGACCTATATACAATTTATGTACAACGTAGCAGATCATTCTTTGAGGCCATCAAAGGAGGGTCCAAAATAAGAATAAATATGAGATAGTCAGTAACTAACATGCCTGACTTTTGCCTGTGTATTCCAAGTAATACAAGATGCATGTTGAGTTTCACTAGCTCCAAATCTAGAAGCTTGGAAGTGTGAGTCATTACAAACAGATTGAAAACTGTTGTCACCATGTTGTAACCCTCCCTTTGCAGCCTCAAAAAAATTCTGATCACCTACAATATGACTACATATAAACATTTAAATGTACTCGCTTAAATTATCGTTTACATGTCGTGTTTGACAGTCAAATATTTATGTGGTAATACTATATGTAATTCAGAAGTGTATGAAAAATGTGCATGAAATTTTAGTAAATCAGTTAACAATGAGTAATCTGTGCTTGCACATGTATTCATGGGTGTAGATTTTAGCGATATAATGTAAACGTGTGTATAAATTTCTAGGAAACCCAGCACTGAGCAAATGAGTTCTTGAAATTTCCCTGACGACTCTCGTTTGTGTTTGTACATATAGCTTTCTTTCAAGACCAATAGGCCTACAAAATACCTAAAACTTAAAATTTAAATTACCTCAAACTTTGTTGTTGTTACTGTCAATCGCAAGTATCCATGTTGGTAACAAAATCAAAAGAAAAGAAAGCAAATATCAATGTATTCACTCGTGATTTATGAGAGCATTTTGTACAGTTAGAATTGGGTCAAGTGCCCGGATATGTCAATATACAGTATGTCATGTGACTGTCATGTGATCTAATGTACGATCAACCAAAACAAATGTTTAGGAGAATTACACGCTGATCGCTCGAAGCTGGTCTTCAATGCTGTCAGTAATGTTTATCTGGCCTACCTGTCCACTCCTCACTTTGGCCATGATTTTACCATTAGATGACCAGGCCTGATCGACGTCAGGATGCTGGTTTACCTGCCATAACAGTTTTCTATTTGTTGGACTGAGATCATCAAACACTTTGATGCTTGTTTTGTAAAGGTGTCGCTTCATCTGCCTCATCAACACGTCTTTCGAAGCTCTGAATTTGAATTTCACGAGCACTGGTCTTGGACCATTCCTGGCATATACTCTGTGGGCAACTTCAATGTCATCAACATTTAGCCTGACTTTACAGTGGTCGGGCATCAGGCTATTTACTTTTTCGGCTACTAGGCCAGCACAATCCTCTCTATTTGCAGGTTCAGTCTCTGATGTAGCATTTACACCGGATTCTTGTATTCCTAGGACACGTACACTATTTTTACGAGAGTACTGGTCATTGTGATTGCATTGTTCACCCAAAGTATTACATGTTTTCTCGAGGGCAATCAATTTGTCATTAAGCTTTTTATTTTCGGTTTCTAGCTGTTTGTTGTTGTTTTTGAGCTCACTCATATGCGTTTCTATCTTAGCATCAACGATTTTTGAGATCATTTTTTCAATATTAGAAGACATTTTATCAATCATAGTGGTCATAATTTTCTCCGATTGGGTATCAAGGAGAGATTGTATTTGCTGGAGTTGGTTTTCACTAAATGGTTTCGATGACGTGTCAATGTCAGAAAATACTTCATCACTTACTTTGTCGAGTGAGTTGCCACTTTTTACACATGTTTCACTGATGTCAGTAGTTTTGGAAGCCTCATCTGTATTGTCGTCTGTGCTAGGAAAGCCTGCTTCTTTTCGAGTACGTTTATCACGAGATATCGATCTTTCTCTGTTCTGGACGCCATCTTGATCTTGATTTGCGATTTCCCTTCCCTGTCCTTTTAAACTGTATTCCTTCAGTGAAGTTTGTTTCGGCATGGTCTAAGAATGTCTCTAAGTGTTAACTATGTATTCATATACTAGTATTTGTAGGTTATACTGCGTTGGAATGTCCTTTCGTTACATAAATATACAAATTCTCACCACACTACGATTTTTCACACCGTCATGTTGAAACCGGAAGCACTTCCTGAAACCGGAAGCACTCATCCTTCATTCTATGTGCAAATTTCTTAGTGAATTGGTCTAAGTTTACTTTATCCATGATTTTACTCTATTTGATTGTATGGTGTTATACTTCTTGATTACTTTAGATTTGACTTTGAAAATATGTAAACTTATGTTATATTAAACAGCAAGCCAGAAGTACAGTATGATCTTTGTCAGGTTGAGTTGACTGCATTGTTATGTTGGCCCTTGACTCAAGAACACCCATAAATTAATACACCAAAAATACATCAATTACTTATTCAGACATGTTGCAATATAATAGGAATATGCACTGACTTAAACATTTTGAGTAAGTTATATCTTTAACAATGTGCATTTGAGCTACTGAGTGTTGCATCCTACTGAACATTTGAAAATCAAATGTCACCCTGTTGAAAATCTGATTTCACCCTGTCAGTATCAAAGGGTACAATATTCAGGTGTCCTTTTGATGCCATACCCTTTTATGTCACACCCCTATGTCACACCTTCTTATGTCACACCCTCTTATGTCATACCCTCTTATACCATACTCTCTTATGTCATACCTTCTTGTGTCATTCCCTCTAGTCATACCATCTTATGTCATACCTTCTTATGTCATTCCCTCTTATGTCATACCCTCTTATGTCACACCCCTTATGTCACACCCTCTTGTCATACCCTCTTATATCATACTCTCTTATGTCATACCTTCTTGTGTCATTCCTTCTTATGTCATACCATCTTATGTCATACCCTCTTGTGTCATACCCTCTTATGTCACACCCTCTTATGTCATGCCCTCTTATGGCATACCTTCTTATGTCATACCCTCTTTTATCATACCCTCTTATCTCATACCTTCTTATGTCATTCACTCTTATATTATACCCTCTTATATCATTCCATCTTATGTCATACCCTCATATGTCATACCCTCTTATGTCATACCCTCTTATTTCATACCATCTTATGTCATACCCTCATATGCCATACCCTCTTTTATCATACCCTCTTATGTCATTCCCTCTTCTGTCATACCATCTTATGTCATACCCTCTAATGTCATACCCTCTTATGTCATTTCCTCTAATGTCATACCATCTTATGTCATACCCTCTTATATCACAACCTATTGTCATACCCTCTTATGTCACACCCTTTCATGTCATACCCATACTTCTGTTAAGGAATTAATTGACTGCAATTTAAATGTCTTTGTGTATTTTACAGAGTGATTACGGCCCGGACAAGTTCCTCTCAGATTCCAACTTACAAGCAATTATGAAGCTTTTCTCATCATTCCAGGTATGTTTAATATGTGTATGTGTCATCATTCCAACTATGTTTAAAATTTGTATGTGTCATCATTCCAGCTATGTTTGAAATGGGTATGTGTCATCATTCCAGGTATGTTAAAATGTGTATGTGTCATCATTCCAACTATGTTTAAAATTTGTATGTGCCATCATTCCACGTATATTTAAAATGTGTATGTGTCATAATTCCAGGTATGTTTAAAATATGTATGTGTCATCATCCCAGGTATGTTTAAAATATGTATGTGTCATCATTTCAGGTTAGTTGAAAATGTGTATGTGGTGTCATCATTTCAGCTATGTTTGAAATGTGTATGTGTCATCATTCCAGGTATCTTTAAAATATGTGTCATCAGTTCAGGTATGTTTGAAATGTGTATGTGTCATCATTCCAGCTATGTTTGAAATGTGTATACGCCATCATTCCAGGTATGTTTAAAATGTGTATGTGTCATCATACCAAGTATGTTAAAATGTGTATGTGTCATCATTCCAGCTATGTTTGAAATGTGTATGTGTCATTATTCCAGGTATGTTTAAAATGTGTATGTGTCATCATTCCAGGTATGTTAAAATGTGTATGTGTCATCATTCCAGCTATGTTTGAAATGTGTATGTGTCATTATTCCAGGTATGTTTAAAATGTGTATGTGTCATAATTCCAGCTATGTTTGAAATGTGTATGTGTCATCATTCCAGATATGTTTGAAATGTGTTTGTGTCATCATTCCGGGTATGTTTGAAATGTGTGAAATATGGCCCATTAATCAAAAGCAAATTGGCACTGGGCTTCTCGTTTGTATTTCATATACTGCTTTCTGTATAGATGTATTCCACTTCTACTATAAGATTGTGAAAAGCATTTTGAGACTTTAATGATCTGTAACAGCAAAACTTATATTCACTCTCGCTCATCTCTCTTAATGTTAGGCATTTATTTTAAGAAATGACGGTCATGTTAATTATGACATCATAAGACAGCAATCTTATTTGCATATTCTACCAAATTTGTAGAATGGCATAATATCTCTAAAATGATATATAACAGAGATCATGATATAAAGGTAATAAGATTTTCATGTTACTTTTTAAAAGATGTACAAACTTCAAGGAGTAAAGAAAACTACATGTTTTGATTTTCAGCATCCATACATTTACCCAGTGGAGTTTTCAACAAGTAATGAAGCAGGCGGTCTAGCCATTAGAACATTTAATGAAAAAGGCACATTAAGGGACTATATATGTAAAGCCAAAGTTAGATATCCCTTTCTAAAGAAATACCCAAACCCAAAACAGCGTCAAGGCCTTCAGTTGCATGAAATCAAAGTCATAGGAAAACAGTTACTGGAAACCATGAAATATTTACAAGATAAAGGTCTGCCATTTGGTGAGTAATTTTTATGTCAACTCATTAATGTAAACATAAAAATGTGGTGACATATTGTGATAATCACCTTTTCATGTCACCACCCATTCTGATACTCATCACATCTTTCTGTCTTAAACTAGAAATATAAACTATAATATACTAGAGAGTGAAGCTAATAGAAGCCCATGATTTCTCATGATAGTCACCACCACAAGTTGTGACATATTGTTATAGTGTTCAGCATCTGTACCAAATGGTGTCTGTACCAAATGGCATCTGTAACAAATGGCAGGTGGTGTCATTTTGCATCTCAATGCCTTGTTTCCTTTGTGACATTTAGCATGACTCTCATATTTTTATTTTTAATATATCATAAAATACCATGTTAAAGAAAATTGAAATGTGGACACCTGCTATTAAGCCAATCCAATGTTCAGATTAGGCAGGTTTTCATTCATCTTGTTCAAAACTACATTGTTTATTGTCTCTTGATTTACTTCTAGGTCATCTTCACACAGGGAATATCATTCTAGAAGGCAACACATGTAAATTATTAGACATTGAGAACTGGTTACTAGGGTTACCATCATACTACAGACCTTACATTGTGCAGTATAAAAAAATATTAGTAAGTGAAATTTTCTCATCCATTTCCCAACATGCAGTTCATGGACTTCCTTTGACTAATTTATTTTTCCAATCGACAAAATCTAAACCCTTGTTAAGTAAAATATTAAGAATGCAAGTAAACACCTTTTGTAAGTTAATGTTTCATATACCTGTAGTTTAGTGGTTAATCCAAGTTTTACTATGATTTTTAATTTTTTATTATTTAGATGTATCTTAATTTATTTTTTGTTATTTAGATAGTGTATATCTTTTATTTCTTTAGTTACAAAGCCAAATATTACAGAATTTTTGTAAATTCCAGACATCTGAATCTTTAGACTCTTACAGTTTTGGCCAAGTGTTGTTTGAGATGACATTTGGCCAACCACTTGGTAGAGCCAATTGTGATCAGTTTCCTGCTCAATGTCCTCCTGAAATAAGTAAGTTCAAAATAAATGATAAACATGATTTCCATATTTTAAGTTTTCATCAAATTAAACCACTTTGCCATGACAACCTGATATGCACCATTTTAATAGAGATGATAATGGCTTTTACTCTTTCCTGTAATAATTTACGATTGGAATGGGCCAAAAATGACTTTTTTCAAGGAATAGTTGTCACTGACTTTTTTTGTCATATTGTTAGAGCCGTTAGAGCCACCATTTAAAGTGATGGCCATTCAGTAATCTGCATCATCATTTGTGGTCTCTGCTTCATTTGCAATAAGTCCACTTACACCCCCAAAATGCAATCTGATTTTCGACGCCGTTTTAGTGCCAAATTTCGGTGCCGTTTTGGCACCAAATAGACTGACTACAGACTAGTCCGGTGGCAAATTTTGGTGTCGAAAGGTTTTGGTGCCGGAACGGTGTCAAAACGGTGCCGGAACAGCGCCGAATGTTTTTGATTCTGAAACAGCCCCGAATTATATTGGCTGTGTAGCAGGTAGCCTTATCTTATTTAGTGTTTTTCTGCATATTCCAGGGGGAGTTTTAGAATCTGTCCTAACCAGTGAAGCTTGCAAAAATGGCATCCCAAGTGTATCTGATCTTCTCCTACATCCGTAAGTACCATTACTAATGATATCTATATAGATTAAATAGATTTATGTCATATATTTTAGTCTACTTATATATCAAAACATGGTTTTTACATCGTGAGTGGTCTAAGTGATTTTTCTTTAAAAACAGTTTGAATTGCACAGAACGTTGCATGTATCTTTTTGTAACTCATACTTGCAGTAATTCAATTAACTCGGGTAATGATAATAAAAATTCAGATATCGTACTTGTTTTTGACATGATTCTTTTTCTGATGCTTAGGCTGTTCAGTGCTACCACATTATCTCACACAGAGAAGCCAGTCCTTAAGATCCCCAGCAAATTGAAGGAAGCAATCAGAGCTGCCAAATTAGAGGTGGACAAACGAATGAAAGAGGAAATGAAATTTGTAAGTGATTAATTTGAGATAGTCTAAATATGCATAATCTCTGACCAGAGTAATAGGCACTTTGGCTTTTTCACTTATGTATATTAGTGAAAAAATAATTGCTTTTTTATCTGATATTTATTGATTTTTCAAAGAATACTACAATACAGTAATACTACAAATAGTTCAACATGATTTTCAATGGTCATTTGCCATAATTTATGTATAGTGTGAATGTAGTCTATAGATTAATGACATCAGAAATGACAGATATAAATGAAGTTACTATATCTAGTATTAAGTCTAATTATTGTGATTTTTCATGCAGTTGAGTTCGTTCCGAAGACTGTCCAAGGCGCAGGCTCACCATTCGTCAGATGAAGAAAAGAAAAAGAGAAGGCGATCAAAAAAGGTTGGACATTTTGTGTACAATACATTAGTTTTATGCAGTAAAGAACTTATGCTTAATTGTATGTTTTGCTTTTGTTATGGTCTTTATCCATGTAGAAACTTGCACAATAGCTCAAAGGAGACGCATTTGTAGAAAATAAACCCAGAAGTTTATCTCTAGATATCTTAATCATTCAGTCGAAATGTTTAGACATGCGCAGACCTCTATTTAGTGATATTTTCATTTCAAATATGGCGGCCAATCCGATGTCTGACGACCCTTCCAAAGAATCTAGGCAGTTTGCATTTTTACCTCCTGTGAAATAACAAGTGGAATTTAGTAGTTGTTTTGTGTTTTATTATCATTCTGCATCGTAATTCTATGTGATGTGGTGTTGAAATGTCAGCAGAAATACATATCCATACGATAATCGAGTGAATCAGATAACAGATTTTTCGAAAACCCGTTTCGTGCTAAGAGTGTAAAAACTTGTATTAACATGCTCAAAAGTGCCAATGAGCACATAAATGTCAAGCTAAATCAATGTTGTGTCTAAAACAGGTACCTGATCGACTCAAAACAGCTTGTCATTCACGTATACACGCTTAGCAAACACGGCGAAATGATCTGAATCTTGGAATTTCGTTCGAGAGCTAGTAATGTTTGCTCCGGTCTTCGTCATAAGTGTCATCAGACTTCACGCATGCTCAGGAGAAAAACCATCAACCAATAACGTTTTATAAATCAATTTTGCGCATGCGCCTTACAACGGTAAAGAAATTCGTATTTATAAACGAACCAATTTGAGATAACCCGATATCAGTCGGAGAAATCTGACGATCTACGAAACTCACTTCAAAAAATCAAATGCGGACTGACGGCGTATTCTACTATGTTTGGATCTAAGATTTTCAGTATAGATAAAGTCTTTTATGATCTTTCGAATGAGGTAAGTGTCTAGTTCGAAAGACAATCGTATCAACTTGAACAAAAGTTGAGTTTTGACGAAAAAATTTAACATGCGCAGAAGTCCCATTTTCGTTGTACCATATTGACTGCATTACCCAAATGCAGCGCTACATCTCTATTTTAATCCTACTTTTATGCATAACACTCTTCAGGGTTAGTGTAATACGAAATGTAATTATATTTTCAGAAGTCAATGGCAGACAGAGATAGCACTATAAGTGAGAACGGTGATACACCAACATCACCAACCTCACCAATGACACCTACATCACCTATGACACCTACATCACCAGGTAAGTGCGAGTGTCTGTATACTAATACATTGTCATGGTAACCCAAAAATAAAACAAGTAATAATCTGTAAGGCTAGATTGACAATTTTTGCTACAGCTTTTTAATACAAGCCCTAGTAACGTGCGTTTTACTCTTTATTTAACTTCTATGTCATTTCAATGTCAACAAAGATATAGAATTTAAAGTTTGAGATTTGGAAAAACTACATGACTTTGTGTCAAGAGTCTAGTGTACAATTTCCCCTAAATTAATAGAACATTTTAAGTATGATGAGCATAATTTGCTGAAATAAAGCTAAACACCATACATTGAGATCTTTAAATAGAACAATTGACTATGATTAGTGTCATTTTAAGGTAGGCCATGTCTGATGGTTTATCTGACTATTTAGTCAATGGATTAACAACATGATGCAAATTTGAAAACAGAAATTGACTGACTTTGCCTTCCTTGAAATATATTGTTTTGCATGAATCAGGTCAAATATCACTTCCTTACTTCCGAAAAAATCTAAACTTGAGACGCTAAATCAGCGGGAAACTCAAATATTTGAAAAGACCAACAACTTTTTTCAAAAAAATGTTTCATACAATTTTTCAAGTCATGACAAATGATAATAATTACAAATAAATTGGACGATTAAGCAATATTGTCAAACTATACACGGGGCCTTTAACCAAAATGAGAAGTATTTTTTTTCAACCTTTATATGTTAGTTTGTTATTTTAATAATGCCTCATCTATTTTTGATTTATTTCAAATTGAGTTCTGGGACAAGAGTTAATAATATCATGGTAGTCATTATTTGAAATTCAAAATAGAGAACAATGAGTGAAATGAACAAGGAATGGATGAAATATGCATGAAGTGTGCACTTAAAATTCTATGAAATTAAATGAATATCAAGCAAATCAAGCGAAATCAGCATGACCTTAAAAAAGAATTCACATGAAAATTTATTTAATCATGGGGTTCAATTCTATTTATCTTTATCTTTCATGTCTCAGATGTATTTTGAATGCAAAAGATCGCAATTTTCATTCAAATTGACATTCATTGTTTTTATTGCTTTTTAGATTCTTGATGGACTATCTAGATGCGCTAAGATACAATGTAAACATTGTTAAAATATATACTCTATGTCTAGATTTTTTCTGTACTTTCTTAGTGTATGTAATCTACATGTGTACAGTTTGAATTGTAAAACAAGTGATTTCCATTTTGTTAGACTGTTATGTGATTAAAGGATGTCAGGTTTAATGAGAAATTACTCATTTTAAACTTGACCCTTTTAATTTTAAGTTTCCATGAATGTATCATGTATTGTACCTCCCCCCTCATGGTTAACTGTAAAGTCTTGTTTTACAATACCTGCCTGTATTTCATTGTTGGCTATGGGCTTGCTGGGATTGGCTTTGAATACAACTTTTTTATTATTTTTTTTGAAATACACTGTACCTGTTTTTACTCCTTTTTAATATTATGTTCTCACACTCTTATAACAGATCAGAAAAATGTAGATTTTGAATTATTTTTCCATTAATTTTTTTCTAAAACACAATTCATGAGTACTCTGGTCTTGTGAGTAACTTGTCATTTACGTACTTTGTCATTTGTTTACATTGTTATATGAGTACCATATCATGTGAAAACTTTGTCAAGCATGTACCCTGTTGGAAAATAAACATATAAATACCCTATCATATGAGCAGTCAGTCATATTAGTACTCTATCATATGAGCAGTCAGTCATATTAGTACTCTATCATATTAGTACTGTGTCATATGAGCAGTCAGTCATATTAGTACTCTATCATATGAGTATCACATTCAGTGAGCACTCTATCATATGAGTACCACATTCAATGAGTACTCTATCATATGAGTATCACATTCAGTCAGTATTCTATCATATTAGTACTCTATCATATGAGCAGTCAGTCATATAAGTACTCTATTATAAGAGTATCACATTCAGTTAGTATTCTATCATCTAATTAGTACTCTATCATATGAGCAGTCAGTTATATAAGTACTCTATCATATGAGTATCACATTCAGTGAGTATTCTATCATATTAGTACTCTATCATATGAGCAGTCAGTCATATTAGTACTCTATCATATGAGTATCACATTCAGTGAGTGTTCTATCATATTAGTACTCTATCATATGAGCAGTCAGTCATATTAGTACTCTATCATATGAGTATCACATTCAGTGAGTATTCTATCATATGAGTACCACATTCAGTGAGTACTCTATCATATGAGTACCACATTGAGTGAGTACTCTATCATATGAGTACCACATTGAGTGAGTACTCTATCATATGAATACCACACTCAGTGAGTATTCTATCATATAAGTACTCTATCATATGAGCAGTCAGTCATATAAGTACTCTATCATATGAGTACCACATTGAGTGAGTACTCTATCATGTGAGTACCACATTGAGTGAGTACTCTATCATATGAGTACCACATTCAGTGAGTACTTTATCATATGAGTATCACATTCAGTGAGTACTTTATCATATGAGTATCACATTCAGTGAGTACTCTATCATATAAGTACTCTGTCATATGAGTACCATGTGGTGTGACAATTATGTATATTTATCATATGAGCTCCATGCCATATGAGTAGTCTACCATATAAGTAACATGTTGTATATACAAGTAGTCTGTCATATGAGTACTTTGTCCTGTGAGTGGTCTGTTTTATATGTGTATATTCTGTCATATGAGTAATTAATTAATTTTTTTCTAAAACACAATTCATGAGTACTCTGGTCTTGTGAGTAACTTGTCATTTACGTACTTTGTCATTTGTTTACATTGTTATATGAGTACCATATCATGTGAAAACTTTGTCAAGCATGTACCCTGTTGAAAATAAACATATAAATACCCTATCATATGAGCAGTCAGTCATATTAGTACTCTATCATATGAGCAGTCAGTCATATTAGTACTCTATCATATGAGCAGTCAGTCATATTAGTACTCTATCATATGAGTATCACATTCAGTGAGCACTCTATCATATGAGTACCACATTCAATGAGTACTCTATCATATGAGTATCACATTCAGTCAGTATTCTATCATATTAGTACTCTATCATATGAGCAGTCAGTCATATAAGTACTCTATTATAAGAGTATCACATTCAGTTAGTATTCTATCATCTAATTAGTACTCTATCATATGAGCAGTCAGTTATATAAGTACTCTATCATATGAGTATCACATTCAGTGGGTATTCTATCATATTAGTACTCTATCATATGAGCAGTCAGTCATATTAGTACTCTATCATATGAGTATCACATTCAGTGAGTGTTCTATCATATTAGTACTCTATCATATGAGCAGTCAGTCATATTAGTACTCTATCATATGAGTATCACATTCAGTGAGTATTCTATCATATGAGTACCACATTTAGTGAGTACTCTATCATATGAGTACCACATTGAGTGAGTACTCTATCATATGAGTACCACATTGAGTGAGTACTCTATCATATGAGTACCACACTCAGTGAGTATTCTATCATATTAGTACTCTATCATATGAGCAGTCAGTCATATAAGTACTCTATCATATGAGTGCCACATTGAGTGAGTACTCTATCATGTGAGTACCACATTGAGTGAGTACTCTATCATATGAGTACCACATTCAGTGAGTACTTTATCATATGAGTATCACATTCAGTGAGTACTTTATCATATGAGTATCACATTCAGTGAGTACTCTATCATATAAGTACTCTGTCATATGAGTACCATGTGGTGTGACAATTATGTATATTTATCATATGAGCTCCATGCCATATGAGTAGTCTACCATATAAGTAACATGTTGTATATACAAGTAGTCTGTCATATGAGTACTTTGTCCTGTGAGTGGTCTGTTTTATATGTGTATATTCTGTCATATGAGTAATATATGAGTACTCTGCTGTGTCTTGTTAGTAGTTTTCATTTGTTTGTAGTACAAGCTAACATGTTGTGTAGGCTTGGAGAAATCTAATTGACACTAATACCACTTTGAACAATTCTCAACGCATTAACATTCTTATTTACTTGTGTTCTTTGTCTAACAAAAGTAATTTTGCACAGTTGTCTGAAACAAAAAGGTTGTTGTCTGCAGCAGGACTATATTACTAAAGTACCCAATATCAGCAAGATGATTTCATCAGTTTTTGAGCCAATGGGAACACTCATCCATCTGTCAGTTTTTGAGCCAATGGTAAACATCTCATGTAGTATAGTAGGAACAAGGGGTTCCCATGCACCCATAAGGTGTGAATAAGTTACATACATTTTTGTAATCCCTAGGGTGTCTATTTAATGAATTCATTTGTTAACATTGCCAACTAATGTCCCATAGTACTTTTATGGCGGCATTCAGTTACCATGGTTACGCATCTTTAGACATCTTACCTTGGTATCTTAAATCATTTGTAGCTCTGTCATTATTTGGTCTATAGAAATGATATTGGTACCAAATTGAACCTCGTTAAATTCCCAATAAATTTCTGATATTCAATTATGCAAATTATCTAATTTGCATAAATTATGACGTCATCAATCTATTTTTGGTTCGGAATTTCCAACTATAGCAACGTATCTATTAGAACTGAGGCCGTATGGCAAAATTTCTGAAAGGTTTTGTCCTTTTTTCTATTAGTAGAAGGTATAAGCAACATAAAAGTGAAAACAGATTCAAAATTGAATCAGTATTACGAAAGTTATGTAACTTTAGAGGCAGCTATCGTGAATGTCATTATTTGACAATAATATACATTACGTCTTACCTTGGAGTCTTGAATCAATGTAGCTTCGCCATTATTTGGTCTATAGAGATGATATTGGTATCTGATTAAACCTTTTTAAATTTACTATATGGTTACAATATTCAGTTATGCAAATTAGCTAATTTGCATTAATTGTGACGTCATCAATCCATTTTTGGTTCAGAATATCCTAGTATAGCAACATATCTATTAGAACTGAGGCCTTATGACAGAATGTGTGCATAGTTTTGTCCCTTATTTGATGAGTGGCAGATATAAGCAACATTAAAGAGACAACAAATCTTCAAAATTGGATCAGAATTAACAAAATTATCCAGCTTTGGAGGCAGCTACTGTGAACGTCATTGTTTGACAATTATAAAAAGAATATTAAATTAACAAAAAAAGTAACAACCATAGTTGTTTCAATCTTATTGAGTAAAAATGTGCATGTATTGAACTGAACTAATAAGTATGTGGAAAGGTTACATGTATTTTGACTATCATTCACAGGGCTCAAAACGGTTATCTCGACCCTGTATATTAAAGATGCAATTTTATAATTTACCATGCACTTTCAATGATTCATATAAATAGTACTAGTATACGTATAGTCTGATTTTCATCATATTCTTCATATTCTTGATTCTTAAAGCATCTGAAGTATAAAGCATGATTAGAAGTGAAGATGATTCATCATATGGTTTATGTAATATTTCTAACATTTCAGATGCTATGGTAACATCACTTGATAATGAGGTTTTTACATTTCACGTTCTTAATGAGTTAAAATAAAGTTATTCTCCCTTTGCTTTAGAGAAAAATAGTCACATCAATTTGTTTAAAAAAATTATAACTTAATTTAACCACCTCCTGACAGCCCCCATATTTGAAGATTTTGGTGAAACCTGGCAAAATACATTAATTATTATGTTCCAGAAGCGCCCAGAAGCTATATGATGGCCCCCAGTGGCCCCAAGAATCTATACAGGGGCCCCAAGTGCCCCCAGAAGGTATACGATGGCCCCCAGAAGCTATACAGGAGCCCCCAGAAGCTACACGATGGCCCCCAGAAGCTATACAAGGGCCCCCAGAAACTAAACTGTGGTCTCGAGAAGCTATATGGTGACCCCCAGTGGCCCTCAGAAGCTATATGATGGCCCCCAGAAGCTAATTAGTGGCCCCAAGGAGCTATATGGTGGTTCCCAGAAGCTATACAGGGAACCCCAGTGGCTCCAAGAAGCTATATGGTGGCCCCCAGAAGCTATACAGCAGCCCCCAGAAGCTACACGATGGCCCCAAGAATCTATATGATGGCCCCCAATGGCTCCCAGAAGCTATACAGGGCCCCCAGTAGCCCCTAGAAGCTATACGGTGGCCCCCAAAGCTATATGGTGGCCCATTGGGAGACACTATAGCTTCTGGAGGCCATCATATAGCTTATGGGGTCTACCGTATAGTTTCTGCGGGCCCTTGCATAGCTTCTGGGGGCCATCGTATAGCTTCTGGGAGCCACTGTGGGCCCCTGTATAGCTTCTGGGGGCCACTATATAGCTTTCGGGGCCACTGGGGGCTCCTGTATAGCTGCTGGGGGCCACCGTATAGCTTCTTGGGGCCACTGGGGTCCCCTGTATAGCTTCTGGGAGCCACCGTATAGCTCCTAGGGGCCACTAATTAGCTTCTGGAGGCCATCATATAGCTTCCGAGGGCCACTGGGGGCCATCATATAGCTTCTGGAGACCATAGTATAGTTTCTGGGGGCCCTTGTATAGCTTCTGGGGGCCATAGTATAGCTTCTGAGGGCCCCCGTATAGCTTGTGGGGGCCACCGCATAGCTTTTTGGGGCCACTGGGGGCCCCTATATAGCTTCTTGGCGCCACCGTATAGCTCCTGGGGGCCACAGGGTTTCCTGTATAGCTTCTGGGAGCCACCGTATAGCTCCTGGGGGCCACTATTCAGCTTCTGGGGGCCAACATATAGCTTCTGGGGAGAACAGTATAGCTTCTGGGGGCCACTTGGGGCCCCTGTATAGATTCTTGGGGCCATCATATAGCTTCTGGGGGCTTCTGGAACCTAATAATTAATGTATTTTGCCAGGTTTCACCTACCCTTTGCATTCGTTTGACTTCACTTCTTAAAAGAGAGCTTCGTCTTCACTCTTTCAAACTAAAATAAACCCGTGAACTCACCGCGCCAATCAGTGTTTGTCGGCCAAATTTGACCGACGTTCTATATATGGCCATTCCTTCTGACATCATCTTTGAGCACGGAATTGACCAATGACATATGAACATTTAATTAGAACGCATTTGGCGTATGTTTATTTATGTGTGATTTATTACCCAAACTGTCACTGGTACCCGTTGTGAGTGCGGGGCTACTAAACTGCAATATGGTCTCTACTAGGCAGAGTGTAGTTTAACTAGACTCTGCACGCAGGGTAAGGGGGGGGTTAAATTAATTAAGTTATAATTTTTCTAAACAAATTCATGCGACTATTTATCTCTAAAGCAAAGGGAGCATAACTTCCTTTTAACTCATTAAGAACGTGAAATGTAAAAACCTCATTATCAAGTGACGTTACCATAGCATCTGAAATGTTAGAAATATTACATAAACCATATGATGAATCATCTTCACTTCTAATCATGCTTTATACTTCAGATGCTTTAAGAATCAAGAATATGAAGAATATGATGAAAATCAGACTATGTGTATACTATTTATATGAATCATTGAAAGTGCATGGTAAATCATAAAATTGGATCTTTAATATACAGGGTCGAGATAATCGTTTTGAGCCCTGTGAATGATAGTCAAAATACATGTAACCTTTCCACATACTTATTAGTTCAGTTCAATACATGCACATTTTTACTCAATAAGATTAAAACAACTATGGTTGTTACTTTTTTTGTTAATTTAATATTCTTTTGATAATTGTCAAACAATGACGTTCACAGAAGCTGCCTCCAAAGCTGGATAATTTTGTTAATTCTGATCCGATTTTGAAGATTTGTTGTCTCTTTAATGTTGCTTATATCTTATATCTTCCACTCATCAAATAAGGGACAAAACTATGCACACATTCTGTCATAAGGCCTCAGTTCTAATAGATATGTTGCTGTACTAGGATATTCTGAACCAAAAATGGATTGATGACGTCACAATTAATGCAAATTAGCTAATTTGCATAACTGAATATTGTAACCATATAGTAAATTTAATAAGGTTTAATCAGATACCAATATCATCTCTATAGACCAAATAATGGCGAAGCTACATTGATTCAAGACTCCAAGGTAAGACGTAATGTATATTATTGTCAAATAATGACATTCACGATAGCTGCCTCTAAAGTTACATAACTTTCGTAAAACTGATTCAATTTTGAATCTGTTTTCACTTTTATGTTGCTTATATCTTCTACTAATAGAATAAAGGACAAAACTTTTCAGAAATTTTGCCATATGGCCTCAGTTCTAATAGATTCGTTGCTATAGTTGGAAATTCTGAACCAAAAATAGATTGATGACGTCATAATTTATGCAAATTAGATAATTTGCATAATTGAATATCAGAAATTTATTGGAAATTTAACGAGGTTTAATTTGGTACCAATATCATTTCTATAGACCAAATAATGACAGAGCTACAAATGATTTAAGATACCAAGGTAAGATGTCTAAAGATGCGTAACCATGGTAACTGAATGCCGCCATAAAAGTACTATGGGACATCAGTTGGCAATGTTAACAAATGAATTCATTAAATAGACACCCTAGGGATTACAAAAATGTATGTAACTTATTCACACCTTATGGGTGCATGGGAACCCCTTGTTCCTACTATACTAATGGCATAGTTTTGATTTTAATATATCTTTTTATGAATTTTGTCTTTGTACAATCACATTAAAAATGAAATTGTTGCATGGGCAGATGCATGTTAATTCTCCTTCATATTTTTAGGATGGTCGTCAAAAAATATTTTACTCGTCCATTCAAATTTAGAAAATTTAGTAAAGATAAAATTTAAGCTACTGGTGAATGACCATTAAATCCACTACAAAACACATTAGTTAGAGGCTGAGGCTTGCTGTACAGAATTTAGTTAAAATACTAACAATATGGATCTGCCTGGTTATGGCTGAGGGTTAAGAATGTCTAGCACCTCGTCATTCTGAAAATAGGTGAATGAAACAGGCATATAGGATATGAAGTTTAGTGTATCTGATGTTGCCCTTCGTGATGTCTCTCCATCCTGGGGTCACTAAGGGCAATATCTGTAAAATACAAACAGATATAGATATATGTATTACTCTAGATCTAGACTGTGCTCGAGACCTAGACAATAGCCTAGATAATATGCTAGACCTAGACTTTACTCTAGACCTAGAAAATGCGCTAGACTTATAGTATACAGTACTTTAGACCTACACAATACTGACGAGCTATGCAATACTCTAGACTATACTGTAGACCACGGTTATACTCCAGAACTAGACTCTAGACTAAGACTGTACTTTGGCTAGACCCAGACCTAGACTATACTCCAGACCTCGATGATGCTCTTTACCTAGATAATGGTCTGGACTATACTCTTAACCTAGACTTTATTGTAGTCCTAGAGTATGTATTCAATCTACTTTATACTCAGACCATACTCTAAACATAGAGGGTGTTCAAAATCTACATGTTGACTTTGTTAAAATGTCAACCTTTTCAGGAATTCCTGACATGCCTGATGCCAATGTTCAAACACACTGGTGATCCACTCGATTATGCTGGTTACCGAAACGGTTCGTTTTGGTAACAAAATGTCGGAACCTCAAAGGTACGATTTTTCTTTTTTTTCCTTATTCCACACGTTGTAGGCAGAATTCCCACAACATTTCTAACAAAAACGTGTATCAGTATCATAAGTTTAAGAAAATGTACATATTTGCGAACAAATAGTTCAGAAGACAACAGAATCGTCGATTTAATTCCTCACTTAAGTTACATAAACGGTTTTTCGAAAAACAGTTAAGATCTGCACTTTTAACCAAAACCGTTTATGTAACTTAAGAATTAAATCGACGATTCTGCTGTCTTCTGAGCTATTTTTTTGCAAACATGTATATTTTCTAAAACATATGATGCTGATACACGTTTGTGAGAAAAAAACGTCGTGGGGATTCTGCATACAACGCTGGAAATAAGGAAAAAAGAAAAATCTTACCTTCGACGTTCCGACATTTTGTTACCAAAACGAACCATTTCGGTAACCAGCGTAATCGAGCGGATCACCAGTGAAACACAAGTTGCAAGTCCCAATTATATGAAGTGCATGTTTACCTTTTTAACGTATGATAATATGGTATATAGCAAATTTTATGTATGAAATTTTTTGCATGAAATAATGTATGTATACATATGTAAGGGTATGTGCATGGACGAAGTATTATGCATGATGTATTAAGTGCAGGCAGGAGTAGGGTAGAATAAATAATTAAGTGATTTTTCATAATTAATAAGATTAACAAGTATTTTTTCCTGTAGATTCCTATGTACATTTTAAAATGTGATTATATCTTGCTGAAACAGTAACACCGTAGTAACATAAAACACAAAAACAGATAAAAATACAATTTCTAATTTTAAAAAAAAATCATTTTTTCAGTGCCATCTGCTCCAGCCCCACCACCTTCTGTAGCGCCACCTATAGCAGAAGAAGATTCGCCACCGTCTCAGACACCAACGACTCCTGGAGATCGTTCATCATTGCTTAGTTCTATATCGGGGTTCAGTAAATCAGGACTTAAAAAGACTGAGACTGTTGATAAAAGTGCCCCCAAAATATAATACATTAGAAACATGAGAGATAGATGGCGATGTTTATATAATTAGAAATATGAGAGATGGATGGGGCTGATTACATCGTCAAACAAACAGCCTGAATCAACTAAGTCATATACTAATGTAAATTTATTACATGTATAAGAATGCAATGTGCCATTTATAAATCATGTATGCTAAAGTTTATGAGACATTCTAACTACCGGTATTTAGTAACATATAAATCTATATGTATACTTATTTCTAAGTAAATTTTATCAGGGAGATTGATTTAGCCATATTAAAATGAAGTATTTTTTTGTATTTCATAATTGTTAAAGTACAGGGTGACCGGAAAAAAAGGAGACCATTGAAATAGGCAATATTTTCTAAAATATACAAGTATCATCAATGAAATTTTGCACAGTCCAGGACAATTCTATGGAAATTTGTTCCTGAAAGTTTCAATAACATTTGTTTACTGGTTCAGGAGCTGTCATCATTTAGAGTACATGCTCCAAATGGCCACCATTGAGCCTGAGGCACAGCTGGATTCGTCTGGCAAAATTGTCAATTACGCTAACACATTCAGCTCTTGTAATGGCATTACACTTGGCAGTTATTGCCCTCTTAAGGTCACCAGTTGTCTGGGGGTTGTTTTCGTATACATGATCTTTCAAAAAGCCCCATAGGTAGAAATCGGGGGGATTCAAGTCTGGGATGTGTGGAGACCAGGGGTTATCTGATCTACGGCTAACGATCCTGTTTTCAAAGTGTTGGTTTAGCCAATCTAGTGAGTCATTTGAGGTATGGGGAGTCGCACCATCTTGCTGGAACCACTGTATGGCACGATTAACTCTCCTACGGCGACCAAGGGCTGCCCAAAACTTCCTTAGGATGATAATGTAACGCTCTGTGTTGACTGTTTGAGGCTTTTCGTCATTATCTTCGAACCAATAAGGACCAATTATTCCGTGTTTAGAAATCGCAACCCAGGCAGTGACCTTTTTACTATGAAGCGGTCTCTGAAGCACAAAATCAGGCAAGGCTGATCCCCAGAAAACATTGTTGCGTGAGTTGACGTGACCAGACAATAAGAAGTGTGCTTCATCACTAAACCAGATTTCATCCAGGAAGTTCTCGTCATTGTCAATCATTGCACTAAACCAATGGCACATTGCGACACGCTGTTCTTTATCACTATCTGTCAGCTTGTGTTTGACTTGTATCCGATAAGGATATAGGTTGAGATCTTTCTCTAAGATTGTTCTTACTGTCTCACGTTTCATATCAAGGTCCTGGCTGCGCCTGCGAAGTGACTTTCTTGGGCTACGTGCCACTGAGTCACGCACACGGTCGATGTTGTCTGCAGTTCTTTGAGATCTCTTTCGACCTGAGTGGGTTTCACGATCTTTATCTTTTCTGTTGAGTCTGCCAAGTGTCCCATGAGTCCTAAACTTTGTAACCCACTTGAATATTACACATTTCCTTGGGTGATTACGACATCTGAATTGCCTGTGGAATTGTCTTTGCACTGATACTATTGATTTGGTCCTAAAATAGGTCTCTACCGCAAATGTTTTTTGCTCCAATGTCCATGGCGTATTGGTTAAAATGATATTTCCACAACAAATTCCATTGAATCAGCTTTATTCACCTGAAAGATGAAAACAAAATCATCATTATTAAGGAAGTTATTCAAAATCTTTTGGGTCTCCTTTTTTTCCGGTCACCCTGTATAATGTATTAGCTGTATTTCTATGTATGAAAAAGCATGGTAGTGATTTGAGAGATTAAAATGTCTGACAATGATTTTAAAAATTGATTTTCCTTCTGAATTACCTAGAGATTCACCCAAATATGCTACATGCTACATACATGTACAGTACATGCTGATTAAACATGATGCACAGAAAATGTTAGTGTTCTGCTTTGTAGAGGTTCATCTAGTGTTTTATTTTCAGTGATTGAAGTATTTTTCATTGTGTAGTATTTGGCTTTACATGTTTAACCAGTTGGGGTTTCTATCTTAAAAAGAATCCACATGTAATTAAGAATTAATTAATGTATTTCAACTTTCTCCCAGTTTTGATTTTTCTGATCTTTTAGTTTCTATTATGTGAAAATGTATTACATAGCTACATATAGCTTGCCTTTTAGTTAAAGGATAGTTCTGGATGAGGAATTAACGAAGCAGATAAATATATAATGATAATGATTTCTTGAAAGCATATCATATTTTGTACTATGTACAATGGTACTTGCATATGGGGGAAATAAATATTTTTTGAAAATTGTTGTAGATAAGATAATATATTTCTATTGAATAAATATAATTGGAATAAAATAATAAGAAGAAATAAATCAAATTTGATTTAATTGCTTACATTTCTTTGTCATGTGAATTTAATTTGAAATCATAAAATTATGCAAACTGTTTGATTGTATCTTCCCTTAACCTTGCTTGACTGATAATTGTTTCATTGATCTTGACCTTGTATTACCTCAGCAGTATGACATTGACCTTACATGACCTCAGCAGTATGAATTTGACCTTACATGACCTCAGCTGTATGAATTTGACCTAACACAACCTTAGTAGTATGACATTGACCTTACATGACCCCAGCAGTATGACATTGACCTTACACAACCTTAGTAGTATGACATTGACCTTACATGACCCCAGCAGTATAAAATATCCTAGATGCGAGTAGAAATAATCTTGATTTACGTCATTGGTTTTGAAAATTTAATTTTCTTTGAAAGTGTGACTTCTAGGTCGGGGAAATTCCCCATAGACCCCATGTTGTAAATCCACAAAAAGTGAAATATCTTGTGTTGGGCAGATAATATTTTCTTTTACTGGACATATTTTAATTTGTATGTCTATCACATACATAAGGGTAATATGAAAAGTGAACCACTATTCAGGTTTAAGGGAATTTTGTAATACCCTGCCATGTTATTTCCCCCGAATCAGCCACCTGGCGAAACTGGTAACTACCTACTCGCATCTGAGTAATTGACCTTACATAACCTCAGCAGTATGACATTGACCTTACATGACCTCAGCAGCATGACATTGACCTTACATGACCTCAGCAGTATGACATTGACCTTACATGACCTCAGCAGCATGACAGTGACCTTACATGACCTCAACAGTAAGACATTGACCTTACATGACCTCAGCAGTATGACAGTGACCTTACATGACCTCAACAGTAAGACATTGACCTGACATGACCTCAGCAGCATGACATTGACCTTAACAGTATGAAATTGACCTGATATGATCTCAATAGTATGACATTGACTGATATAATCTTTATTATGGACATTAGGGGTTATTGCTGGTAATTTTTAGGTCTTCAAATGACAATGACCTTTGTCCATACAAAATTGGCCTTTCCATTTGTTAAACCTTGGTCAAGTAAAAAAACAACTCGAAATTAGATCTGGTTATTTATCCTTGGTTGAGTGAAAAAACACCTCAGAAATCAAAATAAACCTTCTTAAAGTCATGAACCTTTTGAATGTTCAACTTGGGTTGAGTCAACACCCATTTGAATTTTCTGAATGATGGACCTTTGGCTTGGCAGAATGCCATCTCAAGATTCCACCTTCTGTTCTGAATATCCAACCTTGACTAAGTCAAACACCTCCTTAAAATTTAACCTTTTGAATTTCAAACTTGTGAATGTTCAGCTTTGACCTTGCCTTTTGAAACATCCACTCGAAGATTGACCTTCTGAAGGTTCAACTTTGGTGGAGAAGAAACGGACTGAATGTGCTGCCTCACTAGGTATATTCAACCAAGTGACAGCTGTTTCAACCACGATTGAACCTCCTGACTGTCAGACACAATTTAAGGGTAAAACATGTTCTTTATTTTCTACTTTTATTTATTCTTGTTTCTCTTTACAATATTTACATGATAAATACATGATGCTTGTAAAATATCTACATTGTGCACCATGAGAGATTAATATTTACATGTTAGTATTATACGAGGGCTGATCCAAAAGTTCTCCACCGTTTGTTCTTAAAAAAATATTTCTAGGTGAATTTTGTTCAAACTTGGTCAGGAGCAACACATATATGATGGTTTAATGTTCCATAAATATGGTTGAAAAATTACAACTTTAACATAACCATTTGGTTACCATAGCAACACGACAATGGGGTAGGTGGAGCTCGATTTTGATTCAGAATTATGAAATGTATACATTTCGGTTAACCTAAACCAAGACATAGATTACCAATGCTATTTCATTCATCAATGTACCTGTTGCCAACAACATGTTTCTCCTGCATCATTTCTATAGACTTGCATTGTGATGTCACAGTAAAAATTCATCTGATGTCAGAAATATGAATACCAGTCAATTGGTCATGTGATCATTTCCAGCCATTTTTTGGAGCCAAAGTCTGTGAAAGATGGAGCTAAACTTGAAAATAAGGAGTAATATTCAGTTTTGTTTGCTTCTTGGCAAAAGTAGGAAACGGACATTAAAAGAAATACAACTAGCATATGGTGAAAATTCACCACACAGAAGCACACTGTCAGTATATCAGTGGTACATGTATGATAGATTTTCATCTGGTAAAGAGAGTCTTTGGGGATGATCCGAGAAGTGGCAGGCCAACAGTGCGCAATAAGGACCTGATCCAGGCAGTCAAAGACCTCATTTGGCAGGATCAGCGAATAACACTTCGTGAAATATCTGCTCAGTTATGTAAAAGCTATGAAACAATACAAAGAATTGTCCATGATGACCTACAATATAGACGAAAGTGTGCGAAGTGGATCCCAAAGATTGTTACACCTGGACCAAAAGAGCTAGAGTGGAAACCTGCATGGACTTTATTGTGAAACACCAAGAGGAGGGGGATAAGTACCTAGAGCGAATAATAACATGTGATGAAACATGGGGCTATCATCACAATAGAAGTTATACATGAGCATTTACAAGCAGAACTTGTCAAGCATCCCCCATACTCCCCAGATACAGCTCCCTGTGACAACATGTTTCCCGAAGCTAAGAATCCCCTCCGTGGGATTCGTTTTGCAGATGATGAGTCGCTGATTGAAGCTTTCACCAACAGTGTGTATTCAGTCACTAAGAATGGACTTCGGCATGTGTTCAATGATTGGATAAAACGATGCAATAAATGCATAGCCCATGGTGGGGACTATTTTGAGGGAGAATGAACATTGATATTGCATCAAATAAAAGCCCTCATTAATGTTAAAAACCGTTGGTTAAAACTCTGTAATAATACCACGTTGTTTGACAAGAAATTGTAATAAACAGTGATTGTACTCAGCTCCGCCTACCTCGTTGTCCTGTTACTATGGTAACCAAATGACATAGTTAATATTATATTTTTTCAATGGTATTAATACAATGCCAAGCTATCATATACATGTTGCTCGTGACCAAGTATGAACAAAATCCACCAAGAAATAATCTTTTTAGATAAAACGGTGGAGAACTTTTGGATCAACCCTCGTATATATGCACATCTACACTGTACATATATCCCAACGCAGTCTACTGCACAGTCACAAATTTAGCAAATTGGGTAATTTGCCCATTTATATGATTGGATGGACACTTAAATGAAGCAATTTCTTATTTCTTTGCGTTTGACTGAAACTACAAAAAAAGGAATTACATGACACAGGAAAGTGAGAATTGAAAGTTTTATAAACAGGATTGTTTTGTACTAATAAAATGTCCAAATTAAAGAGAAAATAGAAATTGTTGCTTCAAGTCATTTTCTTGATTTTTATTTTGTTTTCCTTGTTTCTTTGTTTATTTTTCTATCTGTTTTGTGTATCCGTTATTTGTTTTTGGTGTTTCAAGTCCATATTTATTATGCTTTGTTTTCATAGAATGTGGCTGAGGCTTTGGCAATTCCAGATTTTCTAAAAATACATAAATAAAAAATATATATTAAAACGGTGAAATTTCAAATAACTTTAAAAGAGGCTAAAATAGGTTTTTGTTCATGTTTTATTTTGTATACTAATGTAGATGATTAAAAAAACTAAAAGCATCCACTATAAAAACAAAATAATATTAAACATTAAGCCTTACTAATTATACACAATAATATTCTCAATATAACAGTACAGTGCAGAGTTATTGATTTAAGGAACTTACGCTTCTCTGACGAATGTTTCCATGGTAATTTTGTCATATTCTCCTCCAGCAGGGTTCATATCAAAGTTTTCTACACCTAGAGTGGTGAGAGCTGCAACAAAAACACCACATGGCATGAATGATAATATTATTATGATGGTACATGTAGTCTGCGTATGAGTAAAAGATCAGATGAGAGGAACATTTGTTTGAATTATCATTCGAACATGACTGTATTCATGCCTTCTACAAACTGTGAACAAAGTCAACATTTCACCCTGGGTATATTCGTCAACACTACCGCTGGAAATCATGTAATGTGTGATGTCATAATGACGGGACGTAGTAATAGAGGACCATAAAATGAATATTCAAAAAAATTTTGGTGAGTTTTCATGTTCTACAGTAATCGTAATATAGACCTCAGAGCAGGTGTTATAGGTACAAAAGCTTTCGAAACAGAAAACGTTTGTGCCTAGCCCTGCGGGTGTATTTGTAACACTTGCTCTGAGGTCTATATTTCTTAATTAAAATCTTAATCTATTTCAGGCAAATATTTAGAAATGATTACAATAGCTGACTCAGGTTTGCAGTGGTATTTGTCAAAGGAGCACGTAGGTTATCGCAAACAATTTCAGAAGGTTATATCTTGGATTATGACAATTTTCTGACAATGAAGACAGGTTTATATTTTAGATCAATTCATTATCTTAAAGAAAATTATATGCAGTAATAATAAAGTCAAACAAACTCGAAGATATTAAACTAGCAATCAACCCATCAACACACTTTTTCAAAGATGTTGATCCCATTTTCATCAAAAATGCAATCATTTTTTACAATGTTTAATCCAATTACTATTCTCTATTTTGATGTACCAAATAGTTCTTGAAAGAAAAACTTAATTGCTTAAAGATAAGTGTTCCCCATGTTATTTCTCCATTGAAAAATCTCATGCTATCCATTGGTTTCAGTTCATTTTGGTCATCCAAATTCAGTATCTTTAAAGTTCCTGGAGCAATCAACTTTTCCTTTCAGGAAATCAAACATGTCTCAAAGCACATTTTAATTATGCGTTCAACAATATAATAAAAGATTGCATTTTTGGTGAAAGTTAGGTCAACATTTTTGAAAAAGTATGTTGATTGGTCCATTGCCCCTTCAATACCACTTGGGTCTGATTAACTAAATTATCAATATATATACTTTTCTTGAAGATAATGAATGGATCTAAAAGATACACCCATGTTCATGATCAGAAAATATTCATAATTCAAATTGGAATCGTTTGAAATTGTTTGCGATAAGCTACGTGCTCCTTTCAAATATTACTCACCTTCTTTGTATTGACTCAAAGTAATATAGCCACGTCCTGTGGGATCAAGCATTCCAAATACACTACGAACATTGCTCTCATCAAATATACTGGGGAAATCTAAATGTGTCATTCTGGACTTTTTCAACTTTTCTAGTAAATCAATGGTAAATTCTTTGGGATTTTCTGAAAACAAACAAAAATAATCATTGACTAGGCTTAGAAACAGGTAGAGAAAAGTTTGGTGACCTAGAAGCTGGCAACCTCATTACTGCCATGACATAAATTTTGCCAAATCAGACCTCTCACTTGACAATGGATACAAACTATATAAATTGATGATGAAGATTAAGTTTATCAAAATGGTATCTTCAGTGTTTCTGTAATGTACAACAAGGCATAAACATGCGGAATGTCACCATCTCCTATTTGTTATAGATTTTGACTGCCATACACCAACCACTGACCTCTGAACACCAACAACAACTTCTGTTGGTGACATAAAAAGAGACTATAACAATATGCCACCACCAGAAGTGGTAATAAGTGGTTATTTGACATAATATTATTGAATTTTTATCTCTTGTTGCAACTAGCAAGTGTAACAGTAGAAAAGACACATTAAATCCAGCAACAAGTGTTCAGATGACAATATTGTATCAAAGGATAAAGAGACATTGGTGTATCAGCAATTTTCTGGAGTAAACATGTATAATGTACATCATGGAAAATATGTTTTAATCATATAACAACACAACAGAGTGGAATTCCATCACAAGGGCAGACAAGAAGGCAAAATATATCAATTAGATATATGCAAGTCGTTACTAAGCCTACAGCTCAGCTCAGTGGCTCCAGAGCACCATACTTTGAATCTGAGGGCTCCACAAGAGGGGGCAGTGGGGTCGCTTTTGTCACTTTTAAGATTTTAGAATTTTCACTTTGTCACATTTAAAATTTACTTGTTATGTTTTGTCAGATTTGTTCCTTTTTAGTCAGCCAAAGTATTTAATACACTAAATAGTCTCTTATGTTCCATTGTTTGATTGCTGGTTAGAATAAGTCATCTTAACTAGCATCAATTTACATTCAGAATGAATTTTGTCACTCTCAAAACACTTGTCAGTCTGATAAATGTGAAAAATTGCCACTTGCAAGGATTGATTTGTCACATTTGATTTTGTTCGTTTTTAAGTACCCCAAAGTCCCATTTAGTCCCATTTAGAGGCCAGGTCGCCTAATCACATACCCCTTGGGGAGCCCCAATCTGAGCATTCTGATACTCATAGCATCTTTCTGTTTCACCTGAAACATGCTCTGATATTATGAGGCATATTCTGTGATCTGAGCACATCAGATGGGAAGAGTTATAACTGTCAATAAGTGTGATAGTTATCATGTAATCATTTACCTAATGTCAATACATTACATAATAGGCATTGTATTTAACAGCAGATATAAGCACAGGCATGTGTACACAAGTTAAATGACCCCAATTAAATGAAATATGAGCTGGGATGAAAGATCTCAAAAATCCTCAATTTTGGGCTCTCCTGGATCGCCAAATCAAGCTCATTATATCATGGCATCTCAGGGCTGAGAAGAAATGAGATGTCATGGTGAATCATGATGCAATCTGAGGGTCCTGGGTTAATTCCAGCATGGGCGATGAATTTAGCACACTCTTTTGTGTCTGTGACTGACTTGTTACACTACGCATTCCCCGGATGAATCTAATTCAATGTGATGTCAATTTGACATACAAATGATGTCATTCAATGACAGTTTCAAAAAACGCTTTGAATAATATTATCTGGCCGTCAAACAATATCATAGCTTGGTATTTCAAATCATGATAAAGAAAGATGTGAGAATTTTGCTCACATCGATTAATATTTATTCTAATATTTGGATGCTTCTCTGCCATGTTATTTTCAATAAAATTAACATGGCTGAAATTCTTCAAATTACAAGGCGGCACAGGCATTATTGCACAAAAAACTAAAAAATCTGAAATATACAAATGTCATTCATGTACAAAATGAATATACTTTTCCATATGTTATTGCACAATGGTCTCCCGATTTCTTATTTTTGCCGTTCTACTGACGCAATGAAGCAGTGAAATGGACTCTACTGGGTGATAAAATCAAACAAACAAAGATGGTAAGCAAGTCAAGTAATTTTACTCACTTTGAGAGCCATGTTAGATTTTGAAACTTATGGCTCTCAAACGGGGAAGTGAACAGCTGATTAATAGTGACCTTTGAAATCGAATTAAGTCGATCCGCGGCTTACTTTTGGTCTCTAACTGTGTCTTAGATCAGTATCATCAATCCGTGTAAGTATTGGAGCGCTGAAAAACTTCCTTTTCGATCAAGACTTGTTATTGTTAGTCGAGTGAATGTTTTTACTGCCAAATTCCAATATGGCGTTTTCTGCTCGGACATTTTCGTAAATCTCCGGAGGTTGTCCGAACCTAACTAATTCTCAAAATTCATTTCGTTTGTTGCGTATCTCGCTCCTAGCAAACCGCCATATTGGAAATAGGTCTAAAAAACATTCACTCGATGAACAATTTACAAGTCTTGATCGAAAAATAAGTATTTCAGCGCTCTAATACAATCATTCAGCTGTCCAAATGCTCCGTGGGAAAGGTTTATATCAAAATCCAAATAGCTTTCGCAGGAAGTAGGCCTAAACGTAGAGTCTAATTATGTTTGTCATTTCTAAGCGCTGGGGGTTTTCCTTGCTTAGGTCCTAGGCTATTCTTTTCATTTTTGACATTGACAATGAATGGGATTGACAAAATTGAAAATATTCTCAATAAAATTGCAATGAAAATTGAAATAAATTTGCTTGAAGGGTAGATCTAGCCTTGATCTTACTCACTTTGAACTCTGGAAATTTGCTTACCTGGTCTACTATATATAAGCTGTGATGTTAAGTTATTGAATAGCTCTAAAATTCTATGCTTCTCGAGGTATTCCTCGGATTCTCGCTTTCTTGGCCAGTTATTACTATCACCGCCCGCCATATTTGTTGTTAGTAGAGACGGAAATCCGCCACCTATCGGTTGGTAAGAACAACCTGGCGGGCAAAATTTGAACTATCATTTCTGCAGGTGCGCTGTGAAATTACTAAAAATAACAGGTAAATACAAGAGATTTAGACACTACTTTTCTTGTTAATGATGTAGCATATATACAGTTTCATAACTTTTAATGAGTCCGATCTGTTGATTGATTTTTGGCATTGGAAAAGAACTTCTAAAAACGATCTAAACAACGATTTATTATAGATTGGTGGGCGATAATACAATTTCATTTTATGAATTTGTATAGGTCATCAATTTTATATTTCTCCAGTACATCTATCCAGTAAACCAGTGTTATCTGGTGTTATAGTTCTGCTGGAAACATGGATTGGACTCATCATTCTGCAAAGGATGATTGGCAACGGGAATGAGAAAAAATTACCCTTTTTCTTTCCCGAATCTTGACTGAAATTAGCTCATCTTGGTGACTGTAACTTGCACAGCCACAGACAAGGGAACAAGAGTTCATCCCCCTCCAACTCACTATGTATTAGGTAGAAAAAAAGACAGGCTCCTATCGGGAAATATACGCCTCTACTCTAATTGCTCATATCTCCGTCACTGAGTTGTGTCATGCATTATCTTTTGTCTCAATGCAAGGTGAAGACATTAAATCGTATTTATGGTAAAACTCATCAATTCTTAAATCAGCATAATTGTGCGGATAACATTGAAAATGGGACGAAAAAACGATCACTTTTGAAATCACGACATCTCGACGGCCATTAACTGCGACCTCTATAATATCCACGACGAGTGTCTCATTATTTTAGGAATTATATTTTTATAATTACGATTAAAAATCTCAATTCTAGTATTTAGATATATTTGTGGTGATGCTATGAACTTATTGTAGTATTCTCGGTATATTTTAAATAGTATATCGTATCCTATTAGCACAGGCTGGTATCGAAAAATTTGTCCGCTGTGACGGAGCGTGCTATTTTGCATTGCACATTAGTAAATGCACACAATTTATTTTTTTTACTCATATGTTTTGTACCATTTCTTTTATTTCTTTTTAATGGTACAGTATAGCGACACGATAATATTTACATATGTTTTCAGCATAACTCTGAAGGTATTAATGAGATCTTTATGTTTTGGGTATTTTTAATTTTTTTATAAAAAATAATGTTTAATTTTTTTGTCCGCTGTGACGGAGCAGTTTCAAATTTGAAAAACGTTAAGAATTTAGATTTATAATATATATTTTTACAACTACACTTTAGAGGAGCGAGCGTGTCAAATCTCTTTCGTAAGTATTCTGAAAAATGAAACGTAATGAAAGTACACAATTCAAATTCTGAGATGTACAGGGTGGGCCAAAAAGTTGTGCAACTTTTTTAATAGCCTAGAAAAGTATCATAACATGAAGGTATTGACATAAAAATCGATGTACAGAATGTTTCATCCTCCTAAGCAGGTGTCCAGAATCTGCACCTCCTTCTTCCCCCCTGCTATAACCAATTTGGAAGCGCCCGATTAAACTGAATCACGTGATCTTATTATGCGCAATGACTTATACATGATTTCTGTCGCAGTGTTGCGACAGCCAATCAGATTGCGAGTTCTTAATCGGGGAAATGCTAACTGCTTATCGCAGAGGGTAAAAAGAAAGAATATATTCTGGATTTTGAAGCCCTGTGATCGAAGGATGAGAATGTTTAGGATAGGCGTATTTTACGATTCAAATATCTAAGATAATACTGACTTCTAATTTTTTTGACAGATCTTTGAATATCGATGGTAAATTGTTCATGTGTCTGAGATTTACTGTTTTTCCAAGAAACTGTGACTTTTTATGATTTTATGTGATCAACAATAACACATCCATTATGTTCACTAAATCTGCTACAATCTCTGATAACTGTTTATTCAATATACTAGGACAGTTTTATATTGGTATCCACTCACAATTGTATTATGTTTTACTGTATCTATTAATTATTTATTAATCACATGTTCTTACATCCACCTTTCACCTTCAACTATCGCTCCCAGCCATCGGGCTAGGGTCATTTTGGAATACCTGGAGGATGATACCTCTAGATTTATTAGTCCTTATAAATGGCTGCCCAATACACCAAATGCCAACTCCTGTGACTATCACACATGGAGGCACCTGGAGCAGTTTATTGCAGTTAATGGTAATCCCCACACACTGTTGATCATTTAAAAGAGGTTAGGAGAAGTAGAAAGAAGTACCACAAGAATCGCTGGATGGCGCCATTGCAGTTACGCCCTTGTGTCTGTGTGATAGTGAAGATAAAAGGCGGATGCATGGAACATTTTTTAATTTAAATAAATAATTAATAGATACAGTATAAAATAATACCATAATATATACTTATTATAAAATTGTACTAGCCATTGGTTAAACAGTTAAAAGATTGTAGCAGATTTAGAGAACATAATAAATGTGTTATTGTTAATCACATAAAATCATAGAAATTCACATTTTCTAGGAAAAATGGTAAATCTTGGACACATGAACAATTTACCACTGATACTCAAAGATCTGTTGAAAAAAATAGAAGTCAGTATTAGCTTAAATATTTGAATGGTAAAATATGCCTATCCTGAAGTTTCTGTATATGAATTTTTATGTGAATACCTTAATGTTATGATCCTTTTCAAGCCTTTTAAAAAAGTTGCAAAATTTTTTGGCCCACCCTGTATATACGACCACTCTTTAAGCTTCTTTTCTCAGTTTGTACTGCAATCCAACTTATGCATGATAACTCATGAAAATGATAGTCAACTTTATTTCAGTATAGGGTATTTGCCTTTCGTAGTGCCTACTACGGATCCATCACCTGACATGGTCATTTTTGCGGTAACTTGATTATTTGAAGTAAAATTATTTGCTGAAGATGAAGCTAAATACATATTATATGGTATGGACTGCGGATTGTTCTACCCTCTTTAGTCGTTCCGAAAGGTAAGTGGAGTGTATCTTGAAATACGAAAATGCAAAATTTGATTTTCAGATTGTTCTTTATTTGAATAAGAGTTATGGCTATCTGATGCAACTACAGTAAAACATGTGTACAGTGAACGCATATGGAGCCCAAAAATGTGTTCCCAGTTGGTAGATGTTCACTCCATAGAGGCAATTTCATACAGAAGTCAGATGAATATTTGATAAGAAGAGGTGTTCACTAGAGAAAGATATTCATTGATACAGGTTTACAGTGCAGCACGTTTACCAAGACTTTTTTTATAATTTTAGTCTATGCAAAACGATGAATTTCATGAATTTCAAATAATTACAAATTAAATCTGTATTGGGATCATCTTATATACAGTAATATTATATGGTAAAAGGTTGTATCTGTCGGAATGCGGGATGCCTGTGCTCTATTTCGAATAAATTCATATTAGCCCTATTTACACTACACTTGACATTCCAAGACGTCTTGGCGAAAACGTAAATAGAAATATCATGTTGAGTTTACACCATGTTGATTCATGTTGATTTCAGTACAAACCTCCGAAAAAATGCAAAGAGTGGTCGTTTTTATATCTCCGATTTACATTACCCCAGATCCCCCAGAGGCTAATTGTCATAATTTAGGAAAGTGGTTTGTGACGTTCTTTCTCTAAGGGTACTTTTAAAAGATATAATTTGAATCTTAAATTCTTAACGTAGTTCACAGTTAAAACTGCTCCGTCACAGCTGACAAAAAATGTAATCATTATTTTTTATAAAAAATATTAAAAATACCCAATACATCAAGATATCTTTAATACCTTCAGAGTTATGCTGAAAACATATGTAAATATTATCGTGTCACTATATTGTACTATTAAAAAGAAATAAAAGAAATGGTACATTTTGGAGTATGATACCCCGGCGCCGTTTTCAATAGCTTTTACTCTTAGCGTTGTTGGACTTCAAACAAAAGTTAAAGTTACCCGCAAATAGTGCCTTACGGTAATGCCGGATTGTCGGCAGCGGCAGTAGATACTCTCAATTGCCGGTAATAAAATCCATTGCCGATAATCGCCATGCTGCTGCAACATGATGATTGGTATTGCGATCCATTGTCAAATTTACGAAACAATGTTCGTTTAAGAATATTTTATCAATCATGTATATTTCAATCTCCACATTTGAAGAGCTAATCTGTCAATCAACTGCAAAGCATTCGTAAAAGGCGGGAGGATAAGCAAAACCCCACCCACTTCTGTCAATCATCTCCCATGCCGCGAGATTAACAAATCACGTGACGTGATATTTCGGTGAACAAACACAAATAGTTTGATCAATTTTGATCGAATTCACTCTATATTATCATTCAAAGACTTCCTAACAATACACAATCACACACGAGATACACGATGATACAATATATCCACTGTAGTTGATGTGAGCGGGAAATCAAGCTGAGAAATCGGCTTCGTTAAGGATTTTTCCAAATATTTTAGTTTCACTTTCAGGTTTTTCCCCGGTATTTTAGGAACATTATCAGTATCAACGATTATCGGTAACGGTAAGGTAATGGAGGTGAAATTTACCGGCAGTGAGATCCATTACCGTTGCAAGCACTACCCGCAAATGATATACCCATTGCATGGAATAAGAAACTTTCTTGGTATAGCGAAAGATATGAGTAAAAAATAAATTGTGTTGGTTTCTTAATGTTTCTATGCAAAATAGCACGCTCCGTCACAGCGGACAAATTTTTCGATACCAACCTGTGATTAGCTTTTTTTGATTTTTAATAAAAAAAATCATCGTGATTTTCCCGCCAAAATTCACGTCCAAGAAATGATCATTCGAATAATCCGGCCGTTAAAAATCAAAACGTTGTAGGTTTTTAATTCAAAAAATTGAAAAACCAATAAATAGGTGTAAGAATGTTAAATTAAATGTATAATTTAATTAAATAATATTAATTAATAACTGCTGTGATTTGATTGGTCGACTGCAGAGACATCTTTCAAGTAAACAAGATGGCGAGTGGATGTCAATTTGTCGTGACTGTGGGTTGCTCGGTAAAAGCCAGCTGGACACAAACCCTAGTGATAGACAGCTGTTAACAACCAGATTGTTTCGTCGATAAGATATTTATATACAAATGTCTGGTTGTTTTAATTTGAATTTATTTGAAAGATTCCCGCTTTAGAACGAGAATAGGTCATGTGACCTTGTGTACGATCCGTTGCATTCTTTTCAGTTCTTTTGAGTTGACTTGTTTAAAGTACATTTAGTCCTAATTATTGCACATCACAATTTTGGAAACAATATTTTATATCTACAGGGATTAAGAAGCATCTAAGGAAAGTAAAACTTGATAAATAACTGAGGCAATAGTGATAAATAGCCTAACAAGAGTCGGCGACTCGGCGGTCTTGAAATAGACTTGAATCTTGTATCCAGTCCTAAAGGCTTGTTGATACTAGGCCTATCCTTCCCAGAATGATGACTCCAATCTGTTGCTGGAAATGCCAAAAGTGGATTTTTGTTCTCTACCTTTGTTATTCATTCATTCATTTATTCTCCAGGTTATCTCTATAGAAAAATGGTGAGGATCGCAAATGAGGATCATATTGTTTGTGGTCCAAAGTTTGTGATCCAGTAGATCTTCCTTCAAATTGTGGACACTTTTGCAGAGCTGTCAACTGTCCTGCAATTTGCATATTTGTCACGTCACGCAAATACACATTTTTCTGATTATTGTCAAGCAAAAATATTTCCGGACAAGAATATCCAAAAAAGAAACTAACATTTACATGAAAATACAGTGCCAACTCTGGAATTTTCTTGAAATCTCTTGAATTTATTGTTAATGTTGTGTGGTAACTCTGTACCTGGCAAAAGCGTGAGTGTCTTTACGCATATGTTTTCACATATTCAAAACCTGCATAGAATTATCATACATGTATGTGTGACTCCCCTAAATTTTTGTAATGTGAAAGTGGAAAAAGAGATTGTTACAGTTTATAACATATTCCATCCAAGGTAATCTCTCAACTTTTACCTATTTTGGTAAAAAGAAGCAATATTTTCAAATGATTAACATGGTGTCGTTTAGAAGATGGTATGATGTTGCATAACAAGCAATAGGCCTTTAGAATCTGCTTTGTTTTTACCTTTATCTTTCCATGTTTTAAAGAATGGCAGGGGACTGCAACAAAACAGTGCTCGTGCTTGATAGAAGTCCTATTTTTGCATCATCGTCAAAACAAACTGTGGAGTTCGACATCTTTACCAAAGCTAAAGCTGGTAAGTTCTGAAACAAAAACTTAAGATGAAATGTTGACTTTGTTCACAGTTTATAGAAGGGGTGAATACAGTCATGTTCTAATATAGAATACATAGTTCAAAATCATAATATTTGGTAATAATTATGTTGAAATGATATTTCCCAAAATAGTTTTTCAATTACTCAGATGCGAGTAGGTAGTTACCAGTTTCGCCACCAGGTGGCTGATTTGGGGGAAATAACATGGCAGGGTATAACAAAAATCCCTTAAACTTGCATATTCATCAGTTTTACTGGTTCACTTTTCATATTATCCTTATGTATAGATATAGATATACCGTATTCTCTGTAATTAGCGCCCAGGGCGTTTAGAAAATTGAAAATACATTATTTAGACCATTCTAATAAGCGCCCATGTATGAAAGAAATCAGAAATCCTGAGGAATTTCATGTATGGCAATTTTTCTTGACAAGAATGCATTTTCTTCAACATATTTTTATAATAATATGACAAGTGCTGTTATTGGAGAGAATACGGTAAAGATCGCTTAGACAATATTGACAGTGGTTGAAGACCCGTCTATGTCTAATTTATTTCCGGCACGCCCACTTTGTCATTATCGCCGATTACCTTCAATATTTCCACTAGAGACTGCTGGATATCGATCTAAAGTTATACATTATTTCTAATTTGATGAGAGATCATCATTATTCGTGCAAAAGTCGTGTAAAAGTCGAGAAACATTAAAAAGAAACCAGAAAGTTCACGACCTTGACATGCGCAGAACATCTGCGCAGTAGCTTTTGAAATTTCTGAATGGCGATAAAGAACAATTCCTTCATTCATTATGGATTATTAGGATTCCTCGATGTTTCTTGAACTTTGTGAAGCGGGGTGGGCGCTTATTAGAGAGTGGGCGGTAATTACAGAGAATACGGTAGATATACAAATTAAAATATGTCCAGTAAAAGAATATATTATCTGCCCAACACAAGAAAAGATATGTCCATTTTTGTGATTTTACAACATGGGGTCTATAGAGAATCTCCACCACCTAGAAATCATATTTCAAAGAAAATTAAATTTTCAAAGTTGATAAACTCTTTTCAAAACCACATTTCCAAATGTAATTTTACATGTAGATTCCAAATATGACATCAGTTTGACTGGATTTTGATTTTTACGTAAATCAAGATTATTTCTACTCGCATCTAGGATATTTTTTCTGAAAGTGCAGAACTACATGTATATTCAAATCTCCCTATGTATTTTTGTAGGTATGATACCACTAGCCCCAATTGTAAAGTCTCTCTGGACTTGCAGTGTTGAAGCAGCTATCGAGTTCTGTAGGATTATATATGACCTCTTCCCTACCGAAAAACTGGTAAGTTCCATCCTGTCAGGCCAATTCTGAACTCTGAATAATCAGTGATGTAAATATGACATTATACAATTTCCAAATAATGTCTCATTTTATCAAGGTGGTGTATATTAGAGAGTAAGATGAATGTACACATAAATTGAAAATAGATGGCATCATGGGTATTGGTAGGGCAAGGATAGGGCTAGAATACATGTAAATGTATTACCAGACTAGAGTCACTTAATTTCTTGATTTAAGAAGTAATTCCATTTGGATCAACTTAACCTCTTGAATCCCAGGCTCTAAAATTGGCATGAAACCAGAGAATTTTCCATTTTTTGCCACCTTTGACATTTTATTACATACCTATACAACTTTAGATGCTCAGCTTAGTAAAATTGGACGGCAGAGATCATTTCTACACGTTTTAAAACAATTTTTGTGTAAATTGGATGAAAATTGTTCAAATGAGAGCAATTTTTGTGAAAAATTTTGTGACGGATTTTCTCGTCCCTCTGGGCACCAGTCTTATTTCATTTGTGACTGATATATCCGTCACTCTGGGTATTCAAGAGGTTAAACACCATTGGAATATAACTATATAAACTTATTAACATGTGGATTGTGATTTCACATTGAAATTGTGATCCTTGTGAGAGTAAATGAACTTGTAAAGGTTTTTCAGCATTGTCAATGGGGATTTAGCCCAACCTTTTTTAGACAACTATAAAATCATTAGAATTTGAATAAAGGTAAATAATTGTGCAAACCAAAATTGTTTTGGTAGAAAATTACACACAGAATTAGAAGAAAATGTTAGTCTTTAATGGTTAAAAATGAAGATCTCCTAAAATCATTCATTCTGTGGCGAATATACAAATCTTGCAAATACTAGCAAAACGTATGTGCAAATGAATCTAAGTTTTAAAACATAAGCAGATTAGTGGCATTTTCATCACTGATTTAATGGGAATCTATACATAAATCGATCTAGCACTTTGAACATAAATGACAAATACTTTAGACTCGTTTTATATTCAATTCCTTACGCATTTATCATGTATAATTCAAAATATTTCGAGACAAAACAGATAATCAGGAGATTAAAAAGAAATAAAGCACAAACTGCGCACCTATTTTAGCCAGAAATTACAAACTGTGCGCATACAGTATTAAAACTACATATTATCATTGGAATTTCTGCAGAGGCACGTGTAGGTGTTTTTCATATAGCTTTGGAATTTTTGCTTTATCGTCAAATTTTATGAGATTTTCATATTGAAAGTCAAAATGTAAAATAAAAGTGACAATTAAGTTGGGAACGAAAAAACTTTTATTTTCAGATCACCATCTTGGTGGATGGAGTCTCATAGTGTTTCAATTATGGGGTTCTACTATTAGACACATATGTGCCTTACATATGGCGTTTACGTTTTCTAATAATACAAAACAAGCTTCGATAGGCAAGCAGTTTGGAAATATTGGGCACGCAGTTTGGGAAATACATGTGAATATAGGCGCCCAGTTTGACAAGAAAAATGTTTAAATCACGTTTATGGCGTATTATCATTTTGAACACAAACTATGCTGCTTTAATCAGATGGAGTGATCCTATATATTCTAGCATACACAGACACAATGGCTGAATAAACGGCAAATGACGATAAAAAGACATAGATATAACTTTACACTGTAAATTTTGAACACAGAAGTTACTTAAGACCCTTATATTGAGATAACTAGGTTTACATCGGGAACAACATTGAGTACTATGAGTAAATTAAGTTCATCTTCACAAAATGGTACTATCTTTAGAACGAGACTAACCTTGTTTTTTCATATTTTGGCTCTTTTTGGGAGTCGTGTCCTCCCCGTCTTACATTTTGAAATATGCGAGCAGTTTGTCAGAGTTTCAAACTGCTTGACATGGGCATCGTGAATAATGACTATGAATCTTAATTCTTTTTCTTGCAGAAAATAAAATTAGGATTATATGGAAAATGTTGGGATGATTTTGGAAAAGATTGCGTGCAACATTTTACATTAATTTTTTTTACATTTTACCAACCAACCAACCTACCAACCAACCTACCAACCAACCAACCTACTTACCAACCAACCAACCTACTTACCAACCAATCAACCTACCAACCTATCAACCAACCAATCCAACCTACCAGCCCTCCTAACCAACCCATCATTCATCTAACTAACCAACAAACCAATCAACCAACAAATGAATTAATTAACCATATAATCAATCAATCAGCCGATCAACCTTTCATCCAACCAACAAACCTTTCATCTAACCAACCAACCTACCAACCATTTATCTAACTAACTGATCAATTAACCAACAAATCAACCAACCAAATAACAAACCATTCACCAACAAACCTACCAACCAACCAACTTACATGTACCAACCTTTCATCCAACCAACCAATCTATCAACTTTTCATCTAACCAACCTCCTATATTCAATTCAATTTCATTTATTGCTTATAACATATATAGTTTACATAATTAGAAATAGTAGGTGGCGTCATTTTCAGACGCTTATACCCACACATACGAGAACAGAATATGGTGTACAAAAATTAACATAAGATCTTGAACCATTATCAGAAGTAGTCATATGAAAGTGACACTAATTTAGTTTACAAGTGATTGAAAGCTTAACTGTAAATATCTCAGATGATGTGAATGGATCATGTGAATCTATTAGGACATATGTTTATATACACACTAAGACTAAGACTCAAACAATTTATTTGAAAAAACAAACAAACTAACACATGGTGTCAAAGGTCAGCATATATGTAATACAGAATATTAAGAATGAATGTACCAAACTGAAGTAAAGTCATACATGATATATAATTCGAGTAGTAGAATATCAAAGAGTTATCAAAGTTTAAAGTAATATAATTTCAAAAATCATACATAATATATTCCAATGATGATATTAGGTTGTATTCCTAGACATTTTCTCATGGTTGATAGAAATTCAACACATAAATCAATCTACTTGTTGGATTTGCTATTCAAAAGTTGTTGGTAGATCTCATGAGGATTAGAATTAATGTCCACTTCCGTACGGTGACGATTATGAAACCCTTCAAAAGAACAGAAAATTTTCCCATTAAACATCCAACAATCTTTCCGATTCCATATTTCTCACAGTTTTCATCAGTTTGACATTCTTTCCAGTGGCGTCCTCATGGATAGCAATACCAGATTTGGCAAGTTTCTTTCTATTTTTGATCATACGTTGTCTAGCATCACTTGAGTTGAACTTCGCAATAAGTGCTCTCTTTCGACCTGGTATTTTAAGTCCAACTCTGTGTGCGACATCAATATCTGAACTAGAAATATTTGATTCAATCTGCTGGGCAACTTCAAGAATTAATGATTTACAATCTTCATTGTCCGTCTCCTCAATTCCAGTTATCTTAATGTTACTTTTCCGTGAATATTGTTCATTCCTATTTGAATCTGCCTCAATGTCTGCCAAACGTTTATTTATACCAATGATTTCATCATTGGCCTGCATCAGATCAGATTCGAAGGAATCATTGATATCTTTCAGTTGTTGAATAGATGTTTCAGCGTCCGAGAGTCTTTGATTGTACACTGCCATGGATCTGTCGATAGATTGAGGAATTAATTTATTTAGCGAGGCGCTGATTTGAGACTCTATAGCTGTTGTAATTTCGCTTAAGTTGAAGCTTGAGATTTGAGATGCACACTCATTGTCTTGTTGAGGTAGTAATGGATCTGTGTAAAATGATGATGATATTCGATCGGGAGCCAAAGAGTGAGACGTTGTGTTGTCCAAACGAGATTGATGCGGAGATTCTGAAACCAACGAATGAAAACTTCCAGACATATTTTCCATGGTTGGAACTGTGAATGTCATATTTGCAGATGAGGCTCTTGATGATATAACACTAGTTGTAATAACTGACATATAGGTAGAAGACGTAACAGGTAGACTGGATCGATCAGGTGGTTTTGTTTTTGTTGTTGCATACTAAGTAATAGGTGCTTGTGTCAGCTGTGGCATGGTGTTATGTGTAGTTGATTGCACCCAAAACACTATATGATTATATTCTGAGTGAAGTCAGTCAAGTATAGTAACACGTACTGGCATATAAATAGTGAGCTAACAAATCCAATAAGTAGCTGATTAGTGTGACTGTATAATGGCAAAGTCTAGTACATGTGCTCTGTGTTGACCTATGACCCTGTCATTTATAGATCCATCACACAAAATGTGTATTTTTCTTTTACAAATATCTTCAGAACCACGAAAAATATTCCAATAAATCACATCTGTTTATCACGCCTATCCATTCATGAATCCTGTGATATCCATATATTTGTCCAAATAATCCTAAATATCCTTATATTTCACATAATAATAGGAGCAAAATAAGTGTGTCTGAACTCAGTTGTACTTATACATGTACATACACTTATACATGTTATATATATACCAATCAATCAACCAACCAAACAACCAACAATTCATCCAATTAAGGTGCTATGGAAGTTAACAGGAAATGACAAAACAGGAAGTGACAATTTTTTTTGCATTTTTAGATGTTTTTTGAATAAAGATAACAGAGTTCTGGTTTGACCTCCAGTCAATTTAACTATTTCCACATGTCATTTACATGACCAGGATCACAATGTGCATGGTCAGAATGACCCTAAACATGATGAAATAACCTTTTTAGCCCTTTGAAAGTGTGACTGAAAAAAAGCTAAAAGTAGGAGCGTAGGGATAGTCACTGAACAGAATCTTTTGAATTTTTCAGAAAACGTGCCCAATATAATGCTCTAACTAGTACAATCTTTGAAATTTTAGAAAATTGTCTTAAACAAAAATGGCGGTCATAAAAAGGAAAATAGATCGCTTTTCAAATCGTTTTTTTCATTTTTTTTCTTTTTCTATGAATGATATCAAATTTTCAAAGATTGTATCATTTAGAGCAATATATTGGGCACATTTTCTGAAAAATTCAAAAGATTCTGTTCAGTGACCTTCCCTACGCTCCTACTTTTAGCTTTTTTCAGTCACACTTTCAAAGGGCTAAAAAGGTTATTTCATCATGTTTAGGGTCATTCTGACCATGCACATTGTGATCCTGGTCATGTAAATGATATGTGGAAATAGTTAAATTGACTGGAGGTCAAACCAGAACTCTGTTATCTTTATTCAAAAAATATCTAAAAATGCAAAAAAAATTGTCACTTCCTGTTTTGTCATTTCCTGTTAACTTCCATAGCACCTTAATTGTGTTTGCATTTATATTATAATTATTTAATTAATAAATCGTCTTTTAGCCCAGAACAAAGTTGTTGGTTATTTATAGAGAAAAGTAAATGTGTATTTATATTCATAAATTGGAGTTTATTTTGATCGATTGTATAGTTCTCATCCTAGCATGACATCTATACTTACCTGTGAAATTCAATGTACTTACTTACCTGTGCACATGTACTGTAAATGTTTCCGTCATGCGCGTTGTGCAATTTTAAAAATCACCCAACCCTCCCCACCCTTAATTTATTTAAGGAATACAACACAGGGGGCGGTTAATAGTTTTTAATTTTATTGTGTGTATCTTCGTATTAATTGTGTTTGCATTTATATTATAATTATTTAATTAATAAATCGTCTTTTAGCCCAGAACAAAGTTGTTAGTTATTTATAGAGAAAAGTAAATGTGTATTTATATTCATAAATTGGAGTTTATTTTGATCGATTGTATAGTTCTCATCCTAGCATGACATCTATACTTACCTGTGAAATTCAATGTACTTACTTACCTGTGCACATGTACTGTAAATGTTTCCGCCATGCGCGTTGTGCAATTTTAAAAATCAAGTGATGCAAGTCATGAAATTTTATCTCTGAATTATTTGGATTTTATGGTTTTATCGTTACACTAAAGGATTATATACATTATGAATGAAGACAGTAACACTATTCGTAGATGTACAGCATGCAAAAACCCTGTGAGGGGTCATACAGGACCGGTAGGGGCAAAATGTACGAACACGCCCTCGTTGGAAACCGCACCCTTATTCGATAATAGCCAACATGAACAAGATGAAAAACAAGAACTTTTCGAAGGAGCTGTTGGAGGCAAAGAAAATATGGAACCCTGGAAAATGGCTATAATTCAACTGTCCTCACAAATGCAGGTACTAACTTCCGCAACAACAAATTTACAAACCGAAATGAAAAGCCTAGCCAGTGACGTGGAACGCCTAAAAACCGGTTTGACTGCTCAACCGACCACACCTCAAAGTCAAAACCAACCCGTCATTCCAACATCTGTCAATCCCGGTGTCAATCATAGACCTAAGCCAACGTGTGACTTACCACTTAGCGAAAAAACAATCAACGCAATCATAAACGGTGAGTACGTCAACTTGACCGACCTTTTTGCCGACAATGTGTATTCGGATAATGTAGATCATCCAGAACAAAATCTTATATTCGAAGATGGGAATTTAAAACAGCAAAAATACCGAAAAGTCAAAACATTAGCAACGTTTAATCAGTGGCTAAGCGCATGGAATGTATTTGAGAATATATTGATTCAACACAATCCAGATTTATACACTTGTTTATCAAGTTACCGTAGTCTGATTCAAGATTCTGACAAAAAGTTTACATGGAAATCGGTGAATACTTACGATATTAAATTTCGAAGCAAACTCGCACAGAAAAAATCTTTCGATTATCAAACCATTGATACAACGCTCTATGTGACGACATTTGATGCAACGTCTGTCCGTCAACAACTCAAATGTCATAGATGTCACGGAAACCACAAGGTCGCAAATTGCACTTTTCAAGAGAAATCCACGTTGGAGAAAGATCAGGAAAAGGAGATATGCTTTAAATTCAATCAAGGGGAATGTAAATTCGGAGATAAGTGTTACAGACTCCACAAATGCAAAGCATGTGGATCAAAATCCCCCAGTTTTAAATGCCCATGTACAAAACCTTCGAGCTCATCTTCCACTTAATCATGTAGTCCTTCAAGAAGGTTTAAAAAACCACCCAGATAAAAAATACGTAAAACAGATTATAAATGGCGCAAAATTCGGCGTCTCTCTAGGATATACAGGACCAAGGATATCACGTGTGCAAAAAAATTGGAAATCATCTTCCATTAATAGTGAAGCTGTTCAAAAGAACATTGAAAAAGAAATCTCTAAAGGAAGGAAATTAGGTCCATATTTGAATATACCTTGTGATAATTTTGTTGGATCTCCAATGGGTGCTTACGAAAAGAAGCACTCGGACCCTAAAAAGTTTAGGGTCATCCACGATCTGTCATGGCCTCCAGGAGAATCAGTAAACGACTATATTGATAAAGAGGAATATTCATGCCATTATATTACCCATGACGACATCGTGGATCTAATTAGGAAATATGGACACGAATGTCTCATCAGCAAGTTGGACCTCGAAGACGCATTTAAATTTATAGCTGTCCGTAAACAGGACTGGTCCTTACTCGGAACAACATGGGAAGTATTAAACGAAAATACGAAACTACGTGCGCCGAATGGCAGAACGTTGTCTAAAAAGTATTGTGTTTCTAAAAGTTTCGTATTTTCGTTTAATACTTCCCATGTTGTTCCGAGTAAGGACCAGTCCTGTTTACGGACAGCTATAAATTTAAATGCGTCTTCGAGGTCCAACTTGCTGATGAGACATTCGTGTCCATATTTCCTAATTAGATCCACGATGTCGTCATGGGTAATATAATGGCATGAATATTCCTCTTTATCAATATAGTCGTTTACTGATTCTCCTGGAGGCCATGACAGATCGTGGATGACCCTAAACTTTTTAGGGTCCGAGTGCTTCTTTTCGTAAGCACCCATTGGAGATCCAACAAAATTATCACAAGGTATATTCAAATATGGACCTAATTTCCTTCCTTTAGAGATTTCTTTTTCAATGTTCTTTTGAACAGCTTCACTATTAATGGAAGATGATTTCCAATTTTTTTGCACACGTGATATCCTTGGTCCTGTATATCCTAGAGAGACGCCGAATTTTGCGCCATTTATAATCTGTTTTACGTATTTTTTATCTGGGTGGTTTTTTAAACCTTCTTGAAGGACTACATGATTAAGAGGAAGATGAGCTCGAAGGTTTTGTACATGGGCATTTAAAACTGGGGGATGTTGATCCACATGCTTTGCATTTGTGGAGTCTGTAACACTTATCTCCGAATTTACATTCCCCTTGATTGAATTTAAAGCATATCTCCTTTTCCTGATCTTTCTCCAACGTGGATTTCTCTTGAAAAGTGCAATTTGCGACCTTGTGGTTTCCGTGACATCTATGACATTTGAGTTGTTGACGGACAGACGTTGCATCAAATGTCGTCACATAGAGCGTTGTATCAATGGTTTGATAATCGAAAGATTTTTTCTGTGCGAGTTTGCTTCGAAATTTAATATCGTAAGTATTCACCGATTTCCATGTAAACTTTTTGTCAGAATCTTGAATCAGACTACGGTAACTTGATAAACAAGTGTATAAATCTGGATTGTGTTGAATCAATATATTCTCAAATACATTCCATGCGCTTAGCCACTGATTAAACGTTGCTAATGTTTTGACTTTTCGGTATTTTTGCTGTTTTAAATTCCCATCTTCGAACATAAGATTTTGTTCTGGATGATCTACATTATCCGAATACACATTGTCGGCAAAAAGGTCGGTCAAGTTGACGTACTCACCGTTTATGATTGCGTTGATTGTTTTTTCGCTAAGTGGTAAGTCACACGTTGGCTTAGGTCTATGATTGACACCTGGATTGACAGATGTTGGAATGACGGGTTGGTTTTGACTTTGAGGTGTGGTCGGTTGAGCAGTCAAACCGGTTTTTAGGCGTTCCACGTCACTGGCTAGGCTTTTCATTTCGGTTTGTAAATTTGTTGTTGCGGAAGTTAGTACCTGCATTTGTGAGGACAGTTGAATTATAGCCATTTGCCAGGGTTCCATATTTTCTTAGCTTTATTTTTTCAGAAGAAAACACTTCCAAAAGATTGAGATTCCTCAAACAAAAGTCCAAACAACTTCCTTCTTAACTACTGCCTCCAACAGCTCCTTCGAAAAGTTCTTGTTTTTCATCTTGTTCATGTTGGCTATTATCGAATAAGGGTGCGGTTTCCAACGAGGGCGTGTTCGTACATTTTGCCCCTACCGGTCCTGTATGATCCCTCACAGGGTTTTTGCATGCTGTACATCTACGAATAGTGTTACTGTCTTCATTCATAATGTATATAATCCTTTAGTGTAACGATAAAACCATAAAATCCAAATAATTCAGAGATAAAATTTCATGACTTGCATCACTTGATTTTTAAAATTGCACAACGCGCATGACGGAAACATTTACAGTACATGTGCACAGGTAAGTAAGTACATTGAATTTCACAGGTAAGTATAGATGTCATGCTAGGATGAGAACTATACAATCGATCAAAATAAACTCCAATTTATGAATATAAATACACAAATAGCCCTATGATAAAATGATAGAATAGAGTATAAAATTCTATGTGATAAAATATAATACTGTTTTTTTGACTTATTATTGATTTCTGTGATCTCTTATTTCTGCCTTGAAGATAATTCTGGAATTATCAACCACACTTAGTGCTTTTTGGCTCACACAGTGAGCCTATGGGATCGACCAGGCGTCCGTCCGTTGGTCCGTCCGTCTGTTTCAAGCCATTGAGAAAATGTATAGGGAAGACTACTCCAAAGTACTAAAATATGCTAAAACTACAAGATTCATCGATGATTTATGTACTATAAACAACGACGGAGAAATGGAGACTGATATGAAGAACATCTATCCTGAAGAACTAGTGTTAAACAAGGAAAATGAGAAGGATACAGAAACAACTTTTCTGGACATACAAATGAAAATAGTAAATAAACAAATCACTACAAAACTATACGACAAAAGGGAAAACTTCAATTTCCAAATAGTCTCATATCCTGATCTATCTGGAAATATTCCTAGAAACCAATCTTATGGAATATTTATATCACAAATAATAAGGATTTCAAGAATCTGTAGTCAACTGGAAGATGCAACAAACAGAGTTACCAGCCTGGGAAATAAACTACAATGTCAAGGCTACAGGAGCAACATACTAAATTCGTATACTAAGAAAGCTATAACAAGAAATAAATGGATATGTACTAAATACAATATGCAGGAGAATATCATCATGAAGGACTGGAAAATTAATGAGAGAAGAGAACATTAACAAATGAATATGAAACAGTATCTTCTCCGCAAAGAGGGTAAACTAAGATGACAAATCAGCATAAGACCAACAGTAAGGGGAAGGGGAGAGTTTTCCGGCCGGATCAAAACGTTTAACCCACCTATGCGCAGTCTCAAGTCTGTGGACCCTGAAGAAAGATAAGTAACATGCATATCCATAATGCCTATTTGACCTATCATCGCCATTTCCCAAGAGAAATTGCGGATTTTGACGTCAAAAAGTCAAAGGACGATTCTCGGTTTGGAGAACGAAGTTCATCAATCTAAATGAGCATTATCCCTGCTTCGGACAAATTTGATTTTTTTTACATAACATAGATTTGAGTGTTTTCTTTTGAATATTCATAATTTAATTTGGGTAATATTTCTAGATTTTTCGCAAAATTTTTTTTAGCGCAGCACACTGATGAACTTCTTTCCTCAAATCGAGACTTGTATTTTATTGAATCGGTCTAATTGAGCGTTATCCCGGCTTCAGACCAAGTTGTTATTTTTACATCTTGTAGATTTAAATGTCTTCTTTTGAATATTCATAATTTAATTTGGGTAATATTTCTATATTTTTCATGAAAACAATTATTAGCCCAGGAGACTGTTCTCCAAACCGGGAATCGTCCTTTTCTGTAAATACTAGACACTTTGTTGAAGTAGAACTTTCAAATAACTTTTAGTAGTTGCTGTATATGCAACTTATGTCCTCTGAAGATTTCAAAGCTCTTGGAATTACAGTTTTTGGTGTTTACTCTATAAAATTTGACAAAAAGTAGGACTTAGTCATTTTCAGGAAACTTTCTCATGTATAAAGTCAATGGCAGGTTTTGTGATTGACAAGTTTCTCAAAGTTTGCCTTATACTTGATCATTTCTTGCAATGAATTACATCATTACTAGATTAAAGCATTCCCTACATATTGCTCAATATATGTCAGCATCAAATTTTTACAGTTTTTGAGATATTTGACGTCAAAAAACAGTAAAAATAAGTTATTTTTCAACTTGCTTCAATTTGACCAAATTTTTTTTTGAAAATCATCTACAAGTTGCCAGGAGTTCAAATCTGACATTAGTTTTAGGATTTGATCCACATGGGAATAACATTGGAGAATATTATTTTATGTCTTTGTAATTACAGTGCTGGTATATATTAATTGATCAGTCGTTTAATTGGCATATTTTCTTGAAATTTAACATTTAATGTTCCAAACTCCCACAAACTGCAGAAAAGTATACCCCATAAATCATATTTACCAAAATGAGTGTCTCCAAGGCTTCACACCAGCGTATGTATAATGCATTTGTCACGAGTTTGAGCTGAAATTTCGCCAAAATGGAGTAGGCTAAGGGTAGTCTCTGCCAGGTTTGTTTATTGTGGTAAGCTTGTAAGTGCTCAGAAGCAAATAATTCATGTGCGCAAAATAATTAAATAATCTGATTGGTCTAAACTTTGCTGCACATGCGCACAATGTGTGCCATGTTTTTTCTAGTGATTTCGTTTCGTTTCATGGAGTTTGCGTTTCAGTGTAACTTCCGCAAAAATGGCGGACCATGGACAGAATTAACAGGTAAAATCACTCCGAAATTTCAAGAGAACTTTTTACCTATAATAGCAAAACTTTTGTTTTATTTGTGCATTCTATCTATCAGATAAGAGTCTCAGGGGTATGTAGGCAAATTCATTTTGATAGGAGCACTCTGTTTAGTTTGAAAACGCACCCTTAATTATTATATATCAGCACTGTAAGAAATATATTTTCTCCATTCTAAATGATATGAACCTCTTTAAACAGCTGAATTAATTTTCATATGAATATAGCTGTTTTATGTCAAGAGATCAAAGTTCAAATTAAATGCACACCATAGACACCATTGATGTTCTCATCAATATTTGTGTATGCTTACTAGCTTGTGACTAAAAAATAAAAGCAGAATGTTTTGATGGTGCATTTATATGTGTTTTTAGTATCTTTTGTGTCTCATTTACACATAAAGGTTTATAAAAGGAAGCTACATATCAGACTTAGAGTTATATTTATATATGTTGAGGGAACTAGACAAATAATGTCATATTCACATTTTTATAAATGGACCTTTTTCATTCTTTTAGTTGTTATTATACTTAGTAACATCTTGGATATGATAGATAAAGTAGCAATAGTAGATAAGGCTACTCCAAAGGACCATGTCAGTTTAAGTTCTGACAATGTTTTAGATGAAGCTATGGAACTCAGAGTCAATGTGGTCGCCAAAGCTTTAGCTAATAGCAGGTATAAAATATATGCATTCCAGAGCTGGGAGAGAGCTCATACCCAAAACCATATAACTAAAGCTCGAAGAGTTGAATCAGAAAAATACATTGTATATAGATGTAGAGGTACCTGTGGAGGACTAGGGGATCGTTTACAAGGGATACATAGTACTTTTCTGCTAGCAATAGCTCTGAGACGGAAATTTAGAATCGATTTTCAGTTTCCGTGTGACTTGTACAGTGTACTTGGAGAGAATTATGAGCCTTGGCATGAACCAGATACACCAACAGGTGATACCAGAATTCTCTCTGCGATTGATTACTATGAGAACTGTGGTGATATCATATTTGCTGAACCTACTAGAGAATATAGTGATGACTATACAATGATAAGTGAACAAAAAAGTGCAGAAATGAGCTTCAATGAAAAATACCCTGAACAGGTAGTTATTATAAGCACAAATCAAATGTGGACACAAACGTTTTACAAAGACCCACGATACCACAAAGCACTCACTGATCTTGGCTTTAATATGAACTATTTTACTGATGGGACTATTTTCAGAGAGACTTATAACCACCTGTTTAAACTACAGCCAAACATGCAAAGAGCCCTTGCTACATTTATGGCTAGAGCAAGACCAAATAAGGATATCCAGCTAGTCTGTGCTCAAATAAGAATGGGGCATAATCCATCAGTACCCCAAGATGAAACTAAACGAAACAAAAAAGAATGGTTACCATTACTTTGGGATTTTCTATCATTATATAACATTTCTCGTAAATACAAACTTTTTGTCACGACAGATTCTCAAGAAGTACGAGAGCAGTCACAACGATTATTTCCTGATGTGTTACACGACACAGAGGGACGTATTACTCATATTGATCGCTATGACAACCAAAGTGAAGCATGTAAAGGCATGGAAAAAACTATTTTAGATTTTACGATTCTCAGCAAATGTGATATCTTAGTTGTTAGCAGGAGCAACTTTGGGACATATTCCGCAAAGTTAAGGTCTCCTTTAGCGAAGTTGTATACATTTCAAGAAGGAGTTATCCATGAAGGATTCTATTATGATCGTAGTGGAAAAGTATTTGATCGGGACACTAAAACATTTAGATATAATTGTTCTATGGCTGAGTGTCCTCCAATAGCTGATACTCGGTGCAGGGAGTAGACTCTTGTCCTATGAGGATAGAAATATGAAGAATATGGCGTAAAACATGCCACAGAAATATAAAGAATATAAAAACATGGCACTGCAGAGTTCAATGCCTTTATCGAAGTATTATGACTCAATTGAGCACAAATCATGACTCTAAAATGTTACAGTTTAATAAATTATTTATTAATATTGCGTGATTCCTACCCTATGAACGAAGATAGAAATATGAAGAATATGGGGTAGGCCTAATGCATGCTGAAGGATTCAATGGCCTTATTGAGATATTATGGCTATACTGAGGACAAATGGTTTCTCTCATTCTTAAACCAAGGCCTTCTCTGCTTTGCAAAGAAGGAAACTGATAGAAGGCTGTCATCTATCATGATGGGTTTCTCTAATGTCTGTCATATAATACATGTCATATGCCTGTCATACAATACATGTCATATTCCTGTCATATAATACATGCCATATGCCTGTCATACATGTCATATACCTGTCATACATGTCATATGCATGTCGTACAATACATGTCATATGCCTGTCATACAATATATGTCATATGCCTGTCATACAATACATGTCATATGCCTGTCATACAATACATGTCATATGCCTGTCATACATGTCATATGCCTGTCATACATGTCATATGCATGTCGTACAATACATGTCATATGCCTGTCATACAATACATGTCATATTCCTGTCATATAATACATGCCATATGCCTATCATACAATACATGTCATATGCCTGTCATACAATACATGCCATATGCCTATCATACAATACATGTCATATTCCTGTCATATAATACATGCCATATGCCTGTCATACATGTCATATGCCTGTCATACATGTCATATGCATGTCGTACAATACATGTCATATGCCTGTCATACAATACATGTCATATTCCTGTCATATAATACATGCCATATGCCTGTCATACATGTCATATGCCTGTCATACATGTCATATGCATGTCGTACAATACATGTCATATGCCTGTCATACAATATATGTCATATGCCTGTCATACAATACATGTCATATGCCTGTCATATAATACATGCCATATGCCTATCATACAATACATGTCATATGCCTGTCATATAATACATGCCATATGCCTATCATACAATACATGTCATATGCCTATCATACAATACATGTCATATTCCTGTCATATAATACATGCCATATGCCTGTCATACATGTCATATGCCTGTCATACATGTCATATGCATGTCGTACAATACATGTCATATGCCTGTCATACAATACATGTCATATGCCTGTCATACAATACATGTCATATGCCTGTCATACATGTCATATGCCTGTCATATAATACATGCCATATGCCTATCATACAATACATGTCATATGCCTGTCATATAATACATGCCATATGCCTATCATACAATACATGTCATATGCCTGTCATACAATACATGCCATATGCCTATCATACAATACATGTCATATTCCTGTCATATAATACATGCCATATGCCTGTCATACTTGTCATATGCCTGTCATACATGTCATATGCATGTCGTACAATACATGTCATATGCCTGTCATACAATACATGTCATATGCCTGTCATACAATACATGTCATATGCCTGTCATACATGTCATATGCCTGTCATACATGTCATATGCATGTCGTACAATACATGTCATATGCCTGTCATACAATATATGTCATATGCCTGTCATACAATACATGTCATATGCCTGTCATACAATACATGTCATATGCCTTTCATACAATACATGTCATATGCCTGTCATACAATATATGTCATATGCTATGGATAATGGGTTAATCTGCCTATCAATATATTGATGCAGCTAGCAACAATGACTTGCTAATTCAACTGAGTGGCTTCATTAAAATCCATCTTTACAATGACATAAAAAGTCATGTGATCACTGTTCGTCAACTAATTCGTTATTTCAACTTCAAAATGATGGGCTGATTTATGAAAATTAATAGGTTGATCCGGTAGCTGGCAGCCAGTAGTTGCATTCGTGAATACAAGCTATGACTACCTAGCATTGTCACACTCAAGTAAACAGACCAATTTAAATGAATGGAGAGATTGCGTTAGAGAAGCTATTTCTGGGTGCTGTTTTATAGTCTGTAAACATGTATTGTGCAAATAATTTCTATTATAAAAAACAATGGCTTCCATGTTGTTTGCAGGTACATGTAGCGCATTATATACGAACAAACAGTACATAAATGTAACTAGTATTATATGTGGGTAGATGATTAAGTAGGGGGTTATTTATTTTCTACAATGTACATGTGTATAGAAAATTCAAAAATTCATTAACCTACTTTAAAAAGTACAAAAAATGTAGAATATGTGTTATTAACCCTGAAGTAATCACCTTAGACATTAGAATTTCTGACATGGAGATGTACCTTAAAATGCCCAACTTGTCATATTCTTATAAGTCATGCATATACAAGGGGCGATATATTCTGATAAAAATGCTCTCATTTTGTGAAATTTTCACCTATCCCTCTCATTTTTTCAGAACTTGAAGATTATGTAATGACACATACAATGCTAAAATATCAGAGCTAAATCTTAAATTATTTTTGAGATAAGGTTGCCATGGTAACCTGTATTTAGGGTAGTTCTGAAAATAATGAGAGGGAAATGTGAAAAATAGCAAAATGAGAGCATTTTTATCAGAATATATGGATCGCATCTTGTATGCATATATTTTAAAACAACATTTCATTAACATTAATAAAATATGTTATTTTGCTAATGCACGATCATTGAGTTTTCATGAAATAAAAACATCAATCAACATTTGTTGAAAATCTAAAATGTTATGTATTGTTTTTTTGTAGCTATAGCATGCAATCTGCATAGGGCATAGGGTTTAATGATATAAATCCAAAAATGATGACATAGAGAGAATAGTCATTATCATCAACAATTTTCTCGATGAGCGTAAAATTTATCAGTTTCACAACCAAATTTAACAAAAAATGTTTATTTTCATGATTATCCTTATTTCCAAGTGGGTGCAAATGGATTTTCAGCTTGGTGCAAGCCTATTCTCAAAATTGCAAGTGGGTACAGCATCCACCTGTTCACTATGGTTCATTGGTTTATTTCCAAAGTCAGTCTGAAATTGTACTTCTTATTATAAATGCCATATCTAGTTCAATTGGATTTATCCAGGTCCGAATGGTGGTCAGTGACCGAAGTGCAGCAGTACTTAACAACTGGACCCCAGGCCAACAGAACATAAATCTCCTACTTAACTGCCTTGGTGCAATTCCACCCCCTTCTATAGAGGATCCCGCTGATGACTGCACTGTTATTCATGGCCTGGCAAGTGCTGTTCAAGCTCTATGTGATGCTAGTGCTGACCAAGAGGGAGAGCCCAATAATGGCACTATTGTGTGCCTCACATCAGCTAAAAGGTAATTATTACAGATGGTTTGGAGTGATAAGTGTTGAAACCTGTGTTATTCCAATAACATGGACCAGTCAAAGGTGTTTGTTGGATTGCCATATGGTTTTTAACATGACAGTCTACAGGGTGTCAAATAAGTCATGTCCCCCCTCTACAGCCAAGACCAAGATTTATGGTATCAAGTGTGATGTATCATTGGAAAGGTCTTCCAAAGTTACGTTGATTGGCATATATCTGACACGTGTCAATCAATCTCACAAATTTTTACATTGTATCAATTTAGGTGACCATAGGCCTAGAAACATGGCAATTTGGCGTATTCTCATTTTGACGCAATGAAAGCTGCTTAAGGAGGGTACATTAACTATAAAGGACATCATGAAAATATAGGTGAATTTCATCCAAAATACTTGACAGTTGGTGAGTTAACATTAACTTTGGATGATCTTTCAAATGGTATATCACACTAGCTATATCACACAGCTGTAGCAGGGGGGATGGGACTTATTTGACACCCTGTCTATGGCAGATAAATGGGACCAATAAGTGTTCACATTGAGAGGTGGTCAGATCAGGGAGGTGTTTGTATATATAGCTTTCATTGTAACAATTTAGCATCACACACAAATAACTTCTTGCAGCATATTTTAAGCCAAAATTGTTTAAGACATCCATATAATTCACAATGAAGAGTCCATCTACTCAAAAGTAATTATAGGAAAACCAGTATATCTGAACACCTCAATGTAAAGGGTACCTTTTTCCCATTTTTCCCCAGCTATAGATTACCATGTAAAAAATCTGCCATCCTAACGCTTGGCTGGTCACAGGAGCATTCCGATTAGACAGATTTTACATTGCACTATTTAATACTGAGAAATTAATCTGTACGTTTCTGAACTTATTTGTGAACATGTAGAATTTTTCCTTCCCTTCGTACAAAAATTAACTTGGCCAAATGAGTATGGTATCATGAAATATGTTGTAATTATGTCCCTGGAAAAACCAATTGAGAGGGGGGGGGGCATTAATCACTCGGGTAATAATGCTCTCATAAAATGTGTAGCTTAACCTCCCCAAGTTAAAAAGATGTCTCTGCAAGTATAACATGTATGTTACATTTTTGCTAAAGGCTAGTTTGCTTCAATTACGTTTCATACATACTTTAATCATTTGAAACTCATAACTAATCTAATTAATCTAATTGATTGAAATTGAAATTTGTGTTTCAGTGAAGCTCAGATCCGAATCCTTGAGACGTATGTTCAAGATGCCATCACAAGACACAACAAAACAAATGATAGGTAAGATAAGTACCACCTATACTTTATTTGATGCCACTATTAAAATAGTAGAGTAAGGCAATGGTTCATGGACTCAAATAAGCCCTGCCAACTTTTCTTTCATCAAAGAAGGAAGCATTTATTGGCCAGATTCAAAAAGCAATATTTATATTCAACAAACTCTCAGAAAGAATTTCTGAAAATTAGTTCAATTAGTTCATCCTTTTTTTATTCTATGACTCGCGAATCTGGCCAATATATATATATTTTTTTTTTGTATTTATTGAAAGGGCAATTGTTGAGTTTAAATTGGTATATAAGTGTTATTTTGATATTGTATATAATGAAATTTTCACCTGGTTCATTATAAAATTCACAACTCAGTTAACATTGAACAATTCATTTTTTATTTGTTATGCTATATCACTGACCAATTTTATTTGTTTATTTATTTTTATTTTATCAACAAGCTTGTACACAAAAGGTGATGATGTAAACTTATCATCTGTAAAAAATTATTTATATCTCCCAAGCTGCTATTGAATCATTTATCATTGTATCGTTTTAATACAATGAGTAAGTTTGTTAAGCAAGCTTAAAAAGTGACATTTACCTTTTACATCTAAAAATGACATTTTGATTCAGTCCCTAATGAGATTCAGTCACAACTCTGTCTCATTACTTAATGATAACCCTGTATACATCTCCAGTCTCTAGATATAGTTGAATTCTTGTAAATTATATTTGTTCAGGGGTTGGTAGAGTATGCTTCTCATGTACCAAGAGAGATAGATTACACTGGAGGAAACACTTAAACACATGCTGTTATCAAAGACTTCACACTACTGCTTTCTGATTGTTCTACCACTACATTAGACTAGGCTAGGTGGGGGTCATATCAAAATATCAGTATTAGGGCCAGAGGATGTTTTGCTCTTGATTAAATCCCTCCTTCTCTCAATTCGAGAAATTAAGATTTTCAGAAATGTTGTTTTTAATTTTACTAAAATTAATGTAGTTTAGTCACATCTAAAGCAATATTAACTTTTTATTTTGGACTCTTTGTTGATTTGATAGGTTCCCTCAATAATGAAACATTTGCTTTACCTGTTAAGCTAGACATTTATCAATTTAGCATGAATACTTGAATTTCTATAGATTATCCAGATCAACCAACTTTCTATCCTATGACTAGTGAGATTTAAGGAACATAACAGTGGGATATATAAGGGTTATGTACTAGGAGGTTTTGGATACGGGGTTTATCCAGAGGGAGATATGCATATCTACCTGAGGGACCGTAGGGACCGAAGGTAGATGTGCATATCTCACGAGGGATGAACCCAATTTCCAAACTGACCGTACATAACTGCTTTATCCTATACCAAGTAGAGTTTTCAGGGGCATATGGCCATTTATATAGTACAAGGTGTAACAATAAACAAATCATTCATTTGCAAAGTCATTCTATTGCATTTCCACTACTTACCGGAAGCGGGAAGATATGCACCGAAGCAGGAAGATATGCACCGAGACGGGTGATATGGCGGGAGATATGGAGGTTCTGGATATGGAAACCTCAAAATCAGGATACGGGATATATCTTACCAACTTATCTCCCTAAAACTCTACTTGGCATAGGATAATGAAATTTATTCCATGGTTACCGTGTTCGATTATTAATAACTTTAATTTTTATTTGTTTTTTATTTACAAACTTTGCCTTATCTTTATTTCAATAAAAAATCTGAATCACATTTAGCAAATGGTTTCTCCTTATAATTAAGTTTATGTCATTGTAAAAAGGTAGAAATGTTTAAAGTTGAGTCATGGTAGTTTTGTTTAAAACCTGGCAATTTTAAGTCCTGAATGTTTGAGTTCAGATGTTTGGGTTCAGGAGATAAAGTCCTCGCTATTTTAAGTCCAGGATGTTTGAGTTTAGGTAATTAAGTCCTTCTTACTGGTGTATGACTGTTAGAACTTGAATCCTCAACAACCGCACGGGTTGACATAGGTCCAAATATGGATAAGAATTTACTAACTAAGATAGCCATTACTCGAAAAAATAGTTCACTGAACTCGCATATTGTTAATATCGACATTCCAGCCCATAGTCCAAATGTTCCTCCAACGTCACTGAATAAATTCTCAATTGCATATGACCTCTTTTCTATGTGTTGGACTATTGTCAGATCTTTCAAATATACATTCAGCCTCAGGAAGTTCTTCCTTATAAGTCCCTTTTCGATCAATTGTGGTACGTTGTGATGTTTTAGGTTCTGGTATGCTTTAAGGTTCTCCTTATTAGGGTCACTGAGTATATACAAGTCGTAAAAATCTGCTTGGTAGTACTCTAATGGCCAGTATGATTGTGATGTTTGGTAATTGTAGATGTAGTTATTACACGGAGGATGACATCCGCATTCTCGACGGACATCCTCATTATGTACAAATTCTTCAAGGACTCGTGATTCACACGCCATATTTTCAAAAAAGCTTGCGTTATTGTTATAATCCATATGTCCGCAGAAGTACAAGTCTGTGCTGCGGTCGAATGGTAGTAAAGAACTGATACAATTACAGTTCCCCATGACATATCGTTGCTGGCATAACTTCAGGCATATGTTATCTGAATAGAGGTAATCCGTGCCAATGTTAATCTCCCTCTTGCTGCATTTAGCATATGGCTCACCTAGACGAGTCCTTGTTGACACCGAGACCCCAACAGAGCTAGAAAAACCTGGTGGAATATCAAAACCTTGATCTGTTGGGCTTGGCATTGTATTCGGGGCATGAATCATCACCCTTGCTCCTGCTGCATTGTTCAACTTCGACATTGTTAAATAACTGCCATTTTCGTTAATGTTACCATTATCACTCTCTAGGTACATGATAATGGAAAGCCCCTCTTGTGGCCCAGTTGTACGCGTGATTAGATTGTTATGACTCGTAGATACATTCCCACCGTTAAATGTATAACAGTTATAATAGGTTGATTCAAAGAAAGCGGTGAAATTCACTGCATGGCATTTTGTTATGCCGAATGTACAATCGACGACAAGATCATTCAGTTTGTGTCCTACTTCTAGGGCTTCCTCACCTATGTTTTCGAGATACCCAGTTGGTAGATGCACCCTGTTGTATAATAGTTCAAGGGTGTCAAGTAGATTAGACCCCTCTAATGAATATCCATCTGCCAGATCAGACACTAATGCCTCAAATCGATTGTTCACATAATCGTGCCATTTGTAAAGCAGCGTGCTGTTGTCTTCCAACATTTTCTTCCGTGTGATTCTTGACATGGCATTTATGTTACATATTGTCACGGAAGGAAATTCAATCCATGATTGGTCAACGAATTGTGTCTCCTCTGATGGGAAACCAAGATATTTGTCAATAAGGAGAGAGCAATGGAATAAATTAAAACCTAATGCAAGAATCACAAAAATTGTCCACACCCAGCGCTTCACTTTCACTCTTTCAGTTCTTAAATGGTTCACTCCATGAACTGACGCATTATCACAAAATTCCCTAAATAATGGCGTTATTTCTGGAGTAATTTCTTTTCTTTTGGGCGATTCATTTTTCTCATCAATTCCATCCAGACCTTTACTCCTTGGTGTCGTCGCAGTGAAGTCAAACTCGCTGTATCGCTTTTCTTTGGGTGTCGTCGTCACCTCAAAATCATAACCACTGATTGGTGGAAATTCCAATTTGTTATTTGATTCTGAGTGCATTTTGAAATTTTGTATGAAATGTTCAAAAACTTATTCTGAATTCCTATAGTTTCATAGTTCAGTGTAGTAACTGATTCCAAACTGATGTTCAATGACGTTATATACCTTTGTTCCTCCTGTTTTCCATATAAAACTGAAATGAATTCAAAAGTCGTGTTGTTATCTTCCGGATGATTGTTACATAATTAATCTTACGTGTTCCTAGTACATCCTTTGTGTTTAACTCCAGTGGGGGTTGTTAACAAACTACTTGTTGTTTTCACGATGTCTGCATTAATGAATGATGAAGGAAGGCTTGTGGCTTGCTAACTGCTCATAAGGTTCCTCTTGACTAATTATTAGACCTAGGAAACAGAAAATGGATTAAATAAACAACTTGAATATTTGAGAACATTAAAAAGCACCATAAAGTTTGTCAAAAATTCACTAATGTATTCATGAATTTTGTTAATTGTTTTGTTTAATTTATGCTTGTTTTTAGATATTTGGCACTCTGCTAGAACAATGAACATTGTTGGCATTTCATTACATAATGTTCCTAAGTGATGTTAGCCATGTTTCTTGTAATAAATTGATTGAACTGTTCAATTTCAGGTTTAGTTAGATAAAACATTTGAGGCATGATAGTTTTGTATAAATTATGTCTTGTAAGTGGTGTAGATTTATATGTCTCATAAATTCCTTGGTAATTACTCACTTGTATTATGTAGTTCGGTTCATTATACATTTATTTCAATCATATTGCAGTCAAAAGAGTTACACAGGTCGCTGCCTAGCGCAATGTGCATTACAGGCTAGCGTTTTGAAATGAATATAAATTAAATTAATTTAATTAATTGAGTGAGTTATACATATAAATTATGTAGTACTATGTATGCCTGCAGTAACCTTTTACTTTGGAATTACTCCGAAAACATAAAATGAAATATTATGTCAGAAGTGAAAGCTTAACTAGATCCAAATAGCACTGCAGTAATACATTTATTTTAGTTTTTTAAGTGAGGTAGCTTTGTGAGATCCTGTCAACTTTGCTTTTTGTTCTTCAAAGAAAATTTCTCAAAGAAGATTTCATGGAATACCAGGTAAATTTTATATTGGTGTTTATGGTTCATATGGCTTTTAGGTTTTATTTTTAAAAAAATTGCATTTTATGTAACACTGTAACAAGCACAAACTGATGAATCCCCAAGTGGAACACCTGTCACAAAAATGGGCTATAAAATGTCAAAATGTGACGATGAAATAAAATCAGCTGTTTTATAAATCAAAGTATATTGGTCTATATATCATGTTTTTCGAATATTTTCAATAAACCATCAAATATGTACAGCTTTCAAACCATGAGATATCACACTGTCTCTGATCATTAACAGATTATTGCTATTTGATTCAAAAATGAGGCTGTCGGTAACAATAGCTTATGAGACACTAATGAAACGTTATCCATGAGATATCCGTGCAGATATCATATCCATTCGTGGTTAAAAATCATATCACTGATAAATCAGAGGATGAACTCTATTCCGTGATTATAACATTAATAGAAGATGTTTGATTAACAGTTGCAATATAATATTATAATAATATAATGATGATTTATTATTTGATGGAGTATTTAATGAGAAATAATGAAAACACCATTTAATTATTAGGAGGCCATCATCATTATCATTAATTCTATTTATCAAATTTTCTTTGACTCATTGAAATTAACTAAGCTTAAGTTACTTGTATCATTTTAAATGTAAGTATGAAAAAGAATTATTGTCTATCCCAGTATCACTTGAGACTATATGTATTTGTCCATTTTTCTTGATATTTGATGTATCAAAATGTTGTTTTGATTTTATGAATGATAATATTTTATTGACTGTTGCATTGACTTACCTGATGCTATTATAAACTAAGGTAATGATAATCAAGGTATATCAGTATTTATACCACTCTAAGTCCAATTACAGTTGTATAACATGGGTCTATAACAACGATATACAGTGGAGAGTGGTATATCGTCATCGTATACAACTCCTCCGTATACACTCCAGCGTATACCACTGTAGAAGTGCATTCTGGGAACTAATGAATAAAAAATCATGAAAATGTTCATGATTTCCTGGAATCAAGTGACGTCATATATGGTTCGAGATCAACATCAGCATTTTTGAGTTGGCTATGGGATATTTTTATGGTGTTTAATTGTTATGATTGTGTTCGAATCAACTGTAATTGAACTTAGAGTGGCATAATAAGATTATATAATGGTTCATTCTGTATATCGTGCATCTTATACTCTCGTGAGAATATAATATATTCACTCGTTCGCTACGCTCACTTGTGAATATATCATATACTCACTCGAGTATAAAAACGATATACAGAAAGAACCATTATATAACCTCATAATACATGTAGTAAATATGCCTCTGTTAAAAACCTTCCGAAAACAATTATCAAAATATTTTTCTTGTTCCGTTCCTCCTCATGATAAAAAAAATGTCATTCCTAAAATTGTATTTTATAAGATTAGTAACTGATTGAATCTTAATGATCTTACTTCATTAATCATTTTACCAATACTCTGAAAGGTCCATGTCAGGTTCTATTCAAATACACATTACTTTCTGTAAATGAATTCATCAATGGAGGCTAAAGACACTTTAATGGAATAATGCCGTGAACTGACCAATAAAATAAAGATTACATTATAATCTAAGAGACATTGCGGTAGGAATTTAAAGTATCTCTGTACTTATGTGATAACACAGAACGGTGCCATGAAGTACCTCATTCAGACAGACAATGGTTTTTAGGAAATAGATTTATGTAATAAGGAAAATTTACTTTATCTGAATACATGATTTGGATTATTTCAAATTCAATATTATTTTATCTGATTTAGTAATTATCATTAATCCTTGCTTGTTCCATATGTTGTTATAAACCATATTGCATTTCTTAAAATTTCAATTTTCTTGTATTTCATTATAATTTAAAATATCAACTTCTTGCCTGTATATTTCATTACTTCAATCCAGTCTTTTAAATCTATTTTGCATTCCAAAAAACTACCCCCATGGCATAACCTTTTTGATGATTATAACTTCTAGCTGGGGAGTCTTGTACAATTCGTTCATTTCTATTCCCTGCTGTTTTCAAATAACTGCTAGATGATATAACTATTAATGTCCTCTGGGTACAATAACATAGGAATAATCTCTCCATCAATACATTGTCTAGGCAGCCTGAATTTCAAATGAGGAATCTTGAATCTTGGAAAATGAATAAAATGGATTATTGAAAACTGAAGTGCAGTCAATACTCCTCATTGAGCAGAACTTATTTCAATTTTTTCAATGATTTTTAAATATTTATTACATGATAGCATAATTTGTAATATTATGCATAATAGTTGAATATGCCACTTGAGACTTTCTCCATTCACTTGTATCAAAGTCCTTCTTTCTCTAAAACTTGTGGAGTGATGGAGGTCGTGGAACCTAAAATTGGCGTTCTTTCTCTCTTCAATAAATCTATGATATTTTTGATCAAAAAATAATGACCATGAGGAAACTTCAAAATTAGTCAGGATTGTCTCCCTAAATGCCAATATTTGTTTCATGTACATGTACATATAATTTGAAATTTTGATATTTTGGGGTATTTTAGGTGTAGTTGGACTTATAATAGTTTTGTACTTTAATGGATAACATTATAAAAGAAGAACGTGAATTGCTTTTAGAAAAATTATTTATTGTTCATTTTGTCAGAATAAATCTAATTGACTTGTATAATCTAAATGACAAATGAGGATTCCCGAAAAATATATTCTTTTATAGTAATGACTCCTCTGAGATGTATCAAATGTTATGATTTAGATTTTGAGAAATCGAATTTGTAAATCAGTTTTGAATGTTGCTGTGTAATCTTAACATTTTAACATTGGGTAACTTTTTCGGTCATTATGTTGATATTTAGATTTTAGATATCATATCTCTGTGAGGCAGCTGTCATCTTAATTTGCTTATTCTGCAATCTCCAGTTGAGTACAATTGACTTAAGGTATAAACTGTTAAATATACCCTTTGACTTTGAAGGATTCATTTTTTAGTTTTGGATATCCCTCAGGAAATATGAAATATTATGTTAGACCCTCCCTGCCATTGGCAAGAAATCTGTATTTCCCTCAGGATATGCTCCATATCCAAAACCTCCCACAGAATAACCCTCATTTAATCTCCAGTCATCAGGGAGATAATGTCCCGAATCTTGTATCGGATGATCTATATATGCATATATGCATAGGAAGGAAGGGAAGTGGGGGGGGGAGTAGAATTAATATTCTGATCAATCAGTTCATAGCAACCTCTTTCATCGAAATAATGACTTGTTTGTCTCTCAAACTCCAGTTTATCTTGTCCAGGCTTTTAAATGTCTAATTGTATTGCATCAAACAATTACTTTTTGTCTTGTGCCCTTCGAATAAAAATATAGTAAAATAGAGTGCAATCTGCAAGAAATCAAGTATACAGACATGTAGTCAACATTCTATATTATATAGAAGAAATACAAGAAAAGCAATCAGTTTACTCAAAGAGAGAAATGGAATGATATAAGCATAAGCATGTCTGTTTTCTCTGGGGTAAATTATAACATTGCTTGATTATCTCTTCTAAATCTTCTAAATTGCAAACCAGAGACATTAATGTCAACAATTTTAAAAATATGTGTTTGGAATTTGTCTGATAAGGCATGTCCTGTAAATATGTAAAAAACAATTGAGTCAACAGAATTTCATGAATATTGCAGATTTTAACCATTTTAACAGAAATGTATGATTTTTTCAGAATTTTTTCTGAATATATTCATTATTTCTGTTGCCTGAAATATTGGTTCAGAATACACTTTTAGTATTTTTAAATCCTACCTTTTTCTCCCATATGCTATTATGCATGTACAGCATTTAGCATTGGTATAAAAATGTTTCATATTGAATTTGAGTTGGTTTAACTTTAAACAATATTCTGGTTTAAAAATCTGTGGTTTCTCTTGTAGTTGTATTGCTCTTCAGTTTTTTTAATAAAGTTGTCATAGTGTTTGAAACTTCTCATTAGTTGATTAATCCTTACATATTTGGTTTTCACTTAGATTTTGCACCTTCATTCCTGGATCAATACATTCAGGTCATCAGCTGGAGATTCACTTATTCTGGTATCTACATTAAATACTTGATCGACTTCAATGCATGATCCATCTAACTTTCCCGATAACTCTCTTCTAAAGCATTATATACAGAAATGAAGATTTTTCACTTTGCTAGTTTGAGGCTGTTGTAAATGTATGTTTTGTTAGTTCTTCTCATGTTTCTAATATTTCTCGAAGATTCATTTCAGATTTGAGCTGTTGAGCTGAGCATGTTATTGCAAATAACCAGAGACTTGTTAATGATTCTCTCTGAGCCCTTTCCTGTGTTCTTCACATTAAAGTAACATTCGTTCGGAAAGTTCACCTGCCAAATTATGACAAATGGTTTTGCTCTGGTTGATAAATGTTCCAGTTAGTGTTTTAGATAGCTGGAAATGTTTTGTAATGTCTACCCTCTAAAATGTTAATCATCCTTCTCATAGTTGGAGATACTTTCATAGTTCAGTGTTGTTTATTAGTAATAAGGATACGCTTCTGACCCTCTCCCAACCCTGTTAAATTAATATACAAAATAATGAAAAGTGACATCTAAGGAGAATGAATTTATGATACTAGTTCATGTAACAATTTTAATTTTATCAATACATACTTTACACATTACAGAAAAATGAGTTTTGGTGTTGTTTGAAAACAATTCATTTCTTATAGATATCCCTTCTTTGCTGAACCCCAACCCCCAAACCTATCTAGTTATTAAGTTTCTGAAACTGATCTTCTGATGGCTTCCCAACTGGTTGACTTCTTAAAAGTGTTGCCATTTTCTGTGATGTTAAAGATATTACATAGGATATTAGATTTATTCCATTCCCAATGTAATATTAAAATTAATAAATACTCTTTTAGATTCTGGAATATATTTCAAATTCAGAAACAGATGTGATTGATGTTAAACTGTACACAGTTCCATAATATTAATGTTATCATTTCAATTATATTGACATAATTGTGGGATCATTCTCCCCGAGTCAAATTTGATTATTGCGTGACAACAATTATTTCCCCATGATAACATTAATCGGAAATTACTGCTAAAATGTATGTGACATATGTCGCCATACAGGAGATTTATGAAAATCAGATGACTCCTCGTAGGTGTCCTTAATGGTGCTTTTATAACTTTTATACAAACAATTAATTTCCGATGCAATCAGTAAAAAATAATCTGAGCATGATAATATTTTTTACAATCTGGAAAACTTTTTATTCACCTGAATTATACCAAAACACGGTGGCAGCGTTTGCTTCTCTATACTTCTTACGTCAAGCTTCTCTCTTAATTAGCGAAATTTACTGTCTCTCAAGCAATCATATATAGGCTTATGTGTCTGTTTTAAGCATTTTATAAATTGATATCTTAATTTCCCAAATTAATTTGAACTATGAAATATTTAAAAAAGGTTTGAAAATTATTTTTACAATGCCCTAAAGGGACATTTATGCATCTTTTTTAAAAGGCATGAGTGTATCATTTCTGATTAATTTCTGATTAATTATGTCATGTATAAAGTAATTACAAAAATAAATATATCTGCCATGCCCAAAAACATAACTCTTCTATTGAATTAATCATGCCAGTTTCTTAGAGATATGGGTAACTGTAATGTGTTTTGTACAGCACTATAATATAGAAAAACACATGAATAACATACCGTAATATGAAAAGGGATATAGCAATCACACTTTCTGGCCATTGTTCTTTCCATGAGAACTATGCAGCATTTACTTAATAAATCAAACGTATGATAAATATTATATGACATATATAGTGCAACTCAATTCTTAAGACTCCACTTAATGTCTAATTTGTCCTTCCCCTTTGCTTGTAAATTGATCTCAGTAATTCACTCAGATCACTTTGCTCCTGTGTATATACATGCAGGTGCAATTAGGGAATTCAATTAAAAGGGATAGAGAGTGTAAAATGTGGGAAGCAATCATTCCAAAAATCATGCCAACATTTTCCTTTCGATCATACTTTATATATGCTGAAAACTGAATTGATATTTCTTAATCAAAGAGAATGTATTGAATATAAAAGATGGATAAATGTAGAAATTCAAAAAAGGAAAGTGTCCATTTTTATGTCACCACCAGAAGTGCTGACATATTGTTATAGTCTCATACTTTTTGTGGACAGTGTTCAGCATCGATAACAAATGGCAGGTGGTAACATTTTTGTTTACCTGATACTCTAAAGGATTTTCCTAGAATCAAGTCATAACTTTTAAACATAAGTTGGACATGATGAGAGAAACAGAACTGTCCCTTTCCCTTTATAGTTTCTTTAAGGCTGGTCAAGTAGGAATTTTTGTGAATCCCATTACTCATTTAGACAGCAAGCAAGTTTATAACATGTTTAAAGTGTATTAGTAAGACTTAATCTAGAATCAGAAAAATTTAAAGTAATATCTATGATTTTCTAAACAGTCTTAATAACAAAGAAAGATAAATGACTTGAAGTTTTTATTATTGTTTTTTAAATGTTTAAATATTTTTTCATATATCTATAGAAAGTACTGTTGTTGGAAATGATGTCAGTTGTCACTGGGGGGTATCGTGATGCAACAACACCGTGTTGTTGCATCAAGATGGCCAGACTTCCGGTGATAGATTTTCGTACGATATTTTGTTTTCCCAATTTAAACCCATTTCTAGGACGAGTTGCTCAATAATCATACACGTGCAGTTAGCCCATGATCTATATTTAAAAAAACTCTCATTAGTATGCATGTAGCATCATCAAGAAGCGAGAAATTCGCCGTTTTAATTCCTCACTATTGATGCAACAACACCACTCTGTTTATCATCGATGATGCAACAACACCAATGTGCTGATGCAAAAACGCCAATATAATGTATCATTGAATATCAAGCGAAACTGTTTCACGTTCTGTTTATCTCGTAGGTGTTGGTCGGGACATGAATAAAACGCGTGAGTGCGTGGTTCATGAATGAAACATATTTTGTTTGGTTCCTTAATGTATTTGTCTTTATGTTATCAAAGTTAAAAGGATATACAAGGTAAACTAAATACATAGGCTAAGTATTGAATCCCCGGGAGCCAACCTCATTGATATTGTATCTGAAAAATAAAGATTATTCATTTTCTAAATTAAATCCCCTTGATTTACCGTATCGTATGGAAATTGTTTACAAAGAACTAATATAACTAGACTTTGGAAATTGAACAAGTTCAATTTCAGACTCCAGACTTTTTTAAGCTGAATCATCCAGAATAAGATGGATGGATGGATGAAATAGGAAGGAGGGATAGGACAGAATAGGATGGAACGATAGGAGAGAATAGAGAAGAAAGATAGGATAGAATAGCAAGGAAGGATAAGATAGGAAGGATAGGAAGGATAGGAAGGAAAGGATATGAAGGAATGGAAGGAAAGGATAGGAAGGATAGATAGATAGGAAGGAAAGGATATGAAGGATAGATAGGAAGGAACGGATAGGGATAAAAGGGATAGGATAGGAAGGATAGGATAGAATAAGAAGGAACGATAGGATAGAATAGTAGGATAGGATAGGATAGGAAGGATGGATGGATTTTTCGACATTTTCTTGGCTAACCTTGACTTTCTATCAGGATACCATCAGATCGATTTTCCTCGAAATTTCAAAATGCCATAATTTCCGAACCGGAAGTCGGATCGAAATTTGGTTTGCAGATTCTGATTCCTGAGAAAATTCTATTCTTCATTCATAACTCAAACGTTAAATTTGGTGAATTTTTTATTTGACCTACTTTTTGGACACCATATCTCAAAAGTGGGTTAAAATACTTTCTGACGGCAAAGGGCTAACACTATTAGTACACTCTTGGCTACATGTATACACAATTTCGAAGAATACAATTGAAGTGTAGTGTCAGAATCATAAAAATAAGGAAAACTTTTGAATTTGACCTAGATTTTGACCTAGACATTTTTGTGTCCAAATTTTGAAGCTAGATTGCTTTTGAGGTACCCTTCATTTAAAGGCTTTCATTAAATTAAGCTGTACTCGGTCGTATATATGTCGTATTTTACACTTCAAAAAAATATTTTTTCCCTTTGACTTAACATGGGGCACCAAATTTAGCGATTTTGAGTTTTCAAAACGCCATAACTTCCGATGAGTGTAGGTTTAATGATATTGCAGTTATACAATGCTATTATATAGAGGTTATTTACTGAGAGGGATTCAATATTGGTTTTATTCCGGGACACATTATGATATTTCCCGAGGGCCCAGGGGGAATCTGGGATTACTGTACCCCTATTAATTTACCTTTTCGGGACCTAAATCCTATTACCTACCTTTTTACTCAATCGGGGAGAATGAATCCAAAGAGAACAATACTTCTACATGTGCGCCGTGCAAGATTTCCAATAGCTCGTCGTGTTTACCGAGAACGAAAGATGCTTGCCCACCATTTTGAATGATACTAACTGGTATCAGGGTCATCAAACTATGGAACAGGGGTTTATGATAATAGATTGGGTTACTATAGCTTGCAATGTTAAAGGCGATTGAACTATGTTATAAAACAACTTCCAGTACATTATGATATTTAAAAGTATAAATTTTTGAAAATACATATAAAGAATCTTCGCCCGCAGGACGTGTATTTTGAATGCCTGAGAAGAACGCAAATGGGTACTGGCCCGGTGTTGCAATAGTAGCATTTAAAAATCTGTTCCTCTCGAGATTTATGGTCTTCTGAAATTATACTATTAATTGGTGTTGTTGCATCATTGCTCAAATCTAGAGGAGTGTTGTTGCATCTTCGGTTTGGTGTTGTTGCATCAATAGTGAGGAACTAAAACCATGAACTTCTTGCTTCTTGATGATGCTACATGTATACTAATGACAGTTTCTTTAAATATAGATCGTACGCTAACTTCACGTGTATGGTTATTGAGAAACTCGTCCTAGAAATGGGTTTAAATTGGGGAAACAAAACATCGTACGAAAATCTATCACCGGAAGTCTGGCCATCTTGATGCAACAACACGGTGTTGTTGCATCACGATACCCCCCAGTGAGTTGTACAACTATTTAGAAAGTTTTCATTACATTTGATTGGTTTTCATTACATTCGATTGGTTCCTGAGATTTGAGCTATAAGAATACTTACCGTATACCATAATATTCCATTACATTTTTATAATCTATAATAATTTAAAGATGTCAGTCTTAAATGTATTGAAGGTAGGGTTGGGTTTATCCTTCATATCATATTTAGTCTTAAGCAACAGAATGCATGCCATCTTTTTTTACAACAACATATTTTTTCATTCCTTATTTTGTGGAAACTATTGCAAATTTGCCAGAGAAATGGTCGGATAAATTTCTTAATTTTCTGAAGTTTGTGCAAGTAACAAACCCATGTTATAAAATACAGCATCTTTCATACCATACAATATGTACCCTTCAAATGGTCTCAGCATTTAAACCGTATATAGTTATCTCCAGAAGAAGTAAAACATTTCTCCCTTGGATAATATAGCTTAACTGACCTCAGTTTTTTTTTCAAAACTGACATGATTGGAGGACATGTTCAGGAAACCCTTGTGTTGATTAATCAGATGTTGAGCTAGTACATTTATATTTACACGAGCTGTTGACAATGAATTGTTTTTCAATTTCCTGAAGTATGGAAGATAATACATGACTAATGCCTTGGTCACATTTCCTCCGAGTATTTTGTTCGAAATTGAATACAATATTGAACAAAACACTCAATCGGCCGGGCGCCGGCCGATGGATCGTAGCCTATGTGACTCAGGCATAACAGAAAAGTTACAATGGATGGAAAAAATGTTCCAGTTTTTTGGCCCACCCTGTAGATACCCATAACAGCACATATATCGAGTGTCCATTGAAAATATGTTACAAAGCTTTTCAAGGTTTTTCAAAAGCAATATAAAAGTTTAATTTATTTTGGGTATTTGTTTATGCACATATCCTCAAAGTCATCTGATTCCCCAGATGGAAATTTTTATTTCTTGTCTACAATGATTTTGGAAATCTTGAAAAGCTTTGTAACATATTTTCAATGGACACTCGATGTTAGCATTTTCCTCGGTGTTGCAAAAATAGTCCAGCGCTGCTTCAACAAACTCCTGAGATGTTATGTTGCCATCTTTATCCACATCAATGTATTCAAACTGGCACTTCATGTAATTCGGGTCAAGGTAATAGGCATCCCAGAAAACTTTGTATTCTTTCAGATCAATGACACCATTTCCATCCAAATCGAGGACTCTGAACCATTTCGCAAAATATTCATACACATAGGGTCGGCTGGCCGGGTCATTGCGGTAGTAGAACTCCCCGAGAAGCTATTCTGTTATATTGTTTGCTGTCCGAAAATAATATGGAAGTTGGCGATTAAACATTCTTCAGCTTTAGCTCCTTTAAGGTTTCCTAAAATGCAAAAGTATTTTGGAGAAATCTGTTATTTATGTCAAAATATCACATTTATCATAATCTACGAGTCTTAATCATTTGTTATGTTTCCTAATCAATTAATATATAAGTACATGTTGCAACTGAAATTTGGGTGAAATTAACTCATCCTTGATGTCACCACCAAGAATTTGTGGCATATACATGTACTTGTGTATTGTAGCCTGCTGGTGACAATTTGCAATATTAATGTATTCACCTGCTTTGATGAGCTTCTCATCTGTATCCCATATCCCATTTTTGTTGAAATCAGTCGCCATCACCTTTGTTACTGTCTTCTTCAACCAGAATTTTGGGATATCCCCAAGTTGACTCATTTCTACTGCATATACAGACTTTGAAGACATGTTTGAAGAAAAGTACCTGTTTTCTCTTGTTAAGTATAATTTGTAATATATCACATACCCTGACCAGAGTCTAGATCCTTTATGCTCTAGTAAAAGATACTGTTTTTATATATATTATACATTGAAAATATTCAGTTGAAAAAGACCATAAATTGAGTTAAAATACAATTTGTATACAGGAACTCATTTACTATTTTTTCAACTTTTTTATTGACCAAAGCAAAGATTCATTTTACCAACCACTGCATAATTACAATACAATACGTACATATACAGTATTCATAGTACATGACATATTTCTTAAAAATGTATGAATTTGTGACTTCCATTAATTTTAAGGTCTCTCAATTGGTAGCAGTGCGCATCAAGTAGTCCAGCATGTATCTGTTTATTTCATTTATAATGTTCAATGCCACCTTGAAAATTTCTTTGTTTTTCATAAAAAAAAATTTAACCCAGTAGATTGTTCTCCAAACAAAGACTTGTACTTTGCCTATAACATGCTTTTTATTTACATTATTACTAAGTTACATTTATACATTATCCCACCGTTTGAAGTTCAATTTGGAATATAGAGATACTGTCCATCTGTTTGATCGGCCAGCTGTACATGTGTCCAGGCAATAACTCATTGAAATTGAATTGTTATCCCATCGAACTTCCCCATCAATTAAAAAAGTAATAGAATGGTTTTATTCATGTGGCACAATGTCTAATGACACTTTGATTAATAGGCGGCTATTTCAAAAACTTACAATTTACATTACATGTTTGTGATTTTGTTGAGATTTTATATGTGCCTACTTAGAAGCATATTACACTTTCTCATGACAATTTGGCTAGTGACCATTTTATGAAATGTCAGTCATGCCTGTTTGATGGGATTTGTTATGTTTTGGTGTTGCTGTTATCTAGTTGTAATCGTTCCATTAGTGACAATGGCATAACAGGATCTAAAAATTAATGAGTCTCAATAAAAAATGTCAATGATGATTGTCCATTAGATTGCTTGGATTGTCGGCGGCAAAAATTGTCAAAGATTTCATACCCTGTGATCAACTAGCATATCAATTTTGAAATAACTTAAAAAAAATGTTAAATTTCAATTTGAAATATGAGAATACATGTTTGTCATGCAGTCGTCTATGGTTCGCATCACTCTTTATGCTTTTGTTTGAAATATGAGAATACATGTTTGTCATGCAGTCGTCTATGGTTCGCATCACTCTTTATGCTTTTGTTTGAAATATGAGAATACATGTTTGTCATGCAGTCGTCTATGGTTCGCATCACTCTTTATGCTTTTGTTTGAAATATGAGAATACATGTTTGTCATGCAGTCGTCTATGGTTCGCATCACTCGTTATGCTTTTGTTTGAAATATGAGAATACATGTTTGTCATGCAGTCGTCTATGGTTCGCATCACTCTTTATGCTTTTGTTTGAAATATGAGAATACATGTTTGTCATGCAGTCGTCTATGGTTCGCATCACTCTTTATGCTTTTGTTTGAAATATGAGAATACATGTTTGTCATGCAGTCATCTATGGTTCGCATCACTCTTTATGCTTTTGTTTGAAATATGAGAATACATGTTTGTCATGCAGTCGTCTATGGTTTGCATCACTCTTTATGCTTTTGTTTGAAATATGAGAATACATGTTTGTCATGCAGTCGTCTATGGTTCGCATCACTCATTATGCTTTTGTTTGAAATATGAGAATACATGCTTGTCATTCAGTCGTCTATGGTTCGCATCACTCGTTATGCTTTTATTTGAAATATGAGAATACATGCTTGTCATGCAGTCGTCTATGGTTCGCATCACTCTTTATGCTTTTGTTTGAAATATGAGAATACATGCTTGTCATGCAGTCGTCTATGGTTTGCATCACTCTTTATGCTTTTGTTTGAAATATGAGAATACATGTTTGTCATGCAGTCGTCTATGGTTCGCATCACTCATTATGCTTTTGTTTGAAATATGAGAATACATGCTTGTCATGCAGTCGTCTATGGTTCGCATCACTCGTTATGCTTTTGTTTGAAATATGAGAATACATGCTTGTCATGCAGTCGTCTATGGTTTGCATCACTCGTTATGCTTTTGTTTGAAATATGAGAATACATGCTTGTCATGCAGTCGTCTATGGTTCGCATCACTCGTTATGCTTTTGTTTGAAATATGAGAATACATGCTTGTCATGCAGTCGTCTATGGTTCGCATCACTCGTTATGCTTTTGTTTGAAATATGAGAATACATGCTTGTCATGCAGTCGTCTATGGTTCGCATCACTTGTTATGCTTTTGTTTTTTACTCAACTCAATTGTTATACTTTCATATTTTGCAGAAGAAAACTTTTATAACTTTGTTAATTATATTAGTAAAACATTCATATTATCTTAGATGTATGAAAATGTAAAAATAATATATGTCCAAATATTGTGTCCATATTACATAGGGGTCCCAGGGGTGTACCAGATTACTCAGGGGTCCAAGAGGCGTATGTTCTACATCATACAAGGGTCCCAGGGGTGTTTTATTTACACAGGCAACACTGAATTATTTTGTTCTTTTATATTTCATCAGGAATTGCAACCAAGCCCTGGGACACAATTGTTTTAGTGTTTGTGTTCCACTCGTAATACTTGTGACAACGAAAAAGAATCACATTCGGCCATTTTGTCACAGCTGCGTTGATGTTCCTTGGGGCACCAAAAAAAATGTTATCGGGAATGTCCGTTCCTAGGAGAAAGGCGCTAGTACTCGTTGATGTCCCCAGGTTGTATTTTGTGACATAGTTTCCGGTGAAGTAATAGTTGGTTGCTGTGATAGGGTCATTCACGATTGCATCAAGGTCACTCGACAAGGCATCATAACTCACAGAGGCATCAGGGGTTGAAAGCGCATCAAGCATAGTTGGGTATTTGTAGTCAACGTTTCCTATAAATTTGAAAATTGGATTTTGCCATATACAAATTAGTTATACTGACTCATAATCATGTCCGTCTCTCTATCACTAAGGCTACCATGCAACTGATAACCTGCATTTGTTCATTACAAAATCCTACCATTAGTAGTGTTGGCAACACAAATAAGGCTTACCAGAAATAAAATGGTTTGATGAATCACGATCATCCATATAAGCCGCCTGGGGTGTTTTTCCCCCGAACCTCGTTGCAATTTCTGATGACAAATCTGTGGCATAGAAAGTCTTGTCAAACGGTTTATCTACTAGGGAGCTTGCACCCTCACCATAACTCCAAAGTAGTTTATCAAATATCAGGACAAGTTCCCCTCTGTTCATCGCGGCTTGCACACATGTTGGTCTCGCTGGCTGAATCTGAAGCAGAAACAATTTTAAGTTTTCTGCAAAAGATCAGGCCAAATCTCCCTCCATCAATGGGGCAATGTTAAAAATCTTTAAAACTTGATCTACTCTTTTTGAGATTATAATTTTAAGGGTAAGTCACAATCTGCACGTCAACACGATCATTTAGTTAAGTTGTGTGCTACTGGAATTTTACATTAATCCATCTGAATTATTTAATAAATCAAAGAATTAAGTGAGTTTTGCCAGTTTTCTTTATATTTTAATATTTTAGGCCATTCTCATCTGACCAAAACCAATACTGCCATCTATTTACCACAACTGAAAGTTATGACCCTGCAGGTTCATTGTTTTTTAAACCTATAGTCATTTACGGTGAATGTTTTTCATCATGGGATCTTTTTCTGAATGACTGTATATATTGGTTTATTCTAGTTCTGTTTAATAATCTGTAGAAACACTAATAAATGAGATATAATGAAAATATGTAAATCATTCAGCCCATCACCATGGGAGCAACTATTTAGTGTGCATTTGCAACATGACTTATAATGTAAGTTTATCTCATACCAGAGACCTCAGATTCCAGCATGACTATAGAATTCCGAATCATTTGAGTTCATCTTGTGGTAAATCCACTATTTTTAATTCCATGAAGGTTTGGAATAAACTGCCAGCAGCGATTAGAGTTGGTCAACCCATTTCAAGGTTTAAAGGGTGACGCATATCGTTTAGCAAATCGAACGCTCGTTTCTGGTGTTGCTCACCGTTTAGTATAAAAGGCCCGATCCCGGAATAATACTCAAGGGTTCACAGGTTTGAGGTCGTTGTGTCAACACCTCTAACTGTTATATAGCATAAGAGTATTATAGATCGTCACACATTTATAAAAGGGTGATTTTTATTTTGACAAATCAATTCCACATTTATGGGCGAAGTTTCAGGATCATCTATTTGTGTATAATAAGGAAAAATTGGCATCTAAATTTCCCTATAACGTAATAGCACACAGCTTGGCATATGAAATATCCTACAAATGAAACAAAGCAAGACAAACCGGTTCTAATGCAAGGATTTATATTGGCTGTTGTACATGTATTCTTTGAACGCAATCACTCTTTGGATAACGTTTTCAAAATCATTATAAACGGATTACTTTATCTCAAAGACAATTTCAATAAACTGGATTTTACAGAACTCCCCTTATTTCTTAAAAATGGACTGATCCAGTTGATTCGCCTAGAGCCGCCATATTGTTTTTATACGGGATGCTAATCGGAACCCTTTAAAAGGTCAGTGAGAGGGTACATGAGCCTTGTCTCTGTATCAACTACTCAAATGACTAGGTGCATGCCAAGGCAAATAGAAATCAAATTCAATAGACTAAGAGCTGGTCTACTTTTGAGCAGTCACTTTTATTCTCATAATTTCCTGTCGGTAACAGATCCCAAATGTCAATGTGGTGAAAAATTCCAAACCACTGAACACTTTTTAATCAAGTGTCCACTGCTACTTAATGAACGTGAAGTTCTTCTTGCAGGACTATCAGACTTGGACTTTTTACGAGATTTTGAACCATACTCAATTCAAAGGAAAACACATTTTCTATTAAATGGAGATGAAAATTTGGACTTTGAAACAAATGAAAAACTGATTGAAATCACTGCTCACTATACTTTTCAAGCTATATACAAAGTCTGGGACAGGGTAATTTTTAAATTTGAGCTTGATACCACAACTTGGTACTGGGGAACAAGCAAACCAAACAACAACAACAAAAAAAAAAGATAAAGCTTCTCTGAACATTTTGTGTATTTCTGAATATCAATTTTTATTTATCAAAATGTTTCAATGTTGTCCTGTCAACAATGGCAATTTGTAAAAATGTAACCGATTGATTTTTAGAAAAAAATATGAAGTATGTAAAAAAAAAAAATGTAAGTTTAAATCGAGAAAACAAAAACTTGTATCCAGGAAGTTCATCCATTTTGTTACATTGACGTTCAGTTAAAATAACTTGTTGTGGAATGGTGAATATACTGCATGTTTTTTAGAAATAAATTATTAAACAGATAAAATTGCTATCAAGTTATTTGAAGGAGGGCTGCTATATTTTGGATGTCCTTAAAGTTGAAAATTATGGACACCCAACAAGCCTGGATTTCTATTTAATATGTTAAATATACCATTATAACTAAATGTTACTGTGAGTTTAAAATAGTTCAATATTCCAGAGTATGTTTTTGTCTTCCAATGAATATGTCCCATGACTTCTTTTATCAAAGATTGACTCTTGAGACAACTTTGGCTAAGAAGAAAGCACATGAATAAATGGTTTTGATATGAAGAACTCATCCTCTGTAGTTTTTATGTACATGGTAACTTTGCTTAAAGGAACATTCCTTGCCAGACCCTTTCTCTCTTGATATGGTAGCTATAATCATATATATAGTTTCCATATTTAGCAAAACATGGGAAAATGTTTTAATATGGTCAATATTGATCATTTAAAAATCTAGTGCTTATTTCCAGTGAGCTGCCATCTTTTAAGATTTCTTGCAGGAAGTGATGTCATCAACTCACAACTTCTATAACCTTGCCCATAACAGTATAGGAAAGTAGCACAAAATCACTTCTAGACAAGTGATCATTACTTTCTGTGCAAAAATGTTTTCAGGGCTTGTCAACTTAGAATAAAAGAAGATATTTTCAGAAGGATTAAATAAGATACAAAGTTGAAAAAGAATATTTAGGTTGTTTTGTAATTCTTAATAGCTCCTCACCTAATGCTATATGCAAAGTTGAGAGTCGATGACATCACTTCCTGTGTGAAATTTTAAAAGATGGCAGCTTACTGGAATTGAGCATCACATTTCTAAGTGATCAAATTTGACCATATCAAAACATTTTTGCGTGTTTTGCTAAACATGGCAAGCATATATATGGTTATAGCTACCATATGAGGAGAGAGATGGTTTGGCAAGGAATATTCCTTTAACTTACATTTTGCTTATTGGTTTTGTACCTCATACTTTTCTATTATTCAACTTACCTTTTCATAGAAGACATATCCACTTGCAGCATTCATCTTTCCCGACCCTGCCATGTCTTGCGTCACCTCACAGATCCTTGTTCCGTCTTTATCCTCAATATTAAAACCCCAACATTCATCATCTGGATCTTGAATACACGCAATTGCACATTCCGTAATTGTTTGAACATCAAATGTACGTACAATAAAACGATCTTCCAATTTTACATCACTTATTGCATGTTTTTTGAAGAGTCCATCCATTCCTGTTGCCATGATACCATCAATTATCACCATGGTTACTGTTGCTATGTAACACATATATTTCAATGCTGTGGTAAGCATGGTTAAATGTGACGATTTGGCGATTTGGTGAGTTATATCAGATTTTCCTAAAGATGAAAAAGAATGAAAATAAAGCATAAAAAGAAATCAAATTCTTTGTTAACTGTTTTTGTAAGAAGTAACTGTAAGTTTTTATTCCTTCACCTAGCTTTCCAATTATCGCATATGAGATTTGTATTAGAGCTAGTTTATTTAATAATTGCCGATAAAAAAGTTTCAAGGATATTTCGCAGATTTCTTAGAAAGAACCTTTGTGTAAGTGACAATCAGTTGTATTTTTATAGAAAACGTCAATAAGAATTGCTTATTACTTTGTAACTTCTTGGCTGAGGATTAAGAACTAGAAATACAATGAATAAAGATTTTTCATTATTATATTATTAAAAGCTTAATGATAAGTATTTCTCATGTACTTACTCAGAAATATTCTTTGTTCCTTCCTTACTTAAGTTTATTGCTATCATGGAAAATTCAACGTCTCACACATCTTCTGTTGCAATCAATGTCTCTTTTATTATTATCTTTGCTGATAACAGCTGATATATATTTTATGTATTTGAAACAAAAACTAGTCAAGTCCTGCTAGGATTGAGTTATATATCGCATTATACCTTAAGTATACTATTTTATGCTTATTTAACTTCAGATTTTATGTTATATTGCGATAGATTCATTTTATATTATCTGGATATTTGATTTCTAAATTAGTTGTTCCTCATATGTTAAGCCACTTAATATGTCATCAAATAAACCCTTTGATTGTTTTTATTGCATACTTACTTCCAAATAGATTTTCTTCCAATAAATAAATAGAGGTTTGATTAGATAACTTTTCACCACTATTTGCTCTTTTCCCAGAGTAAAGTAGTAGATAAATATGGAAGATGGAATCATTGACGATCTGATTCAGCTACTCATGATGTTACCATGACAACGCAGTATGGTTTAATTTTCGGGCTATCCTGTTACATTTCAATGGATCTAAGATTTAATAGTTCTTCAAGTCTTTTATTGGATTATGCCATTCTTTTGTTGAATCTATTCTTTATAACACGGATTATCAGCAGCACTTGTGATCTAAAAGGCATAGGAAGAAAGACATAGCAAACATCAATATTATTATATTAACAAATCTTTTGTCTTTGATTTGTGCTCTTAGACAATTCCTTTGCAACATCATGAACAACAAACTTAACAAAGGCCTGGGGAGATTTCCCATTCTTAAAATATCATCCTGCTCAGTTTGTATACTGCCCCATTCCTGTCTTAATTTCATGAACTCCCTGAAGTTTGGTGTTTCTATGTAACTTAAAGTGGAGACCTCATATTGATTTGTATTATTTCTAGTTACTTTCATGTTTGTTGGTTGTATGTAGGATTTAAATGTTATAATATGTAGGTTTTAACTGTGGGCTTGACTGGAGTAAATGACTGATGGTAACATGTTGTTTTACCTTAAAGTGTGGATCTAAACCTGCCCACATGATGTGGAGGAAGGAGGCTGTTGGTGGAAATCAATCACTATTTATTAAAATAACATGTACAAATTAAGTGCATAAATGAACCCATAGGGGCTTATTTATGTATTTGAGTATGGGTTGGGGTGGCCCCATATAGTCACAAAATGAATTGACATAGTTTGGTTAATTGGTTCTCTCGATACCAGAAGGCATGAAAATTAAATGCAATTTCTTTAAAGAAGCTCATTTAGAGAAGAGTAGTCAAACTCTCTACAAATATGAAATGATTATTATTATATGCCAATTGCATTTAATTGAAAACAGTTATTCAAATACTCTTAATGAATCATTAAATGATATCCCAATCTTTGCATTGCTCTTGCTTGCTCTAATATTGCACTGTTGGATTAGCCAACTATAGTTGAATAAATAAAGCTGGATTTAATAGTTCAGATTTTATTGGTTGATGTCAATTTATTTTTTATTGTTAACAAGTGATATTGACCAGATGAGACAGGTTTACACCCTTTTCCTTATAAGGATTTGCTCCTCTTTCTGCTTTTTTGAATATGCCTTATTTATGGTGAAAGAAAAAATACATTGATTGAATCATAAAATATATTTACATATAAAGTAAGGTGAAAGGTTAATTGGTTCACTTTGTACGTACTTTTGAAGCACTTCAATCTAAAAGGAAATCCTGGAAGTATTGAACAAAAATGTTATAAAATAAAAAATGTCATCATTAAAATTGGTACTTGGACTCAAGTTCCACCACTCATCAATTCCCTCCCTTTAGGCAATTTCATGTAGAAAACAAAAGAAATCAGGTAGGAAATATTGTAAGTTGATACTTCAAATGCATCAAGCCCTTGGAATAATAGTACCTGAACTTGATATAAACTTGATATCCATTATCTGGTAGATGATGACGTCACACTATCTGGATTGTGGACCTTGTATTGAAACAATAAGGAGAATATAGGAATTGAATAACCTTCTGACCATTACTGATCAGTTATGGACATTTTTAAGTTAAAGTTCATAAACTTTGAATTTTGCAAGTACAATGTAGTTAGTTTGAAAAGGTAAATGAAATGTCTGTCATTCAGTTTTGGAGATTATACATCCTCTTAACCACTTACTCGCCTATACCTCACCATTTGGGATCAAAAAGTTTTCTAGCTTTTAGATGAAGAATTAGGTAGCTGACACCTACTTTTTTGCTTGAAACCAATTAATATTGATGTTCCAAATATTTTAATATAAACTTATATGCAATTTATCATTAATTGAATTTTAGGTCTCTAACTGTATAACTTTTAACAAAGTGAACATTTATATGCTTGCAGCTTGCTACCTATAGACCACTGTCACCTTGTAATCATCCATACTGTACCTGTGGGAGATGTCAGCCCCATACAGGAGAGGACAGTTAGAGAGGTGAGCAACTTAGAGGTCATAAGAAGTCATCTTAAATGTTTTTGCATTGGATTCAGCTAGAAAATGAAGTCTCCTAATTTTGGAATAACTTTTCAATTATGGTGGAATCTTGCATTTTCTAGTATATGCAGGGTGTCCAAACATTGACCTATTGTTTAAAGATAATAAAATTATAATGAGATATGATGAAAGTTGAAGGTTTTCAAAAACATACATGTACATTCATACAAATACCAAATTGTAGAATGAAGGAATTAACATAAATTTTCAGCCTACTGAATTATGCTTTTTTGGCAGTTGAACTTATAAAACACAATCTTGTGTATGGTGCCTTCTTTCCTATCTAAAATAGTACACTTTCTGTAGTTTATTCATTCAATGGATTAGCAGTTGCAGGTGCTACTTTGACAATCATAATTGAACTCTTCCTTTAAGGTGTCCCCAGTATTGTCCAGTGAAGTGTTAGTGTCGCAGTCAGGGAGATACATGGCTGTGAAATTAATAATTGAACTCTTCCTTTTAGGTGTCCCCAGTATTGTCCAGTGAAGTGTTAGTGTCCCAGTCAGGGAGATACATGGCTGTGAAATTAATAATTGGACTCTTCCTTTAAGGTGTCCCCAGTATTGTCCAGTGAAGTGTTAGTGTCCCAGTCAGGGAGATACATGGCTGTGAAATTAATAATTGGACTCTTCCTTTAAGGTGTCCCCAGTATTGTCCAGTGAAGTGTTAGTGTCGCAGTCAGGGAGATACATGGCTGTTAAATTAATAATTGAACTCTTCCTTTAAGGTGTCCCCAGTATTGTCCAGTGAAGTGATTGTGTCGCAGTAAGGGAGATACATGGCTGTCAAATTGATAATATGAGCTCTTCCTTTAAGGTGTCCCCAGTATTGTCCAGTGAAGTGTTAGTGTCGCAGTCAGGGAGATACATGGCTGTTAAATTAATAATTGAACTCTTCCTTTAAGGTGTCCCCAGTATTATCCAGTGAAGTGTTAGTGTCGCAGTAAGGGAGATACATGGCTGTCAAATTGATAATATGAACTCTTCCTTTAAGGTGTCCCCAGTATTGTCCAGTGAAGTTTAGTGTCGCAGTAAGGGAGATACATGGCTGTCAAATTGATTATATGAACTTTTCCTTTAAGGTGTCCCCAGTATTGTCCAGTGAAGTGTTAGTGTCGCAGTCAGGGAGATACATGGCTGTGAAATTAATAATTGAACTCTTCCTTTAAGGTGTCCCCAGTATTATCCAGTGAAGTGTTAGTGTCGCAGTCAGGGAGATACATGGCTGTGAAATTAATAATTGAACTCTTGCTTTAAGGTGTCCCCAGTATTGTCCAGTGAAGTGTTAGTGTCGCAGTCAGGGAGATACATGGCTGTGAAATTAATAATTGAACTCTTCCTTTAAGGTGTCCCCAGTATTATCCAGTGAAGTGTTAGTGTCGCAGTCAGGGAGATACATGGCTGTGAAATTAATAATTGAACTCTTGCTTTAAGGTGTCCCCAGTATTGTCCAGTGAAGTGTTAGTGTCGCAGTCAGGGAGATACATGGCTGTGAAATTAATAATTGAACTCTTCCTTTAAGGTGTCCCCAGTATTATCCAGTGAAGTGTTAGTGTCGCAGTCAGGGAGATACATGGCTGTGAAATTAATAATTGAACTCTTGCTTTAAGGTGTCCCCAGTATTGTCCAGTGAAGTGTTAGTGTCGCAGTCAGGGAGATACATGGCTGTGAAATTAATAATTGAACTCTTCCTTTAAGGTGTCCCCAGTATTATCCAGTGAAGTATTAGTGTCGCAGTCAGGGAGATACATGGCTGTGAAGTTAATTCAACTTGCTGTGAAATTCTTTGATCTCTGCCTTACTACAGTCACTGGTATACCAATGAAGGTAGGCTTCAAAAAATATGATGGAACTTTGATAAAAATAAAATTTTAAATGGGCTGCTTCATTAGTTAAAATGTCCATATAGATTTATTTTGTATTTCACATTTTACATTGTCAATAAATGTTGCATAGTAAGTGTAAGCATATCTTAGTGCCCCCTATAACATAATAAAAGTAAAGTTTTTTTGTTGGTAGCTAATGTCAAATAACACTATATTATAAGAACTACATTTTGGAAAAAGATTTTGAAATGGCTCTCACTTGTGAAGTTATTGTCTTATGTAACCCCTGGATACAGTAACTATAGCAACCAGGCCCAAAGGGTACCTATTTTTCTTAAATAGTTGACCTATATTGGGCTAATAAAGTGATGTATCAAATGATCAGAGATGTCATATTTTATGCCATGTCTTCTCTGTGTTTGATTGAAGCCAGGTGGAGGAAGATTTGAAGAAGGGAGAATAGAGAATAGAATTGTAATTTGTTACAAATATGAAATTGTAATTTTTTGCATGTAGGAAGAGCAGAATGCAAGTTCATCAGCCAACTATGACGTTGAGTTATTACATAGAAAGGCAGCTCATCAAGATTTCTTCAAGTCAGGTAAGAAACTATAGTTTCTCCATTACATAATTTTTTATGATTGATTTAATTGTTATCCTATTTGGAGCGATTTAGATAGAGGGCCCATTAGCATGACTATTCCGTCTACGTTAAATGTCTTGTTTTTACTGTGCTACGCATATTTTTGTTACAAAGTGGAGGATTACATACTGTAGTTATTTCAAAATGAAACCAATTGGATAATCACATAAAAAATAAAACATAGACAACCTTGACCTTTTTCTAATATAAGTTGTTCTTTTACATGAGACTTGTTTAATCATTAATTTTTTAGTTTCATTTCATGAGGCACTACAATGTATTTTTTTATCTTGGTTCACTCTTTGATCTTTTACAAATCTGACTTGTTTTGATCCACCCTGTAAAAACTATTTAAATACACAAACATTTGAACTTTTGCCAAATCAAGATACGTAGCTACTGCAAATATTACATATAAAAAATATAAGATTTTCAAAATGTCGCATCAGAAAGAAACTGATTGCAACTATAAAAACTGTCAAAAGCCGAATATTCACAAATATTGCAATGATAATACCCATAATGAGGAATTCCACAAACTAGTTAAAAGGTTTGATGATCCTGACGAAGCAAGAAAAAGCAATGACCATGTAACAGTTCCAATTTACCAAACAATTGATGACGTCCACACTTACGATACAAAATTAGAGGAAATGGATGATTGGTCAGAGTGGTCAGAATCACCTGTAAGAATGGCATCAAAAGCAACAATGACAACATTAGAAAAAGACCGCAGTAGGCCATGTATAAAAAGGCGTCTCTGTGTTTATTGCATCGTAGCTCTTGTGCTACTACTTGTGTTTGCTGCAGCTATTGCAGTTGTATGCGCATACATAGCGGGGATAAAACATGGGAAGGAAGGTAATTCAGTTTCTCTTCTATTGTATATAGGATCTTTGTTTTAACTTAATTTTGACTTCATTTTATGGCCTTGTTCTAGAGATATGCCATATGCATCTTCAGCTTTATAAGTATATACGTATGAATAACATGTTTCCGCCACTATCTCATTAAATACAATCTTTGGCAGGTTGGCTAAAGATGCTTAAATATAATTATCTGCATGATTTAATAATAATCATCCGTGTGAAACCATAAAACCCGTATAAACCATAAGACCTAGTAAAAGTAACGACAGCTTGTTCATAGTTTTACTTTTCCATTGTTACCTTTGCTCAATTTGATAGATTTGATTTATTGTTTTACAGCTTGCCAAGTCAGCAATTCTATAAATAAAACAGATCCACCATCATAATTGACAGATTGATGCATATACCAAATGTTGACATGGATGTGGGACCTCGGAAGAGGAATGGTTCTATTCATGTTTGGTACCTGGAGCATATGCTGTATACTGTGGATGAAATATTTATACAGGAGATGGAAAAAACAACTAGAGAAGACATTGTTGACACCTTTGATATATGTGTGCATATAATAATAGTCAAGTGTACAGGGTGATCATAGTCAAGTGTACAGGGTGATCATAGTCAAGTGTACAGGGTGATCATAGTCAAGTGTACAGGGTGATCCATAAGTAATGTCAAAGGTGTTGCCATTTCAGTACTACTTGTTCAATCTCCGTGAAACTTGCTACAGATCTTCCTCAAACATTACTAATTGTATACCATGAATATAAAGGTTCTCCAATTTAATTGGTTGATTTTATGGTAACTATGGTAACCTTATGTGATGTCACCAGGGCAAATTATTTGTTTAGCAAAAAATAAAATGAAAAAAAAATTAATAAAGACAATATTGTGTTAGTTTTAAACACTTTTATATTATTAAAATCATTAATCATTTAATTGCTCAATTACTAGTTTGCTTACATCATTACCCTTCATAACTGCCACATAGTAATATGTTTTTCATCGTAAAACCATGGACCTGAAGAATTAGTCTGTGGTAGTAAGCACTCTGCTAACTGATCTCGAAATCCATGACAACTCATTTTTGGAATGCTCCAACAATATCTTTTCTTAGATCATCTGAAGTTTGAAAACTGATCCCACTTAGCTCCCATTTAAGTTCACAATATAACTTAAGGTCACTTGGGGCAAGATTGCGGAAATATTGGGCATGCTCAGGTTGTAGCAGTCCTAACGCATCCACAATACTGGTTGTCAGGATGCCCTTGTGTGCTGGGTGTCATCCAGTAAAAAAAGTTTATCCGTTCTGGTTGTACATTTGCTATTGTGATGCTTGGTTGACCACTTTCTCAGAAAATAAAATGATCAACTAAAATAGAGTGTTTGGCATTATATGTGATACTACTTTGACCTTCCAATGGCAACATGAAACAAATAAAAAATATATTGAAAAATAATTGATTGTTATTTTAGTTTATCAAGTCAAGCGAGTTTCATTTCTTTCGCAAAATTAAGTTTACCCCGGGTGACGTCACATCGGGTTACCAAAGTATCCATGAAATGAACCAATCAAATAGTAGAAGCTTTATCTTTTATATGTTAACTCAGTAATGTTTGAAGAGCATCTGTACCAAGTTTTAAGATGATTAGTCAAATAGTGTTAAAATGGCAACACATTTGATGTTGCTTCTGGATCACCCTGTACGTAGTAGTCAGTAAACACTTTGTTTTCCACAGATTTTAAAAATTAAAGTAAGACACGTCTACTATAACTATTATACAAATAATAATAAATTATGATATAACAATTTGTCTTTGTGTTGCTGTGTTTTGCATTACTATTTCCTCCTTTGGCACTTTTGCTAAATTTGTGTTGAAAAATGTATATAAAGATAATTGATTATAATAATAAGTTAAAAGTTTTTAATGTTTATGTTACTCTTTCTGTGTGGGCAATGTATCTGTTGTTATAAGATTAATAAAAGCACCTCTGAGAATGCTATCAGCAAGTTCATATGGAGAGCATCTCATTTTTGTTGCTTTTATAATATCATTAAATGTCCTTAAGCCATACTACTTTTATGCATGATAAACAACCTAGTTTAAATATCTCCATTTTTCATTGGCAGACCTTGTCATATATCTGCATAGTATTTGAACAACTTTAAGCATCCAGTCTTAGGGTGCCTACTAAAGCCATTAGCCTTTGGTGACAAGAACCTCATCAATTGTTTCCCATTTACCACAACAACCATTTGCCAAAAGTAGGTTCAGCTTGTTGATGTCGCCACATTCCTTCTTGCATTGGTCTAGCCGTGTGAATGGGAACTTTGCATTAAGTAGTACTAGTATTGGTACTTGAGCCCATTCTGATACTCATCGCATATTTCTGTCTCAGAGCTGGGAAGAAATGAGATGTCATGGTTTATCATGATGCTTGAGCCATGTACTCTTTTTGTTTGTATAGCCATACCATGATTTGTATGATGAAATGGATGAATGCAACTTATCTCAGCATTTTCAGTTCTGTCTTCTTGTTACATATGTTCATTAATCTGAGCAATAAGATCTACAATAGGACTTGAATAGAATATGATCATGAATTAGTATTCATAAACAAGTTGCTTTTCTAGGCTGATGATGTTAATGCAGGCACAGACATTTTAAATGTCATGGAAAATATAAATCATTTCTAATAGTAAAAACAGAAAAGACTTTAATTATTTTGATCATAACTCACTGCTCTTGACAGGGTGCAACAAGACATTAAAATGCTAAAATGTCACCACCTGTCATTTGTTATAGAGCTGAATGCTGAACACAAACCGCCGACTGTTGAACACTCTCCACAGTGAGACTAAGAACACCTCACACAGACAGTAAAATTATGTATAGATACATTGGATTTAACCAGTTTTACATTCTTAGATAACATGACTTCTTTTGCAACTGTATATTTCTGTGAGCAAAAATTGAAAGAATGAAATATTAGATAAAAATATGATATGTGATGTTAATGTTTTAAGGAACACACTGATGGTGTACTGATATGTATATGTAAATGTTTTCCAGGACACGCTGATGGTGTACTGATATGTATATGTAAATGTTTTCCAGGACACGCTGATGGTGTACTGATATGTATATGTAAATGTTTTCCAGGACACGCTGATGGTGTACTGATATGTATATGTAAATGTTTTCCAGGACACGCTGATGGTGTACTGATATGTATATGTAAATGTTTTCCAGGACACACTGATGGTGTACTGATATGTATATGTAAATGTTTTCCAGGACACGCTGATGGTGTACTGATATGTAAATGTTTTCCAAGACACGCTGATGGTGTATTGATATGTATATGTAAATGTTTTCCAGGACACGCTGATGGTGTACTGATATGTAAATGTTTTCCAGGACACGCTGATGGTGTATTGATATGTATATGTAAATGTTTTCCAGGACACACTGATGGTGTATTGATATGTATATGTAAATATTTTCCAGGACACGCTGATGGTGTACTGATATGTATATGTAAATATTTTCCAGGCCACGCTGATGGTGTACTGATATGTAAATGTTTTCTAGGACACGCTGATGGTGTATTGATATGTATATGTAAATTTTTCCAGGACACACTGATGGTGTATTGATATGTATATGTAAATATTTTCCAGGACATGCTGATGGTGTACTGATATGTAAATGTTTTCCAGGACACGCTGATGGTGTACTGATATGTAAATATTTTTCAGGCCACGCTGATTTAGTATTGATATGTATATGTAAATATTTTCCAGGACACGCTGATGGTGTACTGATATGTATATGTAAATGTTTTCCAGGACACGCTGATGGTGTACTGATATGTATATGTAAATGTTTTCCAGGACACGCTGATGGTGTACTGATATGTATATGTATATGTATATGTAAATGTTTTCCAGGACACGCTGATGGTGTACTGATATGTATTTGTAAATGTTTTCCAGGACACGCTGATGGTGTACTGATATGTATATGTATATGTAAATGTTTTCCAGGACACGCTGATGGTGTACTGATATGTAAATGTCTTCCAGGACACGCTGATGGTGTATTGATATGTATATGTAAATGTTTTCCAGGACACACTGATGGTGTATTGATATGTATATGTAAATATTTTCCAGGACACGCTGATGGTGTATTGATATGTATATGTAAATATTTTCCAGGCCACGCTGATGGTGTATTGATCCCATCCAAGGAAGACTTGTGCCTGGAGTCAGTTAGTTTAAAATGGTGCAATCCTAAGTCAAATTTTGTAGGTAAGAGTTGTTGTTGATAACCTTAGTGGTAGTTCTATGGCACTTTATAGATCTTCAGTTATCTGCAAATAAAATATACATGTACATATTGCATATTATAAATATACATGTACCATCATGTATATAGCTGTACTGTGTAAGATAAATTTGAAATAAGCAGATAGGTTAGGTGTTCCCAAGTTGACAGGCCTGGTGTTATGTCTCTAAAACTAAATTACTCTTTGAATTAAATCTATCAACTCTGTCTGTTTATTATTAGTTCTAAATAAAAATTTCAAAAAGGCCTTAGTTAAGCTTTAATGACCTGTTTAAGAATCCCTATTCTAACTAACAAAAATGGCTTCTAGCAATATTACCCAACAGGAATCTACTTGATGTGAGTTCTTCTGAGAAAATGAGGATTTCAGCAAGGGTGCATTGACTTCACATGGTTACATACCTGATGGTATCCCCTCGCTAAGTCAATGGTGTATGTCCCCCCATGTTGAGTTAATGCACCCTTGCTAAAATCCTCATTTTCTCACAAGAACTCACGTTAATCAAATCTCAACTAATAGATTTATGTGGGATAGTATTGCTAGAATCCATTTTCGAAAGTAAGAATAGGGGCTCTTTAATAGTACATTGGACTTGCTTTTATTAACTTTTTGTTGGTACTGAATTTTGTACATGTAGTTTATACTTTCTGGTGGAGTTTAAAATAGTTTGATTGAATATGCAAGTAATTGAGTATAAGGTATAAGGTATAATGTATCACACTGATCAAAACCTTTTTGAAAATAGCCTGATTCATATGAATTTCATTTGTGCAAAGGGATTTTCAAGGGAGCATTTTTGTGCAGCACCCAAATAAACATAGTGTTACTGTGTTACAGAGTTACATCAATGTACAGGGGCCTATAGGATCACACCAGTAGATGTCAACAGCAGACCATCTATGTGTCTCACCAACTTTCTACTGAGTGGTAAGTTCAAGAACTTGCATTTTCTTTCTAATTTACAGCCCCTAGCACTCTTTTCTATTCCCTCTGATCCCATCCACTTCTTCTAAAACCATTCTTTCGGTAAATGGTTATGTGATATTTGTTGAGACATCTATCTGTATAGTCTCATTTTGAATTTTTTTGCGAAGTGAAAATTTTGATATTTGCAGAGACATCTATCAATAGATTTAGTTATTACTTCTTCAGGTTGACATAAATACAATTAGCACCATCTATCTGTATTTCTATATTGTTACAAGAAAGTTCAAATATTTTCATAAGTAACATTTATTAGAAAAGATCACTTACAAAACCAGTACAAAATCTATTAAAAATATATACATGCTATAATAGATGCACTTAATGACCATTGACATCATTTGATGAACTTGTATATGCACATTGCATTGTGAATTGTTGATGATTTTAAAATTGCAAGTTGGCGCCGAGTTTGAAATTAATCAAATGAACACTTTATTGAGATTGAAAATGACTTGAAAATGATTTAAGAAATATGAATTTTGGCATATAAGAGAATATTGAGCAATATATGAAAATTAGAATATGCCATATGAGAGAATTGAACAATAACTAAAATATGAATTATAGTATAATATATGAAGGTTAAAAAAGATTTGAAATGTACAGTATACATGTAGCCATATCATATATATATTGCTTGCGTAATTTCAACTATTCACAATGAATATTCGTCAAGTAATGCTGCATTATTGAAGGCAGTGGCAATGACATCACTTTGCTTGTCATATTACTACCTAATAGCTTCCTGATTTGATAACGACTGAGTTCACTTAGTGGCCTGGGATGTTGCTTCCTCTCCTTGACCCATAAGTTGGCGTCATCCCGTAATATGACCACCCTTTCAGTTGTGTAATTACTGTTATGGCTCACATAATCCTGGATGTTCCCAACAGTTGCACCATTGTTTACTAAGAGTTCTGCCATATTCTGATTCCTGTTGAGTAAGGCTGTTTCTACGAGGGTATGTGGTTTCCAGTATAGCCCTGGGCTTATGTGTAGATCAGGGTACGATAACACATTCATATTACACCCATGATGCACAAATTCCTCCACGCAGGGTTTCATGTTGCATACAACAGCCAATCCAATGGGTGTGTTTCCAGTGAAGTCTTTCATTGTGACATCACAATGGTACGATAGCAAGAGTTTGATGCAGGATGGGTTGTTATGTAATACTGCTATATGGAGGGCACTTCTCAATTGATCCTTTGTCACCTGGTTTATTTTGATATTTTTACTCTGCAAAGTATAAATTGTAAGTCTTACTTATTGAGCTTTCATATTAGGCCATGTGGGGCTGTGGGCTCACCATTCTCCACCATGTGAATACCTTGGGGCCGGGGCACGGTATTGATACAAGGTGGGTAAAACAAATAGTTTTAAAGCAAGATGCCCCCCTCACCCCAATACAAGAATCAATTATGAATTAATTAGAATATTAATGGCCCAAATTATTCAGACAATGGTGCATGGTGATCTCACATGGCCTAATGTAACAGGTACTTTAGGGATGGGGTCCCATTGTCAACAATTGTTGAAGAATCCAATTAATGAGGGAGGGGGAAATATAGATTGTGTTTATAACATAATCCAAAAAGTCTATCTGAGGCCATTCACAATTTGCCTACCTTAATCATATTATAACTCCCACTCTACCTAGCTTAAGCTTATTTATTTATTATATATTACCTTAAGCAAGAAATGCATAATGTCCACATTGTCATTGACTGCAGATATTGTGAGAGGGCAGTGGCCTGTTTGGTCTGTCATTGGAGCATTTACATCTGCCCCATGCTCTTGTAGTAGAGTTACCATTTCTAGGTGACCATTCTTTACTGCTTTATGCATGGCATTGCATTGCTTTGGACCTAAAATGCACAATTGCTTTATTAGATATGTAGCTACAAATGGGGTAGGGGAGTGGAAGGAGAGGAACTTACCAGCTGAGTTATTTGTTGTCCCATCGGCCGGGTTGGCCTAGTGGTTAAGGCATTGGTCTGAAAAGCAGGAAGTCTGGCTTCAAGCTGAAAAGTAGAGGTCTTGGGTTCAAACCCAGGTCACAGCACTTCTTGTGATTTGTCTTTGACCTATGACTGCTGACCTATACCGGCGATTACTAGAGTGCTGCTAACTCGATAAAAGGCTGGTGCTGGCTAGAATTGTCTATGGTTCTAGCCAGGATAAAGATACCAGTTCTTCAACTCGACAATGGGAAGAACTGCTCTACCTAAGTGACTAATATGTCATGATATGACATCTAAAGAGTCAATAAAAGATATATATAACATCCTTTACATCATCATGAATAATTACAGTTTTATTACATGTGTAGATACACAGCTATATCTGCTTTAATTGGCTTATTAACCTTTTATTGCCCCATGGTCTTGTAACAGGTAACATCCTTTACAACTTCAAGTATGGCATTACAATGTTTTGAACCTAGAATTTTCAGTTGTTTTCTTATCAGTCTCCATATTGTTAAAACATTGAAGTGCTTTGAAGTATTTCATTGTACATTGTTCTTTATACCACTATGCTCACATTCAATACAGTTAGTTTATGTAGAAGTGATGTGCAATTGTTTAGACTTGAATTGAATTATCTGTCTCTTTATATATTTCTTTTTCATGTTGAGGTTCTGTAATGTATAATACATGTGTATCCATTTGATTTATTCAGGTATCAATTTATTTGCTGATAACACAATACATCCTTGTTCGTCTCTTATTTAAGGAGTTCAATCATAAAGAATACATTTATTGTATTAAACTTAATACAGTAATTACATTAAAAACTTCCTAATGGTTCCTTTTTTCCCTCCAATGATTTAGTGGATTATATTAAGTTTTTCTCTTGAAAGCCCATGGTTTTTCGAAATTAAATATTAATACACAATTCTGAATATAGTCAAGAGTGTACCGGTATGTTTTCTTTTTGCACATTACATAAAATTTAAAGCAGATATATAATTTAACAATGATAGAATTTGAATAGAATATAATTTAAAACCTTAACATTTTAAAATAGATCTATGATTTACAACTCATTTAAAATTGTAAGGTAACTTCCTGGTTGGCGGAGTGTTTTAAAATATAACAATTAAGATGTTGTTTTACTCACCTATTTTATTAACATCACATCCTTCATCTAATAACCTCGTCACCATGGCCATATCTCCATCTTGTGCTGCTGCAACTATGGCAACATCCTCAGCGTCTGCATCCTTATCTGTGTCCAGTTGCATATCCAAAAACTGAAATGAGAAACAACAGTTGAACAGTTGTTAAGGGATATTTATGACATCATAATGATGAATACAAACCTGTTACCACGACAATTCTAATTGTGTTCCATTTTAACTGCAATTTTTAACATGTTATACCCTTGCACTTGTTACCCTAATATGTACTCTATGGCAGCTGTTTACAAAATAAATAAAGACTAATTTACATGTAGCCCCATTCAGCATTTCTTGTGTTTCTGCTACATGTACAGTATACCACAATTTCCTATTTTCAGTGCATTATAATAATAACCATTGGACTGTACTTTGCATTAAGCCATTAAGTCTATGAAATATAAAAGTTGTAACTTAAATATTTACCAACTTGTATACAAGAAACCAAGTGTCAGTTTGAAAATAAAGAAGTCTTTTATACATTAAATATAAAAGATTTATTATTTGTTGATAAAGACCTTTGAGCGTAAAAGTCTATAAAACATTGTTCTACTAAAAAATGAGCGAGAAATGTCTATAGAATTTTGTCATTAGATCGTGAAGAAGTGAATAGATCTGAATGAGTGTTAGTATGCAAGTGATGTAAACATATTTTTGTTCAGCCCTACTCATTTTTGTTTTGCTTCAAGCTCATGTAATCCCCAAGCTTCATATACCACAAGTACAGTAGAGTGAGGGGTGTTCCAGAAATCCAATGCAAGATTATACTGATTGGTCAGAACCTTGTACATTATAATAGATGTAGCTCTAATTGAAAGCCCATGCTCTCACTTAACGAAACAAAATTATACCTTTGTACATGTATGATGCAAATATAGGGTGACCCAAAAGTAGGTATATACTGTAGTTTACTGAAAAAAGAATCTCCCTTTGATAGCTCTTGCTCCTAAACAGTTTACCCCCTCCCCCCCTAGGGACCAGGAGTTTACACTCAGCATATGTTTATCCCATCGAACGAAGTTCGAAGGGATATAGGGAACGCCTCCGTCCGTCCATCCGTACGTCCGTCCGTCCGTACGTCCGTCCGTCCGTCTGTCCGTCCATCCGGGCAATAACTCAAATACCTTTGGCCCGATTTTGTTCATATTTTGTACACATATACCCTATGGGGGTAGAAGTTCTGCTCGAAAGCCGATTTTCAAAATGGCCGCTCATTTCAAAATGGCGGCCATTTTAGTGCCGATTTTACAGTAATTTAGGTACAATATGTAAAACTGTAATAGCAATATGTTTTAAGTGTAAAAAAATTATAAAGGACATTAATAAAGCTACAAATGTAGATATTAAAATTTTAACATATTTTACTATAACATGAAATGTAGTGGAGCGATTTTGTTCATATTTGGTATGTGAATACTATAAGCATGTCACATTGTCTAATGACACTTTTGGTAGAAGGTGGCCATTTTGAAAAATGGCTGCCATTTTAACGTATTTTACTATAACTCGAAAAGTAGGGAAGCAATTTTGTTCATATTTGGTATGTGAATACTATAAGCATGGCACACTGTCCTATGACACTTTTGGTAGAAGGCAGCCATTTTGAAAAAATTTTGAAAAATGGCTGCCATTTTAACGTATTTTACAATAACTCGAAAAGTAGTGAAGCAATTTTGTTCATATTTGGTATGTGAATACTATAAGCATGTCACATTGTCTAATGACACTTTTGGTAGAAGGTGGCCATTTTGAAAAATGGCTGCCATTTTAACGTATTTTACTATAACTCGAAAAGTAGTTCAGCGATTTTGTTCATATTTGGTATGTTTCATATTTTACATGTGAATACTATAAGCATGGCACAATGTCTAATGACACTTTGGGTAGTAGGCGGCCATTTTGAAAAATGGCTGCCATTTTAACATATTTTACTATAACTCGAAAAGTAGTTCAGCGATTTTGTTCATATTTGGTATGTTTCATATTTTACATGTGAATACTATAAGCATGGCACAATGTCTAATGACACTTTGGGTAGTAGGCGGCCATTTTGAAAAATGACCACCATTTTTTCGTTTTTACTATGACTTGAAAAGTAGTGAAGCGATTTTGTTCATATTTGATATGTGAATACTCACGAGCCTTGCACACTGTCTCATGACACTTCGGACAGTAGGCGGCCATTTTAAAAAATGGCTGTCATTTTTACATTTTTTACTTATTTCACAAGTACATGTGTGCGATTTTTCAAAAATTTTATAGGTGGCTACTAAAAGCATATTATTTCTTCTGATGACAACTTGGCTAACCATTTTGAAAATGGTGGCCTTTCTGGTGTGTTGTTTTATGATATTTGCTATATATTTCGTTTGTAAAAATGCCAGCCATTTCTGTTCGATGGGATTTGCTACGCTTTGGCGTTGCCGTTGTTCTGGTTGATCTTGAGTGTATCATTTCAGTCCCTCATGAAGAATATTTCATTAACTAATTAAAAACCCACATTGCACCATGCACTTTCTGAATAAATGTATATCAAAGTTTGAAAACTCACTCAGTAAACAGCATTCCCGGGCAGCGTTACAAGTTTCCAAATTAATTTCCACCTTTCAATTTTACATCCCAAATATTTTCCTGACTGGATGAGATGTCCAATGGTTAAAAATGTGTTAACGAGTTGTATATGCAGATATGATAACAAAGCGATAATAATCAAGTAATAATCCAATTAAACAAACAAACAAACAGGATATGATGAACAAATACTATGTGACTCTTACATCACATGGACTGTTTACAATAGATAGCTTTTCGTAAATGTGATTGTTATAGTATAAGAGGAAGAGAAATTGTAACACATAAAGGATTTCAAACATGTTTTTTTATTCTTAAATATGTTCTTCAGGTTGGATTATCAAATCACAAATCACAAAAATATTTTTTTCTGTTCACAACCTTTATTTTACTAAACAGGCCATTTCGGATCCTGTCTGGATCTGACTCTGAAAAATATGTTAGTCCTCCCTAAAGACAAAATAGACATAAATGATAAATCAGGAGTTATTTATGAGGTACCTTGCAAAACATGTAACAAATCGTATATAGGAGAAACCTCAAGACCTTTGAAAGTTAGAATTAAAGAACATAAGATAGAAGCAGATTCGAGGGACAATTCACGTTACACGCGCCAAGCAAAAGAAAATATGAGTGGGGTGATGAATAAATCAGCCATTACGGACCATGTCCTTCAGAATAATTTTGTAATAGACTGGATCAATACTACGGTTTGGATAATGACAATAAGAGACTTGAAAGATGGATTAAAAAATCTATTTTTATAAAGAAAAAGACGATAATAATATGAACAGGGAACAAGGGAACTATAAATTGGCGGGAATTAGGAATGAATTTTTGGTGAATTAGTATGACATAATATTGTTTTTATTTAATTGTTTTGTAGCACTTCAGTTCAGTTTTTATACAGTTGAAAAAGGATCCAGACAGGATCCGAAACGTCCTGTTTCGTAAAATAAAGGTTGTGAAAAGAAGAAAAAAATATTTTTATGTTTTTTTATTTTTGAATGTGTTTTTTTCAAAAGACCTCTGAAACATGTTGTCAAAAATCAGATGTATCTTTTTTAATGACACTCATTAAGAAAACTATATCCTGATTTTATTATATAAATTATAGTTAATGCTTTTCTATTTTTACATTATTTTGAAAGGCCTAGACATTCTAATTGCATTTTTGACCTTGTATATCTTTTAAATTCAATGTCACCCGGAGAAGTGGATTCAAAGAGATCCTTGTTTGTGGGATTTGTCTTCCCAATTAATCATGTTTAAGCTAACTTTTAAGTTAACTTTTTATTCTTTAACATTATGAAAATGTTATTTTAGTTTAATAACATGCCAAAATCTGAAATATATAATTGAAAGGATGAGTCACAAATTTTTTTAAATGGCAATATCCTAAAACTTATTTAATTTTTTAAGTACAAAACTGTCATTTGAATTTATAAGTACATGCACAATAAGATAGTATGTTTAATAAAATAACATTTTGTGGATGTTGTTTATGAAGTCAGCATTTGGAGTTGGCAACTATAACAAATTGCAATAACTTACAAGGTTTTGACATCTTGTCGTTTTAATGCCTTGTTTTTTATTTGTTTCTTTGTTATAACTATCAATTGATAACATTTATAAATGTTTTTTATTCTTATTCTAATAAGTTTTCTGCAATTAATTTTAAGTATTTTGATATAAACTAGAAATATCTTGATGGTATTTTTATTCTTCATTGTCCCCAGTAGATTTTGAAGTGAATCTGTTGTTTGGAGATATATTCATTACCTCTATAATATAGCAATAGAGCTATTTAATGGCATGGTCTTGTTGTGACTCTTACATCACATGAACTGTTCACCATAGATAGCTTTTCGTAAATGTGATTGTTTATTGTATAAGAAGAAGAGAAGTTGTACCACATAAATAGAGGATATCCTATGATTTATGAGTGATATGATTTTTATCCAAGAATGGATATGATATCTGCACGAGCGAGCGTAGCGAGAGAGTGCAGATATCAATAACCATGAGTGGATTAAAATCATATCACGAGTAAATCATAGGATGTTCTTTTTATTCCATAGTTAAAGTCATCATCAGAATCGTCGGAAATTAAGTCATTTAATTCGAATTTTCCAAACGATCCGGCGATGTTGACACTTAGCCTCGTTTTGAGTCTGAAGTAGCAAAAATCCATAAACCATCGCATACGACGTCGTATGTCATGGCTAAAAAACCGTATGCTATGGTTAAGTGAAAATTTGTCAAAAATATCATATTTTACCACTGATTCCAAAAATACCGTTTTTATTTTCACATGTTATCCTATGAATATCATGCTAACTATGGAATAATCAAACATATTTTTTTATTTTTGAATGTGTTTTTCTTCAAAAGACCTGAAACATGTTGTCAAAAATCAGATGTATCTTTTTTAATGACACTCATTAAGAATACTTAATAGCATACATATTTTATTATATAATTTATAGTTACTGCTTTTCTATTTTTACATTATTTTGAAAGGCCTAGACATTCTAATTGCATTTTTGACCTTGTATATCTTTTAAATTCAATGTCATCCGAAGTGGATTCAAAGAGATCCTTGTTTGTGGGATTTGTTTTTCCAATTAATCATGTTTAAGCTACAACCTACATGTAATCAGATGTAATATATAACTTTTTACTCTTTAACATTATGAAAATGTTATTTTAGTTTAATAATATACCAAAATCTGAAATATATAATTGAAAGGATGAGTCGCAAAATGTTTTCAAATGGCAATATCCCAAAACTTATTTAATTTTTTAAGTACAAAACTGTCATTTGAATTTATAAGTACATTCACAATAATATAGTATGTTTAATAAAATAACATTTTGTGGATGTTGTTTATGAAGTCAGCATTTGGAGTTGGCAACTATAACAAATTGCAATAACTCTCAAGGTTTTGACATCTTGTCATTTTAATGCCTTGTTTTTTATTTGTTTCTTTGTTATAACTATCAATTGATAACATTAATAAATGTTTTTTATTCTTATTCTAATAAGTTTTCTGCAATTAATTTAAAGTATTTTGATATAAACTAGAAACATCTTGATGGTATTTTTTTCTTCATTGTCCCCAGTAGATTTTGAAGTGAATCTGTTGTTTGGAGATATATTCATTACCTCAACTTGCAATAGAGCTATTTGATGGCATGGTCTTGTTCTAATAAAGAATATGTAAAAGCATTATTGTAATAGCTACATACATTATTTTTGAATGAATGTTATTTTCACTTGCTAAATCATCCCATTCAATAATCTTGCATGTCACAAATTAATTATAGCATTGAAATTAAAGTACATGTAAGGAATTTTGAAAATTCTGATGACAAAAAACACTACAGCGGTTTAACTGGAATTTCTCACAACAGGCTAAATAAATGGAAATCATAAAGGATGGGTATCGATATGGCGAACTTTTTGAACACACGTTTCTCTTAAACCTGTCATAAAAAAATTCTGAAAATTTTACACAGTGTCACTTTAATGGTCATCTTTTGAATGGTAACAATATAATTTGAAATATATATATATACTTTCATCTATATTGTTTTAGAAAACACATCAAACACTTGTTTTGTTCTTGGTATCATGTTTCCAGATTGAAATGAAACATCTTTCCGAACCTCATTGGAACAAAACGACATTAACACAACATGTTTAGGTCTTTCAATTTTGTAATTGTACAAAGGAAATTTTGGTTGATTTTTTAAAAAAAGTATCTTGTTAATGAAATAAAAGGTTTATCTTGATTTTCATCTATTTTTTGGGGGGGGGGGTTTGTTTTAATTTTTTGAATACTTTTTTAAAATCAACCAAAAATTCTTTTGTATAACTATAATATTGAGAGGTCTAAAAACATGTTGTATATGCTATTTTATTCCAACAAGGTTCGGAAAGACATTTTATTCCATTCTCAAGAATTGGTAGAAAGGAGCAAAAACAATTGCACTAAAAAAAATGTTAACAAAAACAGTTATATAAAATATTTCTAAATAATTTTCGCATTAAATTGTTGTCAATCAGTCAACATTACATAAAATATCGTGTTTTTTTACAGAATGTTTTCAATGATTGGTTTAAAAGAAAAACATTGTTGAATTCAGTTCTCCATATCAATACCAATCCTTTAACATGGAAAAGTCCCAAAAAACAACAGACGGTTGTGTGAAAAAAATACTGGTGAAAATCGCCTGTTGTCTGCTGCTAATGAAACCCCTGTACTATGAAATTCTTAATTTATAAAAATGCACTAGTACATGATGAAAACATAACTGAGGTTTTAATTTTCAAATTGATGATTTGAAGCTCATGTTTGAGATGATTGCTCATAATGAATGATTCTTTATAATGAAGATGATTCCTTATAATTGATCATAATGATTCTTTATACTTACAGTAGTCTTCAAATCTACCCTTGAATTAGAATTAGAATCCTAGGTTGGAATATGATGATCTGCACGAGAGCTCTTTTAAATTACTATTTTAAACTACTTTATGAGTTTCATTTTCCTTTAACAGTTTTCTTACTGTTTGTCATTTTTTGCACGTACGTAGATGCCTCAATCCAGGTTGCTCCAATGATTATTATTCAATTGGGTTTGCAATAGTTTCATTGTTTGCCTTTACTTCTATTTGGATTTACTGGAAATATCAAAACAATAGCCTATGGTTATTTGTGCATGTACCTGAACATAGACACATTGAGGCTTTTTATGTCCAGTTTTTGTTGTACATTTAAAGATAATAAGTTGTTGTAGTGATGTTATAGCAGACATACATGCTAGTAACCTTGACTTCATTTTCAATTTAACAAGGTCTCATCTTTTGAAAAAAATTGTTTTCATCACGTCATCGCTATAGTAAATATAACAGATCATTGTTGCTAGACATATTATCTCTTTTATGATCAAATTCTTTTGTTAGTACATCACGTAATCATCCTATTTTACATTGGGTTGTAATTTATGAGAAAATGTAATTTTTCAATGTTTTTTTGTAAGAGGTCCTCACCTGGCTTGACTCCTCTGGAAAGGCCATTAGTGTTAGAATCACATCACTCATAAGCTTGAAATGATTATTTATTTCCTTAGTTTGCATCGTAAACCATACATTAGCCTGGTTCTGTTAATTAAACTCAACCAACCAAGTCATGGGCTCCCCATTGTGGGATGCATAGCATCATGGGCTTTCAATTATCTAGTTGAAAGCCCATTATAGCATGTATTATCTTTGGGAGTACAAGCATCTCTGAAGCACTGGATAAAGAGGGTCACTGATAAATAAGTATTATGATAAATGCACTATGACAGAGTCTTAACTTAAAACATGCAGTCATTCCCTAAAATATTACAATTAGTGCTTTAGATTAATAATTGTTATACAGTACAATTAGAAATTGTAACATACCTGTAATAAAGTGTGTAACTTATATATGATATACCTCTAATTAGTCCCTAATGAAGTACTATATTGATTTGAATGACCCAATGGTGTTGTATTATTTCATTATCAACATGAATCACCTCAATATAGCATAAATAACCCTCCCCAACATATTTTGTTACTTACATTTCATAAATATTATTCAAGGGAACTTTGAATTATGTGTGTGTGTGTTTGTACATAATTTCATGAAAAATATACAATCATAAATCCTAAACATACTTAATGATATTTGAAGAGTGATAATTTAAAAAATCACCTTTTTTCAATAATCACATTAGATCTCATAGTCATACTCTGGGCATGTTCAATTGTAAAATTGTAAGTCATTTTATATTTGATTTATATTTAAGGTATCAGGTGCTTGTCTGTAATAACATGACCGTGTTGCATTGTTGCATGTATGGAGAGCTTCACTCTTTGCTACATGTATTCTACATTATTAGATGACATTTGAAATGTTTCCATAATTGGTAACTATGGCAACAACCTCAGCTTTAGTGACATATATAACAACACAACTAAACCTACATACGTAAGTAATATAAAAATGAAAATTCCCCAACCTACCACATAAATAAATATTCACAATTCTATGAAAGATAAAGACTGATTCAACCTAGTATATCATGCTACCTACTGTTTATGATGTCATTTGCACAAACTAAGTCAGAAATTAAATTAAATTTTCAAAAACTTCTTTCATTTTTTTTGTTTACAAACATTGCTCTATACAAAGTATGACGTCTTATAAAGTCTAGCCAATATACCGGTACCCTAGTTCCTTGCTTCGCCAAAAGGTGTCATTATTAGTTATTGGAAAGGACTTACCTGTTCTTTAACTTTATTAATAATATTCTCTTCCATTATTTAGTTTGTTTCGTCTATCCCACGAGAACAATGAGAATGGACATTAACTCCCAATGATGCTCTTACAGTGTTTTATTAGAATTTATTCTACATCAGTAAAATATCACTTAAGTAATATTTGTAAAATATCACTTAAGTAATTTGTTGAGATACTGTTACACAATCTGTTCAACCATTGTAATCTGTTAAACCATTGTAATCTGTTCAACCATTGTATTCGTCCAGTCATTGACCAATGAGCATAATTACACAAGAATCATTAACTTACGAAACAAGATGATAATTTACAAGTAGTGTTATATCAAATCAGAATGATTAGAAGTCAAGTGTTCAATTCAAAATTATTAAACTTTGCAAAATTGATAACATCACATTTCTATATCATGCCCAGTTTCACAACTTTTTTGTGCCACTATTAATTTTTTGTGTCTTATCAAATTATTAGAAATTTTTCATTTCAAGTCTTATTGAAAAAGATGTCTTAAACACTGTTCATTGTCTAGTAACATAAAAAAATGTTAGGATGCTTCGTAATGCAAAGTATATAGTAACCTGGGTGAATTCAGCAATGATTAAAGTAAACAGTAATTTTGTCAACGATTCATAGATATTAGAAATGCAGGAGAATCAGACATATGATATTTTGAAAATGGAGAAATTGTGAGGAATGGACATGACTTGAATGATATCTTAACGGGGTACCTGTAAAAGCATGAGTTATCCAAAACTAAACAGGTTATCTTTGAAAGCAAGCAATTGACACATATAGACATGTGTTGACATTTAAGATATGACTACTTATTAATCATGTTTCTGTAGAGTCACATGAGCAAGCAGTTATTCAAGATTCAGATGCACTCAAGTAATGCTGGCAGCGATCATTATGTCACTATGTTATGTCATCTTTACACCCTTGTGAATGGAGGTTTGGCCAATCTAGAAATCTAGATGTGAAATGGTTGGTTAAAGTCAGGCCTTGTGTTGCCATAGTTAAGTGCTGTCATCTGATCAACATCTAGATGTGAAATGGTTGGTTTAAGTCAGGCCTTGTGTTGCCACAGTTGAGTGCTGTCGTCTGATCAACATCTAGATGTGAAATGGTTGGTTTAAGTCAGGCCTTGTGTTGCCATAGTTAAGTGCTGTCATCTGATCAACATCTAGATGTGAAATGGTTGGTTTAAGTCAGGCCTTGTGTTGCCACAGTCAAGTGCTGTCATCTGATCAACTACTGTAGTTAGTCTTATTGTCTCCCAAAGGAGTCTATTCTGCTCCCCTTTTCGTTTTTATATTTCCATCATATTCCCCTCATTTCCTTCATTGGTCTGTACCTCTTTTACCCATTGTCTTTTGTCTTCTTATGATGACCTCATCTATACACTAGCTCCAATATATTGTTTGTGTCTTGCCACAGTGTAATTATAAGGCAAGTCAAATGGTTTTCTATACAAAGTTGGCAAAATGGGGACAATGTTAATGTCATATTGTAACTTTAACATCCATTTGGTATTTCCATGTAGAAAACGAATTTGATATTATTTGTGGTAGTTTAGGTCTAATGACGTATGAAACTGTAAAAAGTAACATGTGAATATGAAATTCACACACTAAAGTACATAGGGGCATTCTCAGGAGGCATTGTCAGTCGATCTTCAATAATTCTTTGTTTTATATTATTTCTTTACTGAAATTTCAAATTAGACACACCGTTTTATCAATATGGTGATATATATTGTAAAGAGTCTAACAATGCCTCAGATTTTCACCTGATGCCAAGGGTTTGTCAGGGAATGTCCTTATGTACTCTTGTGAAGTTAATTTGTATGTTCTTAAAAGTCATGACAGAAGTCTTTTAAGTAATTGGCATCATTTTTGCTCAAGAATATTTTCGAGTCAGTTTTCTTTGTGCCTTGCTGATTTCACTATTTTCTATTTTCTATTCACTATTTCACAATTTTTTGTATTTTACATTTTAAAGCACATCCCTCATGAAATCTTTAAGCATGATTTTGATTGATTAATTACAGGACGTGCTGTGATGTTAGAACAGCCAAGGAAATCTGGGACCAAATTGATATCTCACATGTTGACGAGCCACGGGGGAGAGATTTATATACACACCATGGCTACCAATAGATCGATTCTTGAGGAAACTCCATCTATTAGTGAAGGGCTAGGTGGCAGGATAACAGATTATAGAATTACAGTATGTTTAGTAATATTAGTGTAAATGTTTTAATATTCAAAACCATAGACCCATGACAAAGGTTACCATAGTTACCATTACTTTGGTTTTTCATTACATTTATAACTGAGTAAACATTTTGATTGTATATACATGTATATGCATGGAAAACAAGCCTAAGTGGATACATTGTTGGCTTGTTGGAAAAGTAAAAAGTAAAATTATTCTGTATTCATAGGATTTTGGCGAGCTGATGAAAGACTGCAGATTGGCACCAAGACTATCTCAATTAAATGAGGGAGAACCATTACCCATAGACAGAGGTATATTTCATCACGAATAGTCTTTGATAAGATTAATCGAAAAAATAGTCTAGAATGGAAATTTTTCTACAATAGACCTAAATCCAAAATAGACCATGCCACATTTTACTTCAACATGGAAACCAAGTTATATTGACGAATTATGTTTATGGTCAAAATTCTAAGTTGTCTTCAAAAATAGCAATAATGTTTTTAAAAATTGCTTTCATTCTTCTTTTTTATGATTCAGCCAAGGGGCAGATAGAGAGACTCACCCGGGTATGGCCCATAGTTATCAGTGATACCATAATCTTCAACATGTTGTCTGTAAGTAAATGGGTTATATTCATGAAAGTGGATATGAATATCAATAATTTAAATTATTACTTGACATCAAACTGGAACAAAATACATGTTGTAGGTTTTTAAAAATTTGAATGATAATTTTGGATCATTTTAATAAAGAAGTTGATTAATTTGATGGAAAATTTGAATAAAATGTTGATTTGATACAAAAGAGAATCTTGGAGATCAATCAAATTCAAACCCCCATAAACCTTAGTAATTGATGAAATTTTAATATTTCAGCACCTTGATCCTCTACCTTCCCTGATCTCCAAGGAGACACTTGATGAAGATGATGTACTGGAGTGTAAGAAGGCAATATACCATGTGGTTGGGATGGAGAGCAGACATGAGCCATTGCCAGTGCCTGCATCAGGGGGAACAAGAGGAAAGGGGACTAAAAGGTAGGTGGTAGAGAGAGTGTAAGAAGGCAATATACCATGTGGTTGGGATGGGGAGCAGACATGAGCCATTGCCAGTGCCTGCATCAGGGGGAACAAGAGGAAAGGGGACTAAAAGGTAGGTGGTAGAGAGAGTGTAAGAAGGCAATATACCATGTGGTTGGGATGGAGAGCAGACATGAGCCATTGCCAGTGCCTGCATCAGGGGGGACAAGAGGAAAGGGGACTAAAAGGTAGGTGGTAGAGAGAGTGTAAGAAGGCAATATACCATGTGGTTGGGATGGAGAGCAGACATGAGCCATTGCCAGTGCCTGCATCAGGGGGGTCAAGAGGAAAAGGGACTAAAAGGTAGGTGGTAGAGGGAGAGAGAGAGAGAGATGTAAGTGGGGTGGACTAGGAGGTATGGGACTAAAAATCTTACCTAGTAGGCCTTCCTAAAAATGTTTGTAAATATATAAAGCCTTAACCTTTAAAAGGTGACTTAAAAGTAGGCTTTAAAAATGTGTATTACATACCTAGTGAAGCATTTGTATGGAAGTCAATGGAGCTGAAGGTCAGCTATATATTCCTGTATAGCCACCAAACTTTTTACCATGACAATCTTATGAAGTCATGTTTCATTTCTTCGAAATAATACAACAATTATGTCCATATCATTGAATATATGCCTTCAGTCTGTTGTCATATAGCCCCCGCAAGCTCAGGCTATATTGATGACAGACCTCAGACATATATTCAATGATAGGGACATAATTGCAAAGTATTGCCTTTCTGTCTTATAATACTAAGATGTCTTCTCACTTTGCCTCATAAATTATTTTAATATTCCAGAGACAGCCAGTACAGACAGATGTGGTCAGAGTTAGAGACTCTAATAAGATCTTATGTGGACACCTCTGACAATCACAAACAAGTATTAGACTGTCTCTTAGAGTGTAAAAAGCCTGACCTTGAGAGGCCAGGGTCTGGGGCTTCAGGGACATTGAAAATTGCTGAGAAGCCTGCTATCAAGGAAGAAAAGTTGGATGAGGCTGAACAGGCCCTGAAGTCACTTGAAAAGTATGGAACCTTTTTGTTCTTATTTGTTTAAAAGGACGATTCTCGGTTTGGAGAACGAAGTTCTTCAATCTAAATGAGCATTATCCCTGCTTCGGACAAATTTGATTTTTTTACATAATATAGATTTGAATGTCTTCTTTTGAATAGTCATAATTTAATTTGGGTAATATTTTTAGATTTTTCGCAAAAAAATATTAGCGCAGTACACTGATGAACTTCTTTCCCCAAAATCAAGACTTGTATTTTATTGAATCAGTCTAATTGAGCATCCCTGCTTCAGACCAATTTGTTATTTTTACATCTTGTAGATTTAAATGTCCTCTTTTGAATATTCATAGTTTAATTTGGGTAATATTTCTATATTTTTCATGAAAAAAATTATTAGCCCAGGAGACTTTTCTCCAAACCGAGAATCGTCCTTTCATACAAATCTTTAAATCATGAAAATGACTTCATTTAGCCATTTATATTTAAATTTGCAGTACATATACTGTAATGTTTCCTGTCTCTGTTTAAGACCAGGAATGTCCTTTGACGGAACCCTACTGTGCTATATAAGGGATGAATCTTTGATTTTCCCCTTAATTTATTTTTGACCTGAATTAAACTGACCAATCGTCTGCCCTTTTACCCATAGATATCAAAGATTGACTGAGAGGGAGAAATCAGATCTGAACATAAAGACTGAGACAGACTCACCCATGTCTCCTCCTCCTGTGAAGAAGTTCAAGACAAATGAGGGGAGCATCAATAAAACTGCAGGTAAATAGTCAATAAACTGCAGGTAAAATAAACAATAAACTACAGGTAAATAGTCAATAAACTGCAGGTAAAATAGTCAATAAACTACAGGTAAAATAAACAATAAACTGCAGGTAAATAGTCAATTAACTGCGGGTAAAATAAGCAATAAACTGCAGGTAAAATTGACAATAAACAGCAGGTTAAATAGTCAATAAACTGCAGGTAAAATTGACAATAAACAGCAAGTTGAATAGTCAATAAACTGTAGGTAAAATTGACAATAAACAGCAGGTTAAATAGTCATTAAACTGCAGGTAAAATTGACAATAAACAGCAGGTTAAATAGACAATAAACTGCAGATAAATTGCAGGTAAAATAGTCAATAAACTGCAAGTAAAATATGTAGTAAATTGCAGATAAATACGTAACAAGATATTTAATGAAATGCATCTCAAATGATGAAGCAATATGTATCTCTGCAGGTCCGTTTAATGCTTCCAAAACACAAAATAGAGGAAAAAGTAAAAGTTGTTTTATTAAAAGTCTGAGGTGATTATAACTACTGAAATGCATGTTTGTCTTTATCACATAGGTAGCCAATCTATACTTAGTATATGGACCAATAGGCTGAATGCTGTTAATGCTATGAGGCATGCAGAGTTCACTGGGAGACTAGAAGGAACCAACAACAAATATGAACTCTACCAACACCTCAAGGAGGACCTAGAGTAAGTCTTCATCATCATATACTGTAAAACGGGTATTTTTAGCGAGGGGTAATTGTTAGCTCACATGGTGAGCTTTTGCAATCGCTCACTTGTCCGTCTGTCTGTCTGTCCGTCCGTCCGTCTGTCTGTCCGTCAACAATAGTGGCACGTTTTAAAACCTCTGTCGATAGGATTCCTGTTTTAAGTTATTTCTGTTCAACATCAATACAGAAAAGTCCCCTATGACTCCTGGTTCAAATTCTCGCCTATTTTCAAAATGGCCGCCATTTTTGTCTCGCGAAATTCATTTTTGACCCATTTCCTAGCTTTACAAATAATTTCAGGTGTCCTACATTGTAAAAATCCATGTCAATGTTAAGAGTAGATATATGAAATAATTTTGTTACAAAAAATCAGCGAAAAATTATATCCATTTTTTTTATTTTCAGCCGTTTTAGTTAACATTGATTTGTCCATCTGACTCGCGAAATCCACTTTTCCGTCAACAACAGTGGTACGTTTTAAAACCTCTGTCGATAGGATTCCTGTTTTAAGTTATTTCTGTTCAACATCAATATAGAAAAGTCCCCTATGACTCCTGGTTCAAAAGCTCGCCTATTTTCAAAATGGCCGCCATTTTTGTCTTGCGAAATTCACTTTTGACCTATTTCCTAGCTTTACAAATAATTTCAAGTGCCCTACATTGTAAAAATCCATGTCAATGTAAAGAGTAGATGTGTGAAATAATTTTGTTACGAAAAATCAGCAAAAAATTATATCCATTTTTTTTTTTTATTTTCAGCCATTTTAGTTAACATTGATTTGTCCATCTGTCTCGCAAAATCCACTTTTGGACCATTGGCCTTAAACCCTCTGTCGATAGGATTCCTGTTTTAAGTTAATTTTGTTCAACATCAATACCAAAAAATCTCCTATGACTCTTGGTTCAAAAGCTCGCCTATTTTCAAAATGGTGGCCATTCTTGTCTCGCAAAATTCACTTTTGGCCCATTTCCTAGCTTTACAAATAATTTCAGCTGTCCTGCATTGTAAAAAGCCATTTCACTGTAAAGAGTAGTTGAATGAAATAATTTTGTTACAAAAAATTGGCAAAATATTATATCGTTTTTTTTTTATTTTCAGCCATTTTAGTTAACATTGATTTGTCCATCTGTCTCTCAGTCAGTCCAAAATAGTGCCAAGTTTTAAAACCTATGTCTGTCAACACTTGGCTCTTTTTAAATCCTCTGTAAATAAGATTCCTGATTTAAAATATTTTTGTTCAACATCAATAAAGAAAAAAACCTGTGACTCCTGCTTCAAAATCTTGCCTATTTTCAAAATGGCCACCATTTTTGTCTCGGAAAGGATAGGTATCGATATGTAGAACTGAATTCAACAATGTTTTTCTCTTAAACCAATCATTGAAAACATTCTGTAAAAAACATGGTATTTTATGTAATGTTGACTGATTAACAACAATTTAATCCGAAAATTATTTAGAAATATTTGATATAACTGTTTTTGTTAACATTTTTTGTTTTTTTAGTGCAATTGTTTTTGCTCTTTTCTACCAATTTTTGAGAATGAAATAAAATGTCTTTCCGAACCTTGTTGGAACAAAATACCATATACAACATGTTTTTGGACCTCTCAATATTAAAGTTATACAAAGGAATTTTTGGTTCATTTTAAAAAAGTATTCAAAAAATTAAAACAAAATCCCTCTAAAATAGATAAAAATCAAAAAAAACTTTTATTTCATTAACAAGATACTTTTTTAAAATAAACCAAAATTTCCTTTGTACAATTACAATATTGAGAGACCTAAACATGTTGTGTTTATGTCGTTTTGTTCCAATTAGGTTCGGAAAGATGTTTCATTTCACTCTGGAAACATGATACCAAGAACAAAACAAGTGTTTGATGTGCTTTTTAAAACAATATAGATGAAAGTTTGTATATCTATTTCAAATTATATTGTTACCATTCAAAAGATGGCCATTCAATTGACAATTTGTAAGATTTTCAAAACATTTTGATGACTGGTTGAAGAGAAACGTGTGTTCAAAAAGTTCGCCATATCGATACCCAATCTTTACTTTTGGCCCATTTCCTAGCTTTACAAATAAGTTCAGGTGTCCTGCATTGTAAAAAGCCATGTCTTTGTAAAGAGTAGTTGTATGAAATAATTTTGTCACAAAAAATCTGCAAAAAATTATATCCGTTTTTTTTTTTTTCACTTTTGAGCAACACCTTGTGAGCCCAGTACCCACAGCACTAATTTTTAGCGATTGTTAGCGGTCGCTATAGTTTCGCTAAAAATTCAATTCGCTAAAATAAACCGGGGTTAAAATAAACCGGGCGCTAAAATTTGCAAATTCCCGGGAAACTACATGGATACTAGTATTTAAGGAGCTTTTCGTTCAGTGCTCGACTTCCGGTTTGTAATTTGAAAAAGGTAAATATTTTTAAATCGTATGTTTCTTTCAATATCTGAAGGATAAATAGCCGTCCATCATGAGATTACAGTAGTTTGGACCAATACCATGTGCGTTAGAAGTCTTACATTTTGATAATTCCTCTGTCATGTCCGTTATTCATTCTTCTGCCATAAATGATAAAATTTCTAATGCATTTCGCTAATTTGATTTTTTAAAGATTAATCTTCATTTCGCTAAAATTTCCTCCCTAAAACCCCCTAAAATTGAAAAATCGCTAAAATTTCCCGGTGTCAAAATTATTCGTTTTACAGTATCATGGCAATCTTTGATATGCAATTAAGGCTCCTAATTATACCAGAGCATGTTTGGTGAAAAGCATTGAGATGTTATCTCTAGTTTTAGGATATTTAGAATTGATAAATGATAAGCTGATATTAATTATAAATAAAAAATATGAATAGACATATAAAACTTACTTCACTTTATTTACGATTTGATAATGCTTATTCAGTACTGTTTAGGACTAGAAATACAGCATCTTAAAGTTTAAACTTGTTTGATCACACTCGTTCAAACACTTTTAGCCCAGTCATTTGTCGAGTGTTGATACCATTTTCCACATGGTAATCATCGTTTTAATGTTCAAACTTGATTGGAACTGTAGCAAAGAATAATGCAATCATTGTTTTACCTTCAGTTCAATATCAAACATTGCAAATACTTTGCCAGAAAAATTGATTTACAGTTCTATATCTTTAGTGTTGGAGGAATGACCCCAGTGTTCATGTATCAGTTTGAAAGAAATATTTTTTATTTCCATTTTTGACATTTCTCTCATGGAGGAAGAAAAGGATACCAATATGAACCTCCAAATTGTGAACCATTATGTATAAGAAAAATTAGTTTGTTAATTTAGTATTCATTAGGTGAAACATAAAATTAGTATGGCATTTGTGAAATATATTTACTAGTATTGTTTTTATTTCCCCTTCTATTTGGTATGGCATTTGTGAAATATATTTATTGTTTCTTCTATTCCAGTAACACCGTGGACACTAAACCTAACATTAAAACTTTAACTGGACAGAATAAACCACAGATCAAGCCACTTTTAGGTACACATGTTAAACCACCCGTTTCTATGCACAACCGCATTAAATGAGGCACATAAGCTCAGTTCCTTATAAGGAGGTAATCACCAGTGTTGTCGAGGAAGTTCTAGTTCCAAAGAGAGCATCATCTAAGCCGAATTTACGAGGCTATGTCTCGGGTAATCAGTCCAGTGCTAGGCGGGAGAAAGTGCCAAATATGGAACTCATTATTATTGCCCAAATTAGGTGTTGATGGCTGAAAGAGTTGCGAAAAGGCTTCTTATCTGAACATTATGAGAAGGGATGTAGATCTTAGTTATATAAATGTTAAGCTGATTCACACTCATAAATTAAATTTTGATAAAATAAGAGATAGTATCAATCCAGTTCCAATGAATCGAAATACTTTGATTTTAAACAACATGTACATGTATCATTATATGTACAATGATTTGTAAATGTTCACATAAAAATATGTCTTAAAGGAATATTCCTTGCCAAACCATCTCTCTCCTCACATGGTAGCTATAACCATATATATGCTTGCCATGTTTAGCAAAACACGCAAAAATGTTTTGATATGGTCAAATTTGATCACTTAGAAATGTGATGCTCAATTCCAGTAAGCTGCCATCTTTTAGAATTTCACACAGGAAGTGATGTCATCGACTCTCAACTTTGCATATAGCATTAGGTGAGGAGCTATTAAGAAAAACAAAACCAGCTAAATATTCTTTTTCAACTTTGTATCTTATTTAATCCTTCTGAAAATCTCTTCTTTTATTCGAAGTTGACAAGCCCTGAAAATATTTTTGCACAGAAAGTAATGATCACTTGTCTAGAAGTGATTTTGTGCTACTTTCCTATACTGTTATATGCAAGGTAAGAGGAGGGAAAGTCCCAGAGTTTAAAGATGACAGACATAATTACCTCTCTTGCTTACCACCTTCGTTCGTTCGAATTTTCATCGGCTAGTTATCAAATACTACACTTCGATGGGATGTTTTAATTGACATAGGCATATTATGTACACCTTTCTTTATCTTGTTGTGAAATGAGAAGCTATGATATTGGTTAACACGCCAGAAATGAACATAATATTATTCGAAGCGTATTTCGAAAGTTTTGAAACCGCCATTGATGACGTCACTTATTTGTCGACTTTTGACCAATCAGCGACAATGTCATCTCAATACAGATTTACATTATAAGCGTATGTCATCTTTGAACCCTGGTGTTTCTCCCCCTCTGATGCAAGGTCATGGAAGTTGAGAGTCGATGACATCACTTCCTACAAGAAATCTTAAAAGATGGCAGCTCACTGGAAATAAGCACTAGATTTTTAAATGATCAATATTGACCATATAAAAACATTTTCCCATGTTTTGCTAAATATGGAAACTATATATATGATTATAGCTACCATATCAAGAGAGAAAGGGTCTGGAAGGAATATTCCTTTAATTTATTAATCTTTAGTTAGAATTATTGAAATTCATATATCATGTGTCATACTGACCTACCTTAATAACATGGACAAGAACATTATACAATAAGTCAGGAATACTGGCTTTTGCAATGAATCTGATCAGCTTTTAAGTAGAGAAATAGATACATGATTATAGTATATGTGTGATGATGGACATGTGAAATGTTTCATTGGAAATATTACCTAGATTGTCTCACATACCATAGCAGTGTATAATACATGTAACAGTTGTATTGCTCATACTTGGTCACCATGGTTACAAAATTGACATTGTTGTTTAATAATAGCATTGTCATTGTACACATTATCTATGTATGAAATTATATTTGTAATAAAATAATAAAATTGAAATTGACTTGACTCTTGTTTAGTAGTTATGTAAAGTAAAAATACATGTTGTCATAAATTCAGATCGAGAATCAATCTGTCCTCTGTGTCTCTGTTCCTGGTTTAATAGTTCAGATGTTTTGAAGAAAACCATTCACATTTACTTGTTTTACTCGTAACCTTTCATGTCTTCGTGAATATGCCAGCTCTCATCAATTAAATTCACACAGCTAGTCAGATAGCATAAAAACCTAGAATTGCATATGCAGCAGGAGGGGGAGATTTCATAAAGATGACCCTTCTGATTGGCACGTTCGAAAACAAATTTTATTAACAGGCCTCATTTGCCATTAAAATGGATCTCCAAATGTTCGCTGTAGTTTTATGAGTGTTCTCTACAAGTATGGATCGAGTAACTTCAATAGTATTACCCTAGGTTTAAAATGATGATGTTGAACTGATTTGAACGCCATTCCCACGATTTCAAATTTCACTTTGCACATGCGCAGCACTGAGAGAGCATGTGTTCATGATTGTTCACGTGATCACATCCTGCAATTTGATTGGAGATGATGTGGGAGATGACGTAATGGGGAATCCCCGAATACAATAGAATATGAAAGAATTGTGGGAGCTCCTCACTTCTTCTGATATGCAGCTAGTATATGGCAAGGAAACTTGAACAAGCAGTATAATAGAGATTTTAAGGAGAGGTTGCATTTTAAATTTCATTTTAAATTTCCCACAGGATAAATTGGAAAAGGAAAATATGAAATCAACTCATAGTATCAAAGTGTATTGAATAAAGATGCATGCACAGTTAAGCTGAACATCTCTGTACCTTTAGAAGGTACTTTGATATTTCAACAAATTGGAAAAGGAAAATATGAAATCAACTTATAGTATCAAAGTGTATTGAATAAAGATGCATGCACAGTTAAGCTGAACATCTCTGTACCTTTAGAAGGTACTTTGATATTTCAACCACACCAAGCTTGTGCGACATGAGACACTACAACATGATAAAGCGTTCCTAAATCGTTTCGGGAAGGTCATGTGAATTCTTTGTTTGCCTATGATACAGTAACTGATTTGTAGTGAAAAAGTTCTGGGAGTTTATAGTGAATGGAGTGTCAGATATTATCCCACATGTCACACATTATTTCTTAATAAACAACATTTCACTAGTCTATATACCCATATTAATATTACAAACAGCTTTCCAATAACTAAATTGGAAGTTTTAAACAATGCTAAATATTAAGATCATCATCAGGGTCCTCCTCATCAAAGTCATCTACATCATCACACTCATAATATATCTGCCCTGTTCCTGGTGTAACAGATGTGGCAGGCCCTGATTTCACAGCTCCTTGTTGGTGGAACATATATGGAAGTTGGAGTTGCTCTCTTGCCTTTTTCTCACTGTCCTTCAGCGAAAGGTTAAAGGTCAAGTTGGCTGCCGGGTCAACATCTTCTTCAGTTTCTGAAAATACATCGAGAGAGATAATATTTTTAAAACCTTGACCATGCTCAAATACATAAAACAACAAATCTATAATAAATACATGTAATCATAGTTTTGGACAAAATAAAAATTATGAACTGAACACCAAGTGATATTAAACACATCAGATAATCAGTGTATATCTCTGTATCAGTTGGATGATATTACAAACAATCTATAATGGCTAGAGATTCAACTATGATTCCAATAATGAATTGGTCTCATAAGAAAATGTATTTATTTATATTAGATTTGAACCAGTTTGTAGTGATAATTGGGGTACAAGTACACCGCAACACACCTTTTTCTTTCTCATCTTGACTTATTTCTTGAGCACTTGATATTTCTCCATCAATACCAAATATAAGAAGTTCATTAGATCTTTTCACTTTGCCTGATGGCCTTTTATGTAGAGTGTCACAGATGCTCTGAGAGGGAGTCGCATGTGAAATGTAAATTATCGTAGAGGCAGTGTAATCCAGAGCTGCTAATGACTCATGCAGATCTTCGTGAACAACAAGTACAATCTTTGTAAGTTCTGTATTTGGAAATCTATCATTTTTTAAACTTTGTATCTGTTGGCATATCTTCACAATTCCCTGGGTTTGTATAAGTGAAGATATTGCGTCTACAACCACTGCTACTTTTTGTTGAGTTTGCGATTTTGCCAAAATGTCTCCAAAGTATGTATGGAGGTTACTCTCGAAGGTGACTCTAGGTTGATTCCATCCTAGTGGATCCATCGACCAATCATGTATTTTTATTGAAGGTAGGTTAGTTAAAGATGATGATTTGTATAGATTTTCTGAAAATTCTGTTTTCAACATGTGAACTGAATCCATGTGATTTTGTAAATGTACACAAATTGACTTTAAGAGATAACGACTACAACAATCCACATTATCCTTGATGACAATGATACGCGAGGATTCTTTCCCTTTTATTATATCCTCAATCATATTGTAACTTCAATGAAAATGTTGGAAAAATAAGAAAGTAGACTTGATTTCTGAAAATTATTAACTACGGAAGTGTTTTTTCTCTTTTTCTGCTGGATTACGTTATAATTATATAATTTTCAAAGTGGTTTTTCGTACACTTTAAAAAGGTTTTCAGCTCTCAAACTGAACAGTTATATTCAAGAAGATTACTTTTATATTTAAAGAGCATATACTTTATTAAATGATAGATAACGACGATATCAAAGAGGAAAATACAATTACCAGAATGACGTCATCATCATGTGACTGATTGTCTGTTCGTCGCCATTTGTCAAAAATAAAATCTGAACATTTTCTAAATATTTACTTATTTCTTCAAAATGTTCGCGTTTTTCTCGAGAATCCTTGATTGGATCAAGAGCCTGTTTTGGAAGGAAGAGATGGAACTCACTTTGGTGGGACTCCAGTACTCTGGGAAAACAACATTCGTCAATGTAATCGCGGTAAGTTTCACGCCTCCAAAATTTGTTGACAACATTTTTTTGTTCTTGTTTTCACATTTGTAAGCTTACCTCGTTGAGCTGTTAACATAGGATATAATAGAAAACTGATAAAAATCATAAAGATTCATTTATTATCTGTTTGGGTTTCAAAAATTATTGGTACAGTGGGGATCATAAAGAATTGCAAAAGCTATGAAAATTACATGCTTTCGCACATGTAATAAATTCTTACCTCAGTGAATTCAGTAAGAACTTCAAAAGTTGAATTGGATATTCACATGTTATGCAGACTCTTCAAATGTTGAGGTGATTTTGTCGCCCGATTGCGCCAGAACGGAGGATTGGCTCCCAGAATGCAACGTGACACGTGCCAGCTTTCAAAATGCTGTTCCGCCATTTTGAAACCTGTCATGGTAAATACGGTTAACTGATGTTGCATTTATCCATTATTTGCAGGTATGAAGCTTTGGATTCATTTATTGTGCTACTTTAGTGAACGGAATTATTTTTCTACCGCTTGGGAGAGTTTGAGACACGAAACTTGGAAATAAGCTCATTTTGACAACTTGTGAACGTTGAGTTTTATTTTTGTTCCCTACTGTACTGTAAATTGCAATGCTTCCTTTTTCCTCTAGACACTCATCACAGTGCGGTTGGTTGTGCACTGGTACTGCAGGCCCGTAGCCAGGGGGGGTTCGCAGGGTTCGGGCGAACCCCCCCCTGGCCAAAAATTCTTTCAAAATCATGCAGTTTTTGACCATTTTGAGCACTTCTTTAGTGATTTTAGCCTAATTTGGGCCAAAATTGTCAAATGTGAACCCCCCCCTGGAAATTTTTGAAAATTGAACCCCCCCTTGGCAAATCCTGGCTACGGGCCTGGGTAGATCTAATTCCGTCAATGTATGCATGGGCGTCTAAATAGGGGGGGGGCATAGATCTCGGCCAGATTCTCTTGTAGTGGGATCAGTAATTCGAAATTTTAGAATGATGATTGTGCAGCCATTTCTGAAAAATATGAGACAAATCATACCTCATTCGAAGCCTCTTGTTATTTTTGGCTCACACAGTGAGCCTATGGGATTGACCAGGCGTCCGTCCGTCCGTCTGTTGGTCCGTCCATCCGTCTGTCCGTCCGTCCGTCAACATTGGCCGCACAAATTAAAACTGCTATTCGGATTGAGTCATATCCACATTCATTTTATGCATATCCATAATGCCTATTTGACCTATCATCGCTACGTTTTATTTAACGCCGTCCTTACATTATAGTTATTAGATGGACCCCAAAAAATAATGTTGGACGGAAAAATAAAAAACTCCCGAGTCCCTTAAACGCACTTTATTTCCACAGCAATTTCCAAAAATCTTACCTCTCAGAACATTCAAACAGTAGTAGAAACGTTTTTACCCCAGAGCAGCTTATTTATCCTCTGAATGTATGTTTTATGAGACGTTTTTTACAAAATTTAAATTATATTTGTTTCAAAATAATCCGCCATATTCAGGGATTCTCCGGCTTTCAGACGAAAATCTCCGGCTTTCAATTTAGTTAAACATATCAAATGAAAGAATATAAATTGGCCTACCTTGTGAAGACAAAATCTAAGTTTAATAGGCAGATAATCAGCAGTGTTTTAGAGAAACACTGAGATAATTATCTTACTGTAATTCGGCAACCATTTTGATTGACCTCTAAACCAAAACATCATTGCTTTGAGATCAATGGGTCAGTAGCAAAAAACCTTTATCACTGTCCTGCCATCTTTCAATGGATACCATTATTAACAATTACACATAAACTTGGTAACAAACTGTTTAATAATACAATTGATCTTTTTGGCATTATCTTACATCATAGTGAGGAAGCACAAAGGGCAACATTTGAAAACAAATAAAATATTACGTCAAAAATACATATCAAACTACATGAACCAGGCCTATTGAATGTTTTGATCTTTATATTTCATTGAGATTGATAATGTGTCAAAAAGGAATATTGAGTTTATTAATTTACACCAGAGTGGTGAGGAGGAACAAGGGGCAACATTGAAAAACAAAGTAATTAAGAAAAAAATTAATTGCAATTAATTATGTATTATAAATATTATCATAGGAAATTTTGGCTGAGATATGCTCAGAATGCACCAGAGAGGGTCTAAATTTCAAAATTGTCTGAGGGGGCATCCCTCCCCCCCTAGTTTGCGCCGCACGCTGTGTTTATGTAGTTGTAAGTTTAGTAAATATAAAATCACTCCATAAGACATGGTAAAAAGACAAAAATGCCTTACATTTGTGTTACTTTAGAAAAAAACGAGAACTTGAATTTGCTTTATCCAATTTTTTCATTTTTAATTAGTTTCAGGCCTTTAATTTTTCGGACCCACTTTTTTTGGTTTGGACTCCATTTTTTTTTACTATGGGGTCCATTGGACCCACTTTTTGGTAACACTAAATAAAACACTGCATCGCCATTTCCCAAGTTCGCCCGGTTTCCGAGAAATTGCGGATTTTGACGTCAAAAAGTCAAATTTTCTGTAAATACTAGACACTTTGTTGAAGTAGAACTTTCAAATAACTTTTAGTAGTTGGTGTATATGCAACTTATGTCCTCTGAAGATTTCAAAGCTCTTGGAATTACGGTTTTTGGTGTTTACTCTATAAAATTTGAAAAAAAGTAGGACTTAGTCATTTTCAGGAAACTTTCTCATGTATAAAGTCAATGGCAGGTTTTGTGATTGACAAGATTCTTAAAGTTTGCCTTATACTTGATCATTTCCTGCAATAAATTACATCATTAACAGATTTAAGCATTCCCTACATATTTCTAAATATATGTCAGCATCAAATTTTTACCATTTTTGAGATATTTGAGTCGTCAAAAAACAGTAAAAATAAGTTATTTTTCAACTTGCTTCAATTTGACCAAATTCTTTTTTGAAAATCATCTACAAGTTGACAGGAGTTCAAATCTGACATTAGTTTTAGGATTTGACCTTTACTTGACCTTCAGTGACCTTCGAAAGGTCAAAAAAGTTGATTTTTCAAATTGATTTTTGGATGTAAATTTTGGTCAGCTTAATCACAAAAGACCTTACTGAGCTCTGAATAAGTAAAATTTTCAAGGTCAATGGTCATCAAACTAGGTCACACAACTATGCTATCTAGGTCATCAAACTAGGTCACACAACTATGCTATCTAAGTTTCTCAAAGTTTGAGACTACAAATCCAAATCAATATTTTTGTTTGAAAGTCAGGATATAAATTCCTCTGAAGGTTCCAAACTGTGTGAGCACAGGACCGTGGGTCCTTCATTTAATTTTTTTGTCAATAATGAACGTTATTCAAGTAATATTGCATTTATAAGAGGCCAAAACACTGATTATTATATCATGGTTACCGCCATATTTGGCGAGCAATACCTCATTGGTATATTCCGTATTTTACACTCGAAGACAGAGCCAGAAACCCCTCTTTGGAGGAGCCCTGTGTTCTTTTATGTGCACAGGTACACAGACATACAAGTGCACATCACAGCCTTTTATACGAGTCGTGGACCACTCAGTCAGACACCCAGAATTACATAACGCACAAACAAACTTGTCTGAACCAGGAATCGAACCCGGGGCCAAGCGATATTGGTAACCTTGACTCTGCCTCTGAGCCATAGCGGGTGGACTGATATTTTTATCTGAATGGTGCTCCTGTGATTCCAGAAATGTGACGTCAGATTTAGTATGATATTTGGACACACAAGAGCCCAGATCAAGTGAAAAATATTTGCCGTATTAAAAGTCAAATTACTGCGTCCATTGTTATTTACTCAAACCAAACAACTAGAAATAGATAGATGAAGATCTCGGCTATAAATTAAGTGCAAAATCTGTCACAGGGAAGCAGGTACCATTTTGTATAAGGAACGTTTTGAAAGGTGGTCACTTTTTTTTGAAATTTTCCAATTTGGTGTCTCATCTTCTGAATTATTCTTTGAGCCTATGAGATCCTACTACAAAATGATCTGGCCAACATCTATAGGGGAGGGTGTGTATCGGGTCGATTGAGCCAATCCTTGGTATTTTTGTTCATTGCTGGGGAGGGCACTCGGAGAGTAGAACTATGTGCTTTGAGTTGGAAAGCTAGGCTTTTTAGATGTAGACGCACCCCCATTTGAAAAAAATCCTTTCAAGAGAAGGCCCATTCTGAGAAAAAGTATCATTGGTTAATATGCCAATAAATGATTATAAGTACTATTAAGTAGGGTAACATTGAGGATGACAGAAATCATCTAGAAGGACTGCAGTGATCAATGACAGCTGTTATCTTAGCCAGCACATTCAAAGTTTTGGAGATTTTGTGAAAAATCATTGACTCTGAAATGTTTTAGAAATAGTGGAAAGCTTTCATTGCTATCGTCTTTCTCATTGTCTCTGATTCAAACAATTACAGATTACAAAAACATAAATAGTATTTATTTAGACTTTCATTTGCATCCTGAAGGGTGAGACAAAAAAGGTAACCCAAACAAATCTTATAACTCAGTAATCTAGTATGGGTTTTAAGTCATATTTGGCACAATTGAACCTTCTTCAATGTTCTTCATTCAGTCAAGTCTCATTGGTGTATTCCAAATGGTCATGATTTGCAGTAAATAGTCATAGATTTGCAATTATGAGACCGTATCAGCGTAATGTTGAATTTAGAGAAAATGAACTGTTTATAGAATATAGCAACACTATGATCTGAAATAGATCTTTTTGTGAATAAAAGCATTAATAAACTGTTTTTGAATTGAATTCACTTGAATTTTCTTCATTAGCTTTTTTAGAAATAAAGACATTGAAATATGTGTTTTTCATTGACTATTTGTTCATGTTTTCATAATTGTGTCAACTCTGTAACTTTTACCACTATTATAAAGTAGTTTAGAGTTTGTGAACAATTTCCATAATTCTATTCATAGTTCCTTCATTTACTAATCAAAATAAATGTCTCTTCATTTCAA